TAAATCTTTTTAAATTAAGTTAATAAGTAATCTTATAGTGATTCTCAACATATTAATTAGCCTATAGTAACTCTATAGTAATCCTATAGCGATTCTATAGTGATTCTCGAGTAGGATTAGATAAGGATTAGAGTAGGGTCGATATACTTATCGATATAGGATCGATAGAGGATTAATCCTTTATAGAAGGGTATATATATATTAATACTATATTAATACTATATTAATATAGTTTCGACACGGTCTCGAAACCGTTTATAGAGAATTAAATATATAGTAGTTCAAAACCGATTCAAGACCGGTTTGAGATTAATCCGGGTCTGATTCGGTATCCATTTGGAACTAATTTTATAAGTTTAAGCGTATTAAGACTATGTACTAAGCGTCCTACTAAGTGTTCTACCGAGTGTCCTACCGAGTATCCTACCGAGCGTTCTGTCGATTGTCCTGCTACGCGTGTACCTACTCGAGCGTCTCGTCAAACACACTGTCGAACGTACTTTCGAACGCACTGTTAGTTGGGCGTGCAGTTAGGCGTAGACTTTTTCGATTATAGTTCTACTAGTAGTTAATGTGAAAATACTATATATATATGCCCGCCTAGTAAGGATTAATCTAGTATCGATATAGGATCGACGCTATATCGACCCTACTCCGATTTTACTTCGATCCTACTCGAGGATCAGTATAGGATTACATAGGTGCCCACCCTCTATAGAATCGATATAGTATTAATAGCGTATTAATACGGTTTCAATACGGTTTCGAAACCTTTTGGGGGATCGAATACGTATCCGATACGGTTTAACTACGATTCGAAACCGATTCGAAATCGATTCGAAATCGATTCGAATACGATTCGGAATCGGTTCGAAACCGGTTCGGAACTATTTACACGTTTAAGCGTATTGAAACTATATCGACTCTATTTATTCGGATTCTACTAGTTCGCGTATATCTATAAGTTTAAGTATATCTACTAGTCCGAGTATATCTACTATCTATATACCTTGTTAATTATTATCTAACTACGCGACTTCTACGCGCGCATCTCCTACGTACTACTATATACTATATATAGGTATTGATCGTCCTATTGATCGTCCTGCTACGCGTATACCTACTCGAGCGTCCCGTCGAGCGTCCTGTTGATCGTCCTACTACGCGTATTCCTGTCGAGCGCCTTGTCGAGCGAGCGTCGAATGCACTGTTGAATGCACTGTTGAATGCACTGTTGAATGCACTGTTGAATGCACTATTGAATGCACTGTTGAATGCACTGTCGAATGCACTGTTGAATGCACTGTCGAATGCACTGTCGAATGCACTGTCGAATACACTGTCGAATGCACTGTCGAACGCACGGTCGAACGCACTGTTGGACGTACTACTGTTGAGCGCACTATTAGGCGCACTCTTGAACGCACTATTGAACGCACTATTGTACGCACTATTAAGCGAGCGTGTAGTTAGGCGTGCAGTCAGACGTAGACCCTTTAGTACTACTAAAGTAGTGCTAGTACAAGTAGTAAACGTAGAAACCGTATTGAGGCTCTAAACCGTATTTAAGGCTCTCGAGATTTAACACCGTATTAACACAGTATTGAACCTCGAAATCGATTCTACTACGGTTCGAAACCGGTTCTAATACGACTCTAAACGTTAATTTTATTACCGATCTAAGTACGCCGACTCGGATCGAAATCGGTTTAAAACCGATTCGGATCCGTAGTAGAACCGGTTTTACTACGGTTCGAAACCGTATCGAATACTATATCGAACCCGCGTCGAACCCGCGTCGAAGCCGCGTCGAAACCGTATTGACACGGTCTTCATCCTAAGTAGTATAGCCCCTTTAGTACTATAGAATCACTATATCGAAGGATCGAAGGATCGAAGGATGGTAGGATCGTAGAATCGTAGAATCATTAAGTAACTTAATTTAAAAAAAATTAAAAAAAAGTTTAAAATATATTACGTATTATTTATAGATTATAGATTTATATATCGAAAAAACTATTATAAATAGTATCATAGTCGAGTAGTAACAACGTCGCTATCGCCTATAATTTAAATAAGAAAAAATTCTAACGATACTATATAGTCTTTAAGACAAAAAAGGAGTACTCCGACTAGAGTTCGAACCCTTCTTTTTTTTTAACTACTATATACTGCCCTAATACAAGATCCGGATCCGATCCGGATCTAAGAAAATCAACAGATTAAGCCTCCGACCTAGTAATCGACCTAGGATCGATCTAAGATCAGACCTAGTTCAGTAAGTAGATCTAAACTAGGTCCGAACTAGGTCCGAACTAGGTCCGAACTAGGTCCGAACTAGGTCCGAACTAGGTCCGAACTAGATCTGATCCTAGATATCGCGATCCCTGATTGAGCCTTTATAGGAGGCCAGTCCTGTAGTTGTAATATCGATTTATAGCCGTATCGAGGCTCCAAACCGTATCCGAGGCTCAACACTGGAAATCGATTCCACTACGGTTCGAAACCGGTTCCGATACGGCTCCAAACGTTAATTATATCACCGATTTAAGCACGCCGACTCGGATCGACACCGATTTGGAACCGTGGTGAAACTAAACTGTATCGGATACTATATTAAAATCGTGTTGATACGGTGTTGACACCGTGTTGATCTACTCTACTATGGCCTATATAGTGTGGCAACCAACGCGTACCAACTATTACGGCCGCCGCGTTGTTGAGTTTCGGCGCAGATGATACTATCGCACATCCTACATGAGTACCTCTTTCGAGGCACTTGACGCAGGTGCAAACCTAAAGCTTTGCGGAGCCACCGGCATTACTTGCCCACGCTCGCTCCACGGGATCTTGGCCTTTTGCCAGATCTCTCAGACTCGACAACCGTGATGCACTCATCTGGAAGCATTCCGGCAGGCCTGTGGCATTCCAATCTTTGCCCATGATCAGTTTGACCACACCAGGGGCACACGTGAAGATTCTGGCCATTCCTTTGGACACGACACCCGTTAGAACACAGTCAACTGGAGCTTTGGGACGGGACAAATGCTGAACTCACCATGTCCATTGAAGCCAGCGCACACATACTGTCCCGGAAGAGACTCGATGGGTCCCACAAATGGGACGTGGTCTGTAGACATAGCAATGATACCAGTCCATACGTGGTCTACACCCTCGCCGTGTCGGACGGACGATGCTTCAGTTTGGGGGAAAATATCGCGCCAGCCCCTAATACCTGCTTGCAGGACTTCGGAAGAATACCTCGTGTCGTCCGTCGTCTGGAGTTCCGCTACCGCTTCGGGGCTCAGCGCTGGATTCCCACGTGACACACCCAGGATGAAAGTTCCGTCAGATGGCCGTTGGATGAGTGAATGGAAATGTTTTATAGTATATCTGAGTGACATTGTGTGAGGTATGACATTGTCGCCTGCGAAGGATGGAGTTGGAATTATTGACATGGCCTGGGCCCGGCAAGGCGTCACGTATTTCTGCAATGTTGGTAGCAGATATCCCACGTGCGCATTCGTACAGTGGACGACAGTTGGTGTCACAACGGTGCCTCGAGCAGTGTGAACAGCCCAGAGGGTAGGTTGGGCAGCATCCGAAGCAGCCTGAGATTTGACCTCCTTGACGCTCGTTACCGGACAATGAGTGAAAAGCTTTACCCCCCTCGTAACGCAGCTACGGATTAGCCATTGGGTCAGTTTTGCTGGATGAATCGAACCAGCGGGCCATTCATAGGCGGCCACAGCACCAGGCACTCTGGTTTTCTCTTTTGCCTCAGCACCTTCGTAGAACTTGACGTGAGAGACGTCCCCACTGGCCTTCTTGTAGGCATCGAAACTTGCCGCTTCGTAGTCGGCAAACTCGGGGGTCATACACACGTCGAAGGTCTTTGTGAAATGGAAGTCGCAGGGCACGTTACGGGTTCTCACAAACTCGTCGACCTTATGGAGAACCAGCCGCTCATTGGCAAGCACTTTCACACTCTGATCTACGCCATGTGCAGCGGCGTAGACAGGGAACCCTCGAAAAGCGTCTGGACGATGCGGTCTGTCATCAGCCTTGTCGCGCAACGCGGGGGGTCCGGAGAATATGGATATACATACCAGGTCGAACGTGGCCGGCATTCCTCGAGCTTGCGCCACTCGCAGCTTCTCTGGCTTCGATGATGATTACATCCTGGGCCTGGACCCCCGCTTCAAGCAATTCGAAAGCAGTAAGAGACCCAGCGAGGCCTGATCCGATGATAACGTACTGACTTCTTGTGGGAAGAGCGGCGCCGGAGTTCGCGTTCAGGTGAGCAAACGCGCGAGTGCTTTTCTGCCAGAAGCTGAGCCCGGGGTTCGGGACAGGGAGTCCGATATGCGAACTCATGGCAAGGATATGGGTGCTATGGGTGCTTGAGCGGCCTTAGCTCGACAGATGTATGTCTTTAGGCATATGTTTATCATTGCCGGTGCATGTCTCCTCGGACATATATACCACGTATCTTGCCGTTGAGGATAGGCGATAGCCTACCAGCCGTGAAAGTGGGCTGCCTATATTTCGCACCACGACATCCTTATTTCGCACCACCGCTAAACTACTTCAAGTAATTTTTTTGCGCAACGCTAGCCGCTTTTGCTTTGTCCTTATAGCGCCGTATATCACGTAATTGCAATACATACTCTGTAATTATTCATACGCCTATTATCGTACGCCCACAGCGCCTATAACACCTACGACGCCTACCACTGCACGCCTACCACTGTACGCCTATCGCTTAATAGGTGGTAGTAGGCGCACAGTGATAGGTGTGCAGTTACAGGCGGTGCAGGCTTATAGGGGTTGCAGGCGTTGCAGGAGTTGCGGGCGCTGTAGGCGTGCGATAATAAGGGTGAGTGGTTATGGGCATTATAGGCGTAGGCGAGTTAGTGCTATAGGTACATCGTAATTTAAGGCGTAACGAGCCTGTAATCTCTAAGCACTTAGCAACCTTATATCAGAAGTGGCCTTGGCAATGGTGCGAAATAAGGATCTCATGGAGCGAAATATAGGCAGCCGTGAAAGTGTCCACACTGTTGGGAAGCAAATAACCACACCGCAATGGATACACCTTGAGGCGGGAGGGTCAATTCTCCGTATCAAAGAGACCGGTTCCGGTGTCAAAGCGGTCGCTTTGCCGACGACAGAAGAGGCGAATGGCTAATGGAGATGCGCGGGCAACGTAACATCGACTAGTATAGTTGTTAGTACTCTTTACTCCACGCTCCTCGGACCCTTCCACAGTCTCCCCACGACGACCGGAACTAAAAAATGGCACGAGGCCAGCTGGGGCGGGGGTCTCCGCCGGACGGGTTTTGTACCATTGCGTCGGCAAAGAGCTCGAGAAGGAGATGAGACAAAACTTACCTCAGAGAAGATGCAGTAGTATCACAGTATACTCATGTCAAAGCGGCACGGTTAGCCCGGTATCCTGGTGCTTTCGCTATCATGTTGAAGTGTGGGCGGCAGATTGTGCCGACCATCGGGGAAAACCCGTCAATGCGGTGGAACTTGAATTGATAAAGCCCACGCCCAATCACGTCTGCAGTCTACTAGTTGTATACGCCGTCTTTAGCAATCTGACCAGAAGTCGAATTGATGCAGGTCATAGCGAGATAACCACCGCCATCCAACCTCCCTGGTTATCCACTTCTCCAGGCCAGACAATATCTATACCCACCTCGCTATCGATCTTCAAGTTCTAGCATCCAATCACCGTCATGGTCATCATGCGGCTGTCGGTCTGCGCTCTGGAGACTTTGCCACCATCAACCTGGTTTGGGGACTGGGAATCCGAGGGGAGAGGGAGCCATGCTACACGCACGCGAGCGGCGGCGGGACGTATGGAGGTGCGAACAGACGCCAATTTGGCTACATATAAGGCCAAACCCATGTCGTTGTCGTCGACAGGCAGTCCGTCCAGGCATCGCGGTCCCTTCTTTTTCCGCTGCAGAATTCCCCAGTTGCGGCCACCCTTCGTCCAGTGTTGACCATGGTGTCGTTGAACTTCCCTCCGGCCACGGGGGTAGCGTCTCATGAGCGCACACCCACTGAGCGCAGCCTTGTGCGGCGTCTCGATATGTTCCTTCTGACATTTGGTTGTCTTTCCCAAGGTGAGCGCCAGATATCCTTGTCCATATTCTGTTGAATGAGCCTATTTCTAACCATCGCCCAGTCATCAAGTAAGAAGTCATAACATATGGCGCCGGGCGCATCATCCTCTGATCTCGAACCCGTGATTGCAGGTACCTCGACCAGAGCAATATAACCAATGCCTACGTGTCCGGGATGCAGGAGGACCTGCACCTCGACAAGAATCAACTCAACTAGTTGGTGTTGCCTCCCAAATTGTGGGACATCCAGCTAACCTCGAACCAGCTTCCAGACATATTTCAATGTCGCCTACTGCATCATGCTCATTCCATCCCAGATCATCTTGACTTATGTGCGACCGAGTCTGTGGCTCTCAGGATTGGAACTGGCCTGGGGCATGATAACTGGCCTCATTGCAATGACACACAGCGCAAAGCAAGTCTACGTCTTGCGGTTCTTCCTGGGCCTTTGCGAGAGCAGTGCGTGGCCTGGCATGATGACCCTATTGAGTATGTCAGCCAAACGGGTGCCGTTGTATTTCTTACCTTCCAGTTCTACTTGGAGGACTATGTTGCTCGTCCCGAGATTGGGCTGACCAGATTCCACAGTGCATTGGTACACTCCGACAGAACTGGCAAAGCGCATGGGGTTTTACCATTCCTGCCAGGCCATGGGGAGCATGATGTCTGGGGCACTGCAGGTCGCCATCATTAACACCTTGGAAGGACACAGCTCCCTAGCGGGATGGCGGTGAGGACCAGCCGATTACATGGATTGTTACAACACAACTAATACTCTCAGGTGGCTATTTGTCATCAACTCGATCATCACCGTGACGTGGGGATTCTTCGGCTTCTTCATGATACCTGATCTGCCGAACAAACCGAACCCGCTTGCCTTCTGGTTTGACAGGAACCATGGCGAAATGGCTATGGCGAGGCTGAAACGACACCATCGTGCCGAACCGAAGAAGGTCACCTGGGCTGCTGCCAGGTACGTTGGCGGACCTTCCGGCCCAGCATGAAATCTTGAAAGCCCAGCTGACCAGTAAACAGGCGCACCTTTACTTCCTGGTTGGTGTATTTCATTTCCCCATTGTACACCGCGACAGTCCTGGGCAGCTGGGGATATGCATATTTTGCACTATTCCTCAAGTCGATCAAGAACGAAGACGGGACAAGGCGATGGACGACATCTCAAGTCAACTCCATCCCGATCGGAGGTGGAGCTATTCAAGTTCTTTTTGGTAGGACATACCCCCCGCTCTCCCAATTAGTGCTCTGCAGGCTAATTTCCGTCTCTTCAGTCTGGATCTGGGCGTTCCTGTCGGATATTCTACGAACCCGATGGACCCTTATTGTAGTCCAAGGTCTGCTATCCTCACCACGCCCTGTTGGTAATGCCAATATTGACACATGGCAGGGCTTATTGGCATCATGACCTGCATTATCATGAGCATCTGGACGTCTCACCCGAACTCCGTTAGCCTCTCTGCAGCTTACGCCAGCTACTTCCTGTCCTATATCACCTTGGGCACGGCACCTCTCATCTTCGCATGGCTGTCGGACCTGTAAGCCTCCTTCGTCTCATCCATTCATGAATCTGGCGCATTAGCTGACATTTCAACAGCATGCCGCAGGACCCGGAGGCACGTACACTGATCGTGGGCGTTGCGGTTGCCTTTTACTATGCCATCTCCGCTTGGAGTCAAGTTCTTACCTGGCCGGCATCACAGGCACCCTATTGTGAGTATCACACTTCGCGTCCGTAACGATGCCAGCTCGCTAACCTGACTGCTCTGTCTAGATAAGTATGGGTGGCAATCGGCTCTTGCCCTTTGGGCTTTGGCCGTCGTCATGACGTGCGTGTTGCGCTATGTCGACAAGCGGTATCTGTCGTATGTCCCCTGCTCCCTCATTGCCAAAACTGGGCAACCCCATCTGGAGTCGTCTTTGCAGATCTTTAACTATTGTTCGTCATTAGGCCGAAACGTCAAGCTTTTGCAGAAGTATTGGAGGCAGAGCAACGCGAAGAAGGTCTGGACACTAAGCCCCAGGTGTTGGTAACCACAACCTCTCAAACCAAGGACTAAACGAGGAGGTGGTATATGGTCTGTACCCTCTTGTCTTTGGGGATCAGCTCTACATACATGTGCACTCTAGGTGCATAGTAGATATCAGTATGAATGCGCTCTACCATGACCTTCTCGCCCACACATCGCAACTTTCAAGTCTAGATGAACATGGTAGCCATGATATAGCGAGAAAATAGATGGCAATTCCGCGAACGTACTTGAAACGAGCGAGTGGGATGTCGCCATGTGCGTATAGGTACCTAGGTAGGTAGTAACCAGGTACACCAAAAAGGGATTCACTCTTATTGAATAACTTATAAGCACAGCTGCTTGGATTAAATCCCGAGCCAATCGTGACATTCTCAGCCTTGCGACCCAGTCACGTGACTACAATACCCCTTACCCCTGAACCAGTGAACTCTATCTCAACGTACACGTTGAGACGTCAAATTGTTTCCCCAGCCCTTTCGTTGTTGCAATGAAAGGTGTATATGAGGTCCAATTGATGGTGGTTCTGTCGTCTGGCACACCGGCCCATCTAGACCCTACTATGGGATGACCCAACGAGGAGAGACTGATTCAAGTCAGAGGGAGCCTTGCTCGACTATCCTCCGCCATGATCGGCTTCGGGGAACATTCGGCATCGACAATGAAATGCCGAATACTTGTGGTATCTTTTGACAGGTCTGCAACCACAACACGTCACAGTAGTGAAATGAAGCGCAAATCGCTGCAAGGGGGGTTTCTCGACGTGGCCTCGTCAGCAGGTCCGGCATGTGCCATGAGCACTCGGCAAAGCCCTGGAATTCTGGCCGCTGCCGAGAGTCTCAGTTAATCAATTGCTGCACCCCTGGCATTGTATCAATTTGCTTGTCAGGAATGAAGAGAGGTCCATTTGACGTGTATAATTTCCCCGGACGTGGTCGTTGATTGCAATGTGGCCCGAGCGTCCGTCACCCATCAACTACGAGATCCGAAATATCTGAGATATCAGGGTGTTGCCGCACTGTCTTTCACCAACGAAGAAATTTCCGCATTCTCTCAGCAGCTGCCTGGTCCTGGACAGGGGGCCGACAATACAACGGTCGCAGCGGGTACTGACAGGCATGACCGGCGCGTGATGTCCACTTGGAGCGGGCATGTCGTCCGAGTCAAGATCTTCAAGCAGGGTGGAAAGGGGCTCCCTCTCTGTTGAGTATAAATGAAAACTAAGTCGGTTGCAAGGGCGAGGATATGGAGTGAATCCGTTCCGGTATTCAACCAGACCGCCAACATCATAGCCATTTTCACCTGAGTCACGGGCGTACAGAACGGACAGAATGCAGCGCGGTGTACGCACGCGCCTGTCGCTCGGCATTGGCTCACTCGTCCTCCTTTCGTCCCGTGCAGCTGCTGAAGGCTGCTCGGCTCTGTATGGACAATGTGGTGGGATCGGCTGGACGGGATCTACGTGCTGTGCGAGCGGTTCATCTTGCCAATATGTGAACGACTACTACTATCAATGTCTAACTTACGTGGGCAACTCGCAATGCAGTTCTACATACGGACAATGCGGTGGAATTGGCTGGACCGGCTCTACATGCTGCCAGTCGGATTGGAGCTGCCAGTACCTGAATGACTACTACTATCAGTGTCTGCCGCCGACAGACACTTCAAGCCCGACATCCACAACGCCGACAACCACCGCCACATCAACTTCTTCGTCAACCTCAACGGCGCCATCTGCCTGTGCCACGAACTGGGGTCAGTGTGGCGGTATTGGCTGGACAGGTCCCACCTGCTGCGACGATGACTGGTCGTGTGTATATGGAAATGACTATTACTGGCAGTGTCTCGAACCTACAAGCGGTAAGTCGTCCAGGTCTGTCTACTGGGTCCTGACTAATACTATCCAGCGAGCGCGTCTACAAGCACGACGTCGAGCACGACTGCAGCAACAACATTTTCAACCGTGACGACTTCGGCAGCCTCAAAAACATCCTCAGCAGGGAGCAGCGAGACAGCCAGTTCCACCACTACCTCGACTAGTCCGTCTTCTACCGCTACACGCGTGCGTTACGGAGGAGTCAATATTGCCGGCTTTGAGTTCGGCTCCTATGATACCTGTGGTGTGCATACGGCTGCGCCATACGTTGATCCCGAGAACTACATCGCGCAGATCAACCACTTCGTCAATGATGACGGTCTAAACGCCTTCAGACTTCCAGTTTCGTGGCAATACTTGATCAACCAATATGATGGCGGCTCGCTAGGGAACAACACGATCGATCAAGACAATTTTGCAACTTACAACTCACTTGTCCAAGGATGTCTGAGTTCTGGCGCATCACTCTGCATCGTCGACATGCACAACTATGCCAGATTCAACGGCAAGATCATTGGCCAAGATGGACCGTCGGCAGCTCAATTTGCCGAGATTTGGAGCCAGCTGGCCACGGCGTATGCGTCGGAAGATCGTGTTGCATTTGGCTTGATGAACGAGCCGCACGACGAAGGCTGCCAATCGTCGGATGGCGGTGTCATCGACATCAGCACGTGGGCGTCGACCTTACAGACCGTGGTCAATGCCATTCGGCAGACGGGAGCTGTGTCTCAATTGATCATCCTCCCGGGCAAGGGCTGGATTCACGCGAACACATACCTACCATCCAACTCTGACGGGTCCGGACCGGCCTTGATGGGAATCACGGATCCAGCAGGCGGGACGTCCAAGCTGGTATTCGAGGTGCACGAGTACCTCGACTCCAACGACTCGGGTGGCAACAACGAGTGCGTGACCAACAATATCGACACCTCCTACGGCAGGGCAGGATTGTCCAACTTGGCCGACTATCTCCGGAGCAATGGCCGGGTCGCGCTGCTCACGGAAACAGGAGGGTTGAACAACGCCAACTGTGCAACTCTCCTCTGTCAGGAATTAAGCTTCCTGAACAGCAATGCCGATGTTTTCCTGGGATATACGACCTGGGCAGCAGGAGGGTTCGATCCTAGTTATGACTTGGGCGAGACGCCCACCCAGAATGAGAGTGGCGGATGGACCGACACCCTCCTCGTCCAAAGTTGCGTGGCCCAATGCTTCCAGGGAACATGTTGAATGCGTTAGACAACTTCGAAATGCAGCGCGCTCGTGAATATCTCAACCGCGACCTATCTTCTCAAACACCGACAAAACGGCGCAGAGGGTGCTATGAAAGGATAGAATTGCTTGAAATGACAGATGAGCAAGGAGTATGGGAGGATGTGGACCCCCATGGACTCCTCTCACTGCCCCCAAAGTTTACCGGGCTCGAAGTGTAGATGGCCGACCGTTTGTGGTGTGTGGTCCGCCGTATATTTTACATTTAATCAAATATATTGCGTCTCTCCGGGCAAAAATTTTCGACCTCACCTTCAATTCTCACAACCGCGCTTGCACATTATGTTCACAATAATGAAATGTGAACTTTGATGAAGAACCCTGTCGGCTAGAAAGGTGCTCATCCACTGCGTTAGATCGCCTGGTATCTGCCTACTACTGACCGTCGACCTCCTCGCCGCCGCTGATGACTGGCCATTGGGTTTGTGTTGACAGTATATATATTTCATGATCTTTGATCCATTCAGCACGCAGCGTCTTGTACTGCTTCAACACGACGCTGTTTTGTGCACATGCCGGCCCTTCACTGGGTGGGATCTCTTGAATGGTAGAGCATGCCGTACAGGATCGATTCTGTATCTGCTGGGCTGGACCGTTGTGGCATGAAAGCTCAGTTCGTTTTGAAATCGTACAAATTTAAGTATCTACATCAATATCATACCATGGAGACTTGGGGAATCAGTGTCGCCATCATTTTAATCCCCGAACAGATGTAGGAAGACTTTACATTCGAGGTGCTACATGGCGCCGTAGGAGGTCTTGTTCCTTAGATGGAGACGACGGCAGCGCTTACGATTATTGCAAAATTGCCGTGGAGCTTGAAATGCTCGCAACACTCGGGGAATCTGCCTGTTCGTACACCATGCCGTCTCCGTGTGCCTTTCGAAATATTTATTCGTTCCTTGCCTGTATATACAGTATAAATGGACTCGGAAGAGGTATGATTATTGCCTGGGGAGGGAGGTGGGCACCGGTGGGCACCCCGGGCACAATTTATTGACGCGTGAATGCGGCATGCGCACTTTACCCACCTTGGCGCGTTCCTGGCGTTTCGCGGCGCCTTCGAGATGTGCAGGCTGCGCAGTCACTGCAACCTGTAACATGTACAGCCATGGAGGGGAATTGTCAATGAATGCTCTGCCTCAGCATATACCATTGAATCTCTTCTTATGGCGCAAAGACCTTGAGAATTATTCGGCTGCTACACCAATTGCCCCGGGTATCATGACCTGAGGAACGCCCCCGATGCCGTCCCCTCCCCCCAGAAAACGACCCATTGCCGACTTCTTCAGACCCTACATCAAAAGCAATGTCCCAACCAAGCGCCCGTCTCCCTCGGGCCAAGAGCGCCAGCCACGACCAAAGAGTCCGGATCGAGATACGAGTTCTATAGCCACTCCGAGAGCCGTCAGGAGGTCGGCGGATCCGTCCGCACGAACTCCAACATCCTGTGCCTTTTCACCGTTGTCCGCTCCAGGCTCCAGAGCGTCTCTTCCCATCCGCAGCCCGCGTCCTCATACACCTTTAGACCCGCCCTCAACGTATAAGCAGCCGCCGCGATTTGGCCATGATGCTAGACCTGGACCATCGTCACCTACACTGGTAAAGCCATTGTCATTCACCGACCTGCCAAGCTCAACCCAGGCTGTTGTCGAGAATGGCAAGGTCATCGAGATCCGTGACTCGGACGATGAAGGCTCAGATTCTCTGGAATCGCTGGAGTCGTTGGAAGATATCCTGGGAAGAACAAAAGGCGGCCATGTGACTTCTATGTCGTCCTCCCCGGAGGGCGATGACGCGAAACTGGAGGCAGAGCGACTAAAGACGTTGAACTTGTTTACCAGAAGTCGTTCCACCCCGTCATTAAGCAAGGAGAAACTGCGAGCGCTAGCTGCCCGAGAGCGGGCAAGCCAGTTTGATATCTCTGGCATCCTCAACGAGCACTTCGATGATCAGGAGGTTGAACAAAAGATCAAAAGGTCTAGAGACGACTTCAATGAAGCTCTGAAGGCATCCGAGGCGGAGAAGAACACGAACCTAGACAAGAAACTACTGGCTGCGGTGGCAACCACAGAAGACGGAGAGGCCGGCGTGTCAAGGCTCATGGATGCTGTAGACCGCACGGAAGCTCTGACCTCCGACCGTGTCTTTCTGTTCTTCGGAGCCAATGGCTTGAATGACTGGCATGCCAGCCGTCCGCCAGGCCTCGATTTCCCTGAAGAGGCGATCCCACACCAGCTCTGGAGCCCACGGGACCACGAGGCCAGGTCAAGAGCCTTCCTGTCGGGATACATGACTGAGCTTGCTGCTAAAGGCCTTCTGTCTGATGAGGGGCTCAGGTGGATTTTCCAAAGCGTGGTTTTGGAACGACGGGATGACGTCCGGTCCGCATATATTCAGTGCCTTCGAGCCGCCAGCCCTGCATGGACGAGGAATAGCCTAACGCCTCAAAATGTGCACTCAATCTTCCAAACGCTGGGCGCAGATAGTGCAAATCTTCTGGAGGGCAGCTTGATCGAGCCCAGGCATCTCTTGCTCAGGGTGCCACCTAGACGAGATCCGAAATACCTACTGGCCGCCATGGAGATGTTCCAAGCCGTGAGCCAGGACATGGACTTCTTGACGTTAGGCAACCTGACTTCAACCGTTTGTCGACTCGCGACCGACTGTGAGCTGATGAGCGATGCGCGTGTGTGCAGTGCAGTCGAGAAGATGCTGGAGACGCTTCTTTCTTTGCCCGAGTTAAGCTCGCGCTCTCACGTGGCAGAGAGGATGATGGCCGACCTTGGGCACCATTTGAAAGATGACACTTTGCAGGCACACTTACTCGCTCATATACCTCAAACCTCCCCCTTGGCCTGCCGTGTGCGTATATTGCTTGCACAATCATTTCTTCTGGGCGTCGATGCACTTAACGACGGAAAGTCCCTGAAACCACAGATCTCCCTTGATGTTCTTGCGGAGCACATCTCGACGTCCCCGGCGTTCGACACCAGACGAAGAACGGGACCTAATGCTCTTGATTACGTCGCTTTGCGGGCTTTGACATACGTGTTAGACGTTGCGATATCTGAAGGCGGGCGTCCTGCAACTTTTGCTTCACACGCCGAAGAGGTCTCGTTCAACCGATCAGTCGACCGGTTGGCAGACAGTATTCGGTCCATATTTGTGTCAATCATCGACACCGGCGCTTCACACATGACCCGGACCGAGGCCAAAGATGTCCTTCAAGCCCTATATTGGCGCCTTCTATACGCTGTGCGAACCGAGGTGCGGCCCAAGAAGAACATCTTTGACAGCACGACTGGAAAAGCACGGGACGGCGACGAAGTTCGAACAGAGGAAAAGAGCAAAGACTTCATGAAACAGTTCCTGGCCCAAAGGATGGAGAGGGAGCAAGAAAAGGCCAACCGGAGTGAACCCACGGCTGTGTCACGAGGTGAGGCCCGTGTCAAAAGCTCAACTATTACCTCTTCGGAGGAGTCGTCGGCACCTTCGGAGACAGAAAGATTGATTCGCAAGCAACTAGATTTGAGCGAGTGAACGACATCGCCCACCTTATGCTTGACGCATCTCTCAAAGCGTGTATTGTTATCTGACAGGGGCATCTGTTACTATATTTTGACAAGCATGGCGTTCGGGCGGAGAACTGAAGGATTGACACTGTGGGATATCGCGGAACCAGAACACCTTGTACGCCAAGCGGTGTGAAGGAGTTTTGTACAGACTGGCAATGTAAGCCCAGACTTTGATGATTGTACTGATGAAATACGAATTGCCTCCTTATATCGGGGGTCTCCCCTGCTTCCCGGCCCTTCCTCTACCAAAGATCCGCCTTGCTGCTTCTGCTGTGAAGGGATGCAATAGACAAAGCTCCCACACTACTAAGTAGACACTACCATACACTTAACTCCATTGCATGTAATTGGGGGACTCTGTTCTGTTTAATCGTGGAATTTCCTGTTCTTGTTCTCGCCGAACAGCGTGGCTCTGAGGCTGGGAAGTGCTTCGGTCTCGCACATGCGCAATCTCTCCTCGAAGGTGTTGTTCAACTCAATCTTGCCGTTACCACCAATGACGAAGACTCCGCCGGCTCTGATGATCATCAAGATTAGAACGATTGTGTGGGATTACCCTGGTGACAACGATTTGAAACTTACGATTCTTCCGGCAGCCACTCATTCTCGTCCACCACAGCTTCAACATCGCTGCCCATCTTCTCCTTGTACTCGGCGGAAGCCTTCTTGGCGGCACGCTGGACCTTATCCTTGTCTGCCTTCCGGCACCGAATGGTGACCTTCTTCTCACATAAGAGGTACAAGCATTCGAGGATCAATCCTTTGAGAATGTCCTCGTAGTTCTTGCTCTTGGGTCCGGCTTCGGCCAGTTTTGCCCTGGCCTGCTCGAACAACTTATCCAGTAATTCCTGTCGGGCACTGAGGACCTTTATCCGAGTCTTGTTGGCCATTGTGGAGCGTGTGATTTGCTGGGACATGGAGGCCTGCTTGAACTTCTTCTCGTATTCGGCGTCAATGGCCGCGATCTCCTCGCGCACCAGTTTGGACTTTTCAATTGCAAACTCCTCATCGGCCTTGAGTTCGATCTCGCGGGCCTTCTCGAGCGCTTCTTGTCTGATGAACGCCGTCATCTTCTTGAGCTCGGAGGCGACCTGATCCGGTGGGACTTGTGTTAGTCGAGTACATCTGCCTGCGTTGGCTGCGGATCATGCATACCTGGTCGTCCGAGAGCGCGTGGGACGACATGTTGCCGGTGGTTGTTGATAACGCTGATCTCTGAAAACGGTACAAGCAGCCGGAGTTTTATAGACAGAAAAGAGAGCGACGAGCGACAATGGTCTCGTCGTGGGCGTGGATCGTTATTGGGAGATGCTCGGTTCAGGACTTCTGCCCAAGATTAGGTGTCGACGGGCGTAGCAGGAGGCTGCAGGGTTGTTGATGTTGCACAACACCGAACGAGGTCGACTATGTCTTCTGTCTTGTCGAAGGGGATTGTCTCGAGTCTGGTCCGAGATGCTGTGTATATCAAGTTGTGATACTGTAACTGCATGCGCAGTCAAGCTCCAGTGCAGTATGGGAGCGAGTGATACTCAGCGACTACGGGGCGGGAAACTGCTCCAACTGCAATCAATCAATGAAGTCACACCTCACATTCGTACAAGTCTGGCCAACTGCGTGCCACCATGTCCAAACACGTTCTGACAGCGTGACAGCCTTTAGTACTTAGCTACCAACAACTCACACCGCCCACGGCCAGTACAACACGCATCTTTCCTTTACTCTGCTTGCATTCCCTTTTTTATTCTACCGCTCCCGAAATGATTGCGGCATTTCGCTCGAGAGACCACCTTCATCTTTGAGAGCCCAACATGCTGCATTCGCTTCTGGAGCGCTTAGCATTCCGGGCGGACCACAGACATATCCCGACATCACTACATCATGGGCCGACTCGGTGACATTTCGCCTCAAGGCAGCATCGCTGTACGTCTGGCCAATATGCGCTGTTACGTCCCCGTCGCTGACATCTTAGGCAGATTGGAATCATCGTCGGCCTCCTCTCCACCTCGATCCAAAGCCTTGGCCTGACCCTGCAGCGAAAGTCACATATCATCGAAGATGCCAAACATCTCCCAGAGACACGGCGGCCGCCATATAAAAGGAGGAAATGGCAGCTAGGGATGTTTATGTTCCTGATATCAAACCTGGTCGGCAGCACCATTCAAATCACGACGCTACCCTTGCCAGTCCTCTCTACACTTCAGGCGTCAGGCCTCGTCTTCAATACCGCGTTTGCGACACTGTTACTTGGCGAGCCGTTCACTTACTTCTCGCTCGTGGGCACGATCTTGACTTGTTCCGGCGCAGCACTCATAGCCACGTTTGGGGCCATTGCAGAACCGGCGCATAATCTGCGGCAGTTGCTGGAACTCCTTCATCAACGAGATTTCATTATATGGATGGTGGCGACCATGGTCGTGGTCGTGGCTACGATTCTGTTCGCTCACGCCCTCAAGATCTGGTCGTCTCACAAACACCTCGCACAGACTCTCCCCAAATCCGAAAGGCCTCGATCCGTGTCGACTACTTCAGGACGTCCTCCTACGTTGAATCGCTCCTTCACCGCTCAACTACCCCAGCCAGTGAGGGTTAGGGTGAGTCGTATGCGATTGACACGAGGATTGTGCTACGCTTTGATATCTGGCATCCTATCCGCTCATTCTCTCCTGGTCGCAAAATCGGCGGTCGAGCTGCTTGTGCGCACAATTATCGACCATAAGAACCAGTTCGACCGCTTTCAATCTTGGCTTATCCTCCTTGCACTACTATTCTTTGCTTTGACACAGTTGTATTACCTACATCTCGGTCTTCGTCTTTGCAGCACCAGTGTACTATACCCCTTCGTTTTTTGCATTTATAACATCATAGCCATCGTGGACGGCTTGATCTACTTCCAGCAAGCCTCGAGGCTCAGTGCTCTCCATGCCGGTCTTGTGGCATTGGGCACGGCCATACTACTTTCCGGCGTTTTGGCATTGTCCTGGAGACTGGATGACACCACGCCCGAAGAATCAATCCACTCAGCGCTTCCGCCCCCGACGCCTCTAACGCCTGGCATGGGACTGGTACAGTCACCGACAGATGAAAGACCTCCATTACTTCCCTCAAACCGAACGCGGAGTTCCACATCTGCTTCCCGGCCTTCTGCAGACGAGGAAACCCCTCTCCTGGTGGAAGGGGCTCTCCCATCGACATTTTCCCTTCAAGCCCCACCGGGCAACAAGACAAGGCGGATTTGGGCAGAATTGGACGATGAGGAGCAACAGCATAACGATTACCTGGCGTCTTTGCCCTCGACACGGCCCGCTTTCATGACACGCGCTAGCCAATCCCATCACCGAGGCGAGTCCGTTTCCTCACAGGCTCTCACAACAAGCACCCGACCCAGTTCGTCAGGGTCACATGTTGACCGGAACGAAGATCAGAATGAGACTTCTGCTGGAACCGATCCAAATATTGGACAATCACACCGACGGCGCAGTGGTGCGGCCCTGTCTACGCTCGCGGCAGATGCCTTGGACGAGACAGCCTCTCGGTCCCAGCTGCAAACAAGGCCGAGAAGCACTTCTATACGGTTTGCTGAGCAGCAGGAGAGCCATCGTGACCGGGGAAGCCGACCTTCTCCGAAAAGAATAAGTCGCAGTCGCTTTGATCAGCCCACGAATGAAAGCGAAGGCTGATTTCGTTGTCAAGAGGATCTTGTTTTAGATCGACGCTGGGTAAGAGGTCCCGTTTCTGGGACGTAAATAGGGCGCAACTAGAGGATACGGTAGCGAGTGCAAGTGGTTGCTCAGTGCATCCAGCATAGAGTACACGAGCGGTAGATTTGGACCAATATAACACATCGTTATATGACCCACTCGAGACGAGCACAATGAACAGCGATCAGTTGCCATAATGAATGTACAATGTGTCAAGTCTGTACGAGTAATCTCCCATCCATCCATTCCTGCTTGCTACGTCCAAGGGCTGCCCAATCTCACCCATAGGGCCTTGCTGGATTTGACTCGTTGCACGTTCTCACAATCAACACACCGACTGGATGGACAGCCAAGCTGCAAAACCGGGCCTGCTGTCAAGCGTAAAGTCCGTAAGAGGAAAGTGAGACGCGAAGATTTGCCCAAGGACTATTCCAGGCCCTGGTTTCAAATGCCTGCAGTATCTCACACTGCTTTCTCCCGCAACATGGCCATACTGACCCAACCGCTCCAATATGGAAGAGTCTTCATGGCCATGGCCAAAGCATACATGAAGGCGGTAGAATCGAGATTGCACTCACATGTCGACAGCGGGGGGCATCGTTTGCCAAATACAGCTTTGCTCCGATGGCTAAAGTTTCTGGGCGCAAGCTATCCTGCATCCTCGCAATTGTAACCAGCGTTTGCATTTCTCTGCTGCGGAGAGGACGAAAGCTTTTCGTCTGGCGAGTGGTTCTGCCAAAGCCACCTGCGGTTGCCTGGGAAAAAGGATTGCAGTTGAGGGCCAGAGTATGTTTTCTCTCAAAAGATTCCCGGCGATGAGGGAGGACATATCGTATTGACCGAGTAAGCATAGCATAGCTTGCATGCCAGTTAGGGGATCGACTGTTGTCGAGGGGAAAAAGCGGGACAAGACCTGGTGTTGGAGACTCTGAAATGCGCCCCTTCCAGGACTTTCTGTTCTGTCGTCTTTATCCTTTGCGCACCGACACGGGACTCCCAGTCAAGCCAGTATTGTCAGTGACGGAACCGGTTTCAGTGCCGCTGATGCTGCCATCGCTCGACTCGTCCCAAATCTCACGCGACTCACGCTCGACCCTTCGCATGGCACCGGCCACCTCGTCGAGCTTGCTGACGACCTCGAGGACTCCACGGTTGACCTGCTGGAAATAGCGATCGTTGGCCTCACGCCGTTTGCGTGCGAGCTGGATATCTCTCTCGGTCTCCTCTTCGAGATTCTTGTTATTCGTAAAAGCGCTACGGTTGTTGTTGCTGCCACCATTGTTGGCTTTTCCAGGCTGCTGCTGAGGCCCTCCTTTCCGCCGGCCAGGTGTGGTTGTCGAACTAGTAGCACCGGCACCACCACCACCAGCAGTGGTAGTAGTATTAGTGGGTGTGGCGTCCAGCTGCTGACCGACCACTTCGGCCACATTGTCCCCGGAAGCGGCATTGGACTCTTGTTTCTCATGTAATTCGTCCGCCTCGGTCTTGGCCCAGGTCTGGGCCAGAGACAGCTGGGCAGCACGGAGGTCGTCAAGCGCTTTTGTGTGCGATGCCCCAAACACGTGCGACGTGTTCATGGCCGATACCTCGACGTCCGCCAGCGTCTTCTGCATCTCGGCCCACAGGCTCTCGGCGCGCTGGTCTTCGGGCTCGATGGCCGGCTGGCGCAGCGACGGGCCCGAGAACGATGACGCCGCGGGTACTCGCGCTGGAGGATGGATCCGTTGTGGACGCGGGTGCTCGACGTCCGACCCTGGTGCCCCAGGCACCCGGTCGCCAGGCAGCACGAGAGAGATGTGGGATGCATTCTTGGACGGCGGTCCTTGGAACAGCGCTGGCGGAGGAAGTCGATGTGCTGTCGTCCGGCTGGTGTTGAGTTTCGGCCGTTCGCGTTCGCGCTCCGATGGTGACGACTCCGATGCTGCTGCTGCCGCTGCCGCCCTTTCCCATTGACCAGGAGGCTTGGAGGCTGGCGTCGCCATCGCAGCATAAGCGATACCGTTTATGCCTCTGCTCTCCCTTTATACTGTCAGAGCCATCCCATGTGGTGTGCTAGAAGAGGGATAAGAGTCTGCAACAGACCACCGACACCTGCGCGCAATGATACTGCCGACTAGGCAGGTAGTACTGTAGGAATAGTACAGCAGATTCAAGTTGGGGGAGACGTTCAAGTTGCGCAAGTCACAAGCGAAGTGCAGTGTTACCAGTATAGTACTAGTACCGAACGATTATAGCCTAGGGTAGCCTTGTTAGCCCGCCTCGGCCTCCCTAGCCTCTTCAGCCGCTGCATTCCAGCCTTGCAACCCTTGAACTCCAACGGCTGTAGGTGCCCATACGCCAATTCACGCTTCTTTGTTCCTCATAATCTGTACGTTCCCAACCTACAAAAGCGTCCTAGATCGACTGTGGCTCAAAGACCAGGAGTCAAGTTCTCGCATTTCTCAAGGTTGGCTACACTATCCTCTGTTGGACCACAAGTAGCAACCTCAGTCAGCCGCCCGAGAGGTGGCAGGGGACTTGAGGTGGATGATGAATCCTTACTACGATCCGCGCCATGCCTCGCATTCCAAGATGGGAACCATTGCCATTTCGATGCTCGGTCCCTTCTTCGCCTCTCTGAGCTATAACTTCGCCAAGACTCCCAGTGTGCCGCTTTGTCCGTTTCCCAGAACATCACGTTCCATCTTCGACACGGCGACACCTGTCGAGCAGAAGAGCCATCGTGTGTGAATGGCCTCTGCTTTGCAATTTGCCACTAGCTATGAAAAAGAGAGCACAATGGTGGTTCATACCAAGTCCAGCCCCTATTCCGTCCAATAGGATTTATACAGAACGCCTTGGGGGTGAGGAAATCTCGATAACAGCATTCAGTCCTTTTCCAGTCCTCCAGATCATCTATCAGAAGACGGCCTGAATCTGCCATTCCCTTCAACTCGACCCGTCTCAACAATTCCCAGCATTCGTGCGTTGGTCGACAACATTGTGGGACGGGATTGACGAGCGTTGTACTTTCAGCAACCGTTGTAGTTACGGGAACCGTAATGGTGGTCATTCCTCTGGGTATTCTGGGAGCCTTTGTGGTCATGTTTGTATGCTAGTCATCGTTAGTTGGATATAACCCGTTCGCTATAACTTTGGGACATACCTCGGACGTCAAGTTGTCGGCATCCCCAAACATCTTCACCACGAGCGACACTGCATCAAGGGTAGCCATCCGCTTATTTACGACGACCATGCCATCATAATTGCCTGTCGCCCATTCCCAGTTTGATTGGCATTGGAGGCCGTACTTGCAGTCGAGCTTGGGATGCGAATACTCGTCACACAAATTGGCATCCTTGGCCGAGATCTGGTTGAAAAAAGCACAAAAGGCCAGGATCACGCTCAACCAGTAGGTTGCCATCTTCTCTTTCACCGCCGCTGAAGCTGGTTGTGAACGTAGAAAAACTTGCTGTGGTGAATAAAGCACGATAAAGGGCAGTGGCGAGCAAGGGTTTGGTGATACCTGAGTTAGCAAGACAACGATTTGCAACAGTATTGCGACAAAGCGTGCATGGCGCTCCTTATATAGATGATGTGGTCACTCTTTGCTCTGGTGACAGACTCCAGAATGGTCCTATGCTTTGATGAGCCAGGGTGCTTCACTTGGTCTGGTTCCCGAATGTGTCCTTGGCTTGGAGATCTGCTGATTTGAGTTGGGCAGAACAATCCTGTCAGGATAAGATTTGCGTGAAGGAAAGGCGCGTGTTCCATCTAAGGACCGCACACCAGTCAGAGTCCGAGGCTGGAGCTGGGACTAAAGTGAACCGATGTGTATTGTCAACAGGCTCAGAGGCTCGCACATTCAAACTCTGGCCATCCAGAATTTGCTGTATGCCTTTGCCCGCTTGCCTTTGCTGGATCACCACTAAGGTTCCACTGACAAACATGACAGCCGCGGAAGTTCAGAGCATAAGGACCAGGTTGGGTAGTTCGTGGAAATGATCACGATGACAAGGAGGCACGTCACACAGGCTCGTCAATGTGATGCTCCATGAACACCTAGCGACGGCGGCGAGCTCGAACTGCGGTCCACGCTGGTACCAATGTAGCAATCGAGGTTGGGCATTCTTCCATCTCGACATCCCAGGAAAAGCAGTTCAACTGAGAGCGTCCGTGGAGATCGCCAGAGACACTGTCAGGCGGAGGGATCATCATACAAGTTCCAGTTGCGAGGGAGTTCTGCCGAAACTGCCTGAGGGCCTAGCAAACGCAGTCTGGACCGGTCGAAAGGTGCCCCCGAATCCTGACGCGTCGTTGTGAACTCTTGCACCCACCTATAGCTGGAAGGCATACCGGCCGATGTAAGAGGATCTTATCTCGCAAATTTGCGGACAGGATATCATCGGCACCAAAGCTACTTAAGCTTCCCACCAAGTTCATTAGTACTAACCTTGCCTGACACGTACCAACATGAAGTGGCGTTCGTCGATCTCAAGACATCACCAGACAAGGAGAGATGCCATTCCAACGTTGAGTTTAAGATCTGCAGGCTCGCCAATTTTGGCCTCGAGCATATACCACGAACCGGAACGAGTACTTGCGCGTATCCGCGATTACATAACCGCAAGATTCGGCGAGCGCAATAGAGCCTGCATCAAGGCACTCATAGGCTAGCATGAAGTGCTGGTAGGCAGGTAGATACAAGTGTACCTAGGTACAATTTGAACGGTTGTCAGGTGTTTCGTTCCGGTTGGAAGAAAGTTGATAGGTACCTACAACGTAAAGGTTCCCAGGGTGATAACTTGCACTTCCAGTGGAGGCACTTTGGTGTCACGTGAGTGGGACTTGCACCGCACAAAGCGGCGCCATGATTGAGCCAAACACGAATGTCACGGGACCAGCTTTTGCCTCCAACACTCTTGGCAGCCACACTGAGAGTTTGCGAATCCATCTCATCTCCCACTCGGCCTGCGCAAATTATCGACAACGACCTTCAACCCGGCGTCAACCCTTTCCTTCGACCCTTTCCTTCATTCCAGCATCTGCTTGTCACAGTAGCCAGTACGTACCGCACCTCTCCCATCGAGTCCATCTTCTCTGTCACAGAACAATTCGAGTTTCTCGTGGTTTCACGCGAGGGCGGTTCGTTGTCGTTGGCGGCGCACTGCACGAATTTGCCCACTCGCCCACCAGGAACATATCACAAGCTCTTGTTTGACTCAAATTCTGACTCTCTACTTCTTCTCCAGAAATGACGAACAGAGGCAAGCCCCGCGGTTTGAACGCCGCCCGCAAGCTCGTCGCCGCCCGAAAGGAAGGTCGTTGGGCCGATTTGCACTACAAGAAGCGTCTCCTCGGAACCGCCTACAAGTCGTCGCCATTCGGTGGCTCCTCCCACGCCAAGGGAATCGTGCTTGAGAAAGTCGGTGTCGAGGCCAAACAACCCAACTCCGCCATCCGAAAATGTGTCAGAGTGCAATTGATCAAGAACGGAAAGAAGGTCACTGCTTTCGGTATGTTCTGGACCCTAAAAAAAAGATGAACCTTTTCAGAGCATCAATGCTGGAATGTGCTACGTCGCCAGACCTCTTCAGGCCTGTTCTCTTGAAGAAGAATAAAAAGGCATTTACTGACAAATTTCTTTCTGGTAGTCCCCAACGACGGTTGCTTGAACTTTGTGGACGAGAACGACGAAGTCCTCCTTGCTGGTTTCGGTCGTAAGGGCAAGGCCAAGGGTGATATTCCCGGTGTGCGATTCAAGGTCGTCAAGGTCTCCGGTGTCGGTTTGACTGCTTTGTGGAAGGAGAAGAAGGAGAAGCCCAGATCATAGATGGTCTATGAGTGGATCATGGTACGGGAGCAGAACAAGGGATGTGGACATGGGGATTACCCATGATTGGGTTCTCCATCACCGTGCATCGGACAAAGCAGGCCGCAACATAGCGGACAAAACCGAAGCATCTCGAGATGGATGACAAGGTTACGGCCACGGCCACGGCCATATTTCAAGTGCTGAAAGGGTGGCCATGGTTCGCCCTCCGAACCTTGGCTGTTTGATAGACCCTTGATGTCAGCAAGACTATGAATAAACACATGAAACAGCAACCGAGGTTTGCTAACAAGCTTCTTTGAGTTCACTGTTCAGCCCGAATAATGCGTTGCAACTATTGGTTCCATCCACGCCTGACTGAGGTCCTGCCGTGGTCAAGACTATCAAAGCTGAAGCAGGAAGTTTCCCATCCTTAGGCCAGCGCAGGTACGGTGGTGAATTCTTATTGCTCAATCTCTCAGCAAACGTGTACTTTTGATCCCATGCCCTGATGAAAACTACTCAATTATAGATGCAAAAAGGAAGCCTTGATCGGACACACATACTGGGCGGTCGGTGCTCGACAATATGGCAAGCTGGCCCGGAATACTCCCGCATAACCTCAGTGCATTACATCCATAGCATCCCGCTTTGAGTCTCCAGAGCCCGTGGCCTCATTGCTCTTTCTACCTCGACCCATTGGGGGTGTCTTAAGCTCGATGGTTTCATCTCCGAAGTTGCTGACGGGGCTTCTAGCTTCATCATCCTCACTGCCTTCGGGACTGGGTGCTTGACTATCCCGGAGCGCTCGCCTGCCACGCATCATCTGGGCCAAAGGTCAGTATAAGTGCTGCATATTCGGCATGGCATGGATTACTACTCACCCATGACTTGACTCCTCCGATCAACCCCAAGCTGTAGCCAGCTGCAAAGTCTTCACTTCGGCTGAATCGCCCAGGAGACTCACTCCGCTTCTCGGCGCTGCCGGGAACCTCCAGGTGTTTCAGATGGTCGACAGCACTAGCGGCGCTTGGGCTCCTAAGGCCATCACTGAGCTGTCTATTAAACGGAGCTGGGCTTGCTGGTCTTGAGCTGGCGTTCTGCCAAAACTGTCGGAGATCGCGTCCAATCTCTCCGCCAGCGGTGCTCCAATTCGTCTTGATGCTGTCTCTGAGTTCTTGCACGTGCCTTTTGATGTCCAGCTCATTCTTCTTGAGCCAGCTGACATTTAGCTCTTGGCGGCTGGTTCCTCGCTTCAGTTGGCGGGCAATATATTTTTCGTAGTCGCGGACGATCTTGGTGATGATTCCTGTTGTGGAAACTCCTTCTGTCCTCTGCGTCACAAGAAATTTGCCGGCCTTCTTGATGGGAGCATAAATGTCGTCTCCTTCGTCTGCACCATAGGGTTCATCGTCGTGGGCCACATAGTCGATCTGATGTTTCTCGAGGAACTCGGCTGTGACAATCCACGGGCAGTTTGGGAGGACTTCGTCCACCCACCTGCAATGACGGACAGTTTCTGCTCTTTCTGCCCCAGTGAGCACCGTCAGGCCTTTCCGTTTGTGGGTTTCTGCGTCGCCCGTGACTCCGACAATAAGGTAAGTGTTGGGAAATGCCGTTTTGGCTTGTTCCAGTTGGCGCATGTGTCTTCTGCACGTTAGACCTGCTCGGGCAACTGAGAGGATAGGTATAGATTAACTCACCCAAGGTGGAATAAGTCGAATACACCGTCAGCATAAACCCGGACGGGTCTCCCGATAGGTGGAGGGTTGGTCTTGTAGCCTCCTACGGGGTCCCTCAGGCCGGCCTTCGGCGGCTCTGGCATAGTATCACCTCCAATAACACGGGCCTTCGTCACCGAGCTCGGGATACTCATGTGCTGTTTCGTGGTGTCCTCCTCGACCCCTTGTTCTTCCTCGTGTCCCTCGCCATTGGTTCCCGTGGCTTTTGCTCCTGATCGAGTACGGGCCCGCTTGTTAGGCGGCACGTTGTTGTCGACCGAGTTGCTAGAAGTATGTTTGCGTGTTCGAGTGCCGTGAGAGGCGGAGGGCGACTCGGCGAGCTCTTCGCCAGATGCATCCCGGGAGGAGGGCTGCTGTAGTTGGGCCGCTGCAGATTGGAGCTGTTCTGAAGCGGTTGTCCGCTTTCGTTTTGCCGAGCTCGAAGACGATGGAGAGGACATTGTGGAATTGGTGAGACTTCACACCACCCGTGAACTGCTACTCAAAACTCTACGATGGATATAGGGGCGGCCGGTGGGAGTGAGCAGTCAGCTACTACTAGTACACAGTAGCATCAGAGGAGGACTCGGAGCGGACAACAAGCGAGTCTAACGCTGCCAAGCTTTAGCAAACGCCAAAAGTGAACCTGGATTCTACGCTGGTGGAAAACAGGTTGTTCTGCCAGCAATGATGCCGTGACGCTGGCATCCAATATTACAATGTGCTGTGTCCTCCAGGTTTTCCTTGCTCGTTCGTGCTGCTTTGATGGAAGTTGGACTTCGAGTTGGTGACGGAGCTGCAGCTCTACGTCATGCTGTGGCGTCAACCTGGCAGGCACCATCCACACGTTGGCAGTTCCTTCAGCACATTGCCAGTGTACGTGGTAATACCCGGTATGGTACGATGTGCGCTGCAAATCGTCGTGATGTACTAGTAGTGGTACACAGCATCACTGATGTGCTACTAGTAGTGATCTTAATGTTCAGAGTATCACTTGCACTGTGTTCGCGCCGCTGAATATCATGCACAGACTCATCATAGCCCACTACTGCCTGCCTGTGCAAAAGCAAAAGACACAGCTCTCTCAATCCTCGACAGTGGATGCCATGGTGCTATGCCGTTGGAAGAAGGCTCCTGGAGACGCGCCTCTGCCGCACTCCTGCATGTGGTACACAAAAGAAAAACAAGCACATCGCCTTGCCTAACCCCAATTCTCTGCTGTCGCTCGACAGAATAGAAACATGGCCACGTGAGGCGGCCCGATCACCCATCTTCGACTTGCTTCTAGATGACATGCGTGCTATGACAACGTCAATCAAGAATCTCTGAAGGGCCTTGGGTCATCTTGAGTCGTGGAAATCTTCGATCCGTCCCAGTCGCGTCGCGTACCTCATCTCTTATGCTAAACGGCTGTATGGGCCGGTGTCTCGTCCGCCACCGCTTTGATCTCTACGTCTTGTCCATGCGAAGTGTCCTGTTGATCCTGTCCTTTCGACTCCTCGTTTGCTGGTTGCGGAGCAGGGGTACCTTCACGCTCACTTCGAGCCGACTCGACGTCTGAGGTATCGGGAGTGCTTTTCTTTACTTGGTTGGCCGTGTCCTTGTCTTCTTCGCTCTGGTCGAACATCTCCGCGTCGTCAGAGTCTGTCAAAACTTCAGTACCGTCCCCAAGTAGAATGATACGGCCGCCCCGCCCACCGAAACCTCTCGATCTATGATCGAGGTCGAGCTCATAATCGTCGGGGCTATCATGGTCGAATTGGTGTCGTACCCCCGGGCCACGGAATTCAGCTGTAAGTGGTCAGAACAGACTTGGCCTTAAAAGGACGGAGGTCGGACTTGCCATACTCTGGTGGTGCACATGGGCCGTCGCCTTCTGCCACACGTTTACCGACCATCTCGTACCATTCTTCCTTCGTCTTGCCATTCAGCAGGCCAATAATGATCATGGTCATGTTGTCACAGCCGACGCCGCCGGTTTCACTGTTGGAAGCGAGACAGTTGTCCATCATGTTCTCGCAGATCAAGTGCAACTCTTGCTTGGCAGCAATTCCTCTTCGAACGAATTCCACCACTGCTTGCGAGGACTGACAATCCCAGATACCTGCTAAAATTAGTGTACGGTCCTGTTAAGCGATTGATAGGAGGCGTTACCGTCACAAGCTATGACTAGAAACTCGTCGTCTTCCGAGATCTCGTGGGTGATCACATCAGGGAACGCTGTAACAATCTGCTGCTCCGGGGACAGATCGGCGCTCTTCTTGAACTCGAAGTCGCCAATAGCACGCGACAAGGCTAGATTGCCGTTGACTCGACCGAAGTCGACAAAGCCACCAGCAGCGCTTATCCGAGCCTTTTCCCCTGCATTATCGTATTAGACAAAGTGACTTGTGTCCGGATCGTGAAATACGGTACCTTCGTTCTGCGGTTTGTGGTCGAATGAAAGAGGCTTGGCTCGTCCTTTGACACCAAGCACAGTACGGGAGTCTCCAGCATTGGCCTGTGTGACGCGTCAGTTTATTTTTGGTGGAAGTGGCCAGACTTGTACTCACGACCCAGATCTTATCCTTGGAGATGATACCAACGGAGGCAGTACAACCGGAAACCTCATCTTCGTAACGGGAATCTGTAGCCTTTTAGTGTGGATCATAAGCATTGCGAACAAGCGGCTGCAAACCATTCAGAATTGCACGGTCTGTCGCAAGGAAGCCATCTTTCAGGGCCTGCTCAATGTCTCCTTTGGCAAATGCCTCTTGCTTCGCGATAATCTTGTGAACATTCTCCCCAGCAAATTGTGCCACCTTTTCTCCCCCATGTCCATCATAGACACCGAAGTAAGCTAATCTCTTGTCTGGTGCGGCCGGATGAGATGATTTGCCTTTTTCCTCAGGTTGAAGGTCGAGTACAGCGGCATGTGCGTCTTCCATGCTTATACGCCATCCTTGCATTGCCGAAAGTCCGTATATAACACAGTCATTTGCGCCATTATCGGATATCTAGAACAGAACCGTGATTGTTAGATACCGCGACACAGAATTTTGAATTGCATATCTGAGGGGCGGATGAGAAAGTGTATTGTATCTTTGAGGCTTTATCGCCACAGACCCTGCGATTACCAGCGAGCCTCGAGCGGCGCGTGTGAAATATGAAAATTGAGTGAGAGACGCACCTTTTCGACAACGGGCTCTGACAGAGTCTGACCCATGTTTACAGCTCTTTATCTTGAGAAGTGTCCGTGTGTGACGGTGTTCATACGCTCGTCGCGGGCAATATCATTAAGCTGTCAGAGGACAAGAGGTGAGCGGTGCAAAACCGGCGACAGGAGGGGTGCAGGGTTTTTAGGAGGGAATGAGAATGCACGGCTGGTGCATGCACAGGGTGATAATAGAGGTGATAATGAAGCGCGAAGGGGTGTTTATGACAGGAGAATCTTCAAGGTGTCGCGTGTGAGTGAGGATGAGAAATAGAGGTGGAAGAGGGTCATCGAGTGCAAGCGCAGGTTGTTGTTTGCTGAGAGCGGCCGGCGGACTGACTGACTGACTGCTCAGCGATAAATGACGAACAACTGAACGCCGCCCAAAGCAGCAGAACTCGACAATTCTCGCCCGGCCTGGCACAACACAAATTGCATTTCAGCCTCACTTGAACTGCAGTATATTATCACTTCGATGTCATATGATGTTCAAGTTACTACTACTCCTTCAACAGTGTTGTCCTCCAGTGTTCGAGTCGTCGGTTTCTAAAAAATCCTCATTCATAGACTACTACCAAATTACATGCCGTCCTTGCAATACGTCGATGATTGATGGCGTTCTCTTGCGCGCCTTGCAGTGTCCTTCCGCTCTAGATAAATCGAAAACTGCCCCCTTGACTGCTTTCCGTCCGCGAGAGATATGGCTCTCCCAGTCCACTCTGTCCTTGATCATCGAGTCTCTGTGGGTATAAAGACTGGTCAGATGTTGATGTACTGTCATCAGACTGCCATTCCGAGTCTTCATTCTCGTTATGTTCGCTGACCGGATGCTCGCGTTGCCATTGACCGCTGGAGGATGTGGTAGAGTCAAACTGTCTGCTGCTGGCGATGCTGGGCTTTTCTCTCAACCCTGGCATGTTTCTTATGGGAAAGTTCACAGGGCGTGTAACCCTGGAGCTGTTCCGCACAACTGGGCGGAATTCCGCCCACTTTGTCCTAAAATGCGCTTCATGGAAACAATTCTCGGCGTCGGTGATATCATCCGTTGCGCTGACTGAGAGGGTGGTTGGGGTGGCAGAATGTTCGCCCTTGTCAATCAGTGTTACCCGTGGCGGAGGTATTGCTCGCGAAGCACCTGCATTTGAAAAGCGTGCCACCCCTTCCAAACGGGCCCGCGCCCGTTCGGTGTACCATTCTTGACGACGTGTTTCAAATGATAGGAAAAAATCATGGACGCCAGGATCAGTCTGCATATATGTCGTGGCCACCGACGCCGTTATTCCCTGCCTTGACCTTTCCCTTCGCGGTGGGGGCAATGAGTCCAAACCGACAGTGTACCGCCGATGTTCGCTAGCCGAATTTGAAAGCCAGGAACCTCTCCATGAACTACCCTTCATATCAGCTTCTGAGCGTACGGAAATTCCGGCGCCATGCCCTGCGCCGCTCTTTCGCGTTGGTAGACCTGCTACTGGGTGCGGGACACTCTGCATGCCGGGCAGCAGCGAGGCTCTGTTGTGCACAACTTGGTTCAGAACGGCTGCAGACCCCAAGGAGGTTGATGCCTTCGGAAGGTTCTGAGCCGACTCTGCCCTGTCCGTATCTAGGCTGCGACTGCTTTGAGCTAGGAGGCTGTGGGCATCTTTGAATTGTTGCGAATCTTTCTGTAAGGAGGTCTCACCATCACCTGGTGCTGCATAGCCAGCCTCAGTCGTCTGCCCAACTTCCGAAAACCTCAACTTTGAATCTCGTAAGGAGCAATCTGACCAGGGCAGATCAATCTTTGGCGGGCCTGTGGGCGGCACGGGAATATCAGAGCCAGCGTACCCGCTGGTACTGGACGGCGTATTCGTCTGCCCGCTCTCTTGCTCTGGACTCCGTACACTGGATTTGACTGTGCTTAGGTCATCTGGGGTCGCACGGGCGTCCCTTGAGCGAGACCTCACCCTCCTCAGGCACACTACCAGGCATATTGCGCATATTACACCCAGAATAGAGAAAACGATGGCCAATAACATGGCTAAAACATGCCGGCTGGCTGTGCTCATGTTCTTCGCGCTTTTGAACGGGTCAGGACCCTGGCTTGTCTGGCTGGGATCAGAACCTGAGCCCGTAAGTCACCTGGATACCGTTGGAGAACTCTGTACGAAGATGTAAAGGAAAAATGCTCTTAATTTCAATGGCGCATGTCGAGCGCCACTGTGATATTCAGGTTGCTTGGGAGGAGGTCCAACGGCGGAACTTCCACTGGTATTCAAGTTGATGGCTCAATCCCTAGCCAGTCTGCAATTTTGCCCAAGTGCACCGACGGCTCAACAGACGAGAAAAAGGAACTTGTGCCTTGAACAGCCAGAATGCAGACCAATAGTTACCTGTCAAGGATAACAGGACGCAGCTTCATACCACCCTTATGATCTTCTCTGGGAAGGGAGGGGTAGGCTGGAAAGTCAAGAACGCTGCAAGGGGTAGTCACAAGAGAGAATGTGCCGCTCCGGCACCATCCATGTGGATTGTCAGGGCTGGAGAATACGGGACATTTTGATGCCATGTTTGCCTGGTGCATAGTAGTCCAGCACAGTCTCCTGAACCGCGAACTCATGCTTGGTATACAAGGCTCGTGCTCTGAAGTTCGTCTCATGCACCCATAGGTCGATTCCGCGGCACGACCAACAACGGGCACGGTCGATAATTATTTGCATCAATTGACTGCCCATCCCCTGGCGTCGGTAAGCTGGAGAGACACATATCTTGTGGAGAAGTAGGCGGTGATTCCATCTCACGCAGACGGCGTAGGCCACAACTTCTAGTCGCGATTTCTCAGATAGAACCCCGACAATCACGGACGTATTCTGTTTCGCGCAAATGGCGTCGTCGAATGGAAATACCTCGCTTGGTGCAAAATGTTTCTTCTCTATACTTCTCAGATCCGACAGGATATTTGGAACAGATGAGCGAGGAAATTTGCGAAGGTCTTGAAAGACCAGGGGACGAGCAGAACCCGCAGCTGCTGCAACGACCATTTGCTGCACTCGTGTCTTTCAATCAAGATAACTAGCCGCTGATTGCATGAGCGTAGCACCTTCAGGCCAAATAAATTGGAGCGGACGGAGAGGGAGTTGTCTGTGTTCTTGACATGCTTGGTTCCCATAAGATACCTGTACGTATGTAATGTGGTGGTCGCCTTGATTCGAACCCGGATTTACCGTCAAAGTTTCACTGTTGAACTTGAAGTCCGCGAGCGACATCGAGTCGCGTCGGGCTTGGCAGCGGAACTGCTCTGGGTTCGTCAACCTGAGGTACATTTTCCGAACCCAACATTCACCGACGCGTTCATTTGCTCTTTCCACTTTACTACCGCTTCGTGAGATGGTGGTTTGTCCGTTGTGCGACGAAGAATTATGCAGTGGCCTTTATGAGTAAAGTTAAGCGACCACCTTGTCATCTCACCAACCCAGAAAGTGGCCCTGCGGTGCAAGCTCCTATACCATGCCACCCACAGAATCGAAGCGTGAGAAAGCCAGAGAGGTGGTTGACATTCTCGAGGAAATCTCAGTCTTGCTGGTAGGACATCGTCTTATTAGTCAAGAGATCTCCAAGTGCTGATATAGTACACAGAATACTCAACTGGACAGGACACAATTGTCTCTCTGCGTGTCTCTCATCGAGAATGGTGTCAATCCCGAGGCTCTTGCAGTGAGTTGCCTGTCTGCGAGATGAAAGTCCCTGCTAACTGGGACGAGACCGCCATCAAAGAACTGAGACGGGAAACTCAACACCTACAGCAGAGATCTGGCGCGTCTGAATAGGGTCGGAAGGACCGTGCCTCGCCAACGTCCTCGCTTTTCAATGGGCATGCATAGCTACCCTTTAGCGAAGCGGTGAAAAAGTGCTTGGTAACATCATCACTACAGGATTGTTATGATAGCGCAAACGCGTTTCCTACAGCCGTTGGACATGTTCTGCATGAGGGACAAGGCCAAAAGCCCACTGCTCAGGGTGTCACTGCAAAGAGACAGTCACAGAATTCAGAGTATGTAGCGAGTCTCGGATATGATCCTCTATGAATGCTCCAACTGATCTCGTTTGCTCTGTTGTTGTCGCCAGAAAAAGAGCCATGCCTCAGTGTTTGTTGTTTGTGTTTCCTCTCAGATCACAGCAGGCCCCAGTCCTCCCTCCAGTGGGTACCTAGGTAACAATGTAGGCTAATTTGCCTTAGTCAGCTATTAGTTGCAGAACTCCTCCAACTCAAGCTGCAGGTTGTGCAGGATGCGTTCAAGTTGGGTTCAGTAGTAGGAAATGGAATGACGTAGTAGACTAGGCAACATTATTATGAAAGGGTCCTGGAACTTGGAAACCCTGAAATGAACCTGAAATACTACCAAGGTACGATCCGAAATGTGGCTGACACGCCAATGGACAAGACCCACCGCCAGCGCCGTTATAGAATCCTTGGTTCAACAACGCGTCTACTGGCCCAGAAACGCTGGAGGCTGGCCTTCAAAAAGCGCCCATGGCAGCGCTTACCACGGACGAATTGCTCGTAATTGCTCCGTTCAAAGTTGATCCAAACCATTGGTTGTGAAGGCTTACTACCAGCAATACTCTAGCAGCATACCTGCAAGAGGCAAGACACAGCTTCCAAGCCCTGTTCCCCTTGTCAAAGTGCCCAGTCAGGGACCGGAACTCAGATGCCCGTCCTCAAGCGCAACCTTCCAACCGCCCCCATTATGACCATAGAGACTCTACACCGGCGTATTCTGTCCATGTAGATCATCCAAGGTAGGTGGTAGCAGGGGAATGTTGATGCCTGTTTGTATTAATCTCCCCTTGACCGTCCACGCTGGCGACCGCGCTGCTTCTTCACAGCAAACAGCAAGTGGCATTCTTGTTGGCAGTACCTTGAGCGAAGATTTGGACCTTATCAACGAATTTATACACTTGCTGCAATTGATACCTGCGATATCTGTCATTTTTCATCTGTGCGGGCAGTATGCGGCTGTCATCCATCTTCACATTGGCTTGTGCGCTCGCCGCATTGGTACTCTCTCTTCTGTGTTTGTTCGCAGGTTCCGACAAATCTTTCTTGCAAAGTACAGATTTGTTGACGGTGAGAATACCATTATGGGATTCCTGTCTCCCGTTCTGTTTGCTAACATGAGGCAAGCTCAACATATCTCGAATCGGTCACACGAGTGTTTTCAACACTTCCGATGGCGACGGCGGTTTCTTCGACAACCTCGTCAATGACGTCGAGGGGGACCTCAACAGCCTCATAAGCGATGTAGGCTCCGATGTTGCTCAAGCGTTGAATCTGCCCGATTTCTTCAACGTCCATGTGCTGGACTTCTGCCAAGGCTCTTATGAGCCCAACGGCACGGTGCACCACGCTCGCAAGAACATCACGGAATGCTCGAATCGAACGGCTCTGTTCCACTTCGAACCCACCAAGACCATCCAAGAAAAGCTGCCCTCAGGCATCACGCTACAGGATATACATTGGTCACAAAAGATTGAGGACGCCGAGCATGCCCTGAAGATAGCCAGCATGGCAATGGTGGTGCTTTATATCATCGGCATTGTCTTTGCGGGCGTTGCTGTTCTGACGGCGATTTGGAGCATTTTGGCTGCTAGACGATTGCCGGCAATGATAAACTTCGTGATTGATATGGTGAGTATGAGAACAGCATTACGGTCGGTGAAACCACGACGCTGACTGGTGGTTGTCTTTCCAGCTGGCGTTCCTCGCCATTGGCATAGCCTCTGCCCTAGCCACGGCGATAATCGTTGAAGCTGTCGATAACATCAACAAATACGGCCGGGACATTGGCATAGCGGCATACAAAGGTTCGCGGTTCCTGGGAATGACTTGGGCAGCAGTGGCGGTTATGTTACTCGCGGCCATCTTTTCTGTCGCCCAAGTCTGCAGCGGTGGGAGCCGCAAGCGAGTCCGATAAGTTCCAGGGATAGCCTGTTTTGGTGGATAGGATTGCGCACCTGGGGTCTCCGTTGTCCTTGACAAGGTACCTGTGCGCCTCAAAGGGGCATGACGAGACTGACTTTCCACCCCAGGCCTGCCTAACTTTGTAGCCTATTGAATCTAGATAGCCCTTACCATAATCAAGCTTCCAAAACCGTTTTTGCCTCCAGGAGCGCACCTATATTAACTGCACGGCGTCCTCCTTGTTTCTGCTTTTCTTCTCTTTTCTGCAATGATGATAGCCACGATGTACTAATAATAAAGCATACCAGGCCGGAGGCCCCTGGGTCCGCCTCTCCCCATCCCCACATTCGAAGACCCCGATCATCATTTATTGGTGTGATCGTTCAAGTGGCGTTCCCCGTGACGGCTGTCGTTGGCAGTCGCCCTTTGCGGATAATTATGTTGGCGGAACCGTCGCCAAACCCGCAGCGGGTGACACAGATTGCATGTGTAATATTGAATAAATCAGCCCACTACAGTCACCTAGTGGTTGTTATATTTCGCTGCGTACCTTAGGTAGTATTTCTCGCAGTGAAGGCACTAAAATTATAGGAAATACGTAGCGAAATATAACAACCACTAGGTGGCAGTTAAGCCCGGACAGTCACTGCACCTGCGGCAGCATGACAGTGACACGCAGCCTCCCTAGCCTCCTTAGCCTCCTTAGCCCTGCCTGCGCATCCTCAAAGCACAGACAGTGACGCATGCGGGGTACAAGCTCCCGGACTTGCAGTGAAGCACCGCAAGCTTCCAAGCTACTGCAACTTGAACCGCACCTGCGCCTTGCTCCTCCACCTGCACCTGCAACTGGACTGCCAGCTGCATTCCAAACTCACATCCTGCGCGTCTTCCACGAACAACACTCTCCGATCACTCTCACTCTTCTTTGACCGCTCGATACTCTTCTTTGACCACCCTCAGTCTTCTCGACCGCTTCGCACTCTTCCTGACCACACTACCACTCATCAAGACCACTTCCTCTCAACCTAGTTCGTGGCCGCGCTTGTGCTGGCGAGTAAGCTCCGGTCCTCTCATTTGCATATCAGTACCGTCGCCTGATCCTGCCGATCATGTCTGGCACCGCTGTCCACTTTGGTGGTGGAAACATTGGTCGTGGTTTCATCGCCGAACTCTTACACGAGTCTGGATTTGAAGTCGTCTTCGTCGATGTTGTGGACGATCTCATTGATCGCATCAACAATGCCAAATCCTACAAGATCACCGAAGTCGGCGCAGATGGAGAGAAGAGCAAGGAGATTACCAACTTTCGTGCCATCAACTCCAAGTACAACATGGACGAAGTCATTAAGACCATTGCCGATGCTGACGTGGTCACCTGTGCTGTCGGTCCAAATGTCATGAAGTTCATCGCGAAGCCCATCGCCGACGGTATTGCAGCCAGAACCAAGCCAAAGCCACTTGCTGTCATTGCCTGTGAGAACATGATCAATGCCACTGATGCTCTGAAAGAGCTCATCACCGACCCAAAGAACATGAAGCCTGAGGTTCTCAAGGACCTGGACAAAAAGGCAGAGTTTGGCAATTCCGCTATTGACAGAATTGTCCCCACCCAACCTGCCGACGCAAATCTGGATGTTGTCATCGAAAGCTTTTATGAGTGGTGTGTAGAGACAACTGGTTTCAAGTCCGGCCATCCCGACATCAAGGGCATCCACTGGGTCGACGACCTCGAACCATACATTGAACGCAAGCTCTATACCGTCAACACCAGCCATGCCACTGCTGCCTACTTCGGCTACAACAAGGGCATCAAGACCATTCACGAAGCCATGGCCGATCCTGAAATCAGACAGGAAGTTCACGAGGCGTTGGAGGAGACTGCGCATCTGATCAGCGGCAAACACGACATCACTGAAGAACAACAACAGGAGTATGTCGACACCATCATCTCTCGTATCTCCAACCCTCATCTCGAAGATGTCTGCGTCCGTGTGGGCCGTGCACCCCTCCGCAAACTCAGCCGCAACGAACGCTTCATCGGTCCTGCCGCCCAATTGGCTGAACGTGGCTACGATGTCACTGCTCTGGTCCGCGGTGTCGAAATGGCTCTTCGTTTCCAGAATGTCGAAGGAGATGATGAGAGTGTGGAGCTGGCAAAGATTTTGAAGGAACTGTCAGCTGAAGATGCCACCAAGAAGATCACTGGTCTCGACCCAGATCATCCTTTGTACCCTAAGATTCTGGAGAAGGTCAAGCTGGTTCAGAGCGATACCAAGTGAATCTCCTAGCAAAATCTCCTATCACGACAAGGTACGACCGGGATGAAGACATGAACTCATGGGTTGTTTTGACGGGAGTGGAAACCAAGACAGAGGAGCTTGTAAGCATGGCTTCTGCTCTTTGATGCTGTCATGCTCGGTGGAGTTTGGCACACTCGGTGCCTTTGATTCTCCTGATGGGGTCAGAACTTAGCAATACCCATTAGGACCAAAAGAATTGCATGCTATTCAACATAACACATTATGATCTGTCCTTCAGTGCCGTGCAGTTTCTAACCTTTGTGGTCTTCAACTCATCGGTCATTAGCTGGAGACATTGTCACCACGCATACCTAGAGTATTACCCATTGTGCAACCGGCCAGGACAAGTGTACGAACTTGTGTTGTTATAGCTATTTGTCCGACGTACTGAACCCCATCTTCATTCACCTGGCTCATGGATGTAACTGTACGGCGTTACGGCGGAGTCGCGTATTGGGCTTCCGCTCCTCCAGATTCGGACCTCGTTGTATTGCCAGTAGAGAGGCCTGGTCATAAGGTGTTTAGGGGGAACCGTCGGGGACTTCTGTCTCGGCCCCGGATTTTACATTTTGACTCGTTTTGCAAGCAGGCAAACAAGGCCCCAAAGAGGAGAGTAGCACAATTCAAACAGCATCGACGTCTAGACTGACACCGCATTGCCCACCGCGATTGTTGTACCACCGATAGAAGGAGTAGGTAATGGCAGTGACAACTCGTGCCTTCCAAACCTGCCCGGCCGTTGACATACCTTCCCATCGATGAGCCACCACCACCTGCACGCAGGATACATCATATTTCTCTAGGGCAAAGCGCTGTTTCGCAGGCTCAGGCTGATGTTCTCCCTCTACCTCTTGGATTCGCCGCCAGTCCTTGCTTGTCTGAGAAACATCACTCGTTTCCTCCAAAGGAGCCATCACCATCATGTCCACAGCCCCAGACCTGTCAGCTCTTAAAGGCAAATCCGTACTGGTCACGGGTACGTAGAGCCCGTATTATCCCCCGATCTCCTTCTATGTCCAAGTCGGTTGATGCTGTGCCTGCTGACATGGTGCCCGATCCCGAGCTAGGCGGATCATCCGGCATAGGGCTGGCCATGACCAAGCGCTTCGCACACGCCGGGGCGTTCGTGACCATCGCAGACATAGCAACCGAGCAAGGCACATTGGCAGCATCAGACTTGACATCACAGGGATGCTCGGTGAACTTTGTGCGCTGCGACGTCAAGGACTTTGACTCGTGCGTTGCGGCATTCAACGCTGCGCTATGCTTCTCCCCGACCGGTAGCCTTGACGTCGTGGCCTTAATTGCTGGCGTGGCCGGCGAACCTGGAAGTCTGGTCGACCAAGTCATCCACGGACAGGCAGGCACCCGATCCGAGGGCTGCCAGGACAAAGATCCCGTTCGTCCAGCGCATTCGGGCATAGATGTGAATCTGACGGCAGTATATGAATGCACTTACCTTGCGCTATGGTATCTGAGTCTCAAGAAAGATGGCAAAGACAAGCAGGGCACTGAGCACTCGGAGGAGAAAATCGCCGGCACGAGTAAAACAAAAGAGGGAACAAAATCACTCATCCTAATCAGCTCCACGGTTGCATACACGGATGTTCCCTTGTTTTCGGACTATCAGACTTCCAAATGTGAGTTCTCTTCTTCGTTTTCTTAGTAGGCAATCAACTCGCCCGAAGACAAGATGGTCTGCCCCCGGGAAGGAGAGTCTATCATTCCCATGCTCACCGTGGTGAATGACCGGCTGACTCCCTTAGTCGGCGTCCGTGGCCTCTTCCGCGGCCTGCGCCACAGCACTCTCGAGCTCAATGTCCGCTTGAACACGCTCGCCCCATATTTCGTGCACACACCCCTTGTGACCAAATGTCTCCCTATACTCGCAGAAAAGGGCATCCTGGAAGGCAAGGGCATCACCTTCGTCAACATCGACCGCGTGGTCGACGCGGCTGTTCGCCTCGCGGTAGACGAGTCTCTGCATGGACGCTCCTTGGCCGTGGTTCCTGGGCCTCATGGCGTCATTGACCTCAAGGACGACGAGGATGGGATGTGGGCAGGCGAAGTCGTTAACGATATTCTCAAGACCAGGAGAGCCGCTGGAGACCTCATGTAGGATGAGCCGCAATAGAGGGGTGGCTACTAACTTCGACTCGGCTGTGTGCTTCAACAGAGCGCACGGGCAGCGGGGGAACAAAAACTGCGAAACTTGAGATATAAAAAAGTATTGCTTTTTCTAGACGCCAGGGATCTGTTCCACGAACAGGCTTATGCTTCCAGACTTGCATTTCGCCCACAGGTACGATAAATGCGTGGTGAGTACAAAGGGTCAAGGGGCTCAGCGCAGTAATGGTAGTGCTTTAATAAGTAGAATATATGAACCAAGATATTCCATCATACTCGTCGGGCAATTAGTAATGATACGGAGCACGAGTATCTCACCACAACCCGGGACCGACCTTTTAACTAAACATTATGATTGAAGCCTTACCGTCCATGCTGGCTGGAACTAAGGTAGACGAAGGACGGAAAACGATGTAAACCCTATGACCTACCTGGTAGGTATGCGTGTGGTCGTCTCATAACTTGCACTTTTGTCACTTTTATTTATTATACAGCACCGTGACAAAAGTCATCGTCACTCGACCTACTTTTGGTGGGAACCACATACAAAATAGTCGTAGCTTTAATGTACTATAACTTCTAATATTACTATAGTATAGTATAAATTTTATTCTTTATACTATAACTTTAGCTAATTTAGAATAACTTTCATATAGAAATTTCTTTAGTAGCTATCATAGTATACTACTTCTTTAGTAGTTTAACTTTTAAAACTAGGTCTCTACTTTTTCGTGTTTTTCCCATAGAAATTTCCGATTTTTCGCAAAAATACGAGAAAAAAAATATTATAACTAAGATATAGAGAGAAGAAGAGTAGCTATTAAGAAGTTTTATATATAAAAGTTATTCTAATATATATAAAGTTTTAAGTTTACTTTCTAAAACTTATATTACGTTACTAGATACGCTAGAATACGTTACTAAAAACTGCTGTTTTTGCGGTAAAAGTGGCGAGTGACGATGACTTTTGTCACCGTGCTGTACATACCCTCCATTCGGAACCTAGGCACCATAGTAATAAAAGGGACGGTAGTAAGTAGGTTTGTTAGGTAACTAGTTAGTAGGTACATTTAGGTAACTAAATCGAGGTAGTCGTCTGCAAAGTATAACTATAACTAATACTACTTACCTGAATGCAAGTTTTGTCAGTATCGGACCCGGTAGCTACTGTACAGTACGTCCACCATTGCTGCCAGGAACATATAGGCGGCTTCACAACCTGAAGCTCGAAGCACCTCTTGCCAGGAGCAAACCATCAGAAAAGCCGGGGAGATCGTGCACTTTCGCTGACCACAAGCAGTTTGTACTCGGGTGCAGTTATGCTTGGCTGGCAGCAACCAACCTGAAAGCCAAAGAAGAAAATGTTCAGGGAAAGCGGGCTGGCATCTCCAAAGAATCTTATCCTTGCAAAAGAAGGTCGCACGCATGTGTCCCAGACCAAGGTCTAGACTTTGAGCGCAATCGCAGTCGACTACTACGAGAACCAGGCTCATGTCAACACAAAGAAACAACGTCTTATTAATATCCCTCAAAACAAGTTGGAATAGAGACTGAAGTGCTCGTATGAATCTGGGTTTTTCCTTTCTGGCATTTTCATCGCCCTAGAGTATGATATGGTCATGGTTCCCACAGACTTTGTTCTTTCGTCTTCGTCTTCGTCTTTGCCCACTTTATCCCCCGCCCAGACGTCAAACAGGACGAACCACACAAAGAGCAGAAGAGCATAATGGATGCCACCCATGGTGACAACCGAAGCATCCCAGATCTGGTCATGCATTCAGTGCCACAGCAGGTGGAAAGTTAGAAATGCCGACCCTGAGCAGGAGTCGGGAGTTGAGTAGATGAAGGCCTGCAAGATTGCCACCAGACAGCACTTGCAAATCAAAAAGCCCGCCATCACCATTGGAATGTCGCAAGCTGCATTAGCGCTAACCTCCGCACTTCAAAGGGTATCATTATGTGGAGAGAGTTTCGTGTTCATTATGCGCGTTGATGCTGTGGCATTTGTGGCATGCCTGCATACTGCCCGCTCTGATTCTGCTGTTGCAGCTGTTGGTAGTACAAGGCTTGTTGTTGTTGTTCCTGGGTCATGTAACCACCATGAGCAGCAGGGCGAGGCATACCAGCAGCAGCTGGAGGCATCTGAGGGACGTCATCGGGAGAAGCGACATCATCACCGGCGTCAACACCATTTTCGTTGCCAGACGGTTCTGGGGCATTCAAGCACGCCTATTGATCGTTAGGATCCGACTCCGCCAGAGGAAAAGCGCACTTACCTGAATCAGGTTCTTGCCTTCTGCCTTGGTGACGAGAGGTTGAAGCTTGGGGGTGGTGAAGGTGTAGACCAGGCCGGTCTCGGAAACAACGAGAAGCAAGACTTGAGTTCCAGTAAGGACCGACAACTCGTATGCCTGCGACAAGGTCAGTCTAATGTGCGGCAATCTTTGTGGGATCAGAGACAACCGACCTTCTTCATAATACCAGCCTTTCTCTTAGAGAATGTGATGTGACGCCGGGACTTGTCTTGGATGAACTTGATCTCGATCTTTCTGCGCTCCCGCCCTCCCTTTTCATCATCGTCATCATCATCATCGCCCGCCATGGAGGCTCTTGGCCGCTTGGTTCCGCGTGAGTCGACACCATTGCCAGCCAGGTCGTCGCCAGGAGAAGGTTGGTCAATGCCAGTCGCGGAGGGATCGGTAATGTCCGCCATAATATATTATCGAGGATGACTCGAGTATGCAGATGTGTGCCTAAATAAGTAAGGCGTCAATAGACGGATGTGGAAGTAAGCGGACGAGATGGGTACCTTTTTTGGAAAATATTCAGGTTGGACCTAGGGGGCCAGGCGCGCTTCGTGACGAGGCCTACTATCGCAGTGACGGTCAGTGAATGGTCGGCCTACTGAAGCAGTGAATGACAACAGTATGCGACACGCCTGGTTTGCTCAAGGATGGAATTCACAGAGAGTCGACATTATTCGAGGTGGGACGCGTGAAGAGCAGGTCACAATCACATACGCGAAACGAGGGTAGTTGGGCGAGCGCACGCGCGCAGTCGCAGGGTGGATTGCGCAAAAGGAAATCCGGGGCTTGACAAATCGTCAATGGATCCAGATCAAGCTTTTGTGGATGAAAAGGATGTGCAACAGTCAGACTGCAATGGGATAGGAGTGGGTTTGGAAGACAGAGGAAGTAACCTCTTTCTGTATGGCCGGCTGGTGGGAGTGGAAGGTCGGGGGCAGAAGAAAGAGAAAAGGGTTTGGTGTTGTTTTGGGCCGGGGAAGAGGCAGAGGCGGACGGATGATTGAGAGGCCCGCACTGGCAGCCTTCGGCAAAACCCAGAGGCGAAGGGAAGGGAACGGCGGGAACAAAGCCAGTTTTCGTTAGTGCAGGTGATAGTGAAGGGCAGCAACTGGCAGCGGAGGACTCGGAGGGAGGCAGCCGGCGGTGATCCCTGAGTCAAAAATTATTGATTGGGGGCGCCCGTGGACGCCCCGTGCAGTGGGTTGCAATTGACTCGCAGGTGCCACCAGGGCAGTCTTTAGGTGGGAGGAGTGACCACGAGGGGCGATGCACGGGCTGACGACGCCTGGAGGGGTCGCCAAAAGGGGGCTGATTGTAGTGGCTGGGGGCCATCCTCAGCTGGGGCGCTGTGGCTCGGCCAGTCACAGCGAGCTCTGCCAGCACCATAGAACCAGCAACTCCACTGCATGATTCTTCAAAAGATGTGCCGCTAAACTTCCCCTCAGGCTTCTGGTGCGGTCGAACTGCCTCAATGCCAAGGAGTACTTCGACACTGCTGCGCGTCCGGAAAGTCCAGGTATCATGTCTCTTGGGAGTCGCGACCGAGATGGGCATGTCATATTCACGTGTTGCAACAGGCAAGTTGTTGGGTAATCGTCGAGTTCGATGAAAGAGGAAAGGGCACGACCAACAACAGACTTGAAATGATTGACTTGTGACACGACGTACCGTGAAGGGTCAGAAAGCAGGGTCCAGCAGGCAGGGTCGACTGGCAGACTGGAGACAGGCACAAGTTCCAGGGACCGTCCGCAAGGGGAAAGCCGTTGAGAGCGTAATAAGGGAATATGCGACCGGATGGATTTGGTAGATGTTGGTCGGAATTGTACTGCTGATGGTCGCACCGGGCGCTCGACTGATTGACGGAGAGAGGAACTGAATGTGGACGAGAGAGGAAAGGGAGTCGGAAAGGGCATAGCGGCAGCTGCCTGCCTTTTGTAGACTGAGGGCTCTGGGCAGCGAGTGGCAGCCACGGGGGCTTGCTGGCCCTGATTGGCTTGCGCTTTTCCTCAGCGGATCATCCTTTCCCCGACCGTCCGGAGACCCATCCAGCCTGCACACACCACTGGCCAGCCAGACACTAACGACGACGCCGGCGAAGGGCTAGATGCTTGGTCCCTCCAGTGGCATGTTTCTTGAACCACTGGCCATTGCGGCACCAACTTGAACGGGCCTCTAGTGCCTCCAATGCACTCTAAAAGAAGCCATCATCGAACTATCGCACACTACTGCGCACTTGGTGTCTGTCAATTCCGTCCGAGTCTTGCTGGACCCAATCCTCGACTCGTAATATGCATTGTACGGTACATTCGAGTCGCTGAACGCCTGAAACCCTCTGGAGTCGCGGCAAAGAAGCCCTGCAGTGTTTCTGCACAAAAATACCTACACATGGCTTCAACTCTGCTTATCGGAGAATTACAGGACCAGCGCTGCAAGATGACCAGGAACTTGAACCTTTCTTTGACTCTTCCGAAGATGATCCGCGGGCCAGCGTGGTTTTACTATGTACGTTGTAGAGCTACTCTGGTCTTGTTTGTCCCTAACACTGGTTCTGCCCCCTGTCGACGAGACATGCTCGTCCTCCCTCGCAAGCCGTTCGATAATGATGCTGCGAGGTCCTAGGCAAAAAAAGACCCTGTTTCTTAGTGCAGACCCATGGTTGCTAGTTGCGGCTTAGCAACGGGCCCTAAGCCTTCCGGCCAGAGTTCATCAACACTGCCAACCATGGACAAGCAATGTTGCACACGTCTCCACGACGCTCCACGTCTCTCCATCCTTAGATAACCGTAACAGACGGAGACTGGGGAAAGGACACATCCCATCTGGGAGGCCAGCTGGGATCAGATGGGATAGTCTTACGCGAAAAAGTCCATCCGGCTGGGAAGAATGTGACCCTCACCCCGCAAAACCTCCTCCGTAATACTGTAGGTAGGTCATGATTTGAAGCTGCCTGGTGCTGTGAGGCATGAGAGCTTCCACATGGACTAGGGGGGAATTTCTTTGCCTGCCCAATCCCAGCACTTGCCACGGCCGCTCTCTTGCAAGTTCAAGACAACGTCGAGCAGTCTCTCTGCGCTGAACTCTGGAGTGAACAGCTTTTCTTTGGGCGTGCTGCTCCAGAACTGCTCGCTCAGCCCCGTCCTGACGGTGCCAGGATGTAGGCCGATGCACATGGCATTTGCCGCGCACTTCATTTGCAGGTAGATATCGGTGGACTTGACGAACTGGTTGAGGCCAGCCTTGGAAGACCGGTAACTGTACCATCCACCGAGGCGATTGTCGCTTATTGATCCCACTCTGGCGCTCATCAGAGCCAGGACGGCCGGATCCGGCAGGTGACGGTGATGCTTCAACGTGCTCGACTTTGGCGGCAGAAATTGACAGAGATGTTTCACCAGCATCATGGGCGCCAATAAATTCAGCGTCAGGGTCTGCAGAGCCGTGTCATACTCGATCTTGTCTGGTGCCTTCTCCGGGACAAGCATCCCCGGGATGACGAGGCCCAGTCGTAGATGGGCATCCTTGTCCTTCTGCTTGTCGTTATATCGTCCTTTGCAGTATCTGGCCAATGTGGATATGGAATTTTCCGACAGGACATCACATTCTTGCACATCAAGCCGAGATGCTTGCCCTTCGCTCAGCTGCAGTCCCGAGACAAGTCTCTCTTTAGTACCGCCCACGTCGGATCGCGTGGTTGCAACAATGGGAATGCTGGGTGGCAGAGTCTTGAGGAGCTGACGAGTCAGCGCGAAACCGATACCTCTGGAAGACGGTGTCACTAGAGTCCAGGCCATTATGCTTGCTCCTGATAATTTGGACCGGTGTTCTTGATCGTTAAGCCCGTGTTTTCCTGTATCACATCGTTATTCTCGTCGTTCTGTCGAGCAGGCCTGCCCCGCCCTGATCAATGCGCATTGAACAGTGTCCAAAAACATGTGGTTTTGTCATGACATGGTAGACATGCACGTTCAACGAAGCAACGAGGTTAGGTTCACTGATAATTGTCCCTTAAGTACTACATACAGATCATAAGTTATAGCAGGACTGCAGGCACGATACTCTAACGCGCCCGAGCCAATGCACATCGCGCTAGGATCTCCGGGGATAGTGATGATGTCGACGATCATTTTATATAATTTCCGGCAGCGGCAGTGGTTCAAGTTCGGGGTTCTCCATGATCAGGTGTTCGGGTTCCTGGATAATTAACCCTTCCTCTTCCACCAGTACCATCAATCTGCTGGTTCAATACTAGTAATGAGTACTACTGGTGAGCCCGGATTAGTACCTGGTATTGCACTCGTGCTACATGTGGCTACAATACAACTTACAATGTAAATGGAAATCGTTCTCAATGAGCACATAGGCCTTGTGCCTTCAAATTGTATCATGTCACAATCTTAGCGCACAAGGTGTTCAAGCGTCCTGGTACAGGCCTTGATGACACGATTTCGCTCATTGTTTGCATTCATCTTGTATTGACGACCCGCTTGCTATGCTTCCTAACGACCAAACTTCCGAACCAATTTCTATAGTCATAGCAAATGACTCCATGCTAGAATGGAACCAAATCACGACTGATATGCTCAAAAGTGACTCTGTCTATATCGTCGACGGGAGTACATCTCTTTGGAATGCACTCTGTGATCTGAGCAATTCCCACCGTGGCTGATACATCAGCCAACAGCGGGGAGAAAATCCACAAAGTAAGGGGGGCATCTTCCAACACTTGCTTCCACGGCGTGTCGTTTAGATGGGTCCGAAGCCCCTCTTCTCATCGATCAGCCTGTATCGTTCCTTCTCTTTGCGGTCCTTGATCAAGCACAAGGCGGCCAATAGAAGCATCATGTCAACCGCGACAAAGCCAAAGAAGGTTGTGAAAACGATATCCAAGAATCTGTTGGCAAAGACACCGAGCGGGGCCATGCAAGGGCCGAGCCGTGCAGCGGTCGCGGCACTGGTGCAAGTCGCATCCTTGACGAAAAGCGCTGGATTGCTGTAGCCACAGCATTGAAACTTGGCTTGCAGCAGGGTAATTGTGGCCTCTGGTTGCGCATTCCAGATCGGAGCGAGGTTCTTGTGCATTTCTAAGGTGGAGAACCAGATGGCCAGTCCAATGCCGAGCGTCATGGTCGCGGCGATGATGACACCCCAGGCGTGGAGTTTGAGAAACATGCGGTTCGACTTGAGGAACATTGCGGGAATCGAGAGTAGAAATGTGATGAACATGACTACAGAGTTGGCCATGCTGGCTGTAGAGATAAAATGTCTGTTAGCTACAGCTCCATCGGAGGTAGACAAGAGGGGTTCAGAGAAGGGGACTTTACCTGTTAGTGGACAGTGATCGAGTAGCAAGTTGGATGCAATGTTGTCCACATTCGTGTTATTCTTCATGTTTGACTCTGTAAAGAGTGGGATGAATAGGTGTAGTCCGGCACAGCCGAGGAAGGCAATGTCGAAGGCAATGAAGACGAGGAGGATCTTGTTCGCCATCTTGGAGTTGACCGCGGGTCAAGCAGTACTCTGTGGTCGCAAGAATAAGAACAGATCGATTTTGCTTCTGTTGAGTTTACGATCCGCTTGCTGCGAATGTGTTCGAGATTGGGAATAGCGAGACCTGCTCGGGAAAGGTTGCGGTTGTGCGCCGGGCGCAAAAGAGTGAACGGTGAAATGCGGTTTTCAAGAAGAGAATTAGAGAGCGTTGAGTCAAAGGAGTGAGGAGGATGATGAGGATGAGAAGGAACGCAACAAATACGACGACCACGGCGACGACGACAGTATGCAAAACGCAGGCATTAGGAGGTCGAAACGGTGTCAGAAGGGCATTTTGATGCGTGGTTGGCGGTGTTGGAGCATTGACGCGACAAAAGGGGCCAGTTCCTGTTTGAGGTCGTTTCAGGTATACTCCACTGAGAGGGCCGTTCTGCTGCCATCGTTGATAACCTCACCTGACGGACTGAGTCTGGCCACTGCAGGAGTCGTGCTGCCATCGCCTGGTCCGTCAAAGACGGTTGACACCGTGTACTGTAGCTACATGGATAACAGGAGCTGGGGCATGTGGCCATGAGTTGCATAGATCTCTGCATTTGCGGGAGCGAGGTCGTGATGGGCGCAGGCGGAGAACGGGAATTGTGACACGGGAGGTCTGCTTAGTAAGTTTCTGAAATAGCCAGCCACGTGAATGTGTCATGTGATTAGAGAGGAATTACCTAGGTACTATTTCCGCCTTCCCTCATTGTAGCCATGCTGAAGTACCTGGTAGTACCGGTAGTAGAAATGAAAACGAAGTACATACAAAAGTACATCATTATACACGCTTGGTGTGTCTGTACCACATGTTGACGGAGAGTGGCGACCAACAAGAATTATGCTGCATACTTGAAGGGCACATCTTTCCACAACCTCCAAAGACGCCCTAGATCACAACAATTTCCCCCTCTTATTGTACATTATGTATAGTCATCCCACCAGTAGATGCTCTTCCCTCAATGCGTCAATGACAACTAGCACGTCCGGTTCCGTAAGAGCTCCAATGCCCAATGATCGCACAGGTGCTGCCAGTATGCAATAGCCAAGCCATCACCACAGGCAGAGCACATTGGCGGAGAGAGCGCTTTCGCCCTCCAAAAAATTCATGCAATCATCACTCATGATGTGGTAGGTCCTGGTCTTGGGCTCAACTGATCCCGCGCCCAATGGAGGACATGTCGGAACATGACAAGTCATCCATGCTAGGCTGGGTGCTGCGTAATCACGGCTACAGGCCAGCGCAGATGGTCTTGCCACCTCTCGGGTAGTAACTCCTTCACAGTTTCGAGCATATATCGAGCCCACCCAGTTATAAACCAAGTATCGGAATCATCGGATTCTGCCCAGTATATCAGAACGCAATAATGCGCGAGTATGATCATGGCCTCGGGTTGCTTCTCGCTCAACAGATCGAGAAACTTAGGTGAGAGGTTGAGCGGCCAAACGAAAGTGGCGAGAACGATGCCCTCGCTTCGTTGTTTGAGTAGCGATGCTTGTACGAAGGTGCTGAGCAGCGAGTGAATGGCCAGGTCGTATGCTTGAGCAATCTCATTGTCATGCTCAGGAGAACTGCATATCCGGAACAGTTTGGTGATCTGATCAGTATCAGGGAAAATATATGCTGCTGCCAGCTCGATATGTGCCATTTCGTCCAGCAATGGTTTCAGAAAGCTATTTCGGATAGTCTCCGAATGGAGGTTCAGCACCGTGTGTGCACCGCGGAGAAGGTAGAACCAGTGTAGCACATCAGTTGCGAGGTCTTTCGGGGTGTCCTTTGGAGTGTCCTTCGCACTGGACGCAAAGGTGAGGATGATAAGTAGGCAGGAGAATGCAAACATTGCGTGACAGTTAGTCTCATCCACATGCGCAAGTGTATCCTGGAACTCGGAGAGGCCGATGCTCTGGTGAGCCGTCCCGATAAGCTCATAGTCCGCCTTTTGTTCCGGGTGAACATAGGCCAGATGGAATGCTGCTACAGCCAGAATGCCACGCAAGAGGAAATGGTGCTTGAAACCTAGTTTCACGGCATGCACTTGCCACAGCGCGAGTGCTTCGGCGGTATGGGCATTTGCGAGGTCGGGGGCGACGACGCTCGTGAAGTGGTGCATTAATTTCAAATCGGTGATGTCGAGTTCTGTTGTTTTCTTGGTGCTGACCAAATCAGGCTGCTGGAAAGGGTCAATCGTGGCTTGCGACGGCGTCCTCCTACCGACGGACGCGGACTGACAAGACTGCTGCTGGCTGTCGACATTGTTGCTGGGCGATATGCTCGCGCCAGGAGAAAGCGAAAAATCACAAAAGATCTGCCGACGCTCGCAATTCGAGCATTTTGGGTGGACCTCGTCGCACTGTGGCGGTGTCAGCGAACAAAACAGAGCGCAATGCTCGCATTGGAGACCACTGACCTTGATACGCCGGACCTTGCACTGACTGCATCCGTTCTTCGACTTCGTATGGGAGCGCCGCTGGCCCTTGGGCGGCATCAGAATTGTGCCTTCTTCAAGAGATAGTCAAGATGACGGTTCATCACATTTGTCAAAGCCTCGTGACAGCCGATAAGAAATTGTTTCACTAGTACTGTCGTATGGTTTGGGGGAATGACAGGAAGAAAGGGATGGACGGCAGATTCAAGGTTAACGCCGGTAACGTGCCATTGAAGCTTTGATCAGATCAGATCAGATCAGACTCCCCAGAATTCGCGACGCGGTCGAGGCGATGGTAATGAAAATACCTAGGTAACAACAGGGATAGGAATAGGAATACTACTAGCAGTAGATGTGGTTATTACCTAAATATTCATAAATATTTGTGCCCACTGCGACGGCACATTGAACCCAAGGCTGCAGCCTGGCGAGGATTACCTAACTCCAAAGTGGCCACGTAGGTGGCTGCTACTACAAATGTTGTAACTCACTCAGCTGTGAGCGCTGCTCAGCCATTGGCACCGCAGGGAACTTGAACGGTATACATATCTACTAGATACCTTTCTGGTAGTAGACAAGTAATCCGCGTATCGGTAGTACAACTGGACCACAGCTTTGCGTCCGCATTCTCGGCTCGTGGAATACCCAAAGCAGGTAGTCATTCGAAACTTCAAATATGGATTTATATCAAGTGTTGATCTTATCGAGAAACAGCTATAATCAGCTCGCCCCATGTGGCCAGTCTCGCCTACTAAGTGGTAGATCACCAGTTCTTTGGTCTGCGTGCCTTGTTCTCGCGTTGCCTTTTCTCCTTCAACACACTTCTCCTCCTCAGCTTCCATGCTCGATTGTTGTCTCCGCGGTTTTGCCAAAACTTCTTCTCGAACTCGCTCTGCTTTCGAGACGGCGTCTCCATGAGATGTTTCTGGGCATCCAGAGCCGCAGCAGAAGCGGCATCATCGTCTGCGCCGTCCTCGTCCTCGTCCTCGTCCTCCTCCAGTTCCTCATCACCGGGCAAGCCAGAACTGCCATAGCTGTTGAACCGACTTGGGTAGGCCGTGTCCGGCGTGGGTGCTCCGCTCCGCAGACCTCTAAAGCGCATATCCTGTAAACTGAACGGCGTGCCCGGGATGCTAGCGCCTTCATCGACATCCTCCTCATTGCTCGCTTGAAAAAATGAGAAGGTGGTTGCAACTTCTAGAGATGGTTTCGCCACATCCTGGGAAGCGGGCTTGTTCGGCTTTTTGAACAGCGCTTCAAGAGGATGGACTTCAGCTGGGGCGGCGGGCTCCGGATCGCTTGCTACAACCGAAGGTACTTTGTCATCCTCCGCCGTGCTGACACTGGTAGAGTCGTCCGAATCGGAATCAGAAGAGGATCCAGAACTGCTTGTTTCATCCTCATCTTGGCCGCCGACTACTTCATCTTCTTCATCAGAGGACGAGGTAGAGGTGGAGGTGGAAGCAGCCGACGAGCTCCCGGAGGAGTGGGCGTTATCTTCATGAGTGCTGACCTGCCGCAGAAGCACCTCTCTCTTCATCTGAGCCCGCCCGCTTTCAGCTTCAACGACCTCGCCCGACTCATCAACCCAGCCGCGTCCCTCGACATATTCCAATTGCCTTTTAGCACCTGTAGTGCCATCCTGTCGGAGGAAGGACGGCTGTATTGTAGCATGCTCAAATTCGTGTACCACATGCTGCCCGGAACCTTTCTTAGCCTTCACCTTCTTCCCCGACTCGGCCTTGTTCGGAGGCAACTTCGTTCGAAATAGAAGTTCATTCTTGTCTGTGTACTTGGAAGTGGAGGACGAAACCCTCCCCTTGGTCTTTTTCCCTGCCTTGACAGGGTTGGCCTCTGTCCAGCCACGCTTGACTTTGCGATCTGAGGGCAGCTCGTGACCTGCGAGGACATTGCGGTCCTTCTTGGCTGGATTTGCGCTGATGGCAGATCTTCGTTTGGGCGGTTCCTCTGTTGGCGACTCTAGCCGCCTGCGTTTGTTCGGCCGCGCTTCATCGATTTTGATCTTCCTCCCCTTCAGGATAGCTCCATTCAGTTTCTTCTTGATTTTTTCTGCTTCCATCGTGGGCAGCTCGAGGTAGCCGTAGCTATTCTCCGGAAATGTTTGGATCGTGTGATACGACACACCAGAGACCTGATCGAGTAAACGCGGGCCGACCACTGCTTGGAGGAGATCAGGGGTGAAAGGAGTGATATGTAGTCGCATCGAGGCCGCCGTCATGGCCTGTCAACGTCTCGTCTTCTGGCAGTGGAAAAAAGGACGGTAACGAGCCAGTTGCGGCTGTTGTTTGTATCCTAAAACATGTAGACAACAATTAAACATACTGTAATGGACGATGCTTTTTTCATCTTAGGGACTTTTGGCTAGTGGTTCAGCCACGGAGGGGCGCCAAAATGCCAGTTCACCAGCGCCGGGTGCAGGGTTTCTGCTCTCTCCTCGGGCGACCAGCCACCGCGGGGCCCAAAAGGCTTAGGAGGCCGGCAACCGAAGCCATCTGAGCTTCTACACTTTTATAGCCTATAGCCTGTGTTGAAACCAGGCTATTAACAATTATTAAATAACATCCTCCTTGTACTATCCTAACCGCTTCACAGTATTCTTATTGCTTTTTGTCTGTTGGCGGGTTTGCTGTTCCATGTCCTTATCGGTCCCGTTCGGCTGCAATACCCTTGCATGGCCCTTCAGAGGGTGGTGATCGTTGCTCACGTACCCACATTATTACCCACAGACTACGTTGGGTAGTCACTGTACGCACAGGCACTGGAGAATAGCTTTCAAGTACACGACGTCGTTGCAGGGGAACTTTGGCGGACTTTCCCTCTAGGCTGTTGCCCTGGCTTGCCCAGTGCAGCCGATTGCGTAGGGAACCGGCTCGGTCTGAACTTCGTTTACATGGCTACTCCTACCACCATCACCACCACCACCACCACCATATGAATCTTCATCCACAAAATCATTTTACATCATCTAGCCTGTATTTCCTGGTGACTTGCCTGCGACGTCTCTAACCCCCTGTCCCTCTCTCAAATAGCCGATACTCCCGTGAAGTCCGGAGTGTGCCGTCGCTCCTCCACAATAGCATCGCTGCGACAACTCCCACAAACCAAAGAAGTCATTGTATCGACAAAACCGGCCCTCCTCGTTCTCCGAACCAGAAGGCAGTTGGAAAATGTGGCGATAATGTGCTGAACTAGCGCGGGTAAGCAGCAGGAGGTTATCCCAACATCCAGAGAGTCCCAAAATGGGCAACACGCAAACCAAAGAAGCACGTGGGCAGGGCTCCGCTGGCTTGAGAGCTGGCGGCAGCGCCAGCCCAGCTGCACGGCCAGATGCACAAGGCAGCAATTCGGAGCCATCCCTTCGGACCGTGTACTCCTCTCGTCAACAACGTAGAGGAAGTCGACCCGACTTCTCGTTCCTCGGCATTGGCAGCAACAGTGATCAAGATGCCTCAGCGCTCGAGGCCAGGCGAGAGACGAAGCAGGAGAGGGAGGCGAGGAAGGCAGAGAAAGAAAGAATAGCAAGGCTCAAAGAGCGCGAGCGTAGCATGAAGGAAGAACATGTCGACGGAGGTTACCTTGTGACTCAGGGCGTCTACGTTGGCGCGGAGGACTTCAACAAAGGCATCGTCCGTCAACTTATGGTGAGGCATCCTGCTGATTACGACCGCGACACCCGACTGACCTCTAGCTAGATTGAGCGCCGATTGGGCCCCTTTTGGAGGGGGCTGAATGACTACTCGGACTCATGGGCAGAACATCAACTTATGGCTGCCGCCAGAGGCATGCCGATTCCTCCCGCCGATGTCGTGCCTCCTGAGCTCGAATATCGGCTCACTAAGAGGACTACGAAAGAGAAGACCAAAGACTCGTCCTTGAAGAGTTCGACTATTCCCATCGGTCCCAGGTCGCAGTCATTTCAATCAGATAGTTCGGCACGCCTATCGCCCGCTCCTAACTCGCTGCCGCTTCCTTCACCCACTTTGGCTCCGCCTTCAGGTTCTCCAAACATCAGCAGCTTCAGGACCCGGGCTAAAACGTTAGCCTCCTTGACCACGTCGTCCAGAACGAATTCGCAGACCGACATGACGCCTCGAGAGTTTCAATTGCCCCCAGATCCCTTCGTCAACGGTCAGCCGATCGAGGTATATCTGTATAAGGATGCAATCGAATGCCCGATATGCTTTCTCTACTACCCTCCGTACCTCAACACCACTCGATGTTGTGAGCAGCCGATCTGTTCGGAATGTTTTGTTCAAATCAAACGCCCGGACCCACACCCTCCGGAACATGAGCAGCCCGACCCCAATGCTCCCCCTGTTTCCGACGCCGAGCGGGAAGCACAAGGGGAAGGACTTCTTGTCTCTGAAATTGCGACATGTCCGTATTGCAAGACCCCAGACTTTGGGATCACTTATACCCCTCCGCCTTTCCGAAGAGGGCTGACATACGGCACCGGGTCTCAACCATATCAGGTTATGTCGGCCATGTCCTCCCAAACCTCCATCTCCTCAGGAAACCTGTCTCCAGGGCCAGGCCGAAGGCGCGGGACATCTCTTTCTGCAAATGCCCCTGAAGTTATCACCACGGACAAGATCCGCCCGGATTGGGCGACGAAACTGGCAGCCGCTCGTGCTCACGCGGCGCGACGATCTGCCGCTGCTACTGCTTTGCACACTGCAGCATATCTGATGAATGGACAGGGCAATGAGTCTCGAGGCTTTTCGAGTTTCGGCCGACGCAATATGCTCAGACGAGCTACATTGGACAGCGCAGAGAACGGACCCAGCTCGCATTTGAACGCGCTAGCGGTGTTGGCCGAAAGGCAAGCTGCGCGGCACCAGGAGCAAACAAGTGCAGACTCGCGGAATCCATTCCTACCACCACCTCGTAATAGCAGTTCTCGCAGGAGCCGAATGGATGACCTGGAAGAGATGATGATGATGGAAGCCATTCGGCTGAGCCTGGCATCCGAAGAGGAACGGCGGAGGAAAGAGGAGAAGGAAGCACGCAAAGAAGCAAAGAAAAAAGAAAAAGAGAGTAAAAAAGCCGAAAAAGCCGCCCGGAAAAACAGTCTATTCACTCTGAATTCCAACGCTAGCAACGGTGACGGATCTAGCAGTCTGCTGGAGAGGTCTCGCAGTAACCTATCGCTAGGCCTCGAAGATGAACCCCCGGCCGGCAAGGGCAAGGCTGTGGAGCGGAGCGAAAGTCCCTCGTCACAACAACCTGGGACTGAAGAGGAGACGCCCCGGCCATCCTACGTTCCCGGTTTGTCACTCTCTGGTACCAGCCAGGAATCGGTTGCCTCTTCGATCCCGGTTCCTCTTGCAGCCGAACCGTTTCGCCGGTCGCATCTGCGACAGATGTCCACTGCCTCATCTGCGTCTTCGTCGTTCGTTGACTCTGGCCCAACGGACGGGTTCGCTGGTTCCGGAACCCCGCCTCCGGGAAGCCTTGAGCCTATGTTTAATTTCAGGAGTCTCGCTGCTATGATCGGTGAAGATGAGAAAGCTGAGAGCAGCACGCATGTAGAACATGTCGAAAGAAAGCAGTCAACCGCGGGGCCTCATAACGACCAGGAAGCGACACCCTCGGACATGCCGGGGGAGGTTGCAGAAGCCAGGAATTCGAGCCCCGAAGGAACGTTGGACTCCAGCTTAGGAAGGGATGAAGAAAGTGACATTGGACCGGAAAAGGGCAAGAGCATCTTGCCAATTGCCGAAGCTGTCGCTGATGTATAAAAGCGCAAAGATTGTTGGGCCAACTGCAAAACCAGTGACCGTGACCTGCTTGAGGCGAGAAATGGGCTCAGTCTGCGTCATGCCCGTTGGTCCCTTGGTGGCCGAGCAACAAACTCGCAACAAGATCATGGAGGTCGGTTCTGGCTTTCGTCGTGGCTGTAGGAGACTGATTTGGGACAATGTACATGCGAGTCTGGCGGTCTTTCCTGAATGGTGTCCCACCACGTTGGTGGAGGAGAGAGCATAGCTGCATGGAACAGCTTGGAGTCCCGGAGGAACTGAGTCCACATTATCAAGAATGAAATGACATGTCCAAGACAATTTCTGATATACATCATTAGAAACTTGAAGCACTGCTTGCTGTTTTGACATTGTAAGTGGTACTAGTAGGTGTGAGCGCTGCTTCAGGTTCAAGTCGGTCTGCACGTGAAAACGTACAACTATCGAGCGGTGATTGGTTCACCACGACGCGACATTTCATCTCCGGCCTGGCCCTGAACCAGAACTTGAACTTGAAGCGACCTGCAATTTGAAGTTCAGGTGATTGCTTGCTTTGCTCACTCACCACTATAGACTCAGCTGCTTTGATTTCGAGCCCGGATTCTTTGGAAGACGTGGTTGAGGCGCGCAGTCTTGAACCCTACACTCCCCACAAAGGCTGCGTCGAACCCTCGCTGTCACTTCCGTTGCCGCATGGACGAATTGTAGATCTGCGATCACCCGACAGCCTCGTGTCCACTTCGCCCACTCCGAACTACAACTGTTTGCTACAGCAAACTTGAACGCGGAAATGGCCTCGGACGCGCCTCTATCTGCCAGATCGTCTCTCGGAACGTCGAGCGTACAAGCCCAGAGCACCGTTTCTAGCACTCTTCCCACCTCCCTCCCGTCGGCCTCGAGAAGAACGTCGACCCAAATGCTGCCTCCGCCTCTTCCGCATAACAACAGTCTACCAAGCTCGCCGCGACCGACGCAGGCTACCATGACAGACAACGCGGGCGTAGGCCTTGGGCCAGGTGAGCGAAAGACGAGACAAAAACAAAAGAGTGTGTGACAAGAAACTGGAATGAATCCTGACCATATATCCGAATCCCAGGCCCAATTAGGCATCCGCGACCTCTGACTGCGGCGGAACTACACCTCGAGTTGGAAAAGGAGCAAGAGAGCATTGTGAGAGAGCTCCCCTCAAAGATCCAGTTGCAATAGCATAGTACCTAGCTGACAGGAGGACTGCAAGGTCAATCGCCTCACTCGCGAACTGTCGGCTTTGCGAGCCCAGACGGCGTCTGTGGCATCCACCACCTCTTCCACCTCTGAGAGCCACTTCTTCTCCGGCAACGACCCGTACTTGTCGACCACGGGCACATCCACGACAATCATCCCGACGGCAGCCCGGCGGCATCGATCGTCCTCGAACCTGTCGACTCGCTCCACCCGGTCCATCAGAGACACGTTGGCTAATGCCTCCAGCACCAGTGTGTCGGGAGTTGCTGCACCCCGCGACCAAAGCGTGCAGGCCAGCGCTCGTCCCAGTATCGAGCTCAGTCGCCCGGACGTCAGTCGGCAGAACTCGACATCGGCCTCGGGCTTCCGTGCTACTAGTGGCTCAATGACCTCGTCGCCGCACATGAGCCAGAGTGGTGGTGGTGGTTACGGCGGCTACTCGTACTCGCACCGTGGTTCGGTGTCGTCCAATGCCAATGCCCCTAACCTCTCCAATTCGGGTGGTGCTGGTGGTGCAGAACAACCACCATTGTCCTATTACTCGGTCCCTCGCAGCCCCAGTGTCGTTTCGAGTGCCAGGTTGGAAGAGGCCGCTCTTCAGCGTGCAGAGCTCGAGGCCGTCAAGCGAGAGAACGAGTTGCTGAAGGCCCGGGTCAAGGAGCTGGAGAAGAGCCTTCAGAAGGCGAACGCGAACGACACCACAACTGCTGGCTCTGTTCTGTCGCCGCCCACAGGCTCGTGACGTATTTGGGCTTGAACCTAGCGCGCTGTCTATTGCATGCGGGGGCCTAGTGTTCTACCGCTACCCGCAAGAAGCGCAACAGCAGCGGACGAACTACGATTAATGATGAACTAAGGAATGAATACAAAGATTGACGAGCGAAGTGATGACTACGTATGCAGGCCTCCGAGTTTGCCTGGGAGACAAAGGAATTGGAACGGAGAGACGCGCGCATGGTGTTGTATGGAGTCTGCTTTTCATAGAATTTCCTTTTTTCAGCCATGATTTTGCTCAAGAAAAGCCGGGGAGGATATGAAACACAATGATATGAACTTGGGTTGGGCTGTACCCTTTCAAATTTCTGTCTCTTCTTAAAAGGCGAGAGACCAGCACTCGGTCAAGCCGGCCTTACTCTAGTATCATCACGACGTGGCAGACGCTCTGGAGGCGGATATAGAAACCATCCAAGAACCCCTTTAGGACCCTGCAAACTATGACCGCCACGCCCATGACAACATCCCCATGTGATGCTTGTCCTCGCATGTCGCCCTTCCTGCTTTTCTCTGATGGCCTGTTCTGTTTCACTCCAGAACCGCCGGCGATTGAGAGAGCTTCCTCGTTTATGCTTCAAAACCCAGCCTTGCATGCTTTCTAGCGGCTCGTGAAGAGGGTATGTCATGTTAAATGACAAGCTCTCGTTGTTTGCGACGCAGCACAAATGCCATGTACGGCACCTAAGCAGTTCTCTGCTGTGCCAGCCATTGGTCATATGGCCAACCGAAACAAATGGCAAGGCCCGCAAATTAGCGGAGTGTCTGCACGGTGGCGGCAAGGATCGGAGTCATAGTTATCCGCTGTGCATGCCCGGGTATGAGGCGTTTTTATAGTCGCAGGGTGTCCGGCGATGCCGCAATATGGACTGAATGTTGATTGAAACTGGTCAGAACCATTGCCGGAAGGGCAGTTTGAGAAGACGATCGTGTTATGGCGGGGGAGTGCATTGATTCACAATAGCAACAGTCAGGGTGGGCCATTCATCACAATTCCAGCAATCGCTTTTCTCTAGTTGGTGTTTGGTCCTTGACCTTATCCTCCGCTGCAGTCAACGTTTTGTCGGTCTCACGGGCGACGGCATCTTTGACTTTCCCGGTTTCGTGGGCGATGGCATTCTTCACCAATTCCGCTTCACGCGCAACGGTATCCTTCACCTTCTCGGTCCCAGCAGTGACGGTATCTTTGACCCTCTGCTCCAACTCTCTGGCCTTGAACTCCAGCTCGTGGGCGGATTCGGAAGACTTGACTTTGCGCCATGCAGCGACCACTTGCTCCTCCAGCAGAGCACGCTTCTCGGCCCAATCCGTCTCCTGGAAGTTGTGGACCAGCTTTTCAATCTCGGTGTTCCAACGGTCCTTGAGCTCCTCGGCGAGTCCTGCTTTGCGAACTTCGTATGCTGGCGGGTCTGGTAGCTCGGGCGGAGGATCGACAGCCGAGTTGAGCAGTGTCGCTGACTGCGAGACTAACGTTCGCTGGACACTTCGGTTCGCGCGGTGGACGTAGAGCGAGTAATAGAGAATGGAATAGGTCAAGGTCAGACCGCCGAGCTATTTAGTACCGAAACGTGTTAGGTTCGGACCAGGACTATGCAAGGTGAAGTAGAGCAGGCAAAACGTACAAATCCCGTGGTGAAGCCCATCTTGGTCCGTCTGAGCTCAATGCTCCCGGACTCGTTTTCTCCAACCCACTTGGGATCGGGTAATGTCTTCCGCGATCACCGGGTATTTGTTGAATGATAAACGACGATAAGTAAAGTTAGGTAGAGGGATTGAGGACCTGTTCTTGTTGAGGATAAGCGAGCGTAGAAGAGACTTCGAATTGTAAGCTGTAAGGTGGGAGTTGGGATTGGAATTCAGGATAAATATCCGCCAGGCCGACGAGAGCTTCCGTGCAAAAAGACATGTTCAAGGCATGTTCTCACTGCAGCCCCAGGTCGTCACACTTCCGGCTCACTTGCCTGTTTTGGCGCATTAAGTCGCTACTTCGTTATACGCTGCTAGTAGTACACTCGTTCACACTCTTCATCAGATATACACAATAGAACGACCCGATATGTCTCGCATTCACGGTTGGTATTACTTTATATGACTAGAATCCACGTCTTGAAGGCGATGAGCATCGGATATCTAAAAGGAGTGCATTTTTATTGACTAGAAGCAACTATCGTCATCCCCTCCTTCATCTTGCCAACTAGCATACAGTTTTGAGCAGCAGACCAAGCTCACTTGGGCCAGCGCTGCATCATGACCCTGTCTCCCTTCTCCTTCACAGAGAGTCTCTTGTCATGGCTGGTCAAAAGCCCGGGTTTCTGGGATGGCGCTACTTTAAGCGCTGGCTGCGGTTTGTTCCATTGGCTTCTCCCAGTTGACAGCTCGGACCGATGCACGAGCTCGCTTCTTCACTTGGTTGCGACGCCAGGCGAGGAAGACAGCAGCAACAGCAATGGCGACACCAGCCACAACTCCGACAACGATGCCTGCGATAGCACCTCCAGAGAGATCCGAGGAAGACTTGTGCTCCTTCTCGGGTACAGCTGAGCTCGCAGATGCGGCTGATGCGCCAGATGCTGAAGTCGCAGTCGCGGTGGCAGCGTTGGGGGCAGCGCTGGTGCTGGAGGCAGAAGCATCGTCACCATCGTCATTGTCAGAGACGGTGTAGTCGTCAATGGTGGCGTTGAAGCAGGGGACCTGGTAAGTGAAAGCGCTGGTTGGGACATAAGTAATGTCTGCACAGGCATAGAAGGTTTGGTTCTGGTTGGTGTCGAAGTCCGAGATGTATTTGATTTGCACGGTTGCATTGGAGCCAGCCTCGACATCAGCGGGCGGGTTAGGAAGAGGATAACATTGATGTCCCTCATCCAGGGATGGAATCCTCGTTGAGGCAATCACTGTCTGGAAGTCATCGTTGGAAGTTGGGTCTAATCATTCTGTCAGTCCACAGCAAAGGATAGTTTGAGGAGAGTTAGCCCTACTGTTTTTGTATGAGACGGCAACTTGGATTCCGAAAGCTTCATCTTGTGCAACCAAGGCGATTTGGCCGTTCACTAGGAATTGTCAGCACACCACATCAAACCGTCCAGAGTCAAAGACATACGCAGTGGAAACTGAGTTCGGTTGTTCGGGGGAGACGCTGTTCCACAGGGCGCACTGTTGTCGTGATCTGCGTCCCAGATACGGTCGTCGGGCCACAGAAATGCAACTGGGCCCATGGTCTTTGCATAGTCCTCTCCATGTGCGGCGAGGACGCTGGCACCGTAGAGGCCGGCAAGGAGGAGGACAGAGTTAGCTGCAACCATTCTTACAACTCAGGCAACTATCAAGTTGGATGTTACGGAAAGGAGAGCAAGAGATACTGCAGAGCGTCCGATTTGTGTTCAGTGTCTTCCAGCTTTTTGACCAGAGGAGCAGCCTGGGTTGTCTACTATATATCCCTGCTCGGTGTGAGCGCTCGGCATATCTCGCCACTATGCAATATTCCGCCTCGGATCATTCCGACCGGAAGAAAGGTCAGGTCTACAACATTCTAAAGGCCTGCCCAGAAAAGACCGGGGCTCAACAGCACCCGCAGGCCGGTCGAGGTATGCTTGGACGGGTGGTAGCACATGGCACTGACCCAGTTGGGGTGCGCATGTGGATACCGTTGCTGATAGAATGCTGCAGCTCCCACTGTTCATGTCACCCAAAGTCCAGAGATATCGACAGCCATAGGCTGTAAAGAAAGCCCCAGGTATTGGCAAAGGTAATAGTACAAGGGGTGGCAGCCTCGTGATCCAATGGGGCAGCGGGGCCATTGATCTAATCTGATTAGATTGACTGATCAGATGGTGGCCGGTTTCGGCAGTTGAAAAGCCATTCTGTCAGCCGATAGAAGCTCATCAGTCTAGGGCGTTTTTCATGCATGTACTTTTGGTCAGACGTTGGGTAAAGGGCAAAGTATCTGATAAGATAAATCCCTCACGCCAAGATCAAACTGCACCCTCGGTCTTCCGCGCTGTGCTTCTGATTCGTGCTTGTGGACAACATCTTCCCGCTCTCGTCGACCCGAGCATGGCAACCCGCGTTCCGTGTCTCGTTGGGACGTTCCAAGGCTGTTATGCTTGTTCATTCTAGCCAAAGCTCAGCCGAAAAGCTTTCTATCCTACAATGCGGACCCTTTCCATGCCCCATAAGAGCAAACCAAGACGTGGGGACCCTGGTTCAATAGCTCACATGGATAGCCAGCAACCCAGTTCCACTCACTTTCCCTTGCATGCCGGTTGCGGCTTGTGCTTCTGTATTGATGAAACGGTAGGGTTTCTTTTTCTTTTAAAAAGGTATATTTAAGAGCCAACCCGTTCCTCTGGTCCTGCTTCGCACTCCCAGTCCAACCTTCGTTGAAGATTCAACTTGTTGTTGCCACCTCATCCCAGGTCTTTACCGTCGCTCGTTACCTTGCTCTTTCAAGATGCGCACTTCAGTCATTGCTCTTGCGGCTCTCGGCGCTGCTACCGCCAGTGCTTCGTTTGTCTATCCTGATGCTGTTCCTCTCCACCGGCGTCAGGGGCCAGGTACTCCGGAATACGAGTGCCATGCCAACTGCGGTGAGCAACAAGAAATCTTTCGTCATCTCTCGAATCTTTTTCTGATATCTGGTAAGGCGGTGTGATTGTGGACGGTCGCCAGGAAAACTACTGCACTTCCGAAGACTACAAGACCAAGCTCGCTGCGTGTCTCGATTGCGCGCTCCCGTATGACATCTGGCAATACTACGGCACCAGCGTGACAAAGGCCGCGCAGGCTTGCGGTGATGATGCAACTCCGCACCCAGGCACGGCGAGCAGCAGCAGCAGTGAAGCTCCAGCCCCGACATCAAGCGCCGCTCCAAGTTCAAACGTCGCTCCCACTTCAAGCGCTCCAGGGTCCTCCGCTGCTACGCACAATGACGCTGCATCCTCCTCTGCATCATCTCAGGGGGCCGCGACCACCGCTGCTACATCATCTGCTACTGGCTGGGACACTGCTACCAAGGTACGTATTAGCCCTGACACTCTTTCATGGCTTCTAATCCGCACATACTGACGAGGATCGCTGCGTCAGCCGACCGGAAGCTCGACTGCTTCTGGCACAGCTCCCGTCGCAACATATACCGGTGCTGCGGCCCAAGTTATTATGTCCGGACTCCTGGCTGTCCTTCCTGCCGGAGCCATGGCTGCGGGCTTGGCTTAAGCTCGAGTAGAATGCTGCTGTAACACGTCAGATCTCGACTTTGAAATCAGCAGACAGGAATGAGAGAACGTCTGAGCGTCCAGATGGGTGGAGAGAGACGACGACAAAGTACACTGCTATTCTAATGGATCCCCAGCTTTTGGCGGACTATTTGTAATCGACCCAAAATGCCATGGTACTGTATATAATAATTCTTTAACAGGTTAATACAGAGACCAAAATACCTAGGTACCTCCTCGGAATTACACTAGCTGGGTCTTGAGTAGAACATATCACGTTAGGCCATAGCAAGCAAATAGCTTCTATACCTTTTCCAGGATTGGCCCTAACGCTGTCTTCGCTATCTTCGCTGGATGCTCTGGCCCGAAAGTTCGCTGTATACGTATTTTGGTAACTGGAGGTCCATATATTCGTTACGAGGAAGGCAATGTCTTCCCGGTTTCATACGGTGGCATCGCCGTTCTCTCAAGTGACCGCCTTTATTGGCCCGCTGGCCGCCTCGGTTGAAGTAACAAAGCCACTCTAGTGATTCTTCATACTTCGAAGCAGTGATGCCGCCGATTCATTTGAGATAGAGCTCCAAGTACCACTACTGCACACCAAAGCAGAGTAGCTGTACCGTCGTTCACTATTTAAGGTAGGTACCTACTAGCAGTACGTATGAGCCTACCTACCCAGTAGGTAGCTAGATAGGCAAGGCTGAGATGGACAGGAGATGAATCTTGGCGCCCAGCCTTGGGGGAAACTTTGCAATGATTGGAGGAATGCCGCCGCGAATGAAGTTGGAGCAAGCTGCGCCGGAGCGGAACTGGTAGTAATAGTAGAATTGCAGTGCTGCAATCAACTGTACAGTTGTACTACTAACCACTGTTATATATCAACAACAAAAGGACCCGTCAGCTACAACCAAGCAGGTACAGGATACTCAGGCTCGGCGCTCTGCACGTAGCAGGCGATCATTGTCAAACCACCAACCAACTCCGCCGCAGTTGGTTCACTGGGCCAAAAATATTTCCTCCAAGTCGCCTGGAACCATCCCCATCGCCGACCGCGCAATCGACGGCGGCACACCAGACTCCCCTGTCCAGAGACTCTATATAACGAAACGGCAGCATGTCATCCATAAAATACCGACACTTAAGCCGGCCGTCGGCACACCGACAAGCCCTCCTCCGCAACCTAGTGACCTCCCTGATCGCCAATGAATCGATATCCACGACGTACGCAAAGGCCAAAGAAGCGCAGCGCCTCGCGGAGAAACTGATCACGCTGGGCAAGAAGAACACAAACGCCGCTCGGCAGCGGGCCAAGAGCATATTTTTCGTACGTTTGTCTAGCACCTGTTCTTACAGCTTAGCTTGCAACATACCTGTTTCCGACCCGGTGAAACAAAAAAAAGACTAACTCTTTATTCGTCAGGAACCTGAACGACACATGGACAAATTATTCACCGTGTTGCGAAAACGCTACGAACACCGACCGGGCGGGTACACGCGCGTGTTGCGGCAGGAGCCCATCCGCGACGACCAGGGCGAGTCGGCGATCCTGTCGCTGGTCGACGGGCCCCGCGACATGCGGTTCAGCATGACTGCCAAAGCGCTCGTGCGGCAACGCAAGGAAGGCCTGCCCATGCATGAACTCACGGCCGTCAATGTCCGCAAGGTCACGAGGTTTCGCGAAAACGGCGAGGACGCCCTCGAGGAAGAGGTCAAGAGGCTCGAGGCCGATATGGAGGCCCAGTCGCTGTTGGAGAAGTCCGAGTTTGAAGAGGACGGCACGGTCTACGAGTGGGTTCGTGGCGAAAAGGATCGTAGGTCGACTGCGAAGGGGAAAGAGAAGAATGGTCCCGGTCGGCTGAGGAGGCAGCGCGTCGGTGAGGATAAGGAGTTGTAAAACAAAACAAGAATAGAAATCTCGATTTGCTGGTTTTCGCTCGCGGGTCTTCTGGGTTTACCGTCCAGAATCTGGCGGCGACCCCTGTTTTTGGGGCTGTTGTTCTTTTTGTTTCCTGCCGAGTTCAATTCATGGCTCGTATTTCTATGCGTGGCTGGGCTACTCGTTTGGCGTCATTTGAATTGGAGACACTCCATTGCATGCATAAGGCGCCGGAACTTGTGCTCAGCAGACAGTGGAAGGCAGAGATGGCTGGAGTAATACATGCATCATTGGGAATAAGATGCGAGGAGCACGGGAAATCGCTGGTTTCGCAACTCTGACGATCAATGCTCCGGAGCAAGATCAGAAAATTCAGACAATTCAGTCACAGAGAACGTTTCAACCATGTCATATGAGCTACTCAGAGTTCTAAATCCTCGTCGTGATACTGCTCTCGTACCACTCGGTAGAGATAACCCGCACTCACGACGGCAGGGACCTGGTTGGTGACGAACAAGTCCACCTCCCCGGCCTCAACAAAGTCAAACAGGGGATTCCTCACCCCTGTCTCGACACCCAAGCGTAGCTCGCTATCCTGAAAGGCCACGACCTTCTGAGGATCGCCGTACTCGATCATTTTGTACGGATCATAAGGATATGCGGGGGACAACTTGTAGGTTGGAGCAACCACGAGCACAGGGACCCGGTGGAACCGGGCGGCCTTGATCACAGCTTTACTCCCTGAGGCTGCTACCAGCGAACCGTTGGTTAATACGGCGTGTGCGTCCAAGATGACCTTGGTAGCGCGAGACATGACGGCAAAGATGGCCGAGTCCGGGATCAGGATCACCGTGATACCCGCCGAAGTGAGAGGTTTTGAAAATGACTCGTTCGGCAAGTTCTCTTCATCCTCCACAGCATCATGAGCGCCAGTCAGAAGAGCGTGCGTCTTCGCATGGTTGTTGGGATATGCTTCGGCGTGGATGACGGTGAACTTGCGTTTGGACGCTGCCTTGAGCAGAAACCGCTGGACTGTCAGCGAGGACGAGTATGTAAATATTGTCTCCTGAGGATGGATCTGCTCAAGCGCGGCCGCGGAGATTTCGTCGTCTGCAGCGTTGATCTCGTCAATGATCTCCTTGATGCCCTTGATCACCTCTGGGCGAAGATTGGGCAGAATCCCTGATGCAGTCATCTGGGGTGTTGCAGTACCGCTGCGATGTGTGGGTGAATCAACGCCGGAGCTTCTCATCGTTGGATGCGAGATGATGCTGAACATGGATGTGACTGGTCTGGCGCCCCCGGGGGCTCCGGTGTGGGAACTCATCAGAGGGGGTCGTGTGGTGCCTCGTTGCGGTGATGGACTGGCGCTGGCATCTGGTCTGGCGGAAAGTCCGCCATGTATCGCCTGCAACCCGGTTCGCAGCGACTGTGACGCTCCCGCTACGCCGACAGGGTCTTGCCCTGCTTCGCTCGTAGGACTGCTTGCATCCGTAGTCATGTTGCTGGCCAGGTCGTCTTCATCCTCATCCCTGATTATCCCAAGAACTCTGCGGACGATGTTTCCCACGGCCGGTTCATGCGGAGCCGCATCTATCAGTTTCTTGCCCACGTCTGATACTCTCTGGATCAGCCTCTCCGAGTCGGCTTGCTTGGTGAGTTCGACCGTGCGCAGAAGAAGAAGGGTGGTTGCGACAGCGCATCGTTTCGAGCCCTTGATCTGCCGCCTCTTGAGTAGCCTCCAGTGTGTGTCAGTGGAGGATGCGACAAAACGAAACAGAATAATGCCCTTACGAGACCAAGACTGTGGTAGACGATTCAAGAGGCTCCGTGGACAGAACCCTTTGGAAACTGCTTAGGCCTGGCGTCAACGACGCCGTCGTTGGAGCCATCCTGCGAGCCCGCTACACGGGCGACGAAGGTGTTGGTGTTGATCAGGTCAAGAATGCCAGAGCATGCGATGACTCCTCCACGGTCGTATCTTGGGGCGCGGTGTCGAGCACTGCAGGCTTTGTTTGAGTTGCCGCAGGTTTGCTACTGCTTGTCCGTGGGATGGCCGGTATACGTGACGTTGCCGTCAGCGGAGTGCTGCTGTTGTTCTTGGGCTGTTACCACTGGGCAGGAAAAAGTTGTGTATGTTGCTTGACGAGTGCCGATTGAGTGGGACTTCAACTATTTTATTACTTCGATCACTGCAATAATGCAGTTTGTACCACGCGCGGGGCGTGTTCGCTGGTGCTGCTGACTAAGTACTGGACACCAATAATCGCGGCCAGATCCGAATCATCAGACCAGATCCGATTATTGCCAGTTACTAGTAGGTAGCTGCCACGGGCAGAGTTGGAGTGCTCAGGCTGTGCTGCGTACAACTGTGCCAGCCTCCGGTCACTACTCCCGGCAGAGCCCTCTCCCGCTACTACTACTACGTGCAGTGCATCAGAGTGATCCGACCTTTGTCTCTGCGTTTCCTCGCTTAAGAGCTTCTATTATTGCTTCATCGAACTACCTCCAACACCCTCATCGACCTCACTTGTATATGGAGACGCCAACGGCTGGTCTGACTATGTGACCGTGAACTTGGAACTGCTTGTTTCCCTCGGTCCTGTTGTACCTTGCCTGGCACCCCACCTCCCCCCGGAGATGCTCTCGTCAGAGAATTGACACCTCAATACTGCTTTGCGGGCTGGTGTGTGGGCGGTGCTGCTCTGCTGCTCTTGCGCTCTAGTGCCGCTCGATTGCGCGATCGTCTCCCAGGAGAATGAACTCCCTCAACCTGATTTCATCCCGAGTTATCGGACAGACCCAACATGCCTTGCGTCCGCGATCGAGATCTCAGGTCGAATTGTCGAAGAAAGAATATGGCGAGGATGGTTTGAGAGGACGATCTTATAGCGACGACCATGCACAGCAATTACAAAAAGAAGCCGACGGCCTGTTTCCCGATCAGCTCACACCTGAGTCTGCATCCGAGGATGGCGAGCAGCCCATAATAGATGACGGCGATGACGAGGACCAGCCCTTACTGAGCGTCGACGAGAAGAATACTCGCGACAGTGAGATTGAAGGGTGGCGAGGATTTCTAAAGAGGTTGGCAGATGCCATTTCGGCGATACTAGCAGCGATCGGGGGGCCGGTAGTTTATGTCGCAAAGTATTTCAGAGATCAAGAGGGGAAGCTTTCCGTTGTGCCACGATGGGCCCGCCGCGATGGTGTCTCCCACCGCACGGGAGGCGCTGTTGCTCGCCCAGACGCTGCTCACGACGGCAGGCTGACTACGGGCAAGTCGACACATCGTGCCCTCCAGGAAACAAAATTGCGACGCTCCTATTCGAGCGAGTCACAGAACAACGCTTTGACGAGTGAATCCGAGTCCGACCTGCGCAAACTAGAACAACCTCATTTGAGGACCAAGTCAAAGGCCGGGAAAGGGTTGAAGGAAGGGCCCGAGACTCGCAGGTCGTCCATTCGGATCAAGGAGCAGAATGACTTGGCACTCAAACGGCGCAAGCAGAAGAAAAACAGCAGCCCTCTCAGCGATACCACACCCTTGACGGTGGATGATATTAAATCTCCCACATCTCCCTCTACTTCCTTGAAATTCACCAGGTATCCCCACGCGCCTCAGCCGCCACGACCACTCATCCCCCGGCGCCAGCCCTCGTATGCCAACATCTCGCCTCGGTCGCCCACACGTGGTGGACCTCCACTTCAGCAGAAGACGCTGGTTTTGGATCTTGATGAAACGCTGATTCACTCGCTGGCCAAAGGGGGTCGGATGTCGTCGGGGCATATGGTCGAAGTGAAGCTGAATACTCCTGTGGCTCTCTCGGCGCAACAGCCAGGCCAGGCTCCTCCGATATTGGGACCTCATCATCCTATCCTCTACTATGTGCATAAGCGGCCACACTGTGACGAGTTCTTGCGCAAAGTGTCCAAGTGGTATAAACTAGTGATATTCACCGCCTCAGTTCAAGAATATGCAGATCCTGTCATCGACTGGCTGGAGCAAGAGAGAAAGTATTTTGTGGGCCGGTATTACCGGCAGCATTGCACGTTCCGCAATGGCGCCTACATCAAGGACCTCAGCACCGTCGAGCCTGACCTGAGCAAAGTGATCATTCTGGACAACAGCCCTGTCAGTTATATTTTTCATGAAGGTAAGACCCCGACGACCTGCTGGCCCATCGTATGCTCGAGAGAAGCTGACTCGGACGACCTCAGACAATGCAATCCCGATTGAGGGATGGATCAACGATCCGACCGATAATGATTTGCTTCACTTGATACCCATGTTAGAGGCATTGCAGTATGTGACGGATGTGAGAGCTCTCTTGGCTCTCCGAAGAGGTGAGGCAGAGGCAGCCCCGTAGACGCATGAGAAGCATATGTGGCCATGGGGATATTGTGGTCTCCGGTAGAGTGTTGATGCAATGTTCATAAATGCAGAAATCGTGCTATCCTTCGACTTTCTGGCGTATGCCAACATGGAGCATGGACTACTAGTACCTGATTGTCGGACCAGCCATCCGCGCGACACGGTACTACCTGAGAGCTTTCAGCGTAGAATGGTGACGCTAGTTCAAGGGTCCATCGTCCGCTTGTCGCTCGAAGGGCGTGGAAATTTGAGCAGGGATGCTCAGGTCGTACATTGACTCGGCATGGCTCATCAAACTGTCAACAGAAATGTGGTACAACAAGCAATATGCCATCGATATACCTAGGAAGAATCCAAGCGAGGAGCTAGGTATCCACTGCCTGGTGCTCTGCTGGTATTCAAGTTCTGGATACTGACGGCGATTACATAACGAGCGACTGGAGTTCATCCACCGCAGTAGTAGTATAGTAGTACAATTGTAGTTGCAGTTCCGCGGCCGCCGCAGCCGAGCATCACATCACTCGATCATGATTCTCGCTCGGTTCAACTCCACGCCCTGTCCGCGTCCGTTCCCACTTCACCCCGATCTTCCTCTTCTTCTCCATATTTGATTTCATCATTTCCAGCCATCTCTCACCATAGTCAACTTTACCCGTCAACCGAGCGGGACGCCATTCTTTGCCGGTAACCCCTTACCTGGTACCTACCATACCTACCTTAATCAATATCCCGTGTACTATCCCAGTACTTCTTTGGATTTTGACTTCAGCCGCATCAGTGCCCGTTTTCTTCGCCCTGTTGTCCATCCACATACCGGAACATTTGCGGCACTGGCATGGCGTGTAGACCATGTCCACCAACGACGTGAGAACCCACACCGGGCCTTCATTTTCTGACTCAGGCGAGAATGGTGAGGTGACCTCGCCTTCATCATCCAAAGCCGCTGTACCGAGACAAACATATCTGGATGTACCGCCCTTCCGGCCTTCGCGCCCATCGCTCGATAGCACCTATTCAGAACTATCCGAACTCTCCTTCCACCCAAACGAGTTGCAATCTCATCATGCTCTTTTTCGAAGTGTCTCCCGGGAAGGCGCAGATCATCATCCGCCGCGCTCTCGCATTGGCGCTGCCTTGCACTCCTTCTACATCACGAACTACGGTGCCATGTTGGTCGTGCTTGCTCAACTCTTTGGTGCGGGAATGAATGTCAGCACGCAACTCCTGGAGACGGAGGGCTCACACGGGAAACCCATGCATCCGTTCCAGATCCTGTTCGCTCGCCAATCTATCACGGCGTTTCTATGTTCGGCCTATGCGATTTATACAAAATCAGTGCCTGATTTCCCTCTCGGACCTCGTGGAGTTCGCTGGTTGCTAGTATCCCGTGGCATCTTTGGATTCTTCGGCGTGTTCGGCATGTACTTCAGCCTCCTATACCTGCCATTGAGTGAAGCTACGGTCCTGACTTTTCTGTCACCCATTCTCACCTGCTATCTATGCAGCTTCGTCATGCGCGGTGAGACTTTCACCCGGCAGCAGCAACTGGCTGGCTTCGTGAGCCTGATAGGCGTTATCTTCATTGCTCAACCGGCATCCCTCTTCTCCTCGTCTACCACGCCGCCGCCCCAACCTCCCAACCCGGCCATAAATCAGAGGTCCAACTCTACTACCACTGCCGACTCGCATCAGCAGCCTCAGCAGCCTACTCCAGAGCAACACCTCGCAGCCATTGGAATTGCTATGCTTGGCGTTGTCGGGTCCACCGGGGCAATGACCTCCATTAGAGCCATCGGCACGCGTGCACACCCTTTCATCAGCATCAACTACTTCAGCACCTGGTGTGCTATTGTATCTCTAGTCGCTTTGATCGTCTTCCCAGACGTCAAGTTCCGCCTCCCCGGGAACATCACGGAATGGAGTCTGCTTGCCAGCCTCGGTCTCTGTGGCTTCATTATGCAGTTTCTGCTGACCGCCGGCTTAGCATACGGTGGCCCCGGTAACACGCATGTCAGTGGCAGCCAAGGTCACGACGAGTCGAAGCGGAAGGCGGAAGATGTCGAAAGCAACGACTCTTCGGCTGCAGATTTCCAAAATTATGAGCTTGTAAGTCAAGCCGAAGCTCACGGTGAGGGCAGAGTTCCGCCAGCCATGCCGGCGAAACCGAAATTGAGTGGCAGTGGAACTCGTGCTACGTCGATGGTGTACACGCAGATGCTGTTTGCGCTGGCAGCGGACAAACTTGTCTTTGGTGTTACCCCCAGCACCATGAGTTGGGTAGGCAGTGTCCTCATTCTGGCGGGCGCAATTTGGGTCGCTAGCGCTCGCAGCTCCGTCTCAAAGGGCAATAACGCGGATATCAACGGTGATGTGGGCGAGGCTACCAATGGACTCAATATGCTGAACATGCAGAGACAAGGTAAATACTACGAAGTTGCCGGGGAGACGGTAGGATTGGTACACGACCAAGACGATGACGAGAACAGTGGCAATGACCTCCACCATCGCCAACTCGGTGGTAGCGATGACATTCTCACCGACACACCACAGGCGGGACTTTCTAGGGTGGAAAGTTTCGAGATGCACGAACTGCGCAGCGAACCTTGATTTCTGTCTGACTCATTTTGAATGCCCGCATTTAGATGACATTTCTATGACATTCATAAAGACCATACCTTTGCAATGACACACACGGTACATTGATTGCTTCTACGGCGTTCTAACGGAGTTTGCTGGGCAGGCACCAGACCTTCCCCTGGGAAAAATAATCACAGCTGCAGGTGCAGCTACAGACGTCAAAATGGGGCAATACATTACGAGCGCCGGGAATTGAGGATAGGATTGCATCCTCCCACCCTGGCGGTAGATAGAAGGCGTATGAATTCAATGGTGTGAAGACAATACATCACATCATCCATGAGCGACCTCTATGGAACGACGCGCTTTCACCACGACTTGTCGCTGTCCTACTCTGACACCGACGAAAGCATGATTAATTTTTCTTCATTTTGGGAATTAGCAGAAAAAAAGTATTTAACGCCTTCGTATCAGTGAATAGTACTCCGATCCTTTTTGGGGGGATCGATCGATCTTTTTGTCTTCGCCTGTTCCCCGGGCCCATGCAAAGAGGAGTCATCAGATCCCCTTACCGATCCTGGTAATGCTGTGTCCAAGCCCCGATTTGCCTGCACTCCTCTGCTCATGCTCATCTGCCTACACGAGAAACAAGAAAATGTCAAATTGGGATTCGTACAAATGACTTTTTGTCCTGAAGCCTCTGCTTCAAGTTCAAGCCCAACTCCGCCTTGAGCGACTTCTTGCCTATGGTAGACACTGTTGATTACCATAGGGCGCCAGGACGTCCTACGCAGACGAGGCTGCAGTAGTCTCACCGTCGGCCCCTTCAGCGCCAGCGCCGGCGCCACTTACGACACCAGATCCGGTACTTGACATCGTGCTGGCGATGTTATCACCATCGTATGCGACGCGCGGGTGTGCCGACGGCGGCGGCTTTTTGGGGAGGTGAGATGGGGCGCCGTACTTTTGCTGCAGTGAGTCTGTTTGCAATTGCGGGTTAGATGACGATGAGGGGTTGTTGTTGGCTGGTCCTTTATCGAAGCGGCGTGGCGGGGACAACGCAGGGTCGGTGTTCAAGTTCGTGGAAAAAGACTTCGAAGCATTAGCATTGTTGTTGTTGTTGCCTCGACTCTGGCTCGACGAAGGTGATGGTTTCTTCTTGCTGTTGCGGCCACCAGTCCGACCAAGGGCGTTGCTGGGTACAAAGGAGCGGGTCTGTGGGTTAAACAGTGACCTCGAATAACCGCCCAAGGCGGGTTGTTGAGGGTTGAAAGATAAGTTCCCGCCACCGTAGGGCTGACCAGATAGTTGTCCGTAGCCGTAAGAGGCTGCATGCTGTCCAATGGGTGGAGCGTTATTGGACGCATAGCTTGACCAACCGTTCATGCCTTGTCCGTTCATGCCTGGAGATTGCTGGTAAGGAGCTTGATACTGGCCACCATTCATCCAATTTTGAGGTTGCTGCATGCCCGGGTTGGTCGGCGGCATATACTGGCCGTTCATCTGAGGCAGCATTTGCGCAGCAGCATTCTGCTGATAGCCGTTTGCAGCCGCCGAGTAATTGAGATAGTCCGTAGGGCCGGGCGACTGCATGGACGACCATGAGTCCGCAGGATTAAACTGATGGTTGCTGCTAGGTCCGTAGCCAATGTTGGCACTGTACTGCATAGACGGATCAAGACCGGGGTATGCCTGAGTGGGAGTGGTTCCGTAAGTCATGCCAGCGCCGAAGCCAGCAGGAGGGCCTTGATATGGTGCTTGGTATGAGTGCTCTGCATACTGAGGCTGATATTGAGATTGCACGTGCTGCAAGTGCATGGGGGGATAGCTGGGAATGAATGCCGAGCGCGCCTCGAAGCTGTCGTCCTTCGGTGTCTTGTGCTTTCGTGGTTTTCTCTTACCACTGGAAGAGCTCGACCGAGACATGCTGGCCGAATTGTCGCCCGTTGAGGCACTTTCGCTAGTGACAGACTCCTGGAAATCGCCGAATATCCTCTCTCTCGCGGCTTTGTACTGAGCTTCCCGCTCTTCTCTGGTGAGTTTGGACTTGTCTTTGCTCGGCATCCCTTCCACAGCAGATAGAAGGCCTTCTTCGACGTTCGCATCGACCCCAGCCTCGGATGTCGCTTTCGACGGAACAGAGGAGCTTCCTGCAGTGCTTCCTCCGGCAGAACCTTGGCGTGCGCCAAGGCCTGCTCTGCGCATGATCTTCACTGCTGCTGCCGCAGGTGCCTGCGGTGGCCCCGTGGGAATCGATTGAGCCAAGACATGCAAAGGGGTGGGCCTATCATTGAATATCAGCTTGCTGTCCACGCCATATTGGAAGATAGTAGCAAACTCACCGTGTCTGGCAAGGGGTCCGGAACAGGCGAATTGAAGTGCCATCTTCGTTGATGTGATGAGCAAGAGAATAGTAATCCGCCAGTTTGTGCGAGAGTAGTCTGGCAAAAGCGTTTTGTGGAGGCAGGTCAAGAAAATCGCTCCTGTTCATCATCAGACAAGGTGCATCAACCTCCACAAGGCACATAAACTTACCCGGAGTTAGAAATGAAGCCAAGAAATTTCTCTTCCAGCTGCAGAAGAGGCAGTCTGTCCTTCGGATTTGCGAGCGCGTCGATCAACTTCTCATCAGGTGCAACGGGGAATGCTGAACCGGGATCATGTGGAATTGGGGACCGTGCAATCAGATTATCTGTCCGCGGCTGTTGTGTAGCCTCTTCTGAGACAGTAGATGCAACAGGTAGATCTCCAAAACGTGGCGGATTTGTCAGGGTCAGCGTGGTATATCGACGAACGGCCATTGTGACACCGGAAGTATTAGGCCTGGACGCTGTCTGTGAGGCTAACATTGCGGGTTCCTGACTACGATGAGAGCTCAATTCTCTTGTTTGTGCACCAAGACTATCATCGTCCTCTGCCGCTCGAACACTTGCACTGTCATCGGGACGGATGCTCTCTTTCTCGTCCATAGCAAATGTTGTCACTGAGGCCATGCTCTTGGTATCGAAGCTCTGCTGCTTCAGGGAGGAATTTGAGAGGTGGGACTGATCATCCCACAGCGAATCTCCGCTTTCCGCACTTTGTGGCCCGCTGGGCGGTACTTCTGCATTCTTGCCTAATGATAGGCCTTTGATCGCATTTGTCACATATTCGGACTGGGTGCGTTCTTCTCGCCCGCCAATCGCAGGCCCAGCTAGCTGTTTTGACGCGACTGTAGGGCGTTGACTACCGACTGCTGCAGGTGTGTGCGGATTGGGATTCTCAGAACGACGTGCTTTTGCCTCATCAGAAGCGTTGGGGCTTGTATTCTGGACAGTAGGCGGACGCATTGCTGCAACCTAATTTGAGTTAGCGATCACCGCGAAGAAATGTGTTGTTGTGACGCACCTTTGCAAACGACAATTTCGCCAGAACCGAGCCAACCTGAGGAGACGCCATAATGCCCAAGGAGATTCGTCTCGTCGTATCCAACAGCGTGAGAAGCAAGGCTACCAAGCTGAGGAATGGTAATGAATGTGGATTGTATGATTGAAAGCTGATGCTTCGGTCTTCCTGTTCACGTCCTCACACAGTGTCCTGCCCATAAAGAGAGCCTGCAGAGCACGACCTAAAAGGCTCCATCGATTCAAGAATGATATTCGGGTTCGGAGGTAGCGTTTGGCTGCGGTGGACTGAGCGGATGCCTCAAACAAAGGTCTCCGACAGATCAAATCTGATGCTGATGCGAGGATCGCGGCAGAGACAAGGCGAGTTGGAGGAACTTTCAATTGCTGAAATCGTCCCAGCAGAAGTTCGGCTTCCGGACGGACCACTTCTTCTAGGAAAATGGCTGTTGTCCACCGAATGGTCTGGGCAAAAGCGCAGACACCGGTCGCAATAGAAGCCGTATGGACGAAAAGGTGACAATACGGCCACAGAAAATATTCTCTTAGTCGGTCATGCTCCGCGACAACTGTGAACACCAGATGCTGTGGGTAGGTTTGGAGTGGGAGAGGCGTGACATAAGATCGATCATAAAACCGTGAGGTTCGAAAATGCCAAGATGCCTGCGACAGACTCGCTCCAGAAGTACTTTAATAATACGGTACTTTGGACATCCACTCCGTGAGAAGGTATGCGCCGCCGTATGCTTGTACGGTACAGCATATGCTTCTTCCGCGACAAACTCTGCCTCGTTACTTCCTGTGCATTTGGCAACACGGGCTGTCACCGCAAAGCTGGAGAGACACGGCCTGCCTCGCTCTGGATCTGCTGGTCTTTGAGCATACCTAGTATCGTCTTGGGTACTCCTTGTTGAACGTATCCTGTCCTCCATGCCATACACATTACAGGCTGTCAGTGGGTCATCAACATCACCAGGTACATGTCCTTATTAGTCGGCAAGCCGGTTGGGAATTTGCATACTATTCAATAGGCTTTACACGACATTCTCGTCCTTTCACACAAAATTGCACGCCCGTCGACATCCAGGGTGCTGAGTGCCTGAAGTTTTACCGCGCCCTGCGACACGTTTCAGACTATTCTTATCAAATGAATCGATACCGCACAATTCCAGGCTTGGGGCCTCCCAAGGCTTCAGCCTCCACCGTGTGCCAAAAATGTCTTAAGAAAGATATGTTTGCTCTGTCCCATACAGTACCCGAGCCTCACTGACAGTTGATTAGGCCACTATAGTTATGAGTGCAAAGCAAGCGTCCAAGAAAGACCGTACACATCCAGACCGTCCAGGACAAAACAACTCCTGAATCCAAAGTTGATGCCTAAGCTCACGGCTGATACTCCCAACAGCTTGCTCGATAGGTATTGCGCCAACCACCTTTCCCTTTTTGAACCTTGTTGATTTTTCTCTAGTAAAGGAGTTGCAGATCAACAACTGGCTGAAGCTGAAGCTAGGCGCAAGGCGAATACTGCTACAGAGTCTCGAGGCCGGAGCCGGTCGCGAAGTCCTTCTGAAAGGCCACGCTCGCGGTCTGCGAGTTCTTCCAGCTCAGTATCAACAATATCGACTAGCAAGGACCCTTCCCGCTCGCCCTCGCCTCTGCGTGGGCGGGAGAGTGGGAACCCTACCAGAGACAGAAACAGCCGCATACGCTCCAGAACGCCGCCATCCAATCGATCTCGCAAACGGAGGCATCGATCTGTTTCTTCTTCATATTCCAGGTCCTCTAGATCACCTCCGCGGCTGCCAGGATCTCACCGAAAAAGTAGGCGCCATCGAACGATCAGTCCCATTGACCGAGGCAGGCCGAGTTCCAAGCGCCGCGGAAGCCATCGCAGTCGGAGTAACAGTCCTAGCATGGACAAGAGCCAAATCACCAAGCATAGAAGGTCGCTCGGCGAATCAGATCACAGCTTCGAGCACCGGCCCAGATTTTACCGGCAGGAAGGTCAACACGCAGAGGAACGGAGGTCGCCCAGGGAAGCCCGGTCGGACTCCTATCAGCAGCCTCGCAAGGAGGTTCGCCGGGAACGCAGTCTGAGTCCGTACAGCAAACGACTGGCTTTAACGCAAGCAATGAACATGTGAACTAGTGAGAGTCGCCCTGTTATGATAATACCTGGGTTTGCAAACTGTCTATGGACCGCACGGCGTGGGTGTGTCGTTTTGACTAGTCAGGCGTTGGAGGCGCAGTCTCTCTCGGGTGCTTGTTTGGCTTGTTTTACTTTGTGGAGCCTTCATCAATGCATAACTCGATATCTCGGCGTCTTCCGCTTAACTTTGATCAGTCGCCTAAGACATGTATCTATATCACCATTCCCAAGCCACCGCGACCGTATTTCTGGTGCCGATAGAGTGTTATCGCCCCTGGATAGGCGGAAGTCTCAATGCGCATTTCCCTCATTCGCCTTCATGTTCGTTCATGTGCCTGCATGCAGGCGGCGCCAAATATAGTCTACCTAGGTAGGTTGGAGGCTGCCGTAACGTCGACCTGGAACAGGACGGTCTTGGGCTCCTTCCACCGTGGACTGGCGGTGTCGAGAGGAATTGTGGGAAGCACTGGCGCTGAAGCCATGACCCGAACGAGGGTGGAAGCGGTCATCGAGAGGGCTCGAGCGGATTCCTGTCCTGGTTGAACTCCGATGGCTTCGAGACCGTCGAGCAAGGCTGGTTGCAGGATATCTCCAATCTTGCGCACTTTGAGTGGCATATTGGCTTTGGCGTCGGCCGTATCACGGAATTTCATCTTCCTCCTGTAGAGCGGCGTCTTGCTGTTCCTCCTGCTCCCGCAAATGGATGCCCTCGACAAGCGTGTTGCCCTCTATGCCCACTTCCTCGCCCTGATCGCCAACACCGTCCGATTGCGCGGGCTTACTTTTGCTAGCGGCCTCTTTCTTTGCATTTTCTATACGCTCCCTCACCAATCTTGCGATAGCATTCTGCGTTCGAACATCGAGGATCTTCATCTTTTCCGCCAAGTCTCTTTTCAAATCCCAATTAGGCTTTTTCGGTTGCAGCTTGAACAGGTCGATGCCTTTTTCTGCTTCGGCCTCCTCCTTCGCAGCTTGTTCAGCAGTAGCATTGGCTATGCGTTCTGCCTGTTCTTCTAAGGTCTCGACGTTGGCGATGGGAATATTCTCAAACCCAAGTTTCGCGTTCTTCGACGCGACGTCGTAGTTGCGTCCTGAAAGATATCTGTCTGCGACGGAAGTGTTGCTCTCATCTTGCTCGTTCGCATCTTTTGGGGCTGCAGCCGTAACCGTAACATCGGAGTCTGGTTGTTTGCGCTTGAGGGACGCAAGTTTGGCCAGGCGGGCCTTACGGTCGGCGGCGGCCGCGTCGAGACTTGTGTGGTTTGCAGACATCTCAGTGCCCTGGGGGACGCAAGAGTACTAGTAAGGTCAGAGGAGCCGTGGCCAGAGATGGTTTGACCATCAGTCATGTTCTCAAAGACTCGCAACACTGAAGCGACACTGTCAGTTTACAAGATCGGCCGCATAAACTTCGGGAAAGTTTCTGAGAAGCGCCCGAGGCCTAACTGAAGATTACTGCACAACTAGTAGGTATGTTCTCTTCTGCTTCACGGATCAGATAATGTCTAGCAGCTGTCGACTCTGAGGTACGACATCCCACCCTCTTATCCTACCTACACGGACATCCAGATGCCTGGGGGTCTGAATGTCGAGCAAGTCGACACGCGCCCTGAAACGATGCGTTCCCGCTAGTCTCGCAGTTTGCTTCCCGAACCACATTTCCCAACGGCGGTTTGCGAGGAGTGCTATCAATGGCAAATTCTACAGCCAACAGCTCGCAAGAAAGTCTTCGCTGCAAGATGCATGCTCACAGCGCATAAATGGTGGAGCGGCCCAGGAACGCTCTGGTCCTTCGGCCACTGCCCCGGCCGAATCGACCGCAGTATACTCCCGGGTAATCCAAGATGGAGGGAACACGGCGCATGCAATCACCATTACTGGTGCTACAGCGCATGTAGGGGCCCAAGGAACAGACGGCGGCGATCTATATTCGGACTCTCAAAAAGACCGCACAGGAAGGCATAGCTCTGTCTCGAAGTCATCAGCCCGCAAGGGTGAAAAAGGGAATCGGCAAAAAAGACCGCCTGAGCGTCGCTTTCCATCGCGACTCACAAAACGCCTTGTCAATAGAAAGCTCCCTGGCCCGGACGCAAAATCTGATCTTGTACCATGGGACCCTCGCGCCGCCAAAAATGCGTGGTCTTTCCCGCCAGCCGCAAGACATGTCCCGCTGGAACCTGGAGGTGATCCGGAATTCTTGCCGAACAGCAACGAGTTTGCCCAAGAGTGGGTGAAGTTGTACAAACAGTTGATATTTCCTGTGGATGGAGATCTGACAAGGGCGCAACGAGAGCTTGACGTGCATAGACAAGCTGCAGCGCAGTTTGTGAAAAGCACTCGCCTCAAGGACCTTCGGAATGCTTGGCTTCGCCTTGGACTAAACCAGCGGGTGAAAATCCTTCCATCTATCCTCATCGGCTGTCTCATCGATTCTGCACGGAAGACACTGAGCCTGCTCTCGATACTGCCAATGCTGCCGCGCGAGTGGAAAACCCGATGCGAGTGTCTCCTCTATGTCGACCTTGTTCATCGAGAGGAAGTTGAGAAAAACCCGGATCTCCAAAGCATGTTTGCGAATCAAATCAAGCATGTGTCTAAAGTCTGGTCATTTCCTGAAGGCAGCATGCCTCGCGCCTTTCTTGTTCTTCTTCTACGGCACAATAGCCCCGAACACTCGGAGAATATCATTGATACGGTGCTTCAAAGCTCTGCTCCGGTCCCTGTACCGCTCATTTTGGTTATGGTGGATCATTATGTCAAACAAGGCAAAGCCGAGCGGGCACTTGAGCTTCTGGCAAAAATACCCGTCGATCAGAGAGAGCCTTTCAAGCAGCCTATACTGGACCGCCTCCCGAGTCTAGTAAATCTGGATAGCATCGAAGAGTTCGGCCCGGGCCGAAACTTCAAAATCCTGCCTCGCCTTATGGCCATCGGGATGCCATTAGATGCCAATGTGCACAACCGCTTACTGCAGCGGGCGGTTTCGCTGCGGCTAACCAGCGTGGCATGGGAAGTGTTTAATTTTATGGAAACAGAAAATATCCATGTGGATGCCCGGAGCCACTTGGTTCTGCTCAGGGATAGTTTTGACCGGCAGGATCGGGAAAAGCTAGACAGGGTGTTGTCGGCCATTCATCAGCGCAAGGACCTATATCAGGACCCGTACCTGGTTGCGTATACGATGCACATTGTCCGGATAGTTTGCTGCTTCGACCGCAAACTACCGCCTGAAGTCTGTTTTGCGCACATTCTTGCCATCTACGACCGAGCCTATGATCGAGCGCCGCTTGTTAAGCTTGGTCTAGCAGATCCGTTACCCGCAGAGCAGGACGCAGTGGCGCAGCTCCCACAGCCGCGTCCAGCAGCGCTAGGATTCACCATCTGGGCTTACGTTCTCTGCCAATCTGATGAGAAGCCGGTCTCGAGGTTGTGGCATTGGATTGCTCATTTGGTGCAGCATGGGGATTCAACAATGTGTGAGGCTGCGAAGCACGACGTCCTGTACAATGGCTTTGTCTCGTTTTTCTCCCGTCAACCTTCCACACTCCAAAAAGGAGCTGAGGTTGTCGAAGAGATGATGGAACTCGGACTATGCATGCCCACCCAACGTACATGGAGTGAGCTGCTTTCTGGCTTCTTGCGGCACGGCGAGGAGGACGCGGCGGAGAAGATCTGGCGCACTATGCTGGCAAGGGGCGTACTTCCTTGCGCAAAGGAATGGTCGTTCCTGCTTACAAGATATGACAAGTCGCGACTGTCCCAGCTTGTACGTCATGTCTTGAATGAGCGAGAGATGCCCGAGGGACTTGAGTCAGCTCTCGGCCTGGCAGGGCAGACTCATGATCAGTCTAGCGAGCCAAAGCAGACACTGTTGGGAGAGCCAGAGTATGCTGCCGAGGAGTTGGTCCAGGATAGGTGACGAGTCTCACACTGCTAGTGGCGTAAATAGAAATACAGAACCTAAGGCAGTGCTTGTGCTGTAGTCACCCGCCATACCTGCAGCCACTCGCTGGGCGAGCCTTTTTGGCAGGGGCTGAGAGGTGACACGAGATCACACTAGGAGGCCAGCCTCGTGGGTTGCCGAGGAAGTGTTCCTATAGGTACCTACAGTATGTAAAGTACCTTAGTGTACTAGTGGCCTAGGTGCTAGTATTAGAACGGTTGGCAGCCTGCTAAGTGCCTGGGGACAGCGCCTTCATGCGGTTTCCTGGTCAAAATCGTGAATTTTGCCCGGCGGGCGGTGAGGTTGATGTGAGCCAATCAGGATAAAGGCCTCTCATGGCGGAAGGCGGCCGTTGATTTGTCTCCCACCAACTTGAACCTCGTCTCCAACTTGAACATTCACAGCCTGCATCTCTCTCTATTATGTCCTCTGTCTTTGTCCTGTACATGGCAATTTTTAGTTTATGAACATTCTTGCGAATTATTCATTCATTATACGAAAGGACTGCTGCCGTGTCACATTTGGCAGCCAAGTGCTTTTTGTCGTTACCGCGCGTGCCAGTGTGGCCCTTGATACGCTCTATTAGCTCTATTACGCCGAATGCCACCTTTCACTGCCATTCCTGATTCCCAATCTTTACCATGGCGTATTAACAAGAATGACAAGGTGGCAAATGTCCTCAGTCTGATCAGCGGATAAGGCGGGTTGTTGGGATGTCGCACGGACAGTCTTGCGTTACGTCGCACGCTCCAAAGTCTCAGTGAGTACCACGTTCTCAATAGCGCGATCCTTGTGTCGCAGGCTATTTGAGCCTCATTCCATCTTGCTTCAAGGATGACCTCCTGGTAAAAGGTCCGATTGGCAATAGTTGCCGTCAGTGGTAGCCCGAAGGTCAGGTTTCCTTTGCAATTCCATTCAAGGAGGTCTCTATTGTGCACGCATGTCCGATTCTGGTGTTCGCAGCATTCGTGAGATGTGAACTGGGGCACCTGCAAGTGCAAGATCGTGCAAGAATGGAGGTATCCGAGGAAATGGAACTCTCCATCTGGAGATTCTTGTGCATAACAAACCCATCGACAATCTCAGCACTGCTAAATATGGGGCTTGCATTCTGGACACACAATGGATGCGGGGGCCAATGGCAGCAGTGTACATGGTGTCCTGTCAGAATTGCAGAGTGTCCATAAGTCGCTTTTCTGCTCTGCTGGATGCTCTGGGGCACCAAATCCTCCGGCGCCTGAGACCCTCTTTGTCGGACGCCTGCATTGGATTACTGCCTGACCTTCGTGGCAACCCGGGTGACGCTGAAGTGAAGACCCTATGAAACTGAAAAGAGCTGACGAAGCTGCCAATCTAACTTCTCTTCTTCCCAACCTTGAAGTGACTCCAAACTGATAATTTCTCGACAGGGCGTGGAGAAGGAAGAGGCTGACGTGACATGAGACCTCATCACTCTGGTCCGGCCTGCCAATATGGCCGCAGCAAACTCGAACCTTTCAAACTCTAGAGATGCCTTTGGCTTTTCGCCCTCTTCAGTTACTGGTGATGTTACTACGCCCCATGGTCGAGTCGACACCATTCGGAGGAACGAAAGCTATGAAAGTGCATCCGCCGATACGAGTTGCGCCCCCACCACCTCTGTAAAACCTCCGGGAGGGCCTGAATGTGCCATGAGTCCGCCACGCGAACCCAGATCGATGAGGCGCATGATCACACCTCCGCCGATTTGCAGAGGGGACTCTTATAGACCGACTGAACCTCGTGAATCTCGTCCGATTTCTTCGTACGATTCCTATCGACCTGCCGAACGTCGCTATACCCACGAAGCGGGGAGTCGAAAACAGGTACAGGCGCCTGACCGTTATAGACCTGCGCCTGACCGCTACAGTGACAAGTCTCATCACACGGACACACTAGAGCCCCCACAGGAACTTGTACATGGCCAACGCACAAGTGTGAGACGTCAACCACAAGGACATGAAAAAGAACAGCATGGGCGAGACAGCGACGTCATGAGGGAATTAGCTGGGCCTACTCCTTTGCGTGCTGATGCCTCCCAAGTGAAGCCAAAAAGTTCGGCGAACAAGATACAGCGGTCTTTCAGCCCGGTCCAGCCCCTTGATGGCTGGCCAGGTAGCGGAGGACGGAGCATTGCTCAGAATAGAGACAGACCAGCAGATAGACGTGGCGAGGGACTTATAAATGATGGTGGACCTGATCTGCCACTGTTCGAGGAGAATCGCCCGACTGGAGTAACATCTCCTCAGGGACTTGCCTGTGTTGCGGGCTCCTTGACTCAAAAGGGACGTCTGGTGGCATCAGAGAAAGGCGACCTGGCGGATCTCTCTGAAAGACACAGCACCCCAAGACATGCGAAGGAGTCTACCGGGATCCAGACCACCCGCCTCGCCAACGAGGAGACTGCGTCCAACTCCTCAACAGTGACATCGCGAAGCAAGAGGGTCTGCAAAGGTTGTGGAGCGGCAGGCAGCGGACTAGCTCCGCTTGTACCTTGCAGCAGATGCCGCAAAGGATACCATGACCGCTGTGGGACTCCCAGGCCGCAGAGCAGGTAAGCGAAGTCCACCAATACTAGGGAACACCGACAATGCTGACTTACTTCAGTGCTAGAGCGGAGGACTTCGTTTGCGGGCGTTGTCTGCGCAGACAGTCGCGCGAGACTCCCGGCAAGAGCGAGTTGGACAGCAGCCGCAGCAGCGGCATCATCGTCCATCGTCACTCCCCTCTAAGCGTACACCCATCTATGCCATCTCTTGCGGCGTCGAGTCTACTGAAACTTGCCTCGATCGATTTGCTTGGCACGCGAACCCAGAATGAAATCGAGCAGGATGAGGGCGCGAACACGCCCCCCAAGCTTGAAGAGGAGCCCAAGCCTACATGGGACAATTCGCCTCCAGCGATAGTAGGCAGTGATAGAAGAACATCTTCCATTTCTGCCGATGCAATGCAGGGTACTCTCTACAAGCATATGACATGTCCGCATTGGAAATACACCAGCTGTCTGTTCGCAGAAGCTCATTGCCTCTACGCTCACAGAGAAACTGGCCGCGTCGCGCCCTATGGAGACTCACCAGCGAGGGACTTTACCTGCCCAGGATGGTTTCAGGGACAGTGCCGCAGGAGTGCGTCCGAATGCAATCTTGCTCACAGAGACACAGGTCTATACATCGGGCCAGATGGTAAGCCATCGCGAAAACATATCACGTGTTACTTCTGGAACTTCGCCGATTGCAAGAAGCGCGAAGCAGATTGTCCGTATGCCCACAAGGACACCGGACTACTGGCCTGGCAGCCTTATAGTGTCACGGATGCACCCACAGGCGTAAACTCGCTGAGGTCTTACGAGTGTCACCGCTGGCAGAGTACCGGCAAATGCCCATGGCTTGACAGAGGATGCCCATACATGCATTCTGGGACAGGCAAGTCGTATAAGGGTCTGTCCACATCGTCAGAGGCCCAGAACATTGGCGACGTTCACCCAATACCTTGCGATACTAGTTCTACTTCACGATCAGGGGGATTCTTACCGTCCTGGGCTGGGAATTCACGGCCAACCCCCGTCTTCATTGAACCAGCCATTCCAGTCGGGACAAAAGAAAGTAAGCTTGAAAGCATGGCTACTGCGGATAATGCCAGCAAATCCGGAATAGCCACCGTACAATCTAATCATGCCTTGGCTAATTCTTCAGCAAATGGCCTTCACATCCCATCTGGAGGGGCTAGCGAATCCACTAGCCATCAAGATGCCACGTCCGCAGACTCTTCCTCAAAAGCAGTCAGACACATGGCGAAGAGGCGCGTTTCCTCATTCGACCCGCGAAAAATCGGTGCAGCTGGTGCGGTTATTAAACCCGCTAGACCAGAAGCTTCAGGCCCAGAAGTGGCTCAAGGCTCAGAATACAGTTCAACGTCGCGAGCAAATGTGGATTCTTGCAACAAGCAGGGAACAGGCTCTGATGTTGACATTTCAAAGCAGAAGTTGTGTGAAGGGTGCCATAAGCCCATCTTTGGATCAATCACCCGTTGCGTGAGATGCTCAGTGAACCTCGGGCCCCCAAAGAAAACAAGTGAAGCCCCCGACGAGGAAGCGGTTGGTACTGAGCTCTGTAGCCCCCTGGCTTCCCAGCAGCATTTCTCACAGGCCCCAGGAAATCTGCGGTCTACGTCTCCACCATCCCTCCAGCAGTACCTGATGCCCAATACCCTCAAAAGGCCACTGGCCGAAAAGGTGCTGTTCATTCCGAGGAAGAAACCAAAGCTGTCTCATCTGACCATCGAGAAAGCCACAAATTCCCTCCGGAGGACAACTGGAGAACTTCAACCGGGATCCGCCATTGGCGCCATTGGGGTGGCTACGCCGCAGGAAATACCTTCGTTGGAGCAGTTGACACTCATGGGTTTGGTCGAACGTGACAGTGCGAGGAAAGAGACCGCTACCAATACCAGAACGTTGGAACCGGCCGCAACAGGAGAGCACATCAAGCATGAGGAGGTGATCGACGACATGCGTATTACAGACACGATTGACGGAAATCCCTCCGACGAGAGCCAGATTGCATTGACCAGAATTACTGAAATTCGACCTCGTAAGAGCCGGGCCGATGCCCTCCAACAGGATGACCAAGAGGATGATAATATCCCTCTCATACAGACTCGCACATTGCACAGGATGACGGCTGATGCTCTTGAAGACGATGAGGATGATAATATCCCCCTCATGCAAACTCGGATATCGCGCAGGATGATCGCCGATGCCATTCTAGATGACGACGATGAGGATGATAATGTCCCCCTCATGCAAACTCGGACGTTGCGCAGGATGACGGTAGTAAGCAGGCCAGCTGTAACCATGTCCGACATCGAGTTTGAAGCCGACGTGCGACCGAAGGTAACGACGGGTCTCGACCAAAACAGTGAGATGGATTCAGCAGACATTTCTGTGGTATTCAGCGAGGGCCGGAAAGAGAGTGTTCTTTCGTCAACAACTCAGCCGAGTATGACCGGCAGAGTAGGCTCAAGGTCAAACGAGGGTCATGACTCTCCAGACGTGGCAAAGATTCATGAACCCGTGATGGCCCTACCAGTTTCAAACTCATCAAGCTGGCCCACTGGGGATCGTGAGGAGGCTGTCGCCCGGTTGAAGGCACGAGGCGTCGTGTTTGAGCCAGATTCGGAATCTGATGCGGAGTCAGGCGCGGAAGAAGACGGCATCCGTTCAGTGTATCAACCGGCCCAACAACGGGTCGACCCACTCTGGAAGCCGCAGCGATCACTGAACCTCTTTGACCTCTTAGATGCCAAGGATCATAATACGCCCCCGGAATTCATACAGCCACTGAGGCAGGCACGACCTTCGAAGAAACAGCTCGTCGGCAACCTGCTCCAATACCAGTGTCGAGAACAGAAAAGGAGATTCGGCAATCCTCATCAGGAGGTGAACCGTCCTTTTGAAGACATGGAGGTCCAAGCATATATCCAGCGAGAGGTTCGGCAGGACACGCCAGATCCATTCGCAGTAGGCCGACTTGAAAAGAAGATGGTGTCTATGCCGATGGTCGAGTTCCTTGGCATGCCCAAGAAGCCAGTGGTTGCGCTGGGTAAAACAAAGGATGAATTGGTCTTCATAGAAGGCAAAGATCCGCGACCAGGTTGGCGTTCGCATGGGTCCTTGAGAGCCAGGAGGATCAAGGAGGATGAAAAATTCCCGTTTGTGTACAGGTGATACGACCTGGGGCTGGATTCTGACAGGGTTGAATGGGCTGGGAATTGTTACTAGTACCTAGGGATACATCGGCATGGGGTGAAAAGCAGTGAAAGTTGGAGTTCAAGGCGACTATGATACCCCTTTGCGTGTCACGTTAAGGCGCCCGTCTTTATGCGTGGACGCGACGATGATGATGTTTGTTGTTTGCGCAGTTTGAGCTTATGGATCGCTCGAGTCTAGATGATTAACGGCATATTGTATTTCTGCACCACTGCCCAACTTGTCTAGAGAAAAAACCACTCGATATTCCACAGCTTGTATTCCCAAAGCGCCTATAACACCCTACTTCGAAAGCACGGCCGGTGGATACGGCCCTCAGAAGACATAAATGCCTCGGCCTGACCCGTTTGTGCAGAAAATGAAGGAGAGGTCCGAGGCGGCTTAATGGCCCAAGATTATTGAAAACTATGACGATATGACGATCAATCAGTAAAAGAACGTTCTCCAAGCTGGTGCTTCTAGTAGGGGAAGACCAGCCTGAGGACCAGGAATGCCGAGTTAGGCAGGGTTCAGCGGGAGTCGGAGGGAGTTGGAGCCCTTGAAAGCGAGTGGGCGTAGGTGTTGGGCGTGTGTGGTTCGATTGGATGTTAGGTAGGTACTCACCGCCATGGCAACACAGAAGATACTGACGTACGGACTCAGCCGCTCACCTATCCGGGCGCATTTCCAGAAAATGCCGGTGACGCTGATTATTGGAAACGAGAAATAAAATTAGCAAAATGACAATGACAATGATGGCGGAGCGTGATCAGAGTTGAAAAGAAAAGAAAGAAAGAAAAGGATTGGGAGATGCGGTATATTCGTTTGTGTGTCTTCTTTTTCCTTCGCTTCTGCTTCTGCTTCGTAGCAGGGCAGCTTGTGGTGGACTGAAAGCAGAAGCAGAAGCAGAGCCCCGGAGAGGACAAACAGACAGGTCTGCAATGGCAAGAGAAGAAACGCCGGACACAAGGAATGAAAGCCATCTTGGTGGATATTCGGAAGGATTGGACGTCGGGAAGAAAGAAAAGGGAGGTGATGTGGATTATCAGGGTGGATTGATAGTAGCAGTGAAGGAGGCACCCAACTCGGAAAGAACCTTCCTCCTTAGGCAATGCCAGTGCCTGGCTGCTTGATGCCTAGAACTTACCCGTCTTTATTCCGATCCATGACGCTGGGGAACATGGAGTGCACGTATGTCGAGGTGCATATGATCAATAGGATGACCAGCAGGAGAGATTGGAAGTTGAAGATGGCCGTCTATAATGCATCCAGGTTGTTAGTGGTCACTGGTCAATCGTTGACTATTGTCCAGAAGTCGGGCGTGTTCTAGAGTCAAGGATGGAGATGGATGTCAAAGGCTAAAGGTAAAGAGGCACAGTAGAGGTAGAGAGCAACAACTTGGAGCAACTTACCATGGTGTGTGGATGCTGACAGATGAGGAGGCCACAAAACCGTATAGCAAAGGTGACTGGCAACAATGGCTGAGCGTTGGTCGAAGATCAAATGCGCGGCTGGATGGCTTTTGGTCGGGGTGGTCGAATTGAGTGGCTCGTCACGCCTTTTGGTTTGCGGATGTCAGTTGAAATAGGTGCACTGGACTGCGCTGGCTATTTGTTGACCTTCGTGGAATATAAGTATTGGTAAAGTGCCGGCAAGTTTCGAGTTTCGTGAAGTTCAATTGAGGTTCAAGTTGGGAGCAGACGTGGCTTGCAAGTGCAGTGTTTAACTAGGCGGATGGGTCTAATGGCACTAGTGGCATCAAATACCCGCTGCCTGCAGTTCATTGTAGCAGCCATAGCATCACTAGCAGTACTAGCTTCCGCTAGGGATTGTGCGCTCTGCACTCAACGCCAGTTCAGTTTAGTCTACTTCGCGTTCAAGTCAGCCTTCCCTTCCGTTTGGGTTCCTAAAGTATCAGGAATGATACGATCTCCGCAGTGACAATTCATGCACCTGGGGTTCAACCGTACGCCGGCCGACTTCTTACATCTTCCCTCTCATGCATGCCATGGAAACCATCAACTGAAGACAAACCCTCGATTTGCACTCATGGCATCTTAATACGCCGTGGCAGTGGTGGATGTTACTGCCTGGCCGACAGATCGCAACCAACCAAGACGGCGACTGACTTGATTGTTACCATTCACTAACCTCGACTACTTTCTCACCGGCAACCATACAATCTTCGCAAAGCGAAGGTCTCCTTCCTGCAGTCCCTCCCGTTTGCCGGCCGTTCTTAGACAATTCTCAATACTATCACGATGGAACCTCGAGCGCGGGCAGGCCGACACAAGGGCAGCCTCAACTTTGGGCCCGAACTATCGTCCCTCCTGTATGCCTACGGAGCACCCACACACCCGGACATAGTGAAACCGATCGGCGAGTCGTCGAGCAAATACCTGTCCTCACTGCCAACACCCAACACCACGAACGCGCCCACGCCGTTCCACGAACCATTCCCCGAGACATTGCGGGTGCTCGACGAGATCCTGACGGATTTCATCATAGAGACGTGTCATAACGCAGTCAGCGTTGCCACGTACAGCGGCCGCACCAAGCTCAAGCTGTCGGACTTTGAATTCGTCCTACGCCGTGACCCCGTCAAACTTGGCCGAGTGCAGGAGATGTTCAAGAAGAAACGCGACATCGACAACAAGAAGAAGCTCTTCGACACCAACGAAGGCCGCGAGGGCACCAAACTCGCCGTCGGCGATCTGGTCAATCTCGGCGAAGTCGTCGGCGAAGAAGGAACAGGCAAGGGCAAGGGCAGGGGTAGAGGCAGGAGAAAGAAGAGAGATCGAGAAGATGGGGCTGAGGGTCAGTCCAAAGAAGATGGCGTTGATGCCGACGGTTTCGACCAGAGGGCTACCAAGAAACCCAGAAGTGAAGTCGACTGAAACAGGATTGCCAAACAAAGACAATCACCAGCTTTCCACTCGAAAATTGACGAACCGGTTGCCACCAGTATGATTACCATCTCGTCATCTCATCCTCACAGCGAGGGGATGGGCAAACCGCAACCCATGTCGGCCCGTGCAAGTGATTGCGGAAGCCTGTGTCTGCCTCGACTTCCAACAACGCGCTTCCGGACATACGCCGCGAAGGAGCGTGAGGCAATCTGTCACTCTTGAAGCTTCCTACGAAATTAGAAACATTGACGCGTCTTGGACTGCAAAGAATGTTGTGGGATGGCGGATACGTGCCTATGTCTTCCGGCATCATCGTTTTCGGGTTATTTACCTATGCCGTGGCGCAAGCCATGCTAACTCCTGGCGGTGCAGATGAAACTGTGCTCTATTCCATCAAAAGACATCGGTCCCCCAATCAACTCCCATTTCTCAGCTGCGTACGCGCTGCTTGAGCGCGAAGGCCATGCATACTCCAGCATACCTCATTGGCGGTTCTAAACACGCCGGACTTTTTGCCTTTTTGCCTGAAGCCGCCAACGGTCACTCCCCGCGAGGCAGAAGCTGACTTCGCGCTGCTGCTCTAGACATGGCGACTGAGCATAAATAGAAAATCGTATTTTCCCTCAATCATCAAGCATCTTATAACGAAACGCTCTCTCCACGGTTTTGTCTATTCTGTCCACCTTGTCTGTTCTGTCTGCGTCCGTCCTTCTCGTTGGAAGCGGCTCCCGAGCCTTCACCGCCCATAGTCAACTGTGCTGTTGCTAATCTGTTCGAGAGATCCATTTGTGTGCGGATCATGTTGGCGAGGTAGGAGACGGTTAGCACGTCTTGGATGTGGTTGTTGAAGTCCTTCTCAATGTCTGCCGGGTCAACCTTGGGCGCCAGTGCAAGTGTGTTGAGTAGGAACTGTCCCAGGGCGGTCGACGGCTCCGTTTCCTCCTCAATGACATTCTCAACATACTTGGAGACGCGATCCAACATGCCCAGAGTGTCTTCCAACGACCGTTCCAGGTTCTCGATTTCCGTAAGCACCGTTGCGGTTCGGCTCTCATCCACTCCGGCATTCTCGAGGGCTTCCAGACCGGCGCGATCGGCCTCGCTGTAGTTGATGGTGTAGGGGACGGGCACGAAGGCAGCAGAATCCGCGGCCCGTTCAGGGCTGACACCGACAGACGACGAGATGTACGTCCTGACCTCGACATCTTTCCCTGGCTCACACGCAACAGTGACATGCATCGCCGGATATGGGTACGTGCCTTCGCCTTGGCTGCTGTAGTGGTTCTGGATCAAGGCTGAGAATGTGTTCAATTCCGAGCTGGTTGCGTACCAGCCCACCAAAACCTCCTTAGGGTTGGCCCGTAGATGTAACGCCAGCATTGTCTTTTGGTACTCCATGTCCACCTCAACCTGGTCGGTGGTTTCAGTATGGCTGACTGCGAACGATGAATGGACGACTACTTGGGACTCGTCGGCATCTGAGCGTGTTCCCAGCAGGGTTCCGATCACTCGTTGTTGGTCAAGAGGACGACGGGTGCAGTGGTCGAGGATGGAGAAAAGGGCCTTTGGTTCGGTCGGGTCAGCAGGGTTCAAGCAACATAGAATTTCATCTTATCTCACTTGTGGCTGGATCACAACCCGAAGGGGAGCAATTGTCGGTTGTGCGCCCGCCGCAGGAAGGGGTCGGGCGAGGTGGATGAATCCATCTTGCTCAGCCATGCTGGGTAGATATATTTGCTGCGATTCGATTTTCTGAAAGCCGTCGCTCAGTTTGAAACTGGCCTCTCTTGGTGGACGAGAGGTTCGGCGGCGGGTGTTGAGGTTTGGTTTGGCTGGTTGTGTACCTCGTCTTGGAGCGCAGCCTTATTCGTGAAATTCTCTTGTTCTGGCCGCGAATGCCAGAGATGGTGCAGTCAGTGTGGGCGCGGAGAAAAGTTGTTGCACGTGACTAGGTCCAACCATAGCACTGCAGGGCATTGCAAGATCTAATCTAATCTTATGTCCGGCTGAAACTCCGAGTGGCCAAAGTACGACGTCCGAGTTTTGATATGACGGCGGCGATGATGGAAGGAAGATCATTTCAACGGCCACTGCATCCTGGGAGATTTCGTGCCTCTCTTTTATTTCTTATGTGTATCTTTATCACATTACATTGTTAGTTCGTTTCTGGGACCATGAGTGCAAGTGGACTGCTCCGCAAAGATCAACTTGAACGCAGTTTCCATGATGAGAAGAAGTTGATTGAGGAAGGCATCCTCAAGGAAGACAATCCGCTTGACTTCAGCGAGAACTTCCAGAAACTATGTGCCGCTTGCAGGCGAGGCGACCTCAAGGTCTGCCAGGAAATGATACAAGAAGGTGTCAACATTAATGCCAAAGACCAATACGATTATACACCTCTCATTCTGGTGAGCATTTGCACGGCTTGACCCTTCTGTCGCCACTTGCCCTTCACGTCGTTCTCGAAGGACGCATCACTGACAGTTGAACAAGGCCAGTCTGTGTGGCCACTATGAAGTGGTCCAGCTGCTCCTAGAGTCTGGAGCATTATGTGAACGGGATACATTCCAGGGTGAAAGGTACTGCTTACCAGTGTGGTTGAAGTCTTGTTTAATCAGCAGCTGACGGCGTCCAATGCACAGATGCCTTTATAACGCCTTGAACGACCGGATACGAAACTTGTTATTACAATACGACTATTCCAAATCGACTGACCCATTGCAACCATTAGCATCGCACTTGGTGTCGCTTTTGACTAGAGAGCATCCCAAGACTTCCGACATTACGGTCTCGACGAGCACAGAATCATTCCATCTGCATAAATTCATTCTTTCTGCACGCTCACCCTACTTTCGAAGTAAACTCGCAGCGGCCCCCGAGACGACAACCTGGAAACTGCCCCCGACTATACCTCCTCCATCGTTTGGCATCGCCCTCAAGCATTTATATCTCGGTGAGCTGCCGAGGGAACCTGGTGGCGGACCGGGAACGGGCTACACGGACTCGGAGGTTCTGGCTGGTGTCGACCGAATCAGCAAGCACCTAGAAATACAAAGCCTATCTCACTTAATTCTCGATAGCAGTGACCGCCGCCTCGCCCGGCAGCGACGGCAAGACGAAGTCGAGAAAGGCCGCGACCAATTGGAGCTCTGGTTTCGAGAGAACGTCCTTAAACATGCCATCGAGACCGACACAACCCGAGCCGACTCGATCAAATGGGATCGCGACAACGGCGTATTTGCCGACATTCTCCTCCGCGCCGATGCCGACGAAGCCCAGGACCAAGATGATAACCAGACCAATGAAGATGGAGGTGTGCGACGCCAACGACGCTTCGCCGAGGACTCCTCACAACAATCTCCTCCGACGAATGTGCTCGGGATCCCACTGGACAGGGGCTCAGGATCGACCTCGACCTCACTGTCACCCTCACCATCACAAACATCGTCTCGGTCACCATCACGGTCGTCGCCTCGATCTCGTCCGCGCCGGACCAAAATCTACCCATGTCACAAGGCCATGCTGATCCGGTCCGAGTTCTTTATGACCATGTTTGACTCGTCGTTCCGTGAAGCACAGGAGACGCCACACCTGCAGATCGTGCCGATCGACTGCTCGCCCGAAGTGCTCGAGATCATCCTGACGTTTCTGTACACGGAAAGGGCGGATTTTGGCCTCGACGTGGCGGTCGACGTGCTCTTTGCGGCCGACATGCTGTTCCTGGAGAAGCTGAAGGCCAAGGCAGCCGTGGTCATTTCGACGCTCGGCAACGGCACCGCGACCGCCATGCCCTCGGAGGCCGAGCCGGGCCGTGAAGACGTCGACCTCGACATCTACGAGATCCTCCGTGCCGCCTGGCTGACCCGCGTCCAGCGCCTCGAGGAGTTTGCCGCCCGCTACATCGCCTACCGGCTCGAGTCGTACATTGACGATCCCGGGTTTGCGGAACTCGTCAGCGAGTCTGCCGCCCGTATCAGTGCCCGTCAAGAGACCGACTCGATCGAGTTGCTCGACGATATCCGCTACTACCTGTCTGAGCGGTTTCGTTTGCGTTTCGAAGACTCGGGTCTCGAGGACGTCATGGATGAGGACCAGGCCATCCTTGCCCAGCAAGAGCAACAGCGACAGCAACATGAACAAGAAGCCGTTGCCGTATCCGATACCACAGAAAAGAAGATCTCTTCAGCGCCAGTGTCGCTGCCTTATAGGGACGCCGTCCATCGGTTCCCGGACGGAGACCAACAGCATGTACAGCCACCCGTTGATGACGAAGGCGTCGACATGACTGCACCGCCGGAGAAGTCAGATGCAGCTGCAGCTACAGCTGTATTTGTCCCCAGCGAGGCGATGCTTCCTGCTGGCGCGGTGCGGACCTTGGACGGCAAAGTCGCCGGCGACGAGTTTGCCGCAGACGCCGTAAACTACCAGATCCTGCTGAACAAGATCGACGCACTTTTGGAAAGGCTGAAACTGGACGCCTAAGGCCATATACTAGTATCCATCCATCTATCTGCTTGGTTGTGGTTCCTTGTACATAGGATATTACTGACCTGACCACCCAAGCTCATTACTGACCGGGCGGAGAGAAAGGGCGCCGTCAAAGCCAACTACTGTTAAATAAACCAACCGCCTTACCTTGGAACTTTATACCATAGCGAATGAACGAGACACATACATCGCTGATGCACTTTATAAAGTCTCGGGTTGTACTTGTCACAATCTAGTATGTCATTTCCTTCCTGCCCATACAATGGCCATGTAGCACAACAACGACTAGCTACCCTAAGCTACGTGTGAGCACGCTTTTGGTGCGATGAGTCGATTCTGTCTGCCAATTTTCCGTTTCCACTTGCTCCCCTGGCCATCCCGAATATTGCTGTTGTCACATGGAGGATTGCAAATGCATCAGACAGAAAAAGTGGCGCGGGCTGAGATAGACGGGCTTTTCACCCCTCAAGAAGCCATGTAGGTGCTGGAATCGACACCGCCCTCAGGGTACTCGGGGACTTTCGCCTCAAATCTTCGCTCGATCTCCTTAAGAACCTGCTCATCTTGCTCGCTGCTGACGAAAGAAATACTGAGACCCTTGGTACCGAAACGTCCAGCACGACCGACACGGTGGAGATACGAGTCAGCATCGGCAGGCAGATCGTAGTTGATGGCAAGGTTGATACGTTCAATATCGATACCACGGCCAAACACATCTGTGGCCACACAGATACGCTTGTTGAATTCCTTGAACTCTTTGTACCGTTTGATACTGGAAAGCATTGTCAGTATGCAAGCAGCCAAATTGCTGTGAAGTGACAATAATACATACCGCTCTTCCTGGCTGATACCAGAGTGTACCGCGATACTCGGGAAGTTGCATTCGCGAAGCAACTTGTCGAGCTCAGTGGCACGCAAAGTACTCTTGACGAAGATGATGACTTGGTTAAACTCCAGGCTGTCTAGCAACTCGTTGAGCTTTCTGTTCTTCTCGCTTTCGCTCAGTCGGATGGAGTATTGCTGTAGACCGTGGAGGGTGAGCTTGGTCTCGTCGTCAACAAAGACTTCCAGTGGATTTCTCATGAATTTCCGGCAGATAGGCCGAATCTCGGTGGGAAGCGTGGCGCTGAACATCATCACTTGCTTCTCGGTTGGGGTGGCTCGGAAGATTTCTTGTACGTCGCGGCGCATATCTAGAGTAACATTGTCAGCGAATTTCCGCTCCAGAGAGGTCGCGGGTCCGGGCTCATACCGATCTGATCAAGCATCTTGTCGCATTCATCAAGAACAAACGCCTTCACATTACGCAGTGACAGGACCTTGTCGCGGACAAGAGCATTGAGACGACCCGGAGTGCCAACAATGATGTTGGGGAATGTCTCCTTGTTCTTGAGGAGTTCGATATCCTTCTGGATAGGAGTACCACCGTAGAAAACCGCGGTCTTGACGTCCGGAAGGTACTTGCTGAATCGTGCATATTCGTTCTTGATTTGATAGGCCAGCTCTCGTGTATGGCACATAACCAATACAGAGCATTCGCCAGGGACGGGTTCGAGCTGATGCAAAGTGGTCAAGACGAAGACGGCCGTTTTACCGAGACCAGACTTGGCTTGACACAGGATGTCGACGCTGAGCAGAGCTTGAGGGATACACTTTTGTTGGACTGTGGAAGCGTGGATGTTAGAGTGGTTCGCCAATAAATGTGTGAAGACGACGAAAAAGCATCGCAGATCGGTCCGTCCATCTCCTCGAGGCTAAGTAAGCGTGCATGACTCCCCCTCATCCCGACTTGAAGATTGTCCCATGGATGTTGCCTAGACGGTTTTACCGGCAATTTCGTGCCAAGGTACCGTTGCCGTTCGAATGCTACTAGGAAGGCAAGGAAACAGCCTGAACAATCAAGGCCAGATTGACAGCATTCTCAGCATGTCAAATTTCAAGCAGCGCCATGCAACAACTCTCCAGAAGGCAACTGAAGGCGACCTCGACCTTGCGATCTGGATCCTGGCCGTTCGGCCACTCGAGACTCTTCCACACCAAAACATGTCGCGCCTTGCGGTGGTGCAGCGCATCACCATCGACCGTACCAACGCCGCAGGCGTTGCATATGTAACCTCTGGTATCGCGAGATCTCTTCTTCAAAGCCAGGCTTTTTCCTTCTTCTCTTGGAGATGGACGGACCCTTTCGCAGAAGGAAGAACGTGGAGGGACGGTATTGCTTGCAGGAATGAATGACTAACCCTCCGAAGGATGTTCGAAACCGCAGTCGGTAATAGCTCGGAGCAGCTCGCCCTTGAGCAAGAAATCTCTGAATCCGGTGGAATGAATGCCGACGTAGCTGCCTTTACCCTTATCGGCTGCCTTTCCGCCCGTCACAGTCAGGTCGCCTTTCTTCGCAGCACCGTTTGTCGCGCCGGCGGCAGCGGGTGTTTCGGTGGCTTGGAGCTCCTCATCCGAGTAATCGATGAGATCTTCTTCGGCAGACATGGTGAATGAAGTTACGTTCGTGAGGCGGCTGGTTGATAAAAGCGCGTAGGAACTGTGTAGACTCGGGACGGTCTCGTCGCGTGGAAAACCTCGACTTTGCCGCTAATGGTCTTCAACGCGATCGCGAAGAAAACGTCGGGTTACTGACGAGAGGAGATCAAAGTTGCAGCAAAAGTATCAGAGGCAAATGAAGGGGAATAAGGAAAGAAGTAGACCGGAGTGATGCCTGCGACGAAGTAGAAGGAGTTGGGTTTGAACTTGAAGAGGCAACGTTTGCAGCATTATTACCTAGGTACTGCTGCTAGTCCTGCCGGTGCACAGGCGCAGGCAAACCCAGCTAAGCCATAATAGGTCTAGCAGAAAATCTTGTTGCCTCACTGGCAGTGTCAGGCTGAGGTAGGCTGACTAATGTTGCCGTCTGCACGTGACCCTGGCAGCCTTGTGGATATGCCGGTAGTATATGGGTCGAACACTTTCTACTGTGTACAGGACTTACCTGCCTGCCAGCTGCCCATTGTAGTATCGACTTCTTTCGCCCGTTTACTCCAAAAAATAAAGGAATAGCGGCCGTCCACTAAAGATTCGCTGCCTCGCCGCTCAAAGTGACCCAGTCACTTCGAGATGCATATCTGAAGATATTCAAGGCACGGGTAATACGATGCCCTTGCGAGGGGCGAGTCAAGGACATTAAAACGTTAGGCGACTTCCGAAAAGCCCTCGTGTTCATTGCACTCAAAGAAGTCCAGTCAAAGATGGCAAAAGCAAAGACCTCCAAGGGAGAAGGCGCAAACGTCCCCAACAAACATCTCCATGCGAGACTATCGTTTTTGCATCAGGCTGCCACATATTTGGCCGTTGCAGGGGATGTCAAGGCTTCAGAGCCGCAGACCAAGAGCACCAGCAACGAAGCCCGAAATGGATCCGATAACCAGACGGCTGATCCGTCGACATTGTGCGAAAAGGCCAATAATCATCATGGATTGGAAGCTATGCGACTCCTCAGCCAACTGCGTGGCGTATCTCGGAAAACCCAGATTCGGCTCGCGCCCACCATGAAACATACACTTTGCAAGCGGTGCGACTCACTACTGGTCCCCGGAAGAACAAGCACGGAGAGGGTGGTTAACGAGAGCAAGGACGGCCGAAAGCCGTGGGCGAATGTGTTGGAAATCGAATGTGTCAAGTGTGGGACGATCAAACGCTTTCCTGTGGGCATGTCGAGAGACAAAGAAAGAAGATCTACTTCACCTGGAAAGACGAGTGGCATCACACAGTAACTTCGTAGAGCATCGCAAAATGGTCATTGACAAGTCAGCCTCGCTCCCCGGATATGCCTCAATCGCAGCGTGAGCCATCATCCCAATCTAGGTCGAAGTCAACAAGCCTATCAGACAATCTCCTGCCCAATGTCGGTGGTAACGGCAGTGCAAAAACTAACTCATCCATCCATCAGTCCATCAATCAATCAATCATCCAGCATTATGCCACGCTAATAGCCATTTGAAAACATTTGCTCATGCGCGAAGAACCCGTCTCGAGTAGTCATACAGGTGTCCAACGTCCAGTCGTAAGTCAATGTCCAGCCGTGAGGCTCCGGTCTCTGCGTTCGCCATGCAAACAGATTCGAATGAAACAAAATCCACATGCCCCGCCGTCGTTACACGAAGGGCCGGGCTCCAAGCCAAAGTGAAGGTCATGAGGAATATAACAGTTGCCGCTTGCCATTGAATCGTCGTCGTCGTTTCTCGTCATGGATGTGGTTTTCCGTAGCGTGCGTAGTCGTAAAAGTAGAATTCCCTCGTGGCCACATCATCGTCTGGGGCGGGCGCCAGCCCCGTGGCCGCTTGGGCGGCTCCGGTCCAGTCTGTCCGAGACCTTGTCGACATTGTTTTTCAGCTGCCTCACCTTATCCCTGATCCTCTTGACCTTCTCCAGATCCTCCTCAAGGCGGTCCATCTCCCTCAGTATCCGGCGGATTCTGGAAATTTGTGCGTCTGCATCGCACATGGCACCATTGGCTCTGCTGCTTTGGGATTGAACGGATTGTTCGGTAGCTTCTTCCAGCTAAGGTGGCAAGAAGTTCAGTCAGTTCAGCACATTGGGGTGTAAGGTGCAAAGGGCCAAGGTGGATTTGTGGGCTTACTTCTCCAATGCGCCTCTGGATGGATCTCATCAGATTATCCAAGTGCAAACTCAAGGTTTGAAGACTATGCGGATCCAGCATGATTCGCCCGGGCACGCCTTGGCTGCTGGCGGCACTGGCGGCGCGGGAGCTGGGCTGGGAGTCTCTGCTCGTGCCTCGACCGCGGTCGGCCATCCCGCCGCCGGTATGGCTTCGCTGAGCCAGGACCTGCTGCTGCTGTCGGAAGAGGAGTAATTCAGACTGAGTCAGGCCGAGAACAGAGTCGGCGACTGACTGCGGCGCGGACATGGACGTCCAACTTGGACTCGGAGGAGGACTGTGACCAATCTTTGCGTACAGACAGGTGGCTTTCGACAGGTACCCGTAGTAATCAGACACAACATAGCAGTTCTACAAGCTGATAGGCGGTGCGGGAAGCCGTCAAGAGTCGTGCAAGAGACACCAGACAGCAATCTGGCTCCTAGATATGGCAGTATCGGAGAGCCTGGTCATTGTAGCTTGACGTATCGGCGGGCGTCTTCGCAGCAGCAGCGCAGAGCCTCAGGTTTGACCAAGCGCTCGCAGTGTTTCCTTTTCAGTCAGGAGCGCTTATGGCTTTTGTGGCTTTCACCCCGGGAGCCTGGCGGCAGTGTCTTGTGGGACGGTGGGCAGAGCGTCGCGAGTGGCCTCAGGCCAAAGAGGGGTATAATGGCGAGCTGCACAAGGGTTCGACGAGCGAGAGGACGAGGACAAAGGCGCCAGTGTTGGCCACGGGATCGGGATCGGGAGCAGGGACCGAGACCGCGAGTAACTGTTTCATCGCCTGCGACAGTCGAGCGATGAGAAGGAGGAGGAGGAGGAGGAGGAGGAAACCAGGCGTAAGAAGGACAGGATTCCACGAAGCAGAGAGCAGCCCTAAGACGATGAGCGCGGTTACAATCGTCGACGCCAGAAGTGCATTGCAGCGCAGCATCCGGTGCCAACCTGAACCCTAGTCCCTGGCTACTGATTCTCCCAGCTAGTACCGTACTGCTAATGCGCGACAGATGCTATACCATGCCTAGCTGGACACTTCGCTGGAATGGTGCAGCCGTGCCATCGCAAAGGTGTAAGGGTTGACCCGGAAGCCGTGGAATGGTCCAGCGGTACCGTCCTGTTCAATTGGCCATCGTGATCCTCGTGCCGCTGGGGCTGGGCTGGCTTTGGTGTTCGTAGGGACCGAGGGGGAACTGGGGAGACCATCGACATGGGGGCCGGGTGGGAATTGCAACACCATCATGGGATGAGTGGTGAGTGTTCCAAGGAGGGTGGGCGAGAAGAGAGGATGGCAGTTTGCACCCGTTGTCAACTTGAAGGGTCAACAGTCTGATGAGCCATGCAGTGCAGTGACCATCTCATCCTCTTTGCTCAGATGGTGCTAACTGCTAGTATTGCACGTCAACCACACGAGCCTCGTGTCGTGTCCTTTTGCGCCTTGAGTAGATCGTGCTTATAGCTGCGTTGCTTTCTTATTAGGTACTACTCGTGCATGCAGCTGGTGTAGCACACGCCTGGGACATTTGTAGCCTTTCCGTCCGAGTTCATCTGGCCTGGTTCCCGTCCACACTGGTGTCTGTTCATGCAGGACCGCTCCCACAGGGCATGCCAAAGGCCTTCGTCCAGCTACATCTGCAGCTTCGAGTTTGGGACGTGGCGCTACTGCATCTCGCGCATATTCTGATGCTCGCCCTGCAGCTGCCATCTTGGAATCTATGCTGGAGTGGGCGCTGTGCTAACCGGTGAGACCCAAAAGTGTCCAGGGTAGCAGATCTGATACTGGGGAACCGCTGTCATCCGAAATCTCAGCCTGTGTCCGAAATCCTTCTCTGCCAGTGACGTCTGACTGATTTCCCGCTTCACTGCAGCTTAGACGCCCCGTCCGCAACTACAATGTACATGGTATAATGTGCACTTCCGCCTGAGGCAGCCTCCCTCCGCCTACGCAGGGCACTCGCACCGAGGGGACGTTAACACCCACTTCCACCTTTTGGGGGCCGAAGAAGGCCTCGGGCTCCGCTTGACCTCTGGCCTTTTGCTACGCGGAACTAATAGGCCCCAGAGTCCATTGTCACCGTAGCCAAAACACGGTTCCAGTTGTCGACATCGTCCACCTCACGACACATCCTACACTATTGTTAACCCTTTGATTTTCAATTTCCAGCCGGTTGCCCAAAACAGAAAAATGGCGAAAGACAAAGAAAGGACTCTCAACCCGGCGCAGCAACAGCGCAAACTCGAGAAAGCGAGACAACTGAAAAAGAGTCGGGCGGAACTGCAGGCCAGACGCAACGAGAAAATGGCGCGCCGCAACCCAGACCGCATCCAGCGACAAATTGCGGACCTCAAAGCCCTGGAAGCCTCGGGCGACATCAAACCGCGCGAGAAAGCCATCCTAGAAGAGCTCGAGCGAGATCTGCGAGCCGTGCTCAAGGCAAGAGAAGCCCTGGGCGACAAAGCACCCAAGTTTTCAAGTGGCAGCAGCGGTCCACAGCAGCGGCGACAAAGAGACGGATCCGATAACAATGTCTTGGGTAAACGACGGTATGATGGCGAACGCAAGCGTCCCGAATCCTCCTCGGGAAGCGACACAGACGAGTCCGTCCGCAGGATACCCATGCCGGAGGATACGCCGCCTCCTATACCACGCGAGTTTAGACGGGATCTCCGCGCCCGTCATGCTGATCAGCAAGAAACATCAACACCTGCAACAGCAAAACAAGAAGGAGGACAAGACACCAACACCCGCAAAGTTGCCGCCGCCCCGGTGGTCAAAACCACATATGAGAGCGCACCACAGATTAGAGACCTTCGAAAGGAGGCCGTTGGTCGCTTCGTGCCGAGTGTGGTTCGCAAAAAGCTCGAGGCGGCCAAAGGCGGCGGCCTGGGCCGGCTGGTCGAGCCCGAAGAGATGGATCGTCTCGAGGCCGAGGGATATGCACACGCACAGGCACGGACAGGTCGAAACGCCCAAACCGACCCAGGTCCTGGTCCAAGTGCAGGTCCTGCTACGGGAATAGATGATGCCAGGCTGGCAGAGGAAGAAGAGCGCTTCCTTTGCGAGTTGGGCATGCAGGATGGCAACGAAGAGACCGCAAACGAAGATGATGGCCCCAAAGGCGTTGTTGCCGGCCCATCTGGCCCCGAGCCGCAAATACCAAGCAGACATGTCGAAATTGAAGAAGTAGAGGATGAAGAAGCATGATATCAATATGATGTGGACAGAACCTAAAAAGAAGCAAACGGGACGCCTTTGCGTATCTCACGCCTGGCCTGGTCGTCTAAACAATCAACAAAGAAGCCATGATCGGCTCGTAATTCTTCAAATCCAATCGATTTGCTAGAGAATTACCCTAAGCCTCTCTAACTCGGGAAATCCATTTTTGGACGAGAAACCTGTACCCAATAACGCCAGAACTCACAGCCCAATGAACTCGCTCAAATTCATTTGCTCAGATGCCGCAAGCTTCCTTTGCCGCACGGGAAACAAAAAACACAGACACCCTCTCCCTGGTAATAGGCCTCATGACAAATATGCTCTAGCCTGGTAAGCCGAGGAGCCTCCATGAATCCTCAACAGGGGACACTCAGCCGCGAAGCCTTTCAAGTTCGATATCCTCTGCCACTATTGATGCAAGGGCAAAAGGGCAACAGCTGTTCTCCAGATGTACATAAACACATAACCTCATCAATTCGTTCCTAATGAGCTGTTGCGTTCTTCATCGCATTCCGCGGAACGTTCTCGTGTCTCGTTTGAGGAAGGGACTTGGTAGGTCGTCTCCCAGGACGTCGGGATCCCACACAGGAACAGGAGGAAGCTCTTTGTCACTTGATCGCCGGCCTGGGACATTCTTCACTCCCGAGTCGACGTAGACACCGGAGTCGGCACTCATTGGTCGGCCACCAGCTCGAGCTTGTGCCAGTTCTACCAATGTGCGCCCGCCAACCCCGTTGCTCGCCACAGGCTCCCGACCAGCGGCCAATTTACTAGGGAGTCTGCCGCCAGTGGTTGCCACACGCCTCAAGGGGCTAGTGCTGCCATCATCTGATGTGTTACGATCTCTCAGGTCGGTCCGGCTTGGTATCTTACTGAGGCGTCGGCTTGGGCTCGAAGGCTTCCCTGTTGCGGGTCTGATGTCGCTCTCTGCCGCAGTCCGCCGGGCTGCCGAGATACCTGCCCTTAATTGTGCAGCAGCCGCGCTGGAAGGAAACAGCGTTGGCTTAGCCGTCAGCTTCTGCATGGTGGCTGTGGTGTTCTGTCGCAACAACCCTGGTCTGCTTTTCGAAGGCAACGGGTGCGGCTGTTTGAAAGGATCACTGCTCAGAACGTTGGATTTGGGTCTAGTGGGACTGGGAAGTGTTGGGAAGCCGTCGTCATCCGAGTCTTCTCCAAGTCCGTCGTGCTCGCCGTCGTCGGAAGAGTACGCGAGCTGAGGCTCCCATCGTGCCTTCTTACGCTCTGCCTCGGTGAAGATGTTCTTTGCACCTGTGGCCGTCACCGTAGGATTCGCAGTAGCTTGGGCCGCAGCATTTCTGCGCGGTGAGAGCGCAAGAGATGAGATGGACATGGGAGACGGTTCTGTCATTTGGATGTCCATCGGCGAGTCCACCGTAGTTTTGGAGCGAGCAAAAGGTGTCTTTGTCCTCTTTGCTGGCCCACGCTTCGTCGTGGAGGTGGCCGGAGAGTTCAATGAAAGGTCCGATAGGTCGGTAATATCGGTAGTTGATGGAAAGTCCTCCTCTCCGGCGGTATTGACAGACGAGTGGGGATCAAGATTCTCCTTGTTGAACCCAGGGCCAGGCGCAAGGTGGTTCTCTCTGAGCGCTCTCATGTCGGCGTTGTGGGTATGCTTGGATAGAGCTTGAGCGACGCGTTCATCAACTTCCTTTTCGAACCTCTTGCGCAGGTTCTCCAGTTCCATTTGGACCTGCCGGTCGATCTCCAGTCGTGCTTTGACCTCCCATTCGCGTCGAAGTTGAGCATCAATCTCCGTCCTCATCACAGCGCGGTCCGCCTCTAGTGCCGAAAGTCTTTCCTCGGCTTGCTTCAGTTTCTGCTCTGCCACCTCTTCCCGTGTCTTCAGCACTTTGCCGATACTCACCATCTCCTGCTGCCGTCGGGCAATCCATACATAAGGGACTGTCAGCAGCGAGATAGTATCGGGACGGTGCATGGGATTGGTCTTCAGACAGCTAGCAATGACATTTGCCAGATCTTTGGAGTAGATGCTCGGTATCGGCTTGAACTCTCCCTTTCGGATTCGTTGCACAAGCTGCAGATGAGAATTTGCGTTGAAGGGCGGTTCCTTGGTGCATAACTCATACATGATGCAACCCAATGACCAGATGTCGGAATACAGGGTGTATTTCTCTGCTGCACAGATCTCGGGTGACATGTAGAATGGAGTGCCGACGTAAGTGGAGGCGAAGTCATGAGACTGCATCAGCTTGGACAGGCCAAAGTCACCTAGTTTGACGGACTGATCTTCACCCAAGAAGATGTTCTCTGGTTTGAGATCACGGTGCAGAATCATCTTGCCTTTTGCCGGTGGACGTACTTCCTTCTGTCGAGACAGGTCATCCCCCGGCTCCGGTGGGTCGACCCCGTAATGACAGCGGTATAAAGCGGTAACCAGTTGACTGAATATTCTCCAGACGAACTCTTCCTTGGCGTATTCATTCTTCCTTTTAAGTTCTTTGATTACGCATCCCAAATCCCCTCCTCCGCAGTACTCCATGTACAGGTACAGCTCTTGGGTGTGTTTGAGATGTTCGCGATGAAAGTAGCCAACGATATTCGGGTGCTTGAGAGATGAGAGAATAGAGAATTCCGCATGCAGCTGATCACGTTCCTTTTGTGACATCTTGAGGTAGTTTATCTCTTTCCGACAGAGGACCTGTTGACGATGTCTGTCAGCAAGTGCTTTGTCCACAAGGTCACACGCAAGATATTATTTCCTTACATGACCGTCGCGTCTCCGTCGGACCTTGCGAATGATGCCAAATGCGCCGCGGCCTGGGCCGATTAGTAGATGATCTTATGAAGAGGCAGCAGGAGAAATGATTACCAATAATCTCTTGGACTTCATACTTATCATTCTCAGCAGGAACAAGAGCCATGTTGACCAACCGAGAAGGAGCGTTTGGTTCAATTAGGTAGGCGCCGTTAGGTTGTTCTCTCATACGCAGGATGGCATCACCAGGACATGCAAGGGAATAAAGATGCGGTTGACCAGAAAGTTCGCGGTGGAAGGTTCCTTGCAGAAGGGCGAAACAAGTCTGGAGTTTATCTTGGGTGGAGGAATTGACCGATCAAGTTCACTGAATCGCGAACCTCTGTTGACATGCTGTCACTGGGACAACAACAGTGGATCACGTGATTTAATGGATTTGTTGCACGCAGTGCTAGTAGACTTCTTCAAAGTGATCGGTACATATATGCCCTGACAGGACTGCCAGTGAATGTCAGCTGCTACCAAAGACCACCGGGAAGACATTGTGACATTGAATAATGTAGTGTAGGTGCCTTTTGCTCTCATGCTGTTACCACAACTACCTAGGTAGAGTTCCCGCAGACGCAGCCTCACTGTAGCGCAAATCATCATTGAAGTCATGTGATTCAGCCTTGCGTCACAGGACTCGCGGGTACCTGGCGCAACCCTCAACTTGCTGCTTGAAGACGACTACCTTAGTATGACGAGGATGACGTGCCGGTGGATGATGGTGGGCAAGCCGCTTACCTTGGCTATGGTCTTCAGTTAACCATTACAAGCCATCCCAGTTTTGACAAGATGTTCACATGCGCTGGCCGGCCTCTGAGCGACCAACGGCATACAAATATATTTCTTCGTCAGACACATGGAGGCTGCGGCCTGGGCCTTTCAACAGGCTGTATCAAGCGGAACACTATCTACAGGCAAAGGCAGCATAGCCCGGCGGTTGTCATTGAAGGCTCACAGACTGGCTGTGTGTATATCCCCTATCACAATCGAGACGAATGGAGCAGTTTGAGGCGAGAGTGAACCATGGTTGTTCTGCTTCATGGAAATGCTAAAGGTGCCCGGTTCGTCGCGGGTGTCTGGTCCAATACAGAAAGGGGCATGATAGATGCTATAATGGAGATTCTAGAGTACCCTCCAGCACATACCCGGTATGAATTAACTAAATGAAGCTGCCAACTACCTACCAAGAAAAGTACAGTAGTATATAGATCCTGAGTTAAGGTAGCACGCAGCAACTGTTTGGGCCGACCGCCCTGCAATTGGACCTCTTTTGTGACCTATTTTGCCGTCATAGCTGCAAATTATGCATTGGGAGAGTGCTGGACGACTGCTGAAAGAGCCCATAGACCGGATAGTTTGACGAGCGAGTCAACGCCAGCGGCATCCCCTGGCGAGTTGTCAACATGCAGTGCCGGACTTGGCAGGAGAAGGTTTTTGCTAGAGATATCTAGTACCTTGTTATGTACGTCAAAGTAGTCCTGGCCGATGGTCAAGTTGAATTATCCTTTCTTCCGGCCTACTAGCAGGCGCGGAGTCGATGGTCAACTCAAAGTCGAGCTGTTTGAAGCCGCTTCAGCCAACAGGCTCACAGAGTCACGATTCGCCTAGCTCCGACCAAACTCAAACACCCGCAGCATGACATCAAGTGCTGCACACTGCTTCTAACCGAGCCTCCATCACACCTACACATGCTCCAAGCGAAAAAGGTAAATTGGCAAATCCGGTGCAGCACCTCAGCTTGCAGGGCTGTACCGTGGTGGTTGACATGGTCCGGCAGTCAGTGTTAGGTTCCATGGAGAGAGCATGAGTATACTAAGTACCTACTAGTAGGGAGTTGTACAACGCTGTAGTAGTAGGGCCGTTCACTACTGGAGAAGTTATTTGGCACACTGCGCACTGTTTTGTCTTGCGGCTTACAACGTTAAAGCGCAGCAGGTTCTGGTCAAGCTGAAATCAAGGCAAAAGCGTAACGGTCCACCCACCAGCTTGGAACGCTATCGACTGGGACACCACTTTTCAAGTTCGGGAGGGCAGTAGTACGTTGCAGATGGGGACATCTTGGAAATTATGGTACTGCAGTGTACGATAAGACATCGTCGTGTTCGAATGGCATTGGCTGTGGGCAAGCCATGCCGCAACGGCAGCAAATTTTCGTCAACGGTGCATGCACCAAGTTGGAAACGACTCCTGAGTGGCGATTGATGGCGAACATGAAGACAGTGCCCCTCAGGCCTGCTGTGATGGCCGAGGGGGCTGCCACGTGGAAAATCGGCAGAGATTGGGTCCACCCGGGGCCATTTGCGCAAGATTTGACGAGCCAACACACTTGTGGATGTGAACAGCCCGAGGAGTGTTTGCTAGTTTCAGTCCTTGTTGGCTCATTCGTACCTAGTCTCACAGAGGACTTGAACGGTACCGAGGAGCGGCCAGAGAAGACCACCCCTATCTAGTACCTAGTACTCAGTAGCAGTCAGTGGGTAATAGAAATAATATGCCCCTCCCTTGGCTGTTGCAGGCTTGGGGCCTACCCTGGGCTTTGATTGTTTCATTGTGGAGTCTGCGGGTAGGCGAGGACGAACGCTTATCCACTCTCTCCCTAGACCATGCTCGGACAAGATGAAGGCTTGAGGGCGCTGCGAGCAAAGTCGGAGAGCATCTACCCTAGTAACTATCCACTGTAGCGGGTTGAAGCCAAAGGTGAATGTAGGAAGAAGTCTGAAAAAAAAAGCCATTTTCAGTCGTGCTGTACAATAGGACGCATGCTGCTGGAGCTTGCTTCGATCCGTGTACAGGGACTCCGATTTTCGTAATCTGCAGGTCCGTGCCTGATTGTCTGCCTGAGCTCCACCGTTATGTATTCTTTATCCTCACGTTGCTGTGGGAGCAGTCGAGAGAAGATGGTGCTCTGGAGAAGCTCTTCAACACTCCTTGTTGCTGGTCAAAGCGCCATTGGATCTCACGCCATTGGTCCATGAAGCCAAATGACGGTCTGCGAGATAGTCAAAAGAGTCACTGGGACTACCACTGTAGTCTTCCGCTGCGGACAAGCTCGCTTCGGAGAAGGATGTGCAGTGCCCACGCGCTGTGGGGTACAAATCCCGACTGTTGAGCAGGACCCGACTCAGACGACTCCAAAAGGCGGCTACTAGCACAGGGCTAGGACGACCAAAAGGGTGGGCCAGTTTTACGTCGTCTGTATCCGGCATGATTGCTGTTGTCGTGGCATTCCCCGAACGCCGGGCGCGTTTGGCCGGGTTGGACAGGAGCATCAACCATGGGGTGGGGGCCACTCTACTTTGACAGAATATTGCAACATATGACACCTAAATCCCAATATGAAAGAGCAATGTTTGAGGCCCTGGTGACATGCAGACGATTATCCAGCTCGATTGCGGTCGCTCCTAAGCTTGCTGCTTGGACAGTAATCATGTCTCGATTGCAAGCGTAGCAGCGGAAGGTCGCGTTACTGACGAAGGTGCCAGGTACCTAAGGTAGGTATCTTCCAGATACAGCGGCCGAGGTCGGCTTCACGCTGGCTGACCAGCGCTTCGACCCCTGACACAGGCAATGGACCATAAAAATTGACTCATCCCAATCGGTAGTTTTTGCCACGTGGCACTGTTCATCAGGATCCGGAGAGCCCCATTCCGATACTACTGGTAGTAGCGTGCAGCAACAAGAGCAGGGAGGCGGTCCGGGCCAGGCCGCTGATCGGCTTCCGCGTCTGTCAAATCAGACATCCGTTCTTGGGATCAATGACCGTTCATACGACAACATGGCTGCCCTAGTCAAGCAGCTCGTTCCGGGAGACTGGGTGCAAAGAAGAGTCTCATGCCAGTGCTTCAGAGGCGCCAACTGGGTGGTTGCGCCGATGCACCGAGAAACGATAGCAGCGCCCGGCAGTAGCTCGCTCAAGTTGTGGGCCTTTTCGGCGCCATGTTACCTCTGTGTTGGGTCAGCCGGGTGGGCTTGATCTCCACCTGAGAGGTCTGCTCAATTATGTACGAAACCTGCGAGTACGAGGCACATTACCAGTCCTCTGGTTCTGCCGGAGTTGCTCTGCGGGCTAGATGCTAGTGTTCCGAGCATATTCAACGGAACGACTTCGTGTCTCTCGTAGTCATCGCCGGACATCCCCTCTATCGCAGATAAAAGTGAAACCATGCGTGTGGAGGCGTCAAATGCCAGTACCTAGGTAGTAACGTACGTACACAGGGCGTCCTGCCGTGACTCTTCCCATCTGGCAAGGCGCAAAGCTTCTTCTCCGGAGTAAACCCAATCGAGGTTTTAGACACATCCCACCCTCCCGCTCTACCAAGCCACGGGTCATCCCAGGTCACTCCATTTCCAGGAAGGGCCCCTTAAGTACTGCTGAAGAGGAAGTAGACTCGGGCCATCTTAGCCATTATTATCTGAGTATGCGACCTCGAACCGCCGTCGCTGAGCGTGGATCTGATGATCATTTCGCACTTACATGGCGAAACAAGACAGGTAGGAAACGGCTCCAGGCAGAACATCGGCAGGGGCAGCAGATCGGTGCTTCAGCACGACCCGTATGAGGATAAGTCAGGCCCGATGCCACATGGTAACCGCCCGGGCTAACACACCAGCCCACTGCAGCCGGGGAGGGGTGATCAAACAAGCCATGTGCAGCACGATCGACACATGTGGCTGGCGACACCCGGGTTTTCTGGAGCGAGATAACTACCCTGGTCCTGGCAGCGATCATACAGAATGGCGCCGTCGCTTCGGATTGAGCAAGGGGCCCTAGCCGAGTTCCTCCTCAAGCACTGGCACAACCTGAACGTCACCCTAGTCCGCTAGCTCTGGTCCTACAAGGCATAATTGGTCCAGTGCATGACATTGTTGATGAGATAACAGTGATGAATCGATGTTTTAAAGCGAGACGTGGATGATGGGTGAGGCCCACATTGGTAGCCTTCAAAACCATCCACCGATGAAAGGGAGGGGCGTGGTAAAGTTCGAGCCAGGCGTGCAACGGAAACCAACGTTGGCGGAATGTAGCGATTGAGGTAATCAGTAGTACCTACTACTAGAACCACCCACCCACCTATGACTGGGGACTGGCAGCCCGGGACCAGCTGAGGGCTACTACTACTACTAGTATTGCGATCTTTCTCTTGTTGGTTGTGTGCAGGAAGCTGAGCTGGATCAGGCCGTAGCGAGTTCCCGCCCTGTTCTCGCCCCCTTGCGCTTAATCTCCGGCTGACGCTCATTGGGCTCTTCAAGTCTGCAGAAGCGATCAGGCATTCAGCGAAAGCTGAAGTCGTCACAGTGGTCTTCCCTGCGCTGCACTGCAATGCACCTGAACTGCAAGCGCTACTAGTAGCGATGTTTGTTGCAATGCTTAGCGAGCTGCGAGTACAGGCTATAGCCACAGTGGACTGCATGTACAACGTTGTAACAGCAGAGGTGCCTGGTAGGTACCTAGGTACTCTCTGCGCAAAATGGCGCCTAGACAGTCGTCGGTAGACCCCAACAGCAGCCACCCCGCGAGCGTACATACGGTAGTTAGCAAGCAAAGTTCGAGGTGCTAGTACCGAAGTACTCCTCCGGTCGTTGAGATGGTGCCTACCTACTTGAGCATGCGGCCGAAGCGAAGAGGAAAAAGCTCCAAATGTCAAGGCGAAACCCAAGCACTAGCAGAAATTGCGTGCATAAAATTAAAGGGCAGCCTAACATGCGTGGCTTGGGTACTACTAGTATTGGCACATACTAGGTAGTACTGCATCTATCTCCATGTTCAAACCGCCGGTGCCAGTGCCCCTCGACCCGCTAAGCAGAATTTGCATCAACAGCCAGTATTGTAAACCGCTATTTCTCTTCAAACCGTACGCGAACTTTTCTACGTTGACACAGCACCAGCCCCCAACAGGTATGCAACTATACTACGCCGGTCCACCATCGGCAGTTCAGTTTAATTCCTGTAGCACGTAGATTGGAAGTCTGCTTGTGCCAGGGTGCCGTGGCGGTTGAGGTGCTAAGGTACAACTGACGTACTATAGTCGTGGCAGTGTTCGAGGGGCCTTTGAGGGGCTTTCATCTTGGCGATACTATAGGAAAAGCCGGAGCAGGGGGGTGTGCTACAGGTACCCAACAACCTAGATATATGCCTATAGGTAAGATCGTTTAGGTACTTAAGTACCTAGGTAGGTGGTGGCGGTCCGGCGATACGCCTCTGTAAGGGCAGACACAGCCGCACAAAGGCATTCTTCGTAATAAAGTTCCTTAGCGTCACACCTGTTTGACTAGTATGGGTTAGCAGCTCGGTCAATGAGAGCTACCGACGCCCTTGCCGCCCATGATTGACCTACGATTGCCCGGATCGCCTTGATCGCGCTTCGGCAGCCCGGCTAAAGTTTAGAGTTCTGGACTAATGCTCCCTACCTCCCCTAGCAGCGCACAGACAGTGGCACTTTACCGGTACCTCAATTTTGTATCGCTACCACTGTCTTCCGGGAGGAAACGGTCTCAGCTTCTGCAGTGTGCAGTCGCTGCATGGTCTACAATATTGTACACGCCTACCTCCGCTACCAAATGCCTAGCCATAGTACACCGGGTTGCCCACCTGACTGTAGTGGTACGTACCTAAGGAAGGTAGGTAGGTACTAGTAGTACGGTAGTTAGGCATCGAGAAACCGAACTAGGCCAACTAGTACTTCCTCGGGGGAGCATTGAACTTTTCTTTCATGGTCCTCCTTAAGTCCTGAAAAGTGGCACCGAAATAACATGTTTGTGCCTGTGTCAAGCTCGCTTTCACTTCCCTTGCGAGCATACCCTCTGCCCTCGACTACACATTCCATCCGTTTGTTGTCCACCCGATGGCTTGGTTGAAAAAGACACCTAACCGCAACGCTCCGCATCGCAACCCCCACTGGCAGTGGGCCTTTGGACTCAACGGCTAAAATATCTGTGCGCACATTAGCATCGCAGGCCTCATGAATGCTACAGTACATCTTGTGGCACCATGCTGAGTCGGTGCGTCTGCTAGGTTGCTACTACAGGCTAGGTTTTGCCCGCCTCTGCCTCCTGCGACAGCGACATTCGGCCTGTTCCTTACGGAATAATGTGATCCGGCTACTACTGTACTAGCAGTACCATCTATCTCACCAAACCTGAAGGCCCCCGCCGCCGGCTTCATTCTACTGTCGGCCGCAGCTTGCTGGGCTTCCAAATAGCAGGCGGATCTCTGCGTGAAGAGTCACCAGCCGCCGCATCCACCAGCCTCCACTGCTATCCCGGTCGACCCGTCGCCTAAAGCTAGAGTCAATTAGCAGTACTGAGAACCTAAGAGATCGTGGGCTACCACATGAATAAGGCTTTACACCATTGGATGTAACATGATGGACGCATTCGTGAGGAACAGGGGTTACCAGGCTCACGGTATCAAGGTGTCCAGCCGGGTCCAACTCGAATCCATGTTACCCGTCCCTTTCCACACCTTGACATCCCAGCATGATCTCCCCAGTCAGGCTCCTAGCTTGGAATCCGTCTCGTGGTTGCCGCTGCTCTAACCGCCTTGGGCATTTTCTCGATTCGATCCCGGACCCTCAGATGCACGCACCACCCTCACAGACGCAGGCTGACCTGGTCTAAATCCTCGCGTACACCCACGCTTCCGGCACCCACCGTCCGGTACAACTTCGAGACAAGTGTGCAGTATTCGCCGCCCTTACTAACTGCGAGACTAGATTGGATTGGTACTGTATGGACAAGCCTGACGGCTGGAGACGAATTCCACTCCCCACCTGAAAGCGCCTGTGCTGCTGGGCTCCTCGAACTGCCACATTTTGCAGTTGTCCGGCCGGACGGCGCCTTAAACTCACCTACCCTGCCCACTTTTGATCTTCGAGCAGGCCCTGCACATCTTACGCTTTCAACAGCTGCCAACCAAGGCACGGAGTCGACGACAGTCCTTTTGGGCCTTCTGGCAAAGAACGAGCTAGAGTAGTCGAGCCCGCCGCTCGCCGGGCCTGAGCCCCTAACAGTGCTTTCCCCGACTTGTTCTCGACGATCCTTCACCTCTTCCGCTGCTCGGCTACGGAAGCGCCCTGCCCATGGTGGCTCTTTCCGACCCAAGTAATCTGTCACTTCGCAGGATTATCTTCAACCGACCGAGTTGTCAAATCTGCTGTCAGCCAGCGACATAGCGCTCTTCACTACTAGTACTGACCCTGTTACGCTCCTTGCAACGTCACAAACGTGAAATCCACCAATCCTGGTCTCGACTAGCTCGCGTTGCAAACTACCTACAATATATCTTCTCTCATTCTTTTTGTTTCCCCCGCCAGCAGATACACTCGCCTTATACCCTACCACAAACCACTCATCACTGCTCGAATAGTGCAGGATATATCTGGTACGCCCTTTGCGACCAGGCAGAAGCGCCTATTTGAACACCTCAGTTGGCATTACAATACTGCTGGACAGTACCTCATCGGTCGTATCGAGCGACCTCCAACCAGACACTCCTCCGTTGCTCGATCAGCCTCGGGCATACCGCATCCGAGCCAGGACGGGTATTCTGTGCACGATGCAGTAGGGCCGATTGCTGCGATTGCGTATAGGCTATGGCATTGGCTCTACTCCCAAACTATCATTCCTGTCGAGATTTCTACCGCCCTTTACCAACTGCCGCTGTCCTGCTTCCCGGCGTAGCGATGAGGCAAGAAAACCAGACGCGGCCGTCTTTGCCTTCGATTTCGAGTCTCATAGAAGCAGTCACGGAGCAAACTGAGAAAGGTGAGTTGTGCAGTGCCCTTCGTAGGGTCCGATTTTGAGCGTCGATTCTGACAGTTTACAAGGAAAAGACCCTTCCCCTGTATTCGACATCCCGAGGAGGATTTCCAGCAGCTCACAGGGACATAACACAAGTCCAGGTCGATTACAACTATCTGGCAGTCCTCGAAACCGTCCCCCGCCGACGCCCGAACTCCCCCCAGCATCCAGTTTTGATTTCCCTCGCCCATCGCCAACAAACGTCTCTCCCGGCGTTGTTCCAGGCCGGGGCAGCTATTATCACACCGGATCTGCCAGTACAAATCCAGAACTCTATGCACAGCGGCCAGCGACTTATCCTCCCATCACTGAACAGGGTCCGGCCTATCCTGCAAGCGTTGATGCAACTCAGTGGTCATCCGCGCATCCTCTGCGACCTCATCCAGATGTGCTGCCGCAGGATCATCTTCCAAGAGCTCCGCCAGCGGCTTACGGCGAGCACCCAGCAGAGGCGCCTATGTACAATGGACTGCCCCAGCAACGTCCTCTACCTGCCAACTTCCCCGGGCCGGTAGGCGGACCTGGATTGCCCCCGATCGACCCTCAAATGGCCCCATGGCAACACCATCACTACTATCCTCCGGCAAATGCACCGGCCTACCCTCAAACCCAAGAACGATACATATGTCCTACTTGTAACAAACCGTTTTCCCGGCCCAGCTCCTTGAAAATCCACACCTACTCCCATACAGGAGAGAAGCCATACAAATGCAAGCATGCCGGGTGCGGCAAATACTTTAGCGTGAGAAGCAACATGAAGAGACACGAAAAAGGATGTCACGGCGGCGCAAGTTCGAGCAATACAGGAATCAGTCCAGGGACAACTTAATGATGCATTTAACGACCACGAGCCTGCGTCGATCGAAGAAAAGCTTACTCTATTATTGACTTTATCACAGTGACGAAATACAGTGACCCGGGCACCTTTCTACGAACGCCATTACCAGAATTTCAGCCTTCTGCACAAATACCTTGGGCGGTGCGCGTTCTTGCACATACAGACGAGTTGGGAACCCTGCATTCTAGTTTCTATACAATGATTTTGCTTTGGAATCCGCAGATATTTGACGCAGCGACTGTACAAGCTCTCTCAGTGAGCCTCTATTTGATATGCGTTCGAGCGGCATAAGTCGGATGGGAATGGCAGGAAGTCAGCGGGGGGCGACATGATGAATGGCGAAAGAGAGGGACTATGGGATTGATCTCACGGAGCAGGACTGTCTCGTGCGGGATAAATTACAATGTGGCGTACTCAGCGGATCCTCTATTAGTTATTTGGTATTTATGTGGAAAGCCCCGAACGCTGCATGCACTGTATGCTTTGGCGGCTGCGCAGCTCCAGTCGTTCTCGGTATAACGACAAGCAAGAGATTCTGACACCATTTCCACCACGTGGCAGAGGCTACACCCACTGGTACAGCTGGAAAGAAATGCTATGCGGGATTTGTACATTATGGCCGACACGTGTGCTATCAGAGCACTATCCCAAGGGTATCATCACATTCAAGTTTGCGAAAAATACCATAGTTCGACTCGCTGTCCCTCGCGTCTCCTCTCAACGCTTCAGCCACGATCCGGCGCTATTTAGTTGATGGAACCGATTTAACACACGGCGGCAGCCAGCGAGCCGCCGCGTGCCAGTGTGCGTTGGGGTGCCATTGCCTTGGGTCAGCAAGAGTCATCAGGGCAGTCAGGAGTCGGTGAGCTCCCACTGCAGTTCAGGAGGTTGAGCATTGGACCCATGCCAGTGCACAGCGACTGCTAGTAATTGGCAGAGCAGTGGCCGTGGCATGGATGGCGAGCCTTAGTAGGCGGCCGGATGGTGCGCCATATCGGGGTGGAACAACAATAGACCGGTGGAGAAGGGCCTAGACTTCTGGGGGGGTTCGGGGCGGCCGCTGATTGGTGCTCGCATTTCTATCTCCCGTGATTCTTCAGCATCTGCCAGTGCATGGCCTCGTCTTGTCTTTTCGGTTGACAGTCGGTCCTACTACTGGCAATATCACGGTAGCGCCGGTGCGTGCAGTAGACACTGTCTGTCTCGTCGGCACTGGCGTCTCGGCCATGTCGTTTTCGGGACTTAGGGGGAGAAACTGGACTGGGAATTGGAACTGGAACTGGAACAACCACTGCACCTACTACTAAGTAGTAGTATTCGCAATTCCCCACATGGCGAGCTGCAAAGCACACGACCGGCCTTGCCGAGATCGCCACGTGGAACACGAGCTGAGCCATGATCCAGGCCGTCGGTTCGGTTCCTCAATCACCTGCACCCCCGTCAACATCAACATGCAGTGTTCCCTGCCACTCCTACCACTCACTCCAAGCGAGCTGCAGAGCCTTGGGCAAGCAAACCTTCGAGTCAGGCCACTTCGACTCGTTCTGCTGGGGCCTGCATCCAGTAGCGCCAGCGCCCCCAAGTTATGACCTCCTGACCGCTGAATCCCTTTACTGAAAATCGGATCGGCGACGGTAGCAACTGCGCCAGATCCGATCAACATTGTGTCGCATGTCCTGTTCCCCCGGACCCGATTAGAGATATCGAAGAACTGCGGACTCCAGGTCCGGATGACCCGGATATTGCTGCAGAGGTTCCTGATTGAAGAGACGGTTTGCTGGGGAGAAATCAAGGCTTTGGAAAAGATCATTCTGGCTTCCTGCGCTTGGTTCATGCCACACTGTTTGACATAGGCTTTGCCGGGCCTGAAGCTGCTCTGGGCAGAACGAATTGGTGTGAGTAGGTGTATCGCCCTTGAGCTCCGGTCGTAGCCATTTTGCTTGCCTGCATTGACCGTTGGAGTCCGAGCCCTGTTCTTGTGAGGAAAGTCTACACTGCTCTTTGAATATGCCCATCATTTGTCCCCCAAATTGCCGAACTCACTGCCATTGGTCCACGGCAGGTAAGAGGCCCTTTAGGACGGGGAATCGTGGATGATTTTCCTGCCGATGTGCAATAGTATGTGAAGCCTTCATTGTTTGAGGACAGCAATCTTGGGAGCTCGCCCTCTGTCAGAGAGGAATGAGCAGGCTGGCCATAATGGAAAGAGAAGATCAAAGGAGGTAGGTGAGAAGGCCTCATAACAGGAAAGCGCCTGTAGCCTGTCGGCTCATTGTTGGAGAATTTAGGCTTGGTATGAATGCTCTTCAACATCTCTTCTCATGAAGACAGGACAGGACAAGAGTCATGCATTCATGGAGGCCACAGGCTGAAGGCAGATGGTAGACTGTGGGTTGTATCGACTGTTGATGTGTTGAGCCGGGTTCGCACCGCTCTAACATGCCAAAAAGTAATGTCTGCGGGCACGATATCGCCAGCGTCAACTGTGTTTCCAACGCAGGCTCACATGACTTCCACTTACGGCGGACGACATCCTTAGCATCGACGACATCATGGGCGGCGACCTCATCGCTACCGTACTGCCAAGCCACGGTCAGCCTGGCACCCGTCCACGTTCTGTTATTTAGTTTGTCTACGCTGTCTCTGACTTCTTTCACGCCTTCATCAAAAGATCAAACCACTTTTGCCATCGTCAACAAGCCACCTCGACAGCAACATGGCACCAAGAGTCACCAAGAACAAGGGCAGCAAGGCCGGAACGAGAAGAAGCACCAGAAACACCGCCGGCAACAGCAGCAACTTCAACAGCAGCAACACCAATACCACCAGCGCCACCACTACTGCTGCTGCTGCTGCTACTACTTCTACTCCTACCGCCGGCCCAACTACACCTGCCCCTCCTGCTACTACTACTACTGCCGCCGCCGCCGCCACAACTCGTCGCAGAGTTGACCGAATAGCCCTCACGCGCGCCATCCTGCAGCAACAAGTCGGCCCAGTTCGGGTCGATTACGCTGCCCTGGAGCGTCGTTTCCCTGGGGTCAACAGACGGGCCCTGTAAGTTCCTCCTCTTTATCTATCCCCAACAATTTCTAACTGTCTTTGATATAGCCACACCCAGGTCCACCGGCTTGGGAAGGACCTTCAAGTGCCCTTTGTGGGCACTGGGAGGAGCCATCCAAGACGGAAGACCCGGCGGGACGATGAGGCCGAGGAGGAATCCGAGGCGGAGTCCGAGTCTGAGGGCGAGGGTGACACCCCCGATGGGGGAGTCCCCGACCCCAAGGATGGTGGAGGGGGCGATTATGATAAGGACAAGGGCAACGATGGTGCTAGTGCGGCCGCTATTGCGGTTGAGGCCTGATCACGTTCTTTGGTCGTTGGTGTGCTGCTTACTTGTGTGTGTATGTTCCTCCTTTCATGTGCTGCTGTCACTTTACCCTACCTTTGCACATTCACTGTGATACACTATTGTTCACGCAACAATTGCCCGTCCTTCCGAATCGGGACATCATACCGACTACTTAAGCTGGTCAACCCATGCCACCATCTTCTCTACTTCCTCTTCCTCTTCCACTTTGTCCCTCACTCTTCCCCATCAACATCAACCTCAAGTCAACCTCCTCAAAGATCCCTGGCCTTCCTGCCTTCAACTGTATGCACTATTGCTCTCTATTTCCCTTGTTGACTCGAGTTTACTGACTGTTCTGCCTCATGTACGCAGGATTTCTACAGATCGGCTCGAAACGGTGTCGACAAAATGGCTCCCAAAGGAGAAGGCAGCGGCAAAGCTGCTATGTCGAACGAAGCCTTCCTTTCTGCATGCATCAAGCACGGAAAAGAGAAGCTCTCTGTCAATTTCGACACACTTGCTGAAGAGCTGAAGATGAGTGCAGGTGGAGCAGCGTAAGTCATCCTTCCCTCTTACCTGAGTTTGCCGTCACATGGCTTTCTGCAAAGCAGGTATAGAGCGTCGCTCACACTGCAAAGCAAGCCGCTCTATACTTGCTTCATGACACACGCTCCACGAAGGGCGGATTTTTCCTGTCTTCTGTGATTCCTACTACCCACGACTTCGAGTTCCTGATGTTTTCCCTACGACTAACACTGTATTCTCCAGAAACAAGTATCGTGCACTCATGAAACAATTCGAATCCGAAGGTGCAGCTTGGGCAAACAAAGACGGTACTCCGACTCCACAGAAGCCAAAGCCTGCTGCCGGTTCTAAGCGCAAGGCACCCGTCAAGAAAGAGCCAAAGGACGAGGAAGCTAGTGACCACGAAAAAGCCGACGAAGCCGATGAACCACCCAAGAAGAAGGCCAGAGGCAAGGGAGCAAAGGCAAAGACTGACACCACTACCCGAGGTACCAAGAAGGGTGGCAAGAAGAACGCTCCGTTGGTTACTGATGAAGAAGCTGCTGCTCTGACCGTCAAATCAGAAGAGGAAGGAAACGTGGCTGATGACGAGAGCGACAAGGAAGCTGACGATGAGGTCAAGGCCGAAGCCACAGATTGAGGTGCTTGACCACCGTCTACCACATCACATCTCAGCAATTGTTTCCACTACAAACAGGTATTACTGATGCTACTCTGGTTATCGAGCTCTGGGGCTTGGATACCATTTCTATCAGCGCTTGAGATCGATGTGCATACACTCTGCGGCTTTGCGATCCTGGATGGGTGGAGAATCTTTGGCTTTGATTGCGCGTGTGACAGACACTCATGCGCTTATGATGATGAACTGCGAATTCCATGGGCTCGAGGAACTCTCACATGAAACTTCATCAGCACAGTTTTGCTTCCATTCTAGGAGAATGAATTGATTTCCTCTCACACATTATTCTGGTAAACTACAACTCCAGTGGATCTAACCGTTGAGGTGTGCGCTATGAGACCGTGCTTAATCCTTTCTGTCCGCTGGACCACTGGGCAAGTAATTGCGCTCTTCGCGTCACTGATAGCAACTCGAAGAGCACATCACTGGCAAAGGTGAGCTTATGCTGATGTTGATTCCTTCACTTGCGCCTCTCTTTTCTTGTGTTCCCGACTCCATGTGTGTTTGAGAACTTATCAGAAACTGAAATCAGGTTAAATTGATATGCTTGTCTTCAGTGAATGGCCCTTGTGTTCTGACTTCACGCTCAGTCACGAGCACACGCATCAGAACCGACCTGTTGTGGAAATATATAAGCCCCTTCGTGGCTCCCTCGTCCTTTCTCTTCCCTTTCCAACAACCCTCAATCGATCTTGATAGACATTCAGGCTCTCCTCGTCCACCTCCATTCATCAACTCCTTCATCCCTTTATCACAAGGCTCGTCGACTCGACTATCGCCATGGCCCCTCCAAAGACCGAGTCTGAGGATTTCAAATTCATCATGACTTGCATCAAGCACTCTCCCGACAAGCTCAAACCCAACTTCGAGCAAGTTGCCAGAGAAACTGGCGCAAAGAGTGCCAATGCCTGGTAAGCCGACCCAACCACATGTTGTTTGTCGTGCTCTTTCTAGAACGTCGAACGACCTATGATTTGCCCTCTCGATCTTTTGGCTGCCATTCCAATGTAAACGTTCAATTCTAACAAATGCTACAGCTACCACAAGCACTGGGGCATCATGAGAAAATGGGGCCTCACTGGCAGCAAGAAAGGCGGTGACTCCGACACTCCAGCAACCCCGCGTGGCAGAAAACGCAAGGCCACATCTGCAAAGGGTCAGGATGCTGGCGACGACTTTAGCCTGGATGACGGGTCTCTTACCAAGAAGAAAAAGGGCGAGAAAAAGGCGACGGTGGCCGAGGAAGAGATCGATCTTGACGACGACGAGGCAGTAGTCTGCAAGCACGAAGACCGGGTTGAAGTGGCTGATCCAGCAGATAATGTCGGTTTCGTCAAGCCAGAAGTTGACTCTTGAGTACCTTAGCCATGTGTCTGGCCTGATTGAGAGTCGAGTCCAAGTGTGTTTGAGCGAGGTCCACAAGGGCAGATGTGCACTTCCAGAGACATGATACACGCTGCCATGCACACACTGGCATGGAGTAGAATCATGAATTCAAGTTGCTGAAACACTCCTTGAAGCTGATCCATACTTTCGACATGTCCGTGTTGTTTTCTTTTGTGTCCCATTTTGATGGGTTCGACACAGTTCCTGTTGTAGTACTGGTGTCCAACTTTTGAGCAGCTCACTTCAAGGGTTCACATTACGTGGTCCTCAGCCTTGCCCCTTTTCCCCCTGGTACTTCACGTCCAGGCCGACAAAAAGAACTGACGCGGTTAAAGAAGGTACACCTGACCTGAAAGCTGTGAATATGGGCATGGCCAACATCTTGCAAACTTGCAAGTGCGTGCTTACCAAGTTCTCTATATGTGCTGGGGCTATATACTCCAACCTCCAAATTCTGGTCGCCATCACTTATTTCGTTCTTTTGACTGACGGTCTGGCTGTGGAGGCGTACTGGTCAGGAGACTGCCTGTAGACACCGTGGCATATGGGTAGAGATGACAGGTGCATGGCATTACGTCCTTTGCGAAATTCTCGGCGAGGTCTGTCACCTGGCCCTACATACTACTATGTAGCTATGTACGACTTGAAGTGTGATTCAAAACCTGGGCTCCAGCTTGCGATCTCACACCATTTCCAGCATGGTTGGCACGCAACAAACAGCCGTACCTTGGATCGCCTTACGAGTATCTGGAAGTGACGTCGACGACGGTGATACCTAGGTAGTTTAGAGTAGCCATATCTACAATGTAAGCATTTTGAAGTGGTACGACCATCATGGCTCCAGGGAATCTCATCCCGGCAAGACTCAGAAGCGCACATCACTGGGAGTATGGTCTTCGCAGGGCAAATCCTACTCAGTATTGTCACTTGAGTCTCGAAGCTCAAGCATAGTAACCTCTACCCTCGATCAAAGGGCGCTAAATCGTGGGCGATATAAGTTCTTCTTCTACCCTCACTTCCTCTTCAACCTCAGTACCATCCTCAACTCTTCTGTTCTCTTCATCCTCTTCCTTCTTCCTTCACATCCGAACACCATATCAGTGATCGGCATCCTCTCTTCGCTTAAGAATACAGCTTGTCGTGCCCACTGTCATCGTCGACTCACCTCATTTCATCATGCCACCGAAAGTTTCAGCAGTATCCGCCAACGGTGACGGAGATCCAAACTTCAAGTTCGTCTTCACCGTCCTCAAGCATTGCGAGTCGATCAAACCGAACTGGGAGCAAGTTGCCAGAGAGAACGGCATCGGTTACGCCAGAAACGCGTATGTATCCCGGTCTGAGGAATCCCCTTCTTCTTCCTTTTCGGCTGCCCTGTAACCTCAGAGGCGGTCTGCCTCACTATCACTTGAGATACAGCTCTAACTGACACCCTTCTTTGAGGGGACTGCAGTGCCTCAAAGTTCAAAGACGTCGTCAAGAAGCACGGACTGCGATTCGAAAACAACAGAATCAACGACCCCGAAACCCCCCGGATTGGTTACGACGACGAGGAGGTTGCACCAAAGACTCCAAAACGCGCAAAAGCGGCAACCCCGCGCAAGAGGAAGTCAGAAGATGACGGCACTCTAGTCATTGGCAAAAAGAAGAAGTCTGCACCACTGGTCGCGAAGGCGGAGGACGAGAGTGAAGAAGAGGTCAAACGTGAGGATCAAGATGATAAGAAAGCAGTCTTCGCTCTGGTCAAGTCCGAGTACGCTGGACCAGAAGTCTAGGCTTCCTGACATGCTGGCCCTGGAACCTTTGATAGGGCGTGTTCCTGCGGATCACCCCTCTTGGAAATACCAGGTATGCTGCCAACTCATCGCTTGGATCCGACAGGTGGAAGGATTTGGTGAGGCTAGCTGGAGGTGATTGAAGTTCTTTCATGGATATGCAGTTCAGGGCGCTGGTTCTTCCATGCAGGAGCGATATGGCAGCTTGATTTGCCGTTGCTCCCAGATAGCCAAATTAGCGACCACAAAGTGAGGGAATGACAGTTACATCGTGCAGCGTAGTCATTCGCAATTCGTACAGGCTCGTTCAGACGAGCACCCACCTGCCATTCTGCAATGAAGAGGTACTTGTTTTGCGGTTGAAGATGAAGCCCCTGAGCAAAAAGGAGGTTGGTCCGTAAGGCTGCGACTTGGCACTGGCACCAGCCACAGTACAAGGTATATGGTACGGAGCCGATCCGGCGCTAGGAAAATAAGCTTAAACTGTCCATGTCGAGACCATCAGGATAATTATTTCTCCGCATTTCAATATAATTTTCTGTAAGTGATTCAACTTCCTAATCTATACCAATCACTCGCCAGAATGCCGGCTCATCGTCCACGCAGAGGTGCGAAATCCTCTGGACCGAAGCGCGGGGGTGGGAAGCGTGGCCCTGCGCCTCAGGGTCGCAATGCGTTCCGGACATCACGACTGAACGAGGAGGAGTGAGTATCTTGCCCATAGTGAGAAGTTACTCATTTTCTAAACAAGAATAGAGTTGAGCCTGTCCCAGATGGCGCAGACGGTGCGGATGAACCCATGCACAGTGAAGAGGAGGAAGTAGTTGAAGCAGAAGAGGATGCTCAGTCCGCGAGTGAAGACGAAACTCCTGCGAATTTCTACGCAACCCTCCTACAATCACTAAATCCGGGCAAAGAAGAAAGCGAGCCTTCGAGGAAGAGGCGCAAGATCGATGCCCGCGGTAACCGACGCGATGAGGAGCACACTCAACGGCGGTCAAGCGTCGAAGAGGTTCCCGACAACGCCTCCGATGATGGGGCGGAAGACCCGCAGCCGGAGCTGAACGAGGACGTTGAAGCTGATGAAGAGTTGCGTGATGGTGTTGCTGGCGAAGCTGATTCGGAAGATGAGGATGCTCTACTACAAGATCCCTTCGAGAAGCACTATACGGCAGTGACGGAGCAGCAGCTGAAAGTTGCTGCCAGACAAATCGATGCCAAAGAATGGCAGACGCAGTCTTCCGCCTTGGGAGGCGATGTACGCCGCACAATCCTCTCCAGAAATGGCACACCTGCGGCGGTCCCTGGCATGAAGTCTCCCGCGGACCTCTTTCTCAAGCGTCGGCTACTTGAGGCAGGCGCACAGCTTGTTTCGTGTCTTTCTTCTGAAGAAAAGAGCGTGGCTGGCGCTTTGTTCAATTATGTCGACGTCCTAAGTGGTTGCAGAACACTTAAGAATGCGGGAAAGTTGCGCGATTTATCCTGCTTGCACGCCTTGAATCATGTCTTCAAGACCAGAGACCGGGTGCTCAAGAACAACGCCCGACTCAGCGCTCAAACGGACGGAGAGACTCCAGACCTGCGCGACCAAGGGTTCACGAGACCCAAGGTGCTTATTGTGGTGCCCACCAAGCAAGCATGTGTTCGGTTCGTAGACAGCATCGTCAAACTCACCGAACCGGAGCAACAGGAGAACAAGTCGCGGTTTCTCGAGACATTTTCACATGAAGATCCGGATGAGTGGCTGGACAAGCCGGAAGATTTCCGGGAGCTGTTCGGGGGCAATCACGAAGAAGACTTCCGCATCGGCCTGAAATTCACCAGGAAGACGATCAAATACTTCTCTGGCTTCTACAACTCGGACATCATCTTCGGATCGCCGCTCGGGTTGATGCGGACGATCACCACCGGTGGCGGTGGGAAAAAAGACAAGAAGAAGGCTCATGACGCCGACTTTCTGTCGTCGATCGAGGTGGTGATTGTCGACCATGCCAACGCTCTACAGATGCAGAATTGGCAGCACGTCGAATACGTCTTTTCGCAACTCAACCTGCTCCCTAAGGATTCGCACGGCTGCGACTTCTCGCGCGTGCGGCATTGGTATCTGGACGGCCAGGCCAAGTATCTGCGCCAGACGGTGATTTTCTCGGATTACCTGACGCCCGAAATCAACGCTTTGGCGTCGACACATCTGCACAATGTTGCCGGCCGCGTCAAATTCGTCCCGACCTACCCCGGCGCCATACTCTCCATATCCTCCCTGCTGCCTTTCACCATCCACCAGACTTTCTTACGGATTCCCTCGCCGAATCCGTTACAAGACTCGGACGTGCGGTTTCAGTTCTTCACCACGACCATCTTGCCTCCTCTGGTGCGCGACTCGAGGCACCAGAAAGGCGTCTTGCTCTTCGTGCCCACCTACGCCGACTTTGTTCGCCTGCGCAATTACCTGTCTACGTCGTCGGACGCCACGAGCCTGTCCTTCGGCTCGCTTTCAGAGTACACGCCTGTGCGGGACGTGATGCGTGCGCGCTCGCATTTCCTGTCTGGCCGCCACGCGCTGCTGCTGTATTCTGAGCGCGCCCACCACCACTTCCGCTACCGCATCAAGGGCGTCAGAAAGATCATCTTCTACGGTGTCCCTGAGAACCCGCTGTTCTGGCCAGAGATCATTTCCCTGCTAGGGCTGGCCAGTGGCAATGCTGCTGCCGCCCAGGGCGCCAAAGCCACGGAAATCAACCCCAAAGGCGCCGTCAGAGCCTTGTTCTCTAAATGGGATGCACTGAAGCTCGAGCGCATCGTCGGCACGGAGAGGGTTGGGCGCTTGCTCCATGACCGAGCTGGCGACACTTTCGACTTTGTGTGAGACCAAAATCCGTTTAGACCCCTCTGGACTTGTGTCATGTACGCAGTCCATGACGACTAAAACCAGACGTTGTTTGCCCTTGTGTAGTCTTTGTGCGGGAGGATGGCCGAACTGAGGCAAGTCGGTTCGACTACTGTAGTCCGGAGCACCCGGATATATCATGGATTATATATATTCTATATTGCTTGCCGTATGATCTTTCTCTCTCTGCACTTTCTATCACTTTTCTCTATACCAATGGGTTTGGCCAATTACTATCTTTCAAGGCATATTGCACGGCGGCTCGAACGTCGTCGACGATCGTCCTGGGTTCCCAAGACGGTCGATGTCCCGGGCAATCCCTGTAGACTCCAGTCCGAGTCAAGAGACCAATCCACTCGATGCCATGGGGCGACTTGTACGTGGTAGCACCACGGATGTCACTTTCTGGATTGTCGCCAACCATGTATACGCGTTTCAGGGGCGTCTGTTCAGCACGTCGGCCGAAGAGAGCGTCGCGATGGCGAAGCAGACGCTTCTCGGCAAAGGAGTAAGTTCCTTCGAACGGCTTGCCAATCACCGTCTTGTACAGTTTGGGGGATTGCCCATCACCATGACCTGGACCCCTAGTAAGGGCTCGCCACACGCCCTCAAGAGCCTCGCGAAATCCGCCCTGACCGAGCCGGGAGAGATGGTAATCCGCGGCCCACAACAGGTCCGGATTCGAGAAATACAGGGGCGGTTGACCGTCCTGGAGATAGCCACAATTGGGGAGTGTCTTGTCGCCGTTCTTGGACGAGTACGTGCCCAGGATACCCCGTTGGGACAACATGACGTCGAGAATGAGCTGGATGTCCAGCCCCCAGTCGCGCGGGTCATTGTACACAAACACGGCGTCAATCTTGAGACTGTCGTCCGGGCTGGACGGGTTGATCGGTTTCGGCAGCGGCCGCGCAAACTGGGCGTAGTAACTGTCCTTGAACGGTCGGCCGAATGGCCAGATCTCCGGATGGGCCATGTATATGTCTCCGGGGGTGACGACGTTGGTGTAGCCGTACTGTTCCGCGACGGCCCTGCATCGCCCTGCTTCGCCGCCCACAACCAGTATGCATTTGTGTCTCAGGCTGTTTTCGCCGTGGACGAGCTCCGCGAACGGCGTGTGTGACTGCACGAACATCGAGGTGTCTAGCGGCACGGACAGTCGTTCAGATAGGTCTTTGACCCGTTCGGACTCGTGTTTGCCTCCGCCATTGGTGAGCAAAATGAACGGAACCGTGTTCCGCTGCAGGAATTGCAGTGTTTGAGGCGCATGCGGGATAGGCTTCGCGCTGCGGAGCAGCACTCCGTCAATGCTAATGTGCACACAGACCGGTCAGTCAACACCGTTTTTTGCGCGGGCAACAAAAAGTGTTCCAATTGCTGTTCTGTTCAGACAGGACGAGGCTTACTCGAATGCGAAAGCAAAGTCCGGAACGGGAACGGATTGCGTGCTGTCATTTTGGAATCGGCGAGCGGGACACTTGGGGAGACGGCTTCGAGCGCTTGAAACTCTGCCTGTGGTGCAACATGGCCGGAGCGGTGCAAGAGCTCTCGAAGGGAGGCCCAGGCTACGCACCCTCATCCTCACCGCGAGCCTGGGTGGTGGTACTTAGTTGCGAACTCGATCCAGCTCCGCGCAGGCCGTCAAAGGAAGACAAGATACCCAACTAATAAGTGAGATGACAACGTCCATCCGATCGATCGCAAAACAATCGGGACTTGCTTATCGATAAGAGTAATGCGGCGGTGCACGTGAGTTGAAGCGTAGTTTTTGAGCTGACGCACGTGATGCAGCCTCGTGGGAGAATCGGAGCCCATAGCCGCCAGCTGATGATGAGGGATAATGAACATGATGAGTTTTCCCTCTGGAACCTGTTTGATCATCTCTACTGGTGCTCTTATTTCACATATTCAGATCCTAGAGTAAACCCGGTTGTAGTACAGCATGGCAGTACGGGGTGATAGGGAAATTGCACGTGACTAAATCACCTGACACGGCACCCTTGCCACTTCGATTCATCAGTCAGCCTGCCATCCATCACATAATTCTGATCCTCCGAAGCCTTACATCGTCCTAGAAGCCTTGAACCTAGCACTCCTCCTCATCAATCAAGGCAACTTCTGGTTTGGAATCACAATAGTCTGTTCGAGCAGTGGCAGGTCTGAGCCGCCGTGATACACTCACTCCCCTTCAAGTTTATCCCATTTTCCTACTCTCAGTGTGACCACCTCCACCACCGCAACCATGCCGCGCGCAGAAGTCGGTTCGACGAAGTACATCGCCAATAAGATGAAGGCCAAAGGCCTGCAACGCTTGCGATGGTACTGTCAGGCGTGTTCACGGCAAATGCGAGACGAAAACGGCTTCAAGTGTCACGTCGCTTCAGAGTCGCATGTGCGCCAGATGCAACTGATTGGAGAGGATCCGCGGAAGGCGATTAATGACTTTTCCAATCAATTCCTGAAAGATTTCATAACATTACTACGCACGGGGCATGGGGAGAAGAAGGTCAATGTAAACCAATTCTACCAAGAATACATTTCGAACAAGGAACATATCCACATGAACGCGACCAAGTGGGCGAGTTTGACAGAGTTTGCCAAATACCTGGGCAGAGAGGGCATATGCCGCGTGTACGAGGACGAGAAGAACGAGAGTAAAACCGGCGCAAGCGGGTTGCTTATAAGCTGGATTGACATCAGCCCGGAGGCTCTCCGGCGGCAAGAAGCACTAAAGAAAAAGGAACGACAAGACCGTGGCGACGAGGAGCGAGAACAGAAGATGATACAGGAACAGATACGGCGGGCGAGGCGGGAAGGTATGGCTCATGTCTCAGACGACGAGGATATTCCTGAGCAGGGTGGAGACGATCAGCCAGTGGAGAGCAACGGCGTCAAGCGCAAGGATGGCGAAAAGATTGTCCTCAGCTTCGGCGCAAAGAAACAAGCAGTACCTGATACAGTGAAGCCGCCGACGCCGCCGTCGTCAGATAACGACTCTATGCCGGAGAAGGCGGATAATGGTGCAACATCAACTTCGACCGCACAGGCTAGTTCCACCACAGCCAGCCCCAACCCGGAAGCAGCATCAGAAGCCTCTGATCAAGCAACCAAGCAACCCCTATCCCGAGCACCTGTGTCTTTGTCACTGGGTGCGGCTCCAAGTAAGCCCAAGAACGTATTTGCGGCAGCGGCCAAGAAGAACGCCTTGGGTGGCACGAAGAAACCCATTCAGATCAACACTTCCAGGCCTATGAGCGAGGCTGAACGAATCATGAAAGAAGAGCTAGAGCGCAAGCGTCGTCAGGAAGCGAATGGCTTCAAACCAGGAGGCAATGTCTTCAAGAAGCAGCGAGTTGCATAGTATACCTGCTGGTGGGAATCTCAGCCGAGGTGGGTAGCGATATTGCTTGGTACGATAATGATATACCCTGTACATTGTTGCGCTGGCGTTGGGGCGAAGTCCTTTTCGGTGGGATGATACGGTGACAGAATGGCCTCCGGGTTATGCAAGGCATTCAAAGATGAAGTTATTGCTGGCAGCTATTGCTCTAATGACAATCAGACAAGTAATACGTTTCTTCCTCGCCTGTCTTGTTGATTACGTAGAATGACACGGAGGTATACATGATACCAGGGTCGTTTTCGCTCCACCCCATTCCATGTAGACCAGATACCACTCTCAAGACAGTTCATTCCGCCCCGGGCCAGGGACGTCTGAAGGCAATCAATGCCCAACACCCCAAACCAGCTCTGACATGCCGGTAGTAGAAACAGGTGGCAGTCTCACCCCAAAATTGAACTTCCACGCCGGGAGGGCGCCTCATGGTCAAGTTCAACGCTTCACTTCCAGCCATGTGATCTCGCCCGAAAAAATTAATTCCTACTTGATCAATTATTGTTGCCAAATTCTGTTCCAACGCTAACCAACCTCGGCCTCTAGACCATCTCCCAGCTGTCGACAAACCACCACCGGGTGGGGGAGTGGTATAAGCCTTGCACAACTGGTGTTCATGCCTCAGCAGAGAGCGGTTGAACTCGAAAACGGGCGTTCGGAAGAACAGCGCTGAGGATTACAAAGTAACATTTGTATAGGCGAGGTTTCACTCCCTTGAACCTCGGGTCGTCGGTTCGACGCCCGGGCTTCTCGGATAAGTTTTTTGACTTTTTGGTCCATGGTCAAGTCTGTTGTTTTTGGTGCCCATGGGCAGCGTGCAAGGCTGTGGCTGCAGTGCCAACGAGGCTGTGACTCTACAAGCCTCTGATTGGCCGCGCCGAGCCACTGCCTCAGCCTTCTGTCTTGAACTGCAGCCTTGTCAGTCTCCACAGACTTGGACTTTTGACTTCAGCCATGTAGTAAGAACATCCCAGTCAACCCAGTTTCGCACCATTTCATTGATTTTGACATTCACATAAAAACGCCGATTTGATGCATCGAATCCATCAATACAAACACTGACTGCAAAGCGTTTTATGACGCCTCTCGTCAGAGGCATACATAAGAGAGGGTCTCCTAGAAGCGACAATATGCTGTCCAGGCGACAATGGAATGCCTCTTTTTAGACTGAATGAGAATGAGAACTCGGTGCGCCACATAAAGGACTTACTAAAATAATACGGCTCCCCTCTACAACTTGAACATGGCACCGACGCAGCATCCGTCATCTAAAAGCACATCTTCGACCACTCGAGCGACCAAATCTCGTTCGAAACTCAAAGCTCTCAAGGCCGGCAGGCCACCTCTTATTTCAACAGTTAAGGCGAAACCGATCGCAAAGTCATCTACGACCACAGCTACCACTACCACTACTGCCGCACCGGCACCAGCTTCGGCATTCAACCCTCGACGAACGTCGCTCTCGTCCAAGCACACACGCGCTCTGATCCGGACGCACCACGTCCTGCAGAAACGGCTGGCACGTGCCCGTGCAGACAATGACGTCGAGCAGATACAGGAGCTGGAAGCGCAACTCGCCGCGTCCGGCGGTCTGGAGACGTACCAGCTCGCCAGCACGGTAGGACAGAGCGCCGAGCGAGGCGGCGACTCGAGCCGCGTCCTTGTGGAATGGCTGAAGCCGGAGATCGAGGCGCGAAAGAAGGGCAGCTTGAGCCGCAGTAGCAAGACACGAGCGTCCCCTACAACAGGTCAGCCACTGCAGCCACTGCATGTACTGGAAATCGGAGCGCTCAGCACCACCAACGCATTAAACATACCGGATATAACGCGCGTGCGACGGATCGATCTGCGTTCGTCGGGCCCCGGCATCGAAGAGGCCGATTTCATGAGTTTCCCACTTCCAGACTCTGCAGACGGGAGCGGCGAATGGGAGGGCCGGCGAGGATATGATGTGATCAGTCTGAGTTTGGTGTTGAACTATGTGCCTGATGCACAAGGACGAGGCGAGATGTTGCGACGGACCATAAAGTTCTTTTCCATCGCCAAAGATGACGGTGGAGACGATGGTGGTGAAGAGGAGAACAAATCCCAGCAGTCACGACGTCTTCTACTACCTTGCCTCTTCCTGGTCCTGCCGGCCCCGACGGTTCACAACTCGCGGTATCTCACCGAGGGCCATTTGACGGACATTCTCTCGTCGCTGGGCTACAGTCATCTCGAGACCAAGACCACACGAAAATTACATTACAGTCTGTGGCAGTACGACCCTGATCGCCAGAAAGAATGGATCGCCCAGGGCGGTAAAACAGTGTTTAGGAAAAAGGAGATTAACCCGGGTGGAGGACGCAACAACTTTTGTATAGTGCTCGACTGATGATTGATCCAGAAACGAAAGACACGAAAAGGCCGGAAGCGCAGGATATAGCCTGCCATGCAGTGGCAGTGGCCGGAAAGAGAGGTTCTTTTGATCTGTTTTGATTTTTTTGCTGGCCGCAGATGAACAGATTCTTAGCAGGTTTTTAGTAGTAGTCGTGCTTATGAACTTGTGATAAAAGCCATGTTATGAGCGATCACCATCTTTCTTGCAGTAGTTGTTATCCAGCTATGCCTGTCGCTTCTGTTTCCAGCTCTGTCTTATTATTACTTGCGCTTTTCTTTGCTTTACCCAGCTGGAATCTTAGACTCGATTGTCGGTCTATGCCGTCCGGTGGGTGTCTCTCACAGTCGTTGTTGCTGAGCTCTACCTCTGATAAGCTGCTCCAACTTGTACACAGTACATAGATCCCTCCGCGCCCCGTATGTCACGCCAATGCCAATATGCCCGTGAGCCGTGCCCAAAAGAAAGTAAGGAAACAAGTCAATTCTTCGTGACGCCCGAGTATGTGACATCCCACGGCAACCGCGCTCTCGCTCGGGGGCGTAGAAACAACACTAACAATGCACGGCCCGATTTCGCATGACCAAGGGCCGCCATATCCAGCGATGCATGCTTGGATTCGATTGAACAAAAAAGCTAATGGTGACATTATTGCAGACAAAAGGGCGATCAGATGGCCACAGTCTTCATTTCGTCCTCGATCCCATCAACCCCAAGACCTTTAACTTCAGTTTCAGCCTTGGTCGATGATGCCGGCTGGTCCTTGGTTTCGCTTTCGGTAGATACCTTGGAGAGTCTCGAGGCCGGGAACTCTTTGGGTTCTGCGCTCTTCAACGATGCCGGGGTAGGCGCATCGACAAGCTTTTCGGGTTTCACGTCGGTGTTGATAGCCTTGGGATCAATGGGCATGGGTTTCTCTCGTCGTTTGCCTTCACTCGAAGACTCCGCCACTTGGGCGAAATCTCGGACCACATCTCCAGCAGGGCGAATGGCTTGAGGCTGGGCAATTTCTTCCTGGACCCGAGCTAGAGGGCTTCCAATGGTAAGCCTCGGGCTGCCAGAAGGTCCTTTCGAGAACCGCTGAGGTGATCTACCCCTATCCTCAGTTCCAAGGACCGGGCTGCTGTATGGCGAATGCCGTCCGTTTTGGGCCACGACCGAGGTGTTCAGCCCGGCCGGCTGCGGTCTCCGCCTAGGCCCCCGTCGGCCGTACTTCTGATCTGCCCTCCAGCGGAGGATCTCCATGTATGAGGGTTCCACAGTTTCGGTTTTGAACTCCTTCAACTTCAGCTCACCAGTCTCGTCGTCTACGAAGACCTTGTCGGTACTCAGGTCGTCGGCCACAACGGCGAGAAAATGAGCCCAAGACCGTGCAACGACGTATTTGCAATCATAATCACGTCCAAAAAGGATAACTTGGCCCCACTTGCCCGTAGGACCCGGAGCAAGGTCGACTGCGATGTTGTTGCCACCCCAGTCCCTAGCAAGACTGATCCAGCCAGGATGGGCGTAAGCTTTTTGAATGGCTCTTGGGGGCTGTGACTCTTGTCTGTCCAGCAGCTCCTGTCTCCAATAACGGTTGCCGCCCGGTGGTTGGCTGGAGGAAGAGGCGCCGTTACTGAGGCCCTTGTTGCTGTGATAGGATCGGCTTCCGGCGCCGGACAGGTATTCTTCGTTAACAATCTTCCAGTTCCTCCATTCCTGGACGATTTCCTCGCAATCGAGTAACATACAGCCAAAGATGATGCCTGTAGGGCGTCCGCCACGCTCTTGCCCATCATGAATGCTCAACGAGTCACGCACATCTTGGGGTAGCGACATGTCCAGTTCGTGTTCTAGTTCGTTGATGTCATTTTGCGTGCACCCTTCACCGAGTTGGTCGAACAGTTCAGGATAGTTTTTCTCGGCCCACCGGTCAATTTTCTTCCACGAGTGCGAGACAGGAGGAGGTGGTGGAGCACCGTCTGCAAAGTTTTGCATCTGTATCTCGCCAGGAGCAACCGTCTCTTCGACGTTGGGATTCTTGGGCGAGGCTAACGAGCGCATGCCGGGCGAGTACGGCCGTATGGGTGATTGTGCAAGCTGGGTGGAGGATACCGAGGGGCGTTTGGAGTCATCCTGGTATGTTGACGGAAGATCCTGATGAGAGTCGGCAGCACTTGTCGCAACCGAAGTCAGGGGGGCATGCCGACTTTGGCCGACAGGCATATGCTGGCCAGTTTTGTAAGGAGAGTCGTAGGAGGCGTGTCGGTCGTTAGAGGTCATGGCGTGCCAAAAGGAACGCCATGCTGTCGTCAAGCTGGACGAGGTTAGAAGAGCAGCACTTTCAGGTCGAATAGGAGGGGCCACGAACGAGTTTGCCATGGCTGGCGAGACAGTAACTGTAGTCGCGGCCACCTTGACGGATTCAACAGATTCTGGCAGCGATTTGGCTAAGACAGCATAGATGCTTAAAGCGGGAGGACGGTCAAAACAAAGGGCCACGGGGAGAGATGTTGTTGTAGCCGCAAACAGATCGGAATTCCGGATTGTTGACTGGCGGACAGTGGGCGTTTTGGGTTGGCGAACGGAAACGGTCGACCACCAAAAATGCAATCGCAGGCAACGCGAGCCGGAGGCCGACCGATGGTGATAGCGTCGGTATGCACTTGTTTTGAGACCGAGTCTGGGAGTGGTTGAGAGAGAAGATGGAAGTGATAGAAGAGAGACGCAGAAATGCAGAACACGGAGGAACTGGGCGACGAGGAACGCAGTTGAAGATCTTGGTTCAAGTTGCGAGGAGTCGTGTCGCGCAGGTGTTGCCAGTGCCAATGTCAGTGCCAGTGGGAGGCGGACCAAAAGTCGGTAGAGTAGGTAGCGCTACTTTTAATCCCCTAAAATAATACTTGACTGATTGATTGACTGCTGCGTACGTGTGCGTTCGGCATGTACCTAATGCTTGGGATGCTCCGTAGTCCTCCTGCAGTAGTACCGCTTGTCACTCCCTATTTCACCATGATTGTAATACTACATTGTAGTAGTAGTACTAGTAGTATGGGGATTTGTTCTTTAGCATTATTCAACTACTGTGGTGGAGAGTCGCTTGCAGGTGGCTACTGGGGGTAGAAAATTAGGGGACCTGAAGCCCGAGAGGAAGCTCGCAGTCTGCACGCAGGGGGATTGAACAGCATTTGCAAAGCCTGCAATCGTACGTTTGCAGGTCCCTTTGCAAGCCCTCCAGCCGCCGGTGGATGTGCGGGTTTGTTGGTGGTTGGTTCTGTGCCACTCCAGGGGGACACACTTCGAGCTCCTCACGACTGTGCATGGTCTGCGCCTGTGGACTGGAAATCCTTCTACTTACTGCAGTGCTGCCTCTACTTACTACTTACTGTACATGCCTCCCCTCCCCCCATGCTGTGTTGCGGACAATTAAATCCATGTCCGTTTCTTTCGTCTGTCGAACTCTCGCAGGCAAGCCTGTGCCCTTGTCTTTATGGTCATGGCTCCATGATATCACCATTGCGATCTATCGTAGCAAGCCATGCCATACAGAGAGTTACAGCCTTCTGGACGTTTTGTACCCCTTCCGGCTCCTCTATCTGCATGTTCTGACGGGCCAAATTCTCATTTTCAGTCTGCTAAAGGTTATACAGGGCAAATCACCAATATCGCTCTCACCTGTGGACTCAACATGAATTATAAAACTATGCTCTATCACAGATGATGCTACGTGCGCTCCACGACGCTCCCCCCTCCGCCATTTTGAAGCCTTTCGAGTTGGGTGGATAATAATATAAGCTGTCACCGTTGTTCTCCTGCCTCCCCTTCGGTCCTAAACCACATTCCTTGACAAGGTGGATCCGTGGCTGTAATCAAGCATTGTGGCGTCCCTGCCAGACCGATAGGCAGGAGGTCCGCTGTTGGAGATTAGATGAATCAAGGGCCAGGCTGTATCCATCAAGAAGATTATGACATGTTGCCAAAATTGCAACGTGGAACACTGCAGGGGGCGGTGCCGCTGCCGCACTTGCTCGAGAAAGTGCTCATCTACTCCCCTTATCATGATTCGTCTCGTCACATGCGGGCGCATGGAAAGACACCGCCATGTTGATCTCCGGCCAGACAGATTTTGCAGATTACAACTTCCTTGAAGGGTCTTCTGTGTCTCGGATGCCAAAACTTCCAGCTCAGGACATGCCGAAGCAAAACTGCCTTGTCGCACCAGAATCGTCATCGTGAGCGTGAGTCGTTTGAGGCGAATTCTCCGCTGGAGTGTTGTGTGACTGGGCAAAAAACAGGTTGGACACGACATCGAAGGCTCGATCAGCGCCGATCTTGTCCCACACTATAATTCGGCCTGTCGACTATCTCTAGTGTCTGGAGGACACGGAGCACAGCCTTCTTGAACGAACATTCTGGATCTTTGCCTTTGGCGATCTTGTCTCGACCTAATCAGCGAACTAGCAAAGTCAGCCTATCCAGTCTGTAGGACATCGATGGAGATCACATTTCATGTCATCCTGGTGGCCTGCTCCCCTGCAGTGTGTGTTCGGTGCACAACAACAGGAAGCTCTTGCTGGTGCCGGCCCCTAACGCCTCGCCACATCTCGTGCGATGCTCCCAATGCCCACTGCAGCCATCACATTGGCATATCAAACTACGTTGTAAAACAACATTTTGCCACAGCTTTCTTTCTCCAGCATATATTTGGCGAAATCTTGTTTCAAAGAGCTAGGAGCTACGGCACCGGTGTCTTCCAATGCCGCTCTAATGCAGGTACGCAAGACATTCCCGTGGTCCATTCCTGCATACTGCACATCAGCAGGATAAGTATAGCACCTCCCATGCATTCGTTTCGTCACTATTCAGCCAATCATCTTCCGCCGCTCTTCACTTCATTTGACTGTGGGAACCTGGGGTTCTGGGGAAATATGGGAACGTCGTAGCCCGACCGTGGTGCCCAGACTGTCACCGCGACGATCGCAAGGGCGTGAAATCCATCCGGTTTTCTTTGGCTTTGCACTCGACTCTGCAATTGTTGCGAGCGGCAATGAAGGCAGCGGCCCTCTCGGTTCCCCTGTTCCTCGTGCCATCTTCGGAGCGGTCTTTGGACCGATCAAACGTAGAAGTATATGTGGATCCTTAGTTGTGACCGCCATAGCTCTTCCGCTCAAACAACCGGGAATTCAAGGACGGTATGCTGAGCGATTAGAAGGCAAGAATTGGTCTGTGAGGTCTTGCCTCCATTAAATTGTCCGTTCACTCTATCCTATACATTATTAGAAAGAAGGAGTGAATCCACGTTCAGTTTCCATATTCTTGTATATAGCTAATATAGTGGGGATATATATACGATTATTACACCTAATAAGCCAATTTGTTATATACCCGCTGGACCACATTCGGGTACTGCAGCTGGCACCACTACTGCCACCGCATGTTCAGTTCCCGATGGACGACTGGAGGTTGCTCAAGGGGAGATCTTCTCGGCAGTACATTACTTTTCTTGGGAACGGCATATGTGTTTGTCATTCTGCCCGTAAAGACGACGCTTCTATCACCGCCAGTGCATGGAATATTGCCACGGATTTCCGTCATAAAATACCCGGCACCTAATAGTCCCCGCAAACTGTGAGGGGATTTGCATTTGCATGCGAAGGGCGTGAAGAATCATGACCTGGACTAGGTGCCCAGCCAGCCACGATATTTGTGGCTATGTTAAGTATTGAGCTAGGTACCTAGGTACGCATCTACTATCTATCCGAGCCTCGGGATAAAGTCAGGCATAAGGTAATTAACACTGTATTGGGGGTGCTCGATCGAGTCTCGTATGCACATCGTATCCAACAATTAGACAATGTTGAACAAACCAACCACCAATATCCAAACAAAACTCTATACCAGATCCAAGCAGAACCCAGCGAGCACTCAAGACGCTGCAATACCCTTTCTATGACACAGGCGCCCGGTCTGAACTGGATCCCTCCAAAGAAGCAATGCTCTCCTGTCTCTGCTCTAAGGTCTGCTCTTGTTCTTGCAAACATAGCCAGAAATCTTAATCAGGTCAAACGCGCCGTGAACCGAATCCAATGCGATCTGCAATCGAATAAACAATCAAAAGACAAAAGGGAAAACAAAAGACCGGGCAAAAATCCATCTCTTTCTTAAATAGCTTTCAGTTTCCTCGCGATGGTCACCATGGTGGCAACGAAGAGGCAGATGACGCCGACGATGCCGAAGAACCAATAGTAGCCTGCGACGTCCTGGCCGGGGACGTGGACGTTCATGCCGAACAGACCGGTGATAAGATTCAAAGGCACGAGAATGGTGGCAACGACGGTGATTTTGGCGAGCGCCTTGTTGGTGTGGTTGCCCTTGAGAATGTTGTCGACATTCAGCTGCGCGAGGTAATTGGCGTGGGAGCGGCTCAGCATTTTCTCAACGTGGGTCAGGTTGGACATCATGGTCACGACGTGGTCTTGAATATCGCCCAGGTACAGGCCGATGTCGCCGCGCGGAGCCACCTGGTATTGGTCGTTGCATCGCTTTGCAAAGCCCTTGATAACGTCCGCCTTGCCTCCAAGAAGGCGCATCATGTTGAGGACGCGCTTGCGGCATTCGCCGATCTGGCGGAGGAGGGTCAGGAAATCGTCCTCGCGGGCGATAAATACCTGGTCTTCAATGCTCTCGGACTCATGCTCCGCGTCCCGGATGATGGGTGCAAAGGAATCGACAATGTCGTCAATCATGGCATAGCAGATGTAGTCTGGTCCCAGCGACAAGAAGTCGCCAAGTTTCGAGATACGCCGGTGGACATTCTTGGCATGTGGGTTCTCAGTGTAGCTGAAGCTCAGGACGCCGTCGCCGCAGACAACGATGTAGATGTGGATAGGATCTAGGAAGTCCTCGCTCGACTTGTCCATGACAAATGATCGGAAACAGACAAAGTAGTATTGAGAGAAGAGCTCAACCTTTTCGCGAGCTTCTTGGGTTTCGATATCTTCGCGCGTGAGACGATGGATCTTGAAGGCTTTGCAAAGGACCTCCAGCTCGGCCTTTGTGGGGTTGAGGCAGTTGAGCCACCACACACCGCCGTCTGGTCCAACGTCGAAAAGATCTCGAAAGGTTGTGCCATCTGACACAAAATCGCCTAGTCTAGTCGCACTCTTTCCTTGGCTTATTTCCGATGTGAACAGGAAAAACCGCTCGGCAGATGTGGGTGGAAGCTGTTGTTCTTTTGGAGCAAATCTCTCCTCGCTAGATGTAGCTTGGCTATGGGTTGTCTCGTAATGCACGAGGGGTTTCTCGTAGAAAGTTTCACCATTGAGTGCCGAGATGGGCGCGTGCGTCGGTGATTGCCGATGATCCCTGAACGTCCGGTTTTCATTCGAGCGAGATCCCGCCAGTTCTTCAGAGACTTTTCCCTGAGCACTCAGGGCGACAAACTCTTCCAGTTCCTCAAAATCGATCTTGTACGTCTTGCCCGGCTCCTCGTCCGTTGGAAATGTGACGTCGTCATTAGCATCCCGGTCTGTCCGTAAAGTCAGGGCTGCCGGGATGCTGATTGTGTCCAAGGTCGGACGCCTTTGGTTGGTACCACCAGACTGAGTGCGATTGCGCAGGTTCTCAAGAACAGAAGACGAATGACTCTCGGCAGTATTGGCGCGAGCACGGCGACGGGGTTCGGCAAAAGCCTCGATGGAGTTGGCTGGGGAAGTCGAGCGAGAGGAAGACGAGTCCCGCGACCGATCATGGCGACGGGGGCGGCCCTCCCTGTTAGTGAGCCTTCTACCATGGATAGACGGCCTTCTTCCGACCCCTTCCTGGCCGTCTTCGTTGTCGTTGTCATCGTCGACAATTGCTTGCTCGAAGTCGCGAGCGATTGGATTGGATTCTTTCTCAAGAGTGTGGAGAAGAGCCTTGTCCACTCTCGAAAAATCCCTTTCTTCGATACTGCCCGGTGTGGGAGTCGCTACCTCAATCTCTACCATAGGGGAATCATCAGGACGAGCCGGAGTCACGCCCAGATTACGGCGATGGTCATCCAGTTCTGGCGCCGGAGTGCTGTAGCGGCTGTCCATCTTATGCGAATGTACTGACTCGGACGAAGACATCTTGACGTTGTGTTCCGTCGATCCTGCCACAGAACTGACTCAACTGCACTGATTCACAGCGCGACTGGGTCGACGGGCTAGCCACTTTGAGTGATATTGGTGGCGGACACTGGCCGGCCAAACAATGGTATTTTAGATGGAAAAAGACCGCCTTCTTTCCAATTGTTCGAAAAATCCCCCAGGCCGATCGGGGCCAGCGGGATACTCAAGATTCCCGAAACCCAGTTATGGTGGTCGGGTGGTGGTTCCGCAGAAAACCATGAGACCGGTGCCGAGCAAAGGGCGGATAAGGGAGACGCTGGCAATTGCAGAGCCCGCCAACTTGAAGGCTTGGGGGTGGATGTAGCTATCGACGAGCGCCAGCGTGAAAGAACTGAGTGAGAGAATAGGAAGAACTGTATGCGAACAGTCTTCCTAGACTTGCGAGTGTGCTGTGTGGTTTGGGGCTGATCGACCGTGGACCAGTTTTGACGGTCGGTTTTGCGACTCAAGACACAAGGCTTTCTGTCAACAAACAGTTAAGTAGGCCGACAAAGTGGATTGTCGACGCGAGGGAAAGCTGATTCCTATATAGGAGAGGTTCAATGAGCGAGGGAGGAAGGAGAAAGAAGTTTTCCGCAGGACGTAGAGGGACTAGTAGTAGTGTGTTGGTAGGAGGCACTTGTGGGAGGTGGTGGACTATTACGACACAGCAAAAAAAGTGCAGAGTGGCTGCGAAGAGTTTAGGGTCGCAGCCAGTAGTGAGGGATCGAACCATTCAAGTTGTCAAGCAGCAGAGCTGAGACTGGGGCCCAGCAAAGAATGTGAGGCTTTTCTCCAGGCCTCAATTATCCGCCTTTAATAAGCTGGTCTGGAAGCCTAAAGAGCCTCCTCCGGCTCCCTCTTTGGGCCTAGATACCCGAAGGCGCGCCCCTAAGCCCCTTTGGCTTGTGCATTGGCTGGGCCTTCAGGTTCAAGTTCCACTGGCAGTGGTTGGCGGATTATCGCCCAGACAAAGCATCACCGTGCTCACCACTGGCACCGGCATCGTGTCTCGGTCACCATCAACCAACGTCACGTTCCTGGTAGACAACTGTCGATTAGCCCCAACCTGGCATGCAGGAGCAATTGGTTGTAAAACCGACAATATCGCAGACCTTCCCTTCGTCCACTCTGATCGACACATTACGCTGTCTTTGATTGTGCCCACGAGCGTCGTCCCGCAGCCTCATATCCAGTTGTTGATCCACGTTAAGTTAGGGGCTGAAGTCAAGCTTCTCCGCCTGAGATAGGAGTGACGAGGTCAACGCATCTGAAGCTGGTCCGCTTTCACACTTCAGGGTTGAGGTAGAGCAAAGATGGACGCTGTGGTGACCCAAATCCAAGACCTCTTCGAAGGTCAAATAGTAAGTGAAGAGAGCTAGACCCAGTCACTTTCTGCCATCAGGAGGCCCTAGTCTAACGCTTCCCTAAGGATTTCGATGGACAGTATCTCGCCGAACAACTTTACAGTTCTATTCTGTCCATATTCTCGGTAAGTTGTCAGATGCATGAAGTTGTTGCTGTCTCGCTAATGCGGCTGATCAAGGTTGTCGCTCTCATAGCGGGCTACATCCAGCAAGACATCTTCCTTACCATGTGGATTGCTTTAGCAGGTACCCTGACGGCCATGTTCCTCGTTGTCCCTCCATGGCCTGTATTCAACCGACATCCTCAACCATGGTTGGGTTCCAAGGCTTCTCTCCCGCCCGGTGGAATACTTGTTCGCGATGGCAAGGGAAGATAGAGTGTCATCAATGCTCGTTGGATTCTATGGCGTTCAAAAGTACAGTGCCGTCTTCATGGATTCGTTTCATGTCACCCCATAAAAACCTTCTCCGCAAGGTTCTGCACCCCGTGATGCCGTCGTTCGGCCTGTCCGACAGGGTACCAGTCGATCTGTTCTTTCCCCTAGGTCTAAACGACCTGCTAATCTTGTGCTTGGAGTCTTGCCTGGCCTGCAGCGTAGCGTTTCTTATTCGAACGCAATCCCAGGAAGAAACTAGACCAGCCAGTATTCTGACTCCGCAGAAGCACGATACACCCCGGTTGTGTGGCATGGTTATGAAATGTCTTTGCCATTAAACCTCCTCAACGACCGTATTTTTGAAATTCCCAGTCTCTGTTGTCGAGAGGGCAGACTTGTCTTGTCTTCAGCCAGCGTGAGATACAGTGGAAATGAAAGGCATGCTAGCACAAGCGTCAGTATGGTGGGAAACAGCGTAGGGGATTCTCTTTCGTACATTGCAAATTCCCCACGCGACAGTGCATTCTTCTGTTGTGGCCGCACCTTGATTCGCTTGACACTCAATACCTGAACAACACTATTAGAACAGACGGGGACGAGAGACAGGGAAGCTCGACTCACAAAGGTCCATGATGTGGTTTCGGCAAATCGCGCAGTTATCAACAACGATATCCCATGCCCAGAGAGCGACAGCATTCCACTGTAGAGTGTTAGTGACGGTCATGTCCTCAAAGCCATCACCATTGCCATAAGCGCACCTTCTTAACTTCAAATCTCTTCTTTGCGTCTCCTCCTTCAGTAGTACCGGACTTTGAGCCTTTGACCACAGCCTTGGGCTTGGATTCCGCAGATGCAGATGCATCCGCCATTTCTACGTCGGCCATGTCTTATGCTGATGGGTGTCGCTGTTTCGAAATGCCAGTGCGGGGACAAACAGGCGTAAGGGAAGTCGGTGGCGGAGACAGTCGGATGAGGACCCAGTGCAGACACAGGCTGATCCAGGTAGCAGTGGGCGTACCGTGAGCTGGTGGAGGGAAAGTTAATGAGAACCGAATTGAGTGCCAGTCAAGCCGTTGAAAGTATGCTGAGAGGGTGTGCCAGTGGCTCGTGACAAGGCTGAACTTGAAGGCGAGAGATCAGTGGCTGATCCGAACAAAGAGGATGGTGGCGTAGTGAAGCGGCGAGGTACTGTACAGCGTACTGCAGTCTACTAGTACTAGTACTAGAAACCAACATAAATGAGGGACCTGCGCCCTCCAACTCGGCCGTTGCCTGCGTCACAACTTCACTCACGGATCACCATATTGCTTCCACCAACCGTCCAAAACAGCTACAGCTATCCTTTTTGCGGCGTATCACCACCCTCCTACAATAACAATATTCCTGACTGGAAAGCTGCCCTACCTCAGCTCTGGTCTTGATCTCCAATCTGTCGCTCGCTCAGCCTCAGACAATGAACCCTATCACTATCTTTTCTTCCCAATTCGCTACACAGTATACAGCTCAACAGCCGCGACAACAATATCCAAAGCTCTTCGCTCTTCCTCACCGTAAACGGACGAGATAGGCAAACGTTGACCTTATATCACCGTTTGTTAGCCTTCTTTTACTACTAGTCCACCTTTGACTTCGAGCGATTTCACTATTTCTACCAAGGTCGACGGGCTGCCAATTCATCAAGCCCGGTGAAAACACCAAACAATGTCTGCTACCACAACCACACCTCAACAACAACCTACAAAAGCTCCCCGCCGGCAGGGAAAGAAGCAAAGGCCTACAGACGGTAGCTTGTCGGACGTAGGTGTCCCTACAGAATATCAGCGTCACACATCCCCAAGCACTGCCCCCATGGCAAAGAACAGCAACAAAGGCCAGCCGGCCAGGAAGACCTCGAAGGCAAACAAAAATCCACAGTCAGAAAGCGCGACATCCGCTGCTGGGAAGCAAAACAATAGTCGCAGTTCGCAGGACAAGACAAGAGCGACGCCGGTGAAGCCCGCCGCTTACGCAGGTGCTACTTTTCAACAATCACCAGCAGCCTCCGATCTTCCTTTACCCAGTTTCTACTCCAAATCATTGCCTGCCACAAGCCGGTTGTCATCTGAGATCATAAACTCTGGACCCGTTGATGCACAAGCCTCGTCGGTTGCCACAACTGATCAATCCCCAAGCAAGGGCGAGTCTACACCTTGCGATTTTCTCTTCCAGGCAGCTCGACAGGCGAGAGCAACCCCCCGACAGGCCAGCCCTGTTGTTCGCTCTGGCAACCTATCCGTTCCCAACGGCAGCCCCGCTTCAAGGTCCCCTGCTCCGCGCGATGGTGATGCCATGTTCCCATTTGAGTTGGAAGGAGGGGCAACTCCTGGAGAAGATGGGTCTCCTTTTGCTACACCATACAAAGACCGCATGGAAGCCTTGCGGACGACCAAGTCCACCGCGTCGGGAAGCAAAAGCATGGATGAAAATGAACGCAGAGCCAAAAGTGACGCATTGAAGCAACTCCTCATGCAATCCAGCGGGCAAGGTAGGCCAACAGGCCCGGACCCGGGCTTCGACTTGAATAATCCTTTCAACGCAAGAGCACCTTATCAGCAACCAACTTCTTACCCTCAAGGACCAACTCTCGCACATCGCATGTCCGCGCCTGCTCCTTCTCCATACATGCAACAGCGGTCGGTTTACACTTCCCAAACACAACCTCAACAGGGATTCCAGTATGCTCCTGTGCATCCTCAGACCCAGAAGCGGCCGACATCTTCTCGCTTGAGGAATGTCTATGGCGCGCAGAACGAACTGGAATACGCCGAGTTGTCCTCCGACAGTGCGGTAACACCACCTATAGCATCTGCAGGAGGCCACCCGCAACTCCCGAAATCACAATATACCTCGGACACATTGGAACAACCATATCCGAACCAACCACAAATTCCCGGTCACCGCACGAAGCCTAGCGCACAGCAATTGGAGGATGATTTGCGCCGAGTTTTGAAGCTAGATCTAACGTCTAGAGGATGAGACACGAAACATTGCACATTGGGGGGATTACTAGGATTGCTTTGCGAATATCGCTTGCTACACGCCGTTCTGTGAACGCCGTGTGACGGGCGAATGTACGAAGAGAATTATGTGTAGGATGTTCCACTTTGGCATTTTCGGGCAGCACAGACGGTACATTCTCTGGAGGCGGATTTCCTATTTGTTTGGAAGTCGGAGATATTCTGCTGGGCAGCTGCACACTGTTTGAGTTTTATTTTGGCGCAACGATGGACGGCTCGTCTGCCGCGCATCTTAGCAATGTCATACATATTCTTTGGCCAGACTCCCGAATCGTCCCAGACCACACTTTTAAATCTATTACGCCATACTAGTATCCAGGGTATCCGTGTCCACCACAGCCCAAGCCAACCCGCAAGCAGAAAGACAAATAACGCCGCCGCCGTATAGCCCCGATCGAGAAGAAAGGCGTATTGTAAGTCTGTAGGTACTTTGAGCAGATCAGAGTTGAGGCCTCGCTTTGGTGCCTCCTATCATAGTATGTCGTCGCAAACCGCCCAAAAAAAAGGTCGCTTGTGTGTCATGACCATATTGAGCAAGCAACTTGTTGGGCACTGCATGTAGTTGAGTTTCTGTTTTTATTTTTCTGAAGTGTGATTGCACCAGTGCCTAGTCGCCGGTAGCACAGCCTCGACAGCCACAATTGACACACTGAATCGCGGCGGCGCCACCATCACCGCCAGCGTCGTCTCTCTTCAACTGAGCCTTGGGCACGCGACAGATACAAGTGCTCTGGAAATTTGTTTCTTTGGTCTGCACGCAGCGCAAACAACACAACTTCTCGTAACCCGATTTCTTCCATTTGGCGATCAAGTTGGCGTCGGCGTAGCCGTTCTTCAAGAGCCAGTCGTACAGCTCCTTGGAAATGGCCTCGCGCTTGTAGTACAGATCGTAGACGTAGCGAGAGCGGGCGTGGGCGATCTGAAAAATGGGCCATACGGCCTCGTGCTTTTTCTTTCCCTCGTGTGAGGCGTTCTGAGCGTCTCGCATCTTGTTGCTGTATTCTAGAAGCGTGTCTTCAATGTCTTCGAAGCCCGCCGGCGGAGGTTTGCGCGAGCCGCGCGAGCGAATGGGTGGCATTATTGGTTTTGGTTTGGTTTTGGTTTCGCAACAGCGGCTTAGCCACAGGATGGGAAAGGTCAAGAGAGTGAGGAGCGTTTGATCAAGTCTTCTTACGAGGGAAGAGGGGGTTCCCGCGGTTGTTGTATTATGTGGTGGACTGGACTTGACTTGCTGAATGTGAGACTCGGATCGCAGTGCAGTTGCGCTGTTTTTGCGTCGACAAGATAGTAAATTGATTGTCCGTGCGATGTCCAGAGCGCAACGTTGATAGAAGGTGAGGGACGTGAGGAAGATTTGGAGCTTGTAATATGTGAGTCGGAAGAAGTGACTTCAGGTTGAGGTTGAGGACTGGTAGACTCCAAAGGCTTGAGAGGCGTTACTATAACATCATCCCGAGTCTCAGGCTGGCAGACAAGGCTGAGGACTTGGGACGATGCGGGCAGAAAGAATTCCGTCAGACCAATTATTTGTAAAGGCGGCGTTGATTCTTGAATGGTACGAGGCACTAGTGCACTACTACCTAGGTAGTATGGTGTGGTTCGAGTTTTGCCTCCGGGTCGTGAGCTTCGTGCTGATTAAAACCTCAGCCTTGTGGCACTAACTGCTGCTTGTTCAAAGCGGCGTGAATAAAATACAACATTATACCTAGGCTGGATCGCCAAGGCTACAGGTCTCCAGGTTCAACTTGAAGTCGATGATGTTCGAAAGCAAAGTCCAAGTCCGCGTAGTGGTGTCGCAGTAAGCCGGTTCACGACATTCCTTCCAATTCGCATCCAAATCACGTTTCAACAAAAACGTGCTCTCAAATCACCGTCACGATTGAAACACCAGCAACATTACCTCCAAGTTGCCTCTTCAGCTTCGCTTTCTTGGTCAAAAAATAAAACAATATCAAAATGGACGACGTTGAACTCAACATCACCCAGCAGGACATCGCGCGCCTGACCCCTGCCGAGCAGTCGCAGCTCCAGACCTTCGTCCAGGTTCAGATGCAAAGAGCGCAGATCCAGAAGAGTAAGTTGAACCTGTGGGCATACATGTGATCCATCTTCACGGTGGATTGGGCGGCGTCTATGACACATTTAAGCTAACGGGTTCCTTGCTCCCATGTTATAGACATTCACGAAATGACGGAAATGTGCTTCAAGAAATGCATCACCGGCTCGATATCTGGGGGCAAGTTGGCCCCCAAGGAAGAGACGTGCATGTCCAACTGTGTGGAAAGATTCATGGATACGAATGTGACGATTTTGAAACACCTGGATGCCATCCGTGCGGGACAATGATGGCATAAGGCACGACGAGTTTTTGAAAATGCGAAACTTTTGTACAACTACAAGATTTGATGTAATCGTGGTTGGGGTTCTGCCGCAATAGGACAGTCCGGGGGAAATACTCGGAAGGAGGATTGCATTGTCCGGCAGATCGCTTCGCATATGTAACATCACATCGGGATAGAGGTGGCAGACACGTCCTCCGAGGGCGTTGCCGGAAGACCAAAAAAAGAATTCCTGCTCTCAAAAATGGTTTCTGGACTTTTTCTTCATAAGCACGCTTGGGTTTTGGTAATAGCTCAATCCTCTAATCGTGGATCCTCAAAGTCCATTCCACGCTCAACCGTATCCCCTATGCAGATGTTGCCCTTGAGAATCGCTGTCACTGGGCGCTCAGCCTCTGCATCCGGTGAGAATCTCCCATCCTCGTACAACAAATCCGGCCCTCTACACAATGGACAATTTCGTGGCGGCGATATCGAGAGCATCCACATCCGTGGTTAATCTGGCAAAAGCCTTCTTCTTGCCATCTGGTCTGATGAGGGTGTTGATCTTGACAGTGTCCACGTCGTACAGCTTCTTCAGGGCGTCCTTGATCTGTCGCTTGTTGGCCTTGGTGTCGACGATGAAGACCAAGGTGTTGTGCTCCTCAATCTTCTTCATTGCGCTCTCGGTGTTCAAAGGGTGGATGATGACTTTATGTTCGTCCAGTCGGGGCACATGGGGAATCGACTTGCGCGGGTACTTTGGCGACCGGGAGAGAACGAGCGTCTTGGGTCTGTGGAAGGTCGTCGACTTGCGGATCTTGCGGGCCTTGTCGGAATGGATCTAGTATTCGTTGTGAGAAACGGCTTTCTAAAAAAAAAGTCTCAATGTTGGACATACGCCTTTCAGAGTGGCTTTGGCGGCCTGGTTGGCTTTGGCGCTCGGCTTCTTCGAGCCTGTTCAAACAAGTCGTGTTAGTAAATATTCTCCTCAAAGCCATATCTGCAACAGAGAATGCCCCCAGCCCGGACTTCGACCATCGCGCATAACTTCCACCATCGAGGCGACTTGTCTTGTCTGGCTGGCTGCAACATCCCATGCCTGCAGTATTTGCAATTTCGAATATGGTCATCGTACCTTTCGGCTTAACTGTTGGGACGCCCATTGTCGTATTTGTGCCGAGTCGGTGGTTGTCGAGGTGGTTGTTCCAAAGCTGGCAATCTGAAAAGTCATCAGGCGCCGACTTGGATGGTGCAGGCGGGAACGATTGTGCGCCAAGAATTCATCAACGCCAAGAGACAGTCTTTACGGTGGCGCACCTCAACACGAGGCGCACTTTCCAGCCTCGTACAATGTACACCGATACTATTACGCGAGTTGTCTGTTTTACCAGGCTTCTACAGGTTGATGAACGTTTATGGGATTCTATCTTTGGTTCTTTTTCCATGAATTCACTCGGGTCTTGACTTTGAAGGGATTGGAAGCAGTGATGGCATCTTCCAAGTCATGAAAATTTCGCACCGTTCGATACTCAATATCTGCTGACTGGCAGCCCAAGATGGGCTTGGGCCAATCTGAAGACAAACCCGACAGGGAAAAGCGCGAGCTCGCTCAGGACGAAGAAGACCCTGACGCAGTCTTTGCATCGCTTGAGGAGGAAGATGACTCGGCATACCGTGCCCAAAGACTACAAGAACTGAACATCGCTGCCCATCAATCACAGCCAATAAAGACTGTGGACACCGCGAGGAACACTTATATAACTTTGAGCAATGACGACGAAGTTCTCAACTTTACAACGAGCAATGAACGGGCAGTGGTTCACTTTTTCCATCCGGACTTCGCACGGTGCAGGACCATGGACCAGCATTGCCAAAAGATTGCAGAAAAGCATGCAGAGTACGCGGATGCGGATGTTTCCTTTGCCCGAGTGGACGTCAAGAATGCTCCATTCGTCGTCGAGAAACTGGGAGTGAGAGTGTTGCCTTGTGTTATCGGATTTGTGAAAGGAGTGGCCAAGGGCAGAGTCACTGGGTTTGAGGGCTTGTGTTGGGACGGAAACGAAGGTAGCAGCAGTGTCACACGGGCACTGGAGGAGACACTCGTCACTTGGTCTGTTTTGCGCAAGAGGTTACTTCTTGGCCACCATGACGATGATTCTGACGACCAGGATGATGAAGATAGGCTTGACGATCGTAGACATACGACACGGAGTATCCGTGGTGGTTTACAGAAGGCAGCCGGCGACGACGAGGATGACTGGGACTGAAAAGATTGATAGTTCCTAGACGTCTTCACGATGCCAACAGTCCTGCCGTCCATCCACATGCAACAGGGCGTTGAGTATAAGTCCAGCTCAAGAGAGGAATGCCTCAACCGAACAGCCTTGACAAGAACAATCGAACAGCCACCAGCATGTGCGGCATATCACCGTCGTCTACTTTTGCTGTGGTCGAGGATGATGTTGGTCCCGGAGGAGCGGCATACTCCTTTCTGCCATTTTCGTTGCGGACATGTCGACCATATACCGGTCCCACCACAGCGACCGAGAGGAATGACAGCCTCAAACCCACAATAGTGGCAGGCTTCCTTAGGCATAAAAACTAGACCACCGTCCGCCTCACATGCAGCGGCATAGCAGCAATATATCAAATGCCATACCGATGGTGCCACAGCCGGTGTAAGGAGTGGACGAATCGAAAATGCGCCTGACAGAATCGCACTGGATTCTGCTGGGGCAGGCTTGCACGTATATCAGCCCCATCCGGATGTATGTCAGGTCCTGGAAAGAGGTCGGAGATTATCTCTGATGGCTTATATAGAGACAGCTGAAGGGCAAGACAGGCAACGGAGGCTTGATCGGTGTTTGGCCATGCCAGAAGTCTAATTTTGTGAAGGCGTCGGGCTGCTTGACGCCTGTCAGGCCCTGGAAAGTCGCCAATCAGCCACCCGCTGGAACAGTACACGTTGCGCGTCTTGCGTCCCCTTTTTTTCGCCCTTTGCCCACCCACTGGCACCTCACAAACTTGAAGTACTACTACTACTGGTGGTGCAGTTCACCTCCCTGGCAATCCTCAGTTTCTGTATCGCAGTCATTTTAAAATCCTCGGGAGAAGTATCCTTCTTCGACTTCTGCAAGGTCTTGCTCGTAGCTCACCCGTGGTTCTGTTTCCCACCAACGCGGCCCTTCACACCCTACCGCTATCCCGCCCTGCCAGAACTCCGTCACCCTAAGGTTACCATCGGAGTCGGAAGCCTATCCTTCTAACATCAGCCATGGCCGAAGAAGAGAAGAAGAGATTTCTCGAAGAGACCGAGATGGAACTTGGCGAGAAGCAGGGCAAAGGGTTCAGTAGCCCTCCGCCACCGGCCATACCACGACACTCTCATCCCTCGCACAACTGGCAGAACAACCCAATTTTGCCTGTCATCTGCTACTGTGGTTCTTCCATCTTGATGACTGTCGCGAATAAATATATCCTGTCGTTCCCGGATTATAACCTCAACTTCTTGCTGCTGGCTGTCCAGGTTGGCTCACTCTTGTCCCATCTGTCCGCTTCTTGCTAACTATCGCATAGTCGACCGTTTGCGTACTGGCCATTTCTACCTGCAAGTCATTGGGCCTTATCAGCTATCGCGACTTCAAAGCGGACGAGGCGAAGAAATGTATGGTCTAGTGTTCTACCGTGTTTATGCAGGCTTTAATACTAATGTGAGCAGGGTTTCCCATCTCTCTTCTCCTAATCGCCATGATCTATACCGGCACCAAAGCGCTGCGCTACCTCTCCATCCCAGTGTACACAATCTTCAAGAACCTGACTATTATTCTTATTGCATACGGGGAGGTGTTGTGGTTTGGAGGATACATCTCGTCCATGACCCTCTTTTCCTTTGGCCTGATGGTGCTGAGCTCGGTGGTTGCGGCTTGGGCTGATATCAAGCACGCTCTGGAGAGCCACTCTTCATCAAACTCCGCCGCAGCCACGCAACAGCTGGCCACTTTGAATGCAGGTTATCTTTGGATGTTGGTCAACTGTCTGTCCAATGCTGCGTATGTGTTGTGCATGCGCAAGCGCATCAAGCTCACCAACTTCAAGGATTTCGACAGTAAGTTTTGCTTCCAGATTTCCCTGGTACATGTTCTAACAGTCGCTAGCAACGTTCTACAACAACTTACTCACCATTCCCGTTCTGCTGCTTGCCTCTTTTCTAGCCGAGGACTGGTCATCCGCCAATTTGACCAAGAACTTCCCACCAAACTCAAGGAATGGGATCTTTGCTGCAATGATTTTCACCGGCGCGTCATCCATTTTCATTTCGTACACATCGGCATGGTGCGTGCGAGCGACATCCTCGACGACCTATTCCATGGTTGGCGCACTGAACAAACTTCCGCTCGCCATCTCCGGCCTCATCTTCTTCGATGCGCCCGTCACGATTCCTAGTGTTAGCGCCATCTTCCTCGGCTTTGTGAGTGGTATTGTCTATGCACTAGCGAAGCTCAGGGGGTCGCAAAAGCCCAAGACTGGAATTCTCCCAACGTCCAATACCATGAGCGCGAGCAGTCAGAGCACCAGAGACAGCCTAAAGGCATGATCGGGTTGAATCTGGTCTTACGAGACCACGACACCTTCCAGCGCCAGCTGGGAGCAGCCTTCTGCGACGCAAAGAAACATTTCCATGCATTGCCGGGCGTTCGGAAGAGGCGTGTGGATTGGAACCGCCAACAATCCATGCAGGGGTTAGTTGCGGGATTACTTCTTGGGATTTGAACTACTTAGACTCTTTAGACTCGAAACCTTTCGTCTATCGTATTCGTAGCAGTTTGTGAATTGGGAAAACGGAGCTGTTGTACGAGTAGTGGAGTCGTCACAAATTCTGGCATGGTAATGATATAGACATTGCCAAGAATAAAACAAAAATGTCGAAACGAAGCCAAAGATCGAGATAAACTGTTTTGTCCCGCTAGAGATTCCAAAGCAATCAGAAACAATAGTCTATATCCAGAGGCATACATTGGACTACATTGGTAGTGCCCTTCTCGGCCGTATTAAATTGAAATTACAACTGAGTATCCACCATTTCAGTGTTACAATATGTTGGACCTTCAATAAGCCCACCCTACACGCTCCAGACCAGCGTAGACCCCCCAGCAGTCTTCATGGGAAAAGCCAAAAGACCAGCTCGAAAGCATTCAAACCATCATGATAATCCGAAATCCGCGAAGAACGCAGTGGTGAGAAGGCAACACAGCCAAAAGCCACCACAACACGCAAAGAAGGCCGGATCAGCACGTGGAAACGGCGGCCCACCAGTAGGTCGAATCAAAGTACCTTTCTCGAAGCATGACAATGTGCTCCTTGTCGGTGAAGGTATGGCAGATACTGCTGAGATCGACCTGAACCCCTGTACAGGGATGTAAGATCGATATGGCTATGACCTACTGACAAGGATAAGCCGCTGACTTGACCATAGGCGACTTCTCCTTCTCCTTGTCCTTGCTGCGTCATCACAGAATCGGCCAGCTAACAGCAACATGCTACGACTCGCGGGAGGCCCTCGAGAGCAAGTACCCGGGCGTGGAGAAGACGATACAGTACCTCCAGGGAGTGAATGAGCCGGGCTCTCCACGCCGAGATGACTCGGCAGATGTAAGTCATGGACGAGAAGGTCACGAAGGACAATGGGAGGGATTTAGCCCATCACCACCAGCATCACCAAGCACTCCGGAGCAAAAACCTTCCAAAGAAGGAACGAAGAAGACCCCGGTCAATATTCTTTACGGCATTGACGCAACCAAACTGTCCACCGTGCACAAAAAGGCCTTACGGCCATACTCGCCGTTTACCAAGATTGTCTTCAACTTTCCCCATGTCGGAGGCCTGAGCACCGATGTGAACAGACAAGTACGCTACAACCAGGAGCTTCTCGTTGGCTTCTTCAAGTCTGCGAAAGGACTCTTGTCCTCTCCGTCGAATCCGGCACGTGTACTAGAGCCTGACAAAGAGGCCGGCAGTGACCACGAGGATGACTCTGAATCATCCCAAGACTCAGCACAGCACCCTGGTGCTGTCGATGGCCAGATACTGGTTACTCTATTTGAGGGAGAGCCGTATACACTCTGGAACATTAGGGATCTCGCTCGACATTGTAACTTGAAGGTTGTGGAAAGCTTCAAGTTTTCATGGTCAGCCTACCCGGGCTATCAACATGCCAGGACCATAGGGGAAATCATATCCGGAAAGGACCGCAGTGCCGAAGGCAAAAGGAAAGGCGCCTGGAGGGGAGAAGAGCGAGATGCAAGGTGCTATATAGTTGCTGATCAAGATGCTGAAACTGACGTGCGATCTTCGCAAAAGAAACGGAAAAGAGGGCAGGATGATGAGGATGACAGCGACTAAGGAGAAGAGACGCAGTGATACAGACGCATCACTACAACCAACGACAGTGCCTTGCCTATCCGTGGCCCGTGTGAACTGTTGTTCGGGTGCTGCTTTTCTTTACAACATATTCACCTCACTGTACTGTAGGTATGTACCTAGTATACTATGTATATACTGTTTGCCGAAACAATGTACAAGTGCACAAACCACCTATTATCCACGTTCCCCGATTGGGGAATAAAACCACTAAGTCATGGGCCAAGCCTGTCACTAGTCGTAAGTGCTTCTAAAAACACCTAAAACTTGATTCGAGGACCAACTTCAACTGGGACGCGGGTTTGAGGAACTTTCATACTCCTACTAGACTTATTATTTTTCCTGTCGCGTCTTACACCAAAGAAAACCCGAAGTTTGTCTGTCTGCGATCAAACATCCAGTGCACAGGACAGTCGCGATGTCGGAGGAAGCACCACGAAAGCGCTCACGCTTCGACCAAACAGAGCCTGAGCCCCGAAAAGCCTCTCGCTTCGACAGACGTTCGCGGTCCCCTTCTACAAGACAGTCCGAGACGAGAAGTCGGAGTCCTCTTGCCAAACGCAGTCAAAGTCCTGCACCTGGAGAGAAGCGCAGCACTTCCGTCGACCCTGCTGCAGCCGCAGGTATTCCATACCCACTCAGATATGAGGGTTACTCGGTGCTAACGAACACTCAAAGCCGCGGCCGCAGCGAAGATCAATGCCGAGTTACAAGCGCGCAGAGGAATACAGCATGTCGATGTTCCTCCCATTCGATCGGTAGGCGCTGCAATCCCAGCCGCTTCAGCAACTATTGACGTTCGCTCACAGGGTTCTACTCCCACGCCTACTCCCAAACCTTCCACTCCAGGTGCGAATGACCACAGCCGAGTCGGCGGAGATATCTACGTCGCAGATGGAGACTATATCAAGGACATTGAAATCAACGACCTACGGAACCGTTACACTTTGACCAAAGGTTCTACCCAAAAGATGGTAAATATCCCGGTGTTGGGCTCTGACTCTATTACTCTTACTTGCAAGTCCAATCAGGGCCGCGCATTGGCAGTACCCGCGTGGCTTGCCCTTGCATGAAGTCCAGGTGGAATATCGCGCGTTACAATGCTGACGATAATGTGTCTTCAGATCAAAGAAGAGACTGGAGCCGGTACGCCAACGCTTACGTTGCATCTGATCGATGAATTACTGACTTTAGGTACGAAGATGTTACTACTCGAGGGTCGTACTATCCGGACAAGAGCATGGCCACTGCGACGGTAAGTTCTGGATGATCCAAGTGATTTACCGTTTCTAATAAGATAGAACCCACCGCTCTACCTTCATGTCACAAGTACCTCCAAAGCTGGCCTTGAAAAAGCCATTGAAAAGATTGAAGAGCTCATGAAACAAGAGCTTCCGAACCTGGTTGACGAAAGACGCTTCCGGCGCCGAGAGCCTGAACCGTTTGAAAGGGATGAATTCGGAAGAGTAAGTGTTCAAATGTGGATTTGTTTCAATACAGCAGCTTACTCGAAAACAGCGCAAATGGCCCGAGGAAAAGATCCCCATAGACATGGAGAACATCCCCGGCTTCAATCTTCGCGCACAGGTCGTCGGACAGGGTGGTGCGTACGTCAAGCACATCCAACAGGAAACCGGCTGCCGAGTTCAGATCAAGGGACGGGGAAGCGGCTTCATGGAACACAGTACTGGCCAGGAGTCCGACGAACCAATGTACCTGCATGTTGCCGGCCCTCAGCCCGCGCAAGTTCAAAAAGCTAAAGAACTTTGCGAAGATCTTTTGGCCAATGTCCGCATAAATTTCGAACACTTCAAGGCCAACCCTCCGCCTCAGCGAATGGAGTCATACACCGATGGATACGGCGCCGAAGCCCGTCGTGGTGGTTCATATGGCGGCTACGGCCACGGGCACGGGCACGGACAGGGCCATGGGCATGGTCATGACCGCCATCGGGAAAACAGTTACTCACACAACAGCAACAGCTACAATTCGCCATACTCGGCAACGCCAGCTACACCAGCCCCTGGTACAGCCGCTTCGCCCACAGAGTACGCCGCTCAGTATGCGCAGTACTATGCTAGTCAGCCTGGCGGCGATCCTTATGCGGCCTATGGTGGCTATCAAAACTATGTGGCATACTATCAATACTACCAACAGCAGGCTGCCGGTCAACAACAACAATCGCCGCCTCCACCACCTCCCGCCGAGTCCAACCCACCGCCTCCCCCTGGACCGGATAGCTCAGCAGCTCCACCTCCACCGCCTCCTTCCTCTGGCTATTCTGCAGTTCCGCCACCTCCTGGATTGTGAGCATAACCGAGCGGATGAAGTGCTGACTGTGTCAGGCGTATGCGAAACATATGTTGTTCAGTCTTTTACCCTTGCAGTTATCGAGCCACGCCACATCGGCAAGGCAGGTCGCCAGAGTGCCTTGAATGGTCAAGTCTCGAGCGAAGGCCACATAAAGAATCTGCATGCAGACCATTTGGCGACATGAGGACTCGAATTGGGCAGGCCAAGTATCTGAACCAAAGGATAATTGCAAGCTGATCGGTCAATAGGGACCAGATCCATAATTCCATTTCAGTGTTTGTGTGTTGTAATAAGCTGACTCTAAAGCTGACCCTATCCAGCGTAGTCGTGAACTGGTATAAAACCTCATGCGAAGCCGCTCGAACAATGGATGCGGAAGCGCTTCGCCAGGTCGTCCGCGTGTGCATGAGTCAAGCTCATCACTGCCTGATGAACGAGGCTAGGATACCTTTTGAGGTATATCTGATTGCAGCAGGGTTGTGCTTCTTCAGCACTCAGCGGCTTCGTGAAGTCTTTCATTGCTCCCTTGCGATATTATCCGGAAAGGTCCCTACCCTAATATTACCATGAGTATTGTTTTTGACATAAGGCCATGGAAAGGAGCATATCTATATCTCTTACTAGTTGTCTGCATGGATGGAAATGCGGAATCGAACAAAAATTATCAGGTAGGGAAGCCAAGGTCCTTCTAGTACACGGCGGCCAGGCCGCTCGCTGCAGTTTGAGCATATATCTCATGCACTTTCTCTGCGTTTCTCACCCTTCACGCGTTTCTGAGCACAGTCTTATTGTGTCTTATCTCATACACGGGGTAAAGCATTGCGGCTCACCGTGACTTGTCATGTTGAGCTGGCAAATCCCAAATCTCCTGAGGGGATATCCGTGACGACGATAACAATTCAGCTATCCAGGCAATATAAAGGCACGCCTGTCATCGAAATCCTCAACATCCATCAACACATCCAACATCAACAAGACAAAAGGTATTGCATGTCTCGCCTCATTTCCGTTGCCCTCGTCCCAGACCATGCGTCTGCCAATGATCTATTCAATAGTACACGACATGTTTGTACAAAACTCAAGCAGCTTCGCCGTAGACTAGCGACCTCTAAGAATCAATATCCGGATTGGCGACGAACATTGCTCAACCAAATACTCCATTTCCTGGTAAACCAAATGCAGGAAACCCAGGTCTCTTTCATGCGCGTTCCGTTTCCAGTGACATCCCGTCCCCGATATGATCGATCGACTGTGATAGTAGAAGAGGTTGCCGGAAAAGCGAAACTCCATTTGGCGCATAATTGGACCTGACCGCAATCACTTTATTCTCCGGATTGTGGCATCACTTGGCTTCGAACTCAAGCCGCGACTCAGTCCGGCGCCAATGCCACGGCCTAACGTGGCTATCTTGGACCCTACCCAGGGGTTGAAGCGGACGTCGTCGTCTTCTGCGGCCGACGCTTTTGAAACGTGGTCGTCGTCATCGTCGCGTACGGCTTCCTCTGCGCCTCCACCTCCGCCGGAGGGATCGTCTCCTGACTGCATGTCAGTACCCCCACTGTGTAAGCCGTTTCTCCCAGACGCGGCGGCGGTGGTGGATTTGGCCCGCTGATGTCTTTGCGTCAAGGCCAGGAAGGCAGCCAAAGCTGCGTCCGCAGTTAGATCACCGTGTCCTGGGGTCAGCTCACTCGCCGAACGGTGCAGTTCGGAGCGAACACGACTGCTGCTGGGTGGCGGCGCGGCAGCGAGTCCTTGACTCCGGGCCTCTGAGTCCACGTTTGAGTCGGGTTTGTCTTCTAGTAGAAAACGGGCCGTTGGCGGGGATGGTGCATTGACAACGCTGAGGCTAGCGCAGGGACATCCGCAGCCGGTGGGACAGCTGTTGTGCTCGTCCAGGTCCTCGTCGTGGTCCGGGTCCTTGTCCTCCCGAGCGTCGCCAATATGATCATCATCGTCGGCTTGATCGTGCCTGGCTATCCCGCCGTGAGCAACCACGTCGACCGGATCATCTTTTGATGGCGACGTTGTCTCTTCTGCTGATGGCCTGCGGGAGATCGGAATTCTATCCGTCCCGCTCTTACTGATCCGTCGAACGCCGAACCAGCCTTGCGCGCAGTCGTAGCATGTCAAGTGTCCACATTGCAAACAGGGCACTGCGAGGCCGTCGATCGAACTGTTGCAGACCCCACAGGTGCTCCGCTCCGGGACCTTGAGCGCCGCGCTGCACACCGGATTGACACACTGCCAACCGATGGGGATCCCGTTTTTTTCAATGGGCGCCAATGGGTCTCCGCAGTGGCGACAACAGCGGAGGATGGTAAGGCCGGGGCTCGGGGCTCGGGCTGTTGCCGTCATCGTCTTGCGTCGTGGAGGCCTTTCTAGATGCATGCCGGCGGAAACCGAGGGCAGGTGATGAGGACCCGGAGGGAAGTGATGGTTGGCTGCGCTCAAATGTTCAGCGGACAAGCCGTCAAACTTGAGCATCTCACAGCGTTGGATGGGCAACTGCCACACGTCGAGCAGATATGCATAGCTTGCGCGGTAACCGCTGCATCTTTGTTCGAGCGTGGGGCCCAGCAGGGGAGACAGAGCATATCCGTCTAGGTCAAATTTGTCTTGATTGAACAGATGGGTCTTGACCCGCTTCCTTTTGGGCACTTTCTTTTCTTCTGTAGTTCCCTGGACCTCGGAGGATGTTCCTGCTACAGGCTTGGGACTATCATGACCCTTATTCCCTGATCGCCGGGCACTGTCCTTCCGTGAATTCCGAAACGCCGACGATGTGATTGACGGGCGCGGGCCCACCTCGCGGCTGTCTTGACTCGCCGCCTCACTGCCCTGAAAAGAGGTACGTGGCTGTCTGCTGCTGCTTTGACCCCCAAAGAGGCTGGAAGACACCCAGCCGGGTGCCAGCGACCCTGAAGGACTGTACTTCTTGAGGCCCGGAGCAACCCCCGAGCTTGAGCTCTGGTTCGGCGGTGAATTCGACGAGTACGATTGTGTCAATGCCGAGAGACTTGCGCGGGCAGAAGAATATGGGATACTGGAAGCCGGTCTGTGGCTGGACCTGTTTCCTTCAGGCGAAGTGGACAGGGAGATTGTCGTTGATTGAGATTGTGCGTGATCGCTTGCGTCGTCGGCGATGAAGCTATGTGCGCGGGACGAAAATTGGCTAGTCTGGCGGGCGCCGCTGTTGTATGGTCTGGTCTGGCCATGAAGAGGGTGAATTCCTGTCGTGTGCATTCCCGGGCTTGGAGGAGCATTCATTGAGTCAACAAGAACGTATCCTTCGGAGGCTAAATCGTTCTGGAGAAAAGCTTTGGCTACTGCTTTGGACGGAAAATAATCTGACCTCGGAAACGGAGCGTTGTTAGGAAAGCCAACGCACGGGTCGATGACAGGGTCGCCAGGGATTGCGCCCTGGTTGGCGACCGAGGCAAAGACGCAGGACATCATGGCCAGCATCTGAACATCTCCCAACCTCTCAAAATGGTCAAAGATGGCGGGCAATAGATAAGTCGATGCCAACGGATGATTGCCCCAGCGTGTCCTACCCAATGCTTTGTTCCCCACAACACCAGCAGAGCTGTACCCCAGTGATGACTTTGTGACCACGCTCCGTGCAAGGACTGATATATCAATTGGAGCACCCTGGCTGAGATCAGGAAGTACTTCTAATGGGACAGTATCATCCAGAATCAGGCCAAGTAGAGTCCAGACGGAGGCCAGGTCTTCTAAACATGCTTTGCGAGCAATACCGGCGTTGTGTTTACACAGCTGTGGGCCATCACCGAAGATCTTGTATTCAAGACCTAGTTCGCGCTTGGATGGTACCAAGTTTTCGAAGCTCTCAATGGATATATAACAAAGACGCGGGTTGTCGTTCAGTTTATTGAGACCCGTCGTGGAGTTATTCGAACGATCCGGTGAGCGAGAACGTTGATGCAATCCGGAAACACCGACCGGATAGGAGGATACACCTCGAGCGTTTTGCTCGGTCTCGAACGACGACGAGGAGCTGCTAGACGACAGCCATGAGGAATCTGAAGTTCCGGAATCCGAGTCCTCGTCAGAACTTTTGGTTCTCGCGGCTGCTCTGCGTGCAGGTGAACTGGCGTGCATGCGTCCAAAGCCTTCGAATAGCCCGCTCGAGTCCGAATTCTCCAAGTCTTTGAGACCGAGGGTACTCAGCAAAGAAATGGGTTCCTTGGATTTGGCTGGAAAAAAGCACACAAGCTTCCCGGTTTGTGACCATATTGCACCACAACCCTTGGCCAAAGGCACTAGGATATTGGCAGACGCCTCCAGTCCATCCCGAATGCCGTCCATTTGCTCGTCATCATCGCTGCTCGAATCATCTGCTGGGGCGGCAGCTGCATCCAAGACCTTGGACTCCGTCAGGGAATCTCCCAAGACCCAACCAATTATCTGCTCGAGGTCCTGTTCGCGCAGAAGATACCGCAGAACGGCTTCCAGGCATCCCCTCTTCCTTGACGCATAGATTTCGGAAATGGTGTTCAGCTCGGTTGAAATGAGCTTGTGCGTCTCATCGTCGACAAACCCAGATTTCTGCAAACTGAGGACAGCATTCGCATTTCGAGGGTACGACTTCGGGAATCGCATCTCTACTCGGAGGTAGACTTGGCTTTGGTTTTCACCCCAAGGAGCTTGTAGTGACATTACAGCTTTGCGCCGGGAGATATCCACCACTTCAAAGTCCACCTTTTTAAACTTCTCCCCAACCTGTCTGATTTCTTCCGCAAGCGTATCGGTGTCCCAAGAAGATATCTTTACATTTTTCAGCCATGCGATGGGATCTGCCCGCTGTCTGGCGTTAGCGCGGCCATGCATGCCTTGTCTGTGAGTCTGACGGCCTTGTACCCAACTTCGAAATCGGGAGACAGGTACTTTATTCATCGCCGCGCTCGTGCTCATCCGATAGCGCAGTTGCATGACCTGGCTAGGACGAGGAAACATCTCACTGCGAGGGGGCTGCTCCAGCGGTGAATCACTGTCCGCAGGATCATCCCGGAAGGACTTGTAAATCGCACCCCTACGGGTGAAATTGAGCCTTTGCACCTTGGAAACTCCTTTTTCGTAGCCAACATTGGCATATATGCTGGGGTCCAAGGCATGAAGTCTTAGTTCTCTGTCCGTACCCCAGGAAACTAGTTGGAAGTCGCGATGATCCACGCCGTCTGCTATCGTACCTCGTGAACGCCAGAGAAACTCCTTGACATGACCATCGTGGCCGGCAAACGTCGCAACTGGCGGGACAGGCCCGCTTTCAAGCACTCCATTGACCGGCCGACGGTCATAGAGATGCAAATCGCTGTTCCCGCGTTGTGGCATAACCAGCAATCCCCAGCCGAAAGGAGTATGACGAGCCCGTCGGATAGGGAATGAAGTCTCAATAATGCGCTCAGGCATGTTCTCTTCATGGTTAAGATTCCAAAACTTGATGGTCTTGTCAAGAGAGCATGTGATGATCTTGCCGGGATGGTATCTGTTCCAATCCACCCCTGAGATTTTCGTCGCATGTGCTTGGATCGTTCGCACTGGGTAGGCACCATTCCTGTCGTCCCAGATATGGAGAAATTTGTCATGCGAGCTGGCAACAACGTGCTCATCTTGTCTGCTCCATTTCACCTGAGTGGCACCAGCAAACCAATCCGAAAACGAGTTCACTGGCCTCAAAGGTGCCCTCAAGTCCCAGCAGTGAACAAAGCTGTCCACTGCGCAAGTCGCGAGGACATCGGGATTATGCGCGGAGAAATTGATGTCGGTGATTGCTCTGGTATGTCCATGAAGCACAAATTCGATCCAGTCTTGCCATGAGCGAGCCTCAAGGTTCCATACCAGGGCCTTTTGATTCGAAGTGCTGACTACCCAATAGTCCCGGACGGCGAACGGGGACCACTGAACATCGGCTACTTCCCACGGAGTCCGGTGCGGAAGGTAGCGAGGTGGAGAATATGGCGAATCCAGGTCTATGATATGAAGCCCCTCTTTAGAAGCCAATGCGACGTCCCGGCCACTGGGTGAGATGCTCATGGACCCCACGGGCTGCTCGAGTCGAAAGGATGCATCTTGCCCAAATGTTTCGCTTTCGAAAGCGGACGTCGGACCCCGGGGCGCCATTTCTTGAGCCTCAGTCGTTGGTTAGTTGGAGACACCCGGGGCGCATAACTGCCAGATCGGTCATGATATGATCACTGCAATGGCAAGCGGATTGACGAGCTTCTGCCGAAATAGTCGTGTACTCTGACGCGGACAAGCATCTCAAATAAGAATAACGCGGCGAGTATGTGGAGGAGCTATGCTGTGAGCATACCATGTCCCAAACTGGTGGTAGTGCCTCACTGATCACGCGAAAGGGCAGCTACCGTGATGGGAAGAGCAGAGACCGTACGACATGTTCGATGGAAAGTCAATAGTAGTTGTATCGAAACTCAACCACTATGAATAGTAGTAGTAGTAGTAGAGAGTCCACAGACCAAAGAGGAAAAGTGCCCAGGACCAATTCACGTGACTAAACCCTATACAGATTACATAAGCATCAGGTCGAATCGCATCACCTACCTAGGTACGCATACCAGTGTCGTTTACAAAGTCTCCATTCCAGCTGGGCTTTGTGGCTGGTGGATTACGGGTAACGAGAATTTGTGCGTATGTCATCGAGTACTTGAGTCCCCGGCTGTTACTGCTGCCATTCTGGAGGATTTCCACCTTTCCTGAGTACATTGTACAACCATGACCACGTCGAGGTTGACCTGGGTCAGCATCGTGTTCGAGTCAATGTGACGAAAAATGATTCTTTGTTCAGGCCAGCAGGGCTGGACTCCCTGATGACCTAAGTTCAATGAATGTTCGTAGAAAATATCATAAGCTGGCTCAAGGAAACCCGAAACACAGCTGTGCTGCAAGGCTGTGGCAGCTGAACTGAGTCATGCATCTTGGAAACTCGTACAGCGCCAAGACTATACACGATTCAGGGTACGCATCCACTTGAACTTGAACTTGACGTTGATCTCCAATTCACCACGGGTCCAAGTGTCATGTATGCGCATGTCCTCACGAGCAGTCACACCAGACGTGAGTTCCTAGGACGCTGTCAGCTACCTGTACTGTTCCTGAAGAGAAGTGGAAGCCCCGGATAGACTGTTCCTGCTCAGATCTCAGCACCTATATCTCCCGCATCACTTACCATTTTCGAATCGTCTACATCCACCCGCATACGAGACGCATCTGCAACGCTACGACGGTCCTTCGAACCGATACAGTGCACCTAGAGGAAACAGGTGCTCGGGGCTCTCCTGGGCTTTTTGTTGTCACCAGGCTGCTTGCACTCCGAGGCGGTCTTAACTGTCAAGATGGCGTTGCCCAAGAGAATCGTGAAAGAGACGGAGAGGCTCATGGCTGAACCGTAGGCATTGTCATGCATTGTGCAAGAGTCACCGCTGAATAAAGACCTTCAGGGTACCAGGAATCAGTGCTGTGCCACATGAAGACAACCTGAGATACTTCGATGTCTCCATACATGGCCCTTCACAATCACCCTACGAAGGTATGATGCTCTCTTATCAAGGGTGCAATGTTGTAGCTGACCTTGACGCAGGGGGCATATTCAAACTCGAACTGTTCTTGCCGGACGACTATCCTATGACGCCTCCGAAGATCCGATTCTTGACCAAAATCTACCACCCCAACATCGACAAACTTGGTCGAATCTGTCTTGATGTGCTGAAGAGTGAGTTATCTTCCTTGCGTTACAACATCACGCGCTCTAACTGGAGCAGGCAACTGGTCTCCAGCATTGCAGATTCGAACTATTCTTTTATCCATACAAGCTCTATTGGGAGCACCGAATCCGGATGATCCACTGGCCAATGATGTTGCGCAACGGTGGAAGGAGGATCAGGAGGCAGCAATCCAGACGGCTAGAGAATGGACCAGGACACACGCCATGACTTGAGATCTCTCAGCCCGGCTCTTAAACTGGGGTATCAGCTGTTGATGCCGGACAGGGGGCGATGTAGGTGTATCTTGATTTGTTTTTGAAGCCTCAGCCTTACCTTGAAGATGAAAGAACACAATGATTCATGCACAATTCGATAGAATATAAAGTTGTGTCCTCCTTTGTCCTTCTTGGTAAGTGTACACGTCTTTCAAGTTGCCCCCTTGGAAAGTTCCTCCTGCCGCACGCCTTCCTTAGCGTGATCCGTGTCTGTTGAAGCTCGGGAGCACGCCGTTGCTGTCTGTGTGAACGTAAGTGTTACCGCTTTGTTCTTTCCAGCTCCATCGTCTGGCTCCCTCTGTGATACTATGGTCGATGAGGATGACATCGTCGCCCGCAAAGGGCTGTGCGCACTATTGGCCCATTGTCGACGACATCATGGTCACAGAGCGAGCTACGCCATTCGCTAATGGAAGACGACCGTAGCCTGGCGGCCGCTGACCACACGACTTACGTTGTCAACGATGGACGCCGCTCTTAACTTTCCTCTCTTCGGACAACGATGGATCGACTGACGGCCACCATGAGGTCTCCCACCAAGGGTGGAATGGCTTCAGAAGCCGCTTTGTGAGTATCTACACATCTTTGATGGAGATTTATCAGTGCTAACGCCCACCAAAGGAGCCGATCGAAGTCCTCTGCGTCCGCTCGGCTCGCAACGCCGCAACGCCGTCTCCTCCCTCGAGGTTCCCTTGGGTCCCTTCGCCGCCTGAGGAGCAGATTGAGCCTGGGGAGTCTTCGCAAGGGCTCACCGGAGAAGAAGGGTGCCACGAGGCTGGGTTGCCACGTGACTGAGAGTTCCTCAGTTCACAGCCAGCACTCATTTCGTCCTTTGTCGATTGTCAAATCGGCCTTACGCCCTTTTGACTTCGACGTTGCCGCAGCCATGGAAGCCGCGCAAAACCATCCTCTCTCGTCCCCTCCTGCCTCCCCAAAGACCAGCATGGCATCAGGTCAAGATGGCACTGAGCCTCTGGCTCGTATCCCGCGTCTCTCGAACGAGGAGCGCGAGGATGACGAGAAGACAATCAAGCCAGAGCCCCAAACCTCCTCCTCCCCTCATCCATCTGCCTGCGAGACGGAAGTCTCCGGCGATTTTCGATCCTTGATGCGTCTGCCGCCACCAGACATTCGCCAGCACCCGGCGTTTGTAAGCGACCCGATGACATCAACCAGCGATGCGCCGCTGATGGTCACTACGACTACAGAGGCAGAGATCCGCCAATGGGCGCAAGAGAGGCGTCCTAATATGATGGCGACTCAAGCAGGCACGACAAGCAGGGCAGGAGCGACGACGCCGCATCGAGGACTCCGTTTCGTGACTCCAACGGGTCTTCGACGTCGAGAGGCGCAGGCAAACCCCGAGGCTCCGGCTCCATCAGGATTTTCCCTTCGGAAAAACTTCTCTCGACTTCGCCTCGAGTATGAAAATGTCGTGTTTGGAGGAGGTGACATCTTTTCAGGAGGTGCATCCATGACTTCGCCGACACCCGGACTCAAGACCCCGGCTGAGAGCGAGAAGCAAGCCACCACGCCAGGCTCACAGGAAGTCGAGCAGAAGAAGACCGGCCTACGAAAGGTTACTGGACTATTCAAGTCAAAGCCTGAGAAAGCGCAGCCAGATCCGGTTTCACCGCTACCAGATGGTCCAAATTACCGTCTGCCCAGACAGGATCTTGTGAGTTACCCTGTTGTGAAATCGAGTAAGTTACATGCTGACACCTAGCTTCAGGAACGCTATCTGCGCATCACCAGCAACTGCCGCTCGTATGACTATGATGAAACACAGCCCTATCCACGCCACCCAAATACTGGACGTGCCTGGCACTCTCGCAACCTGAAGTGCACCAATTGCCTCGATGTCACCTGCGCTGTTTGCGGACGAACATGCTGCGCGTACAAAGCTGCTTCAGAAGCTCTCGAGAATCACCAGAACAACGCTCCCAGCCTCATGGCAGCACAAGACCGCCTCGCTGATATCTCGAATCTCTTCCCATTCGGACGCGAGACCACAACATTTCTTCAATGTACCCATGGTGGTGGATGTGGCAAGATGGTGTGTCCTGACTGCTGCGGCATGTGCCCAAATCCAATTTGCGCCGACATACAGTGCAGAAAATGCAAGAAGGACCCATGGTCTGAATGTGACTGGCATGAACATATGGAAACACACGCATTGTAAAGGTACGAGGTGATTGGAAGCTGTCGGGCACAAGACGATGCGACTCACGAGACAGGCCAGAGCGCACGAATACTGTGCTGAAATTATGGGTGGTATCGGGGTTCAACCACAATGGTCTTAATCACGATGAGATGAAAAAGATAGACATGAGTTTGTGATACCCCGGCTGCGAGCTGCAGCTTTCTCGGCTACTGATTATTACTGATCAGAACATAATTGAATTGATTGAAAGAAAGACTGTGAAGCATGCACATAACATGTCATTCGTAACAATTCATTTACTCTCCTGATTGCGATACGGCTGAGCCTGCGCAGGAGATATTGCGCGCCGGAGGCTAGCAGCTTCCCGTAGCTCAGCGCCAAAATCTAAATATGCGGTTTCGGTGCTGTGCTCCAATGTAGAATTAATTCTTGGCAGAGCTTGAATGCCAAGCGCACAACTCGCCCCGACAATTGACCTCCGATGTCACTTTGAAGCCTGGACGAGGGACCGCGCCTATTGATTTCACTCCAACAACAACTATCGACCAAAGGTACAGCATCGGGCAAACCGACCGATCAAGATGCGTACCTACGACGATACCTTCAGCGGCACGAAGATCTACCCGGGCAAGGTCAGTCTAGCCGAACCCCTCCCCGCCGAAGACGGGGACGAAGTCGATGTGTTCCGCTTCCACGATGCCAACGTACCCTTTGGCGAAATATGAGACGGAGGGATGTTGCAAGAATAGACAGTGGCTGACGTGAAGAATACAACAGGGCAAACTCTATGTCCGTGGTGACAGCAAGATCTTCCGATTCCAGAATGGCAAGACCGAGTCCCTCTTCCTCCAGCGCAAGAACCCGCGCAGAATAGCCTGGACCACCCTGTACCGAAGAATGCACAAGAAGGGTATCTCAGAGGTTAGTTTTGACAATCAGCCACCGGCGGTCCATTGTTTCCCCAGAAGAGTCGCTTTGGGTACACAGTGCATGCGCCTGGCAAAATGATTAGGGTTTATTGCGGCATTGCTACAAGAGTCTTCATTACATGACGCAGTTCCGAGCATCAATTTGTACAGGCGAAGGAATCTTACTGACTCAATCTATTCCAACTCTACAGGAAGTCGCCAAGAAACGAACTCGCCGCACCGTCAAGCACCAGCGCGCCATTGTTGGTGCCTCCCTGGACGTGATCAAGGAGCGCCGATCGCAGCGACCTGAGGCCCGTGCCGCCGCTCGCCAGGCAGCAATCAAGGAGGCCAAGGAGAAGAAGGCCGCCGAGGAGAGCAAGAGGAAGGCAGAGAAGGCAAAGACCGCCGCCAACGCCGCTAGAGGCCAGGTCCGTGGTGGCATTGCCAGCAAGCAGCAGGCCAAGGGTGCGCCCAGCAAGGTCCAAGCCAAGAGCAGATAAATCTCTGATTCGGGTTGACATATCCTTGATGTGGCTGTGTTTGTCGTGACGGAGGTGGCCTGTTGTTGGCCGTGCGGTCCCTAGAGAAACATGGCATTTTTTGCATGTCGTGCGATGGGCTGGATGGCCGTGACGCTTTTCGCTCGGCTCGGGCAACCGATGAGTGAGGCAGTTTACCGAAACAGCTTGCAACGACAATACCGGGAATGACAGGAAAGAAAATAAATTAAATCGTGTCAAGCTACCATCTCCCTGCGTGGCACGGCTTTTTGATGGCCACTCGAGTGCTTAAGAGCGCGAGCTGGAAAACCATTCGATACAGTTGCAGGAATTGATGAAGTGAAAATCCGCTGCCGTCTGCAAGTCTCTCATGTGTTTCACATTGGCTTCCATTCCTCTAGTTCCCACACCTCCCGTCTATGTACACTTCTGACTACCAGCTACATGGTTATCTTGCAACTGCCGGACACTCATTCTCTTGAATTCTGGGCCACCTTGACCATTCATCATCGGGATCGAGGCCGGTCTGACTGACCGATCTGTTTTCCTCCAGCACACTTTCCGTGCGTGGCAAATAGCATTGAAGCCTCCATATGGACTCCTCTGCCAACAATGGCGTATAAATGGTAGCCATATCCCGCACGCTCTTTGTAAGCCAGTAGTCATGCTTCCTGTCCCATGAACAAGAACCAGTCGTCTTGCGCATACCCTATATACTCTTTGGCCATTACCATGACTGGTACATGGGGCAGGACTGCCTCCACGAAATAGTGAGAGCCTGCTGAGCATGGTGTATGAACAATCTGGGCCTTATACGACCGTCTCGCAGGATACCAACTACCACCGGCACACCCATTGGCTGTTTGACCGTAACCGTATTTCTTTCTGTCCCAAGAGGTATTTTAGCCTCTTGACATACATCGTCTCACGCTCCTCCACCATCAATCGCCCAAAGAAGAGCCGAAGCGATCGACAAAGAAATCCTCGGCCTTCTTCAAGACCTTTGCATCTCGCTTGAAGTCGGCGGGATCGTCGGCAGGTAGTTTCCAGTTATTAACCCCCCACCACCACTTCCTCAACCTGGCCCCCAGAGTTCTTCCCTTGAACTTACTCCCGCGGTTCCAATGGCGCCAGCCAAACATGAGCATATTCCACAGGATCCCCTGGACAAGCGGCAGGAAGACCTGGTCCCGAATCGTGATGAAGGCGACTTTCCACTTCGTGTTTGCGTTCTTGATGCTCGCCAGGTACGATTGCTCGAAGCGGAAATCCGGGATCGGGGGAAACGACCGCCGCCGCCGACGTGGCCGGATGATCTCGCTGGGGATCGTTGATGACTCGGAACCAGTAGAGGTGGCTGAGTCGAGTGATTGCGACCGCGATAATGCGGGAGAATCTTGTGTGTGTAGTGATGATGACTCGGGCTCTACTACGGTGGCTGGGATCTTCTTCGATGCCGCTGTCGACGGGTTGAGGTCATGGCTGGGTGAAGGATGTCGTTTGATCGAGGCGGTTTGGATCGTCGACGCCAGTTCCGATACTGGGTTGGATGCCATCTTCACGGAGGCGTTTTAGGATACGGATGGTAAATGCGGTCTCGGTGAGGGTTCGTGAGGTGTAATGGGTGTATAAGGTATCGATTAGATTCACAACGTCTGGCGTCAGAGGGAAAGGCGTCGTCTGGTCAATTCGAAGCAATGCAGTGGCAGGGACTATGGATCAATTCATGATTTCTGTGTATTGATTGAGAAAGCACACACCCCACAGTCTTGTACGCACGTCTGAACAAGATTAAAGCACCGTAATTGCGTGGTTATGATTGTTGTTCAGTCGATCAAAGCTACCTACGCAGTGTGAGGGTCTGATTTATTGCCAGCCTTGCGCGGAGCTGTTTCAACGGATAAACTCCGGCCGTAAAGTAAAGTGGTGCCAGTGCGGCAGGTGGAAAGAGAGGACAATTGGATTGGAGGCATGTACAGTACAATTTCATTATTTCTTCCCCCACCGCGTCCCTCAACCTGCGCCATTTCATATATTTCCATGATCGAGTTGTCCAGACATTCTTAATAGACAAACAACAAGCCACGCCCTATTTCTCCAAGCCTGTTTAGTTCTTACAGAAACTCTTCAAATTACGTACATACATCGAAGCCTCCTGCGCTCGTTAAACATACCGAAACCATGGCGGACAAACAGTGGAAACTCCTCTGCTTGGAGAATCCCCTGCTCGACATCCAGGGTGGAGGGTAAGTCGTATATTACTGCAGTCGATTGACTGGCCGTCCTCCTCCCCTGGCACGAAACGTTTTCTGACGTAGACGACCCGTGTGTTTACAGTGACGAGGAAATGTTGAAGCAATATTGCCTGAAACTCGACGACACCCTCCTCGCCGAACCCCACCAGATGGGCTTGTACGATGACCTGATCAAGAACCGCAACGCCAAATTGATTCCGGGAGGTGCTGCACAAAATACCGCACGAGGCGCACAGTACATGTTGCCGCCGGACTCGGTGTGGTACATTGGCTGCGTGGGAGACGACGAATATGCAAAGATCCTGCGAGAGAAGTGCGCCGAGCAAGGTTCGTTCGCATTCCGTTCTCCTGCTGGGGTTTCAAACCCGGCATTGGGTGTTTGTCTTGACAGAGACCAAACATTCAGCCACAAAAGACAAAGGAAGAAGAAAAAACTGACTTGTTTCCCAATCTGCAGGCTTACATGTCGAGTACCGCGTCGACCCCAAAGTGCCGACCGGCAAATGCGGTGTGGTCATTACCGGCCACCACCGCACCATGTGCACGCATCTCGCGGCGGCCAACGAGTACAAGGTCGACCACCTGCTCGACCCCCGTATTTGGTCTATGGTCGAGAAGACCGACGTCTTCTACGTCGGCGGCTACCACTTGACCGTCTGCCCGCCGGCGGCCATGGCTCTGGCCAAACACGCAGCCGAGAACAACAAGATCTTCATGCTTTCCCTTTCCGCCGGCTTTATCCCGCAGTTCTTCAAGGAGCCCTTGGCCGAGATTCTGCCCTACTGCGACTACGTGTTTGGAAACGAGAACGAAGCAAAGACTTGGGCCGAAACTCAGGGCCATAGTGGAATTTCTATGCAGGAATGCGCCAAGTTGATGGCAAAGCTGCCCAAGGTTAACACCAAGAGACCGAGAGTTGTCATTGTTACCCAAGGTACCGACCCTACCATTGTCGCCGTGGCCGAGCAAGGCAAGGACGTCGAGGTCAAGGAGTACCCTGTGCCCGTGATCGATGAGAAACTCATCAACGACACAAACGGTGCTGGTGATGCCTTCGCTGGCGGTTTCTGTGCCGGCATCGTCCAAGGCGAACCGCTCGAGAAGTGCATCAAGAAGGGCCAATGGTTGGCAAGGCTGAGTTTGCAAGAATTGGGTCCTTCGTAAGTCAATTTCCCACCTTCACAGCCACTTGTATCACTGGACGCGGAGCACGCGCGCGAGTTGCAGCTCCCATCCTCTGTCCTGTGATTCCACCCGCCCGCTGTATCACCCAGGTCAATGCTTTTGCTGACGGTCGCCGCAGATACCCCTCGCCCAAGCAGACATACACGGAGTAAAGATGAAGCAATATCCGAGTATTCCCATCCTTCGGTACAGCAAGGTTTGGACTCGAAAGATGATCTTTGATCCTGTACCATTATGGCGGTCCATGCGGTCTCATTCAACAAAGACCGTGTTTTGGGGGGTTGTTAGCACGTCTTCCACGACTTGATGATGAAAAGTGATACCAGTTAGACTGCGGAGAGACTCCGAGACTAAAGTCAGACTTTGCATAGAGTAGGCCAGTAAACATAGACCACTCGGAATGCAGAATTCCAGACTTCAATTTCCTCTCTTGCAACCTAGTAAACCAATCTGATGGGCTTGAAAGGACCAGGAGCACCATGCTGGAGAGTCCAGTTCACTCACTTCGAGACATGCCTCAGCCGGCTTGACCACTCGTTGGGGTGCGGTTACTCCTCGGGCGAGGTTCGCCAACGGCGCCAAACGGCGAGGGCTCTGGCTTCCGAGGCGAAATCACAGTCTCATGCGAAAGATATGTCGGGAAACTAGATGCCCAAGGTGACTGCTGTGGTTGAGCATGGAGCGGGCCATTCATGCGGAGCCAATAGGCCGGTTGAGGCTGGCCTTCATAGTCGGTGGAGGGCGATGGCTCGAACGAAGGCACTGGGGAAGTTCGGTTCTGTATCGCCTCCTTTTCAAGTTCGAGCTGTGCTCGAAACCGCTCCGAGCTGTTCAAGGACGGACCAGGGGTGCCCAGCCGTGGCGTGCGATGAGCAGTGGTTGGTCGTGATGTAGAACTCGGTGCCTCTCCAGGTCGTGGCGTGAAAGGACTGCTCCATACACCTGGCAAGTCTAGCCCTTGAGGCAACGCACCCGATGATCGGCGGAGCTGTTGGACAAGGTCCAGAGCAGTGATTGTGGCCGGCGGCTGCATCATGTTTGCTGTGCTTCCCAAGGGGTGCTCGACCGAAGGCGTCATCGGAGTCACTAGGCTTGAAGCACCGCCGACTGACGCATGAGGTTCGGTCCCTACAATACTGTTCACCATGTCCTCCATAGCAGAGCGCATTGCCCCAGGGGCGTCAGGCCCAGTTCTTTGGCGATGTGAAGGAGAGCCGCTACCGCGAGCTTGTGGCGCATGCTCGTCGTCAATACACGACGAACCATTCTCCATATCAGGTAAAGGAATCTCTTGTCCTGTTGAGTCTTCTGCAATAAAGTTGAATCGGCCGCCAGCAAACACCAACGGGACAGGGATCGGCCCCACCATTTCCTGCAATATGTCAGCGTTTATATATCTGCCAGTCCATATCATGGAAACTTACCTTTTTGCAAAGAAAGAGCCCATCTTTGACCAAGCATTTGACTCTGTACAGCATCTCATTCTGAACTGATCGCGGGCCAACGGTCGCCTCGCCATAGACCGGCTTCGTTCGACCGTCAGCACCGCGAAAGCGTGTCTCATCGACAAGACTGCTGAAAGGAGAGAATGCAAGAGTGTCACCATCCTCATCTAAGAGGTAAGGGAGCTCCGGTATTTTCGTTATGACGGGAAATGCTTGCCTAAGCAGACTCAAAGCATATGCGTAGGTCCGCCATAAAGTTGCCATTTCGCGCTGAAGCGTCTCATTCTGGAGGAGCTGTTGCGCATTGCTCAATAACCAGCCGCTATACAGTCTAAGATGAGGAAGCATGCGGCGGGTGATAGGAGTGAGTCGAAATGGATCACTGCTCGCACGGCTTGGGGTGGCCCTGCCAGATGATGGAATAGCCTCCAGCTCTTCAACTAGAAGCTCTAGCAATGTTATGAAAGTGGCTGTATTCATCCGCCGAAATGTCTCGAATGAGCGTGTCAAAGCGGGATCGCCTAGAACAGGTTAGGTATTGACAATCTGGAAGTGGCCGTACCTACTACTTGCTCTCTTTGCAGCCACATCTTGTGCCGCAATATTGATCAAACAAAATTTTCTGATGGTATCCTCGTGGGGCCGTACCCTCAGCTCGTCCGCAAGAAGGCGAAGCACGTTGGCCTGTTCGTCCTCATCACCAACATGATCCCCACCGTCCCAGCTACGGGCGTGAAAGAGAAGGAAATCGTCCTGAAGCCTGGACCTTCCTTTGACGACATCATCTTCTTTCGATTTGCCTTCAGAATACCTCTTTCGGATTTTTCTGAACTCAAGTTTCAAGTTTCCTTGCGCTTGAGGAGCAGGGTTCTCGACACAGATCGACCGGTAAAGATGATATACGGCACGTAGATGGTCTTGGTCGGCCAGTGCAATAACTGCGAGCTGATTGTTTGATATTCCGGAAGTCGGATCGAGCGCAGAGGCAAGATCATAGTAACCTCTGGCAGGTCCCCAGTTGCGTTCTTTCGTCTGCAACTCGGTCTCCCTGTACCGAGACAAGTCTCCTAGTTGGACCAGACTCGAATAGCAAGACCTGACGATCTGCTTCTTCAGCATTTCATCCACGGGGCGAAGTTTGTTGACTGAGAGTGTATCCAAGTTGAACCTCCGGGCAAGCTCGACAATCTCGTCGATGCCACCGAAGTTGGATGCTAGCCTCTGAATGTATCCACGATAAAAGCGCATGCTTGACTTGATGAATTCCAGGTAGAGTTTCTCTGCCTTTCGGCGCTCAACCGGCTTCTTTCTGCCATCACCCTCGCGAAACTGAGCCAGCCAAATCCTGAACTTCCCGTTCACCTTGGAATGCGCATTCCACAAGCGAGCCTCAACCTCGTCCTTGACTGCAGCCGCAAAATCGTGGAGGATATAGTCTTGACATGCCGATCTGAACCTCGCCAGTCGTTGGTCAAGCATAGTATATGCAACGTCCTTGACTGCTACTGCGGTCAATACATCCTTCTCTGTATGGTCTACAGCTTTGGACGCCTCTTGTGCATTTTCTTCCATGGTTGCTCTAGGTTTAGGCTATAGGTCATCGCGACCGCCTTCTTGGTCACGACGAGCGTTTGCCGGAATGTGACCAGAGCTGGAGATTGCGGTCCATCAGTCCTATGATAGTCTTCCCGGCTCTCTTCGCGGGCCGAGACGATGCAGCTCGAAGATCTTGGGATACGCGGAAGGAGGGCAACCGTGACCGTGCCCTAGTAGGACGCTGAAGAGAAAACTCCGAATGCCGGCAAGATGACTGCAAGCGCTGCCAGCGGAAAAGAGGACAGGAGCGCCCACTTCGAACAAAAGTACGAGTGAGGCTGAGAACATGCCAGTGACTTCAAGTTGTTGCACTGCCAGGATCGTGAGGCTACGGTCGAACACATGTACTACTGCGGATCAGGCAACACATGCTGCAGAGGCTGCGCTATACCATTCTTGGCCGGGCGGACCTCGAACCTGCCAGTGCGGTAGCGAGACAATTGTACTGCCAATGCTAGCAAAAAAGACAACTGCGCCAGTCAGTTGAAAGTTATCAGCATCTCTGTGCCAGCATTCAACCACCTCCCTGCCGCAGCCGCCAACAACAATGGCGGACTTGCAGCTAGGTGTCCGGCTTGCCCGGACATGGCGGTCGTTCGCCAACCCATCAGTTTGCAATCGGTGTATGCGGCAAACCCAGCAAAGGACGCTGGCAACCCAAGCCACTGCTTCACAAGGCCAACGCGACTTAGAACTTGAAGAGACGTCGTCTTTAGCCGGACCACACCAGGTGAAGAAAGAGTTTGATCCCTTAAAGGTTCCCAGGTCGCGAAAGCGTCAACTGGTTCCCAGCAGGTAAGAGACATCATATCTCTTTTTTCCAACCTACCCTCAAACCCCATGGAATCAAACCAACTCAGCAAATACTAACATTGAGACCCCTTCATTCGACAGATACCAATTCCGCAGTCCGAAATACTATCGCGGACCTCTACATCCTCACCAACCGCCGCCGCCCTCTGACCCGGCGAGTCGCGAGTTCGTGCCGGGCCCGTTTTCATCTCCACGGCTCGAACAAACCTACCACCACATTATTGCGCCGGACTTCATGACCATGTGCTACCAACATACACCGCCTGGGTTCCGACCACCGCAAAAGGGGCCCCGTCTCCGGCCATGGATTGGCGACTCTCCATATTTCAAGAACCGACCGCTTCGCGGACCACGTGGAGGCGACGTCTTGCGCCTGTTGCGGAAACCCATCACGTTCCGAAACATCCCCATGATCGAGCGAGTCACGGTCCATGCCTACGTCAAGGGCGCTCTGACGGGAGGGTCGGGATTTATTCATGTCGCCGGCATGGCCTTGCAGGCCATCACGAACCACCGAGTCGTCACCCACGAATCCAAGAAAAACGAGGCCAACTGGAGTCTGGTCAGGGGCAAAACCGTCAGCATGACCGTCGACTTGAAGGGCGAGGACATGTACCATTTCCTCGGCAAATTGATCAACGTCGTCTTGCCGCGCATCAAGGATTGGAACGGCGTCAGAGGCACCACTGGAGATAACAGCGGCAACCTGACTTTCGGCCTCGACCCTGAAGCTGTCGCTGGATTTCCCGAGATCGAAACAAACTACGATGCATATCCGGGCAAGATGATTCCGGTTAGTCCACGTTCCTCCTCCTCCTTAGCTGGTCACGTTGTACCATGCATGATTTTTGTTCCGACTCTTGCTAATTCTCCCATTTGTTATTGCTACTAGGGTATGCACATCACCATTCATACGACTGCCACCTGCGATAAAGATGCCCGTCTGCTTCTCGAACAGATCGGTATTCCATTCTACGGCAAGGTTGTGGATTAAAGAACGAGGTCATTTTCGTTCGTTTTGGGTGTTCATGGGCTGTTGCGTTGAACTTATGTTACAATGGATGCCACCCAGCCGCATTTGAATGCGTGTCCCTTGCGAAGGAGATGGGATCAAGCTTGGGTGAATGAGAGCCTGTGCGGATTCAGCCCCAGCAGCTGGCCTTATTGTGCCAACGTGCAGAAACAGGGGCACCCTCCATTCAATCGATACCATGCACCCGCGAGTGCAAGATACCCGGATCCGTCACTGCTTCGGCCATCTCTGGCCCGAATCCGTCGACCCGGGGTTTTTGATCGCCTTGCTCTCAAATTGGAAGATCGTTGTACACTAGGACGGATGGGGTTCCGATGATATGCAGTAGAATGGATGTTACAATCTACTGCAGCACAACAACCACATATCACACAGGACAACGCGCAAAGGGAAAAGGATCAAGATTTACGGGATGGGCATATATTATCAATAGACCAATCCACTGCAATGGGTGGTGCACACCAGTTTGACTTGCAGAATGGGCTCATTCATGTACAAGACAATAAAAAAGTACCATACTATGCACGGTCTGAACCGCGTTTGCAGGTTTACAGTATGATTCCCCTTCTTGCCGGAGACTGGAATGGTTCCATGAAACGATGGCCCCAGTTTTACTTCAGGTTCGCATTCAATCCACCCTCAATCTGGGCCCATAGACCAAGAATTTTGGCGTCGCCTAAAAGGTTGGTTGGTGCGCGTTAGTCACTAGCCCCTGTGTTCAAGTCCAGGGGACTGTGGGTAGGGATGGAACACGACCAGCAAAGCGACCGTGGCAGTTTCTAGATGTAGGCGAGTCTGTCCGATTGTTGCCGGTTTAAAAGCAAAAAGAAAAGGCAAAAGCGTTGACAACTTACCGAAGGGGAGGATCTGGGATCCGATAATGCCACCGATGCCCTATAAACCAAAAACGCAAACGTCAGTCAGTCAGTGATTAGAGTTGAATCAACCTGAGTATAGACCGGAGGCCCTCTAGAGCGCCAGGTAGGGGGGCCAGGCAGTTTCTGGTCCCTAGGCTTGGTGGAACTTACCCTCTTGCGATCAGCCCACCAGAACAAGTTGGGCAGGCCGGCCCACCAGCCGGTTCCTTCGCTGTGGACAGCCGAATCGCGCAGGTGCAGGAAGAAGGTCAGGCCCCAGCCCTGCGGAACGTCATGAGGGTCTGGGTACAGGTCGGGAAGGACGTTGGAAAGATGAGTCTTGGGTGCGAAGATGCCCTTCAACAACAAAGATTCGATGCCTTGGTTAGTATGGCATGGCAGGAGCATATAGCACGTCAATGGGGGAAAGGACACAAACTCACCTGGCGGCCGTAGTTGGGGAATTCCGGGATCTAGAGGCATGATTTGTCAGTATTCAGGTTGTTCGGAATGAATATTCGTTGACCGGAGGACAGAGAGCGGAGAGATACAGGGGGAAGGCAGTGGTATAAATGTGATTAACATACCTGGTTCGTAAACATCTGATCGACGGTTTCCTTCTTCAGGATCCGGGCGCCGGTCCCTGGATGGACGCCATCGTTCAACAGCACGGAGATGATTTGGGTATAGTCGGACAATTTGGCGAAACAGCCGGCACCGCCCGAGTGGAAAGTCGCCTCGAGCTCTTCCTTCGTCTTGGCGTACAAAGGCCGTCGGTTGAGATGGCCGTCGAGGTAGAGCGATAGCTTGCCGTCGGGAGCGCGGGCGTTCATGTACGTCAGTTTGGACTTCAACTCGTCATCTGGGAACATGGTGATGTGCTTGAGGCCCATGGGCTTGAAGATGTGCTGATGGAAGTAGTCGTTGAGCTTGAGCCCGGACACGCGCTCGACCAGCTGGCCGGCCCAGTCGATGTTGATACCGTACTCCCATCGCTCGCCCGGTTGGTTGACCAGCGGCTGCGACAGGTAGTCGTGGTACGAGCCGGAGAATTCGTCCACGCCCAGCGGACCGGCCCAATCGTTGAGACGCTGGTCGAAAAAGGCGTATCCGAAGCCGGCTGCATCAAGTAAAAAGAAAATCAGGACCTGTCAGCAATTGACTTCCTCGAAGCAGATTCGTGACATTCGTGGTCCAAGCCTGACTGAAACTCACCTGTATGCGCCAGCAGCATTCGGAGGGTAATGCCTCGTTTCTTAGGCACCAGTTTGCTGCCATCCCACACCTGCACTGCTTTCAATTCCTGTACGATTCCAGCACTCGGTTAGCCACTTGCTTTTTTCCATGGGACGACAGTGGCGATGTTGGACCTACCGGCGCCAGCTTCTCGACCTGGTCGACATCGTCCAGCGCCAGCTTCCCCTGCTCGACCAGCTGCATACAGGCAATTCCCGTGATCATCTTCGTGCAGCTGGCAATCCAGAAGACGTTGTCGACTGACATGGGCTTCTCCTGGCCCACGCCCACTTTTCCGGACGCATGCTCGAAGATCGTTTCACCATTCTTGTTCACCGCGGTAAACACCACGCCGGGAGCACCAGCGGGGTCCGAAGTGACTGCGTCGATTTGAGATTTCAGCTGTGGAACAGCCTCGGCCGCAATCTTCGCCATGTTGCCTTGGCCTCACGAAGCTCACTGACCCGGTACGATCAAGTTGTTCACAACCGCTCAAATGAACAGTTTTGGCACGGGGACAGATGTGGAAGTGTCACCCTGGTCAGAGATGGCTTAACAAGAACAATATCCCTTATGTACACTTTCGACCTACTGCTTGAGCGGGGGTAGAAGCCGTATTTGAGGACCCGTCCGGACAGGATCCGATGTCCGGCTTCTTTGACAGACTCGCGCCATACTGATGGGCCTGGGGAGCTCTCCTCTGTTGTCGTGAACGATGGCGTAGACGGTTGCTGACTGGTCGTGCTTCTAGTCTCTCGTGTTTGATTGGTACATATATTAGATCGGATCCGCCGGTTCAGTCCATTCGCAACTTTGAAGGAGGGGGAAAGAGTGGAGGGAAGAGGAGGCCACAGATGGACTGACCCCTACTTAGGAGGTAGAAGTCCGGGCAATAGGAGGAGGCATTGTGAATCGCCCCGCACCGTGTGAGCTCGACATTCTGGGTCAACTTGAATGGAGCCATCTTCGGCTCTTCTATACTCGTTCAAGCGATGAACGTTTGTACATTATAGTATTGTAGATGTAGTGACGACCGGATATCGAGCGTAAGATAACACCACGCTCGCCCAGCCAGCCGATAGGCTGTACTCTGGGAATTAAAATGTCGCTGGACAAGGAGGCCATGCCGACGGGGAAGAATATAATTATTCGATAAATGGCTGACAGCCTTGTTGACTCCGTAATTGCCAACTGGACAGCTGCTCCCCTCATCCGACCCATCGGTGGGTTTCTGGAAGACTTCTGACTCGAACAGAACGAGGCGGAACCGCCAACAACACAAAGCCAGCCTATCCGCAGCTGTCAATATTGTAGATGATTCAGTCTTGCCGTCTCGCTTGTCAATGTACCATGTTCCTACGCACCTGCTACGTGTGGAGGCAGGAGTTGCCGCCTGCCACGTGACATGGCTTTTATTCAGCCTCGTAATCGGCTTCCGTGAACTCACAGAGCTGCCCAATGTCATTGATGTGTTTGAGCCACGGCAGTTAGGTCCATAGTCGGTGCTCGCACCAAGACTGTGTGCCTCTCAAGGTGACAATCAACCATCAAGATTCAGTCGCGGATCAACGGCAGTAATTCGCCTTTAACCCAAGAACGTCTCAGTTAACTGTACAAACTGCGGAGGACGGCATCATCCCTGTATGCTCGGACAATCGTCCCTGGAATCGATACTTCGTCTCTTGTTACCGTGAGGGGATGTATCTACACTGTCCGGAACTGAGGCGGAGATACAACGCCTGCGACTAAGTCATAGGGAGTAGGCATGAAACAACGCCGACACCCAACCCCCCTGAACAGAAACAGTCACTCGATTCCGCTTCTCTCACGGCTTCCCAAGCAGTAAAGCATGAAAACGCGGACGGTGTCCTGGTCCCTACTCGTCGTTCAAACGTTGAAATGCCCCAAGCGTGGCTTGCAACGAGTCACGCTCAGCCTCCAGGTCTGCGAGCTTGTGTTTGTCCGACTCAACTACCTCCTCTGTGGCGTTCTCCATGTATCCGTGTGCCGACAGGCGTTGGCTGTGCCACCTGATGCTGCTGCAGACGCGTTGAAGCTTTGTGCTTGCCTTGCTGATTTCCGCATCGATGTCAACCCGACCCTTCACGTGCAGCAATACAGTTGCATCTGCAGCCACGGGGAAGGCAACGCAACCACCAGGGTTGGGGCCCCCGACATCGAGTATCGCGATTTCCGACACACCTTTACCTGCCAGTGATTTGATGGACTGAACTTGAGCCATGAGGGTGCCACGGGCAGTGGTCGTGTGTGCTTTGATGAACACTGTCAAAGCTTAGTAACCGAATCCAGACACCGCGGGCATGGATTAGCCTGACTTACCTTGACTTTCGCCCTGCAGAGAATACCGGGACATGAGTGAGCGAACGCCCTTCGATACCCCCAGGACCAGCTCATACGCCGCCTCTGAACTCGGGCAGTCCATATCTGGCTTATAGACGGGGTACTTGGCAACCGTGATAGATGGTGTGCGATCACAAGGACGTCTGGGAAGGCGCTGCCACAACTCTTCGGTAAGGAAGGGCATGAATGGATGAATCATGGTCAGCGCGCCCTCCAGAGCGGTGTACAGTGTCTCGATCGCCGAGCGTCGTTCCTCTTCACTACCATACTGGACAATGACCTTGGAGTTCTCAATGTAGACATCACAGAGTTGATTGTACCAGTACTGGTAGATAACCTGCGTCGCTTTGGCAAACTCACGAGCGGCAATGGCGGCGTTCATCTCCTTTGCTGCCATGGTCATCTTATGGAGGATCCACCGTTCGGTCAGCGACTCCTTACCAGTTACTTGTGGCGTCTGCCGAGGGGTGAAGTCTGGACCGAGCTTTCCCAAGACGTACTTCGTGGCCTGGTAGATCTTGTTGCAAAATTTGCGGTAACCATGCATAACCTTGACATCAAAGTTGATATCGCCACCGCCCGTCGCGTAAGCGGCAAGGCAGAATCGCATGGCATCCGCGCCGCACTGCGGGATACCGTCTGGGAAGGCCGTCTTTTGATATTTTTTCGCCTTCTCTACCTCGTCAGGATGTAAGTTACCTCGGAGGAGCTTCGCGTGAAGATCTTCCAAGGTGATTCCCTTAATCACGTCGAGAGGATCAATAACGTTGCCCAGTGACTTCGACATTTTCCTTCCCTCCGAATCGCGGACAATCGAATGACAGTAGACTTCGGTAAAGGGTACCTTGCCAGTCAGCTTCTTTCCCAGCATAATCATCCGTGCGACCCAGAAGAATAGAATATCCCACGCAGTCTCTAGGACAGAAGTAGGATACAAAGTTTCGAAGTCGTGTGTCTCGCCTGGCCAGCCAAGAGTCGAAAAGGGCCACAGTCCGGAAGAAAACCAAGTGTCCAACACGTCTCCGTCACGTTTTAGGGTAAACGTCTTGTCGGGAATGGCCCTGCGGGCCTTCCTCTCGGCCTCCTCCTTGGTCCTCCCCGAACACCACAACGACCCGTCGCCTTCGTCATGCAATTCGCCGGAGATCTGAGCAAAATAGACCGGCGCTTGATGACCCCACCACAGCTGATGGGAGAGACACCAATCGTTGATACTCGCCATCCATCGAAAGTAGCTCTTTTCCGCAGATTCGGGATGGATCTTGATCTCTCCGGACTTGACGACCTTAACGGCTTCGTCAGCCAATTCTCTCATCCGCATCCACCACTGTGGTTTCATCAAAGGCTCGATAATATCCCTCGACTTCTCGCACACCGGTACTCGCATAGGGTTATCCTTTTTGCCAACGTACAGGCCGAGCTTCTTGAGGTCTTCCTGAATCGTGTATCGAATGTCAAAGCGTCTCTGTCCTTGGTAGACACCCGCGTTCTCGTTCATCAGGCCATGATCGGTTAGAATATTGATGAATGGAAGATTGTGCTTTTGTCCAAGCGCAAAGTCGTTCGCGTCGTGTGCAGGAGTGAGCTTCACAGCGCCCGTCCCGAATCCCCTGTCGACATATTCATCGGCAACAATGGGTAGAAGCCGTCCAGGGATGAATGGATGGACCGCATTCTTTCCGATGAGATGCCGATACCTGGGATCTTCAGGATGCACGGCGATACCGGTATCACCGAGCATGGTCTCGATTCGGGTCGTCGCGACTTCAATCTTTTCGTCGGATCCTTCCAGGGGATATTTGAAATGAATAATCACGCCAAATTCCACCTTCCTGTCATACCCTGGAACGTCGAGGAGAGTGCGGCCAGTGAGTTCTTTGTTGATGACCTCAAGGTTTGAAAGGGCGGTTGTGAGCTTCGTACACCAATTCACAAGGCGGTTCCCCCCGGTAAATGACGCCTTCTTCGTGGAGCCGGACAAACGTGTCGGTCACAGCGGCGGACAGATTGGCGTCCATTGTGAAAGATTCTCTGCTCCAATCGAAAGAACCACCCATCTTTCGGAGGGCGTGGTTAATCCTGGTTTGATATTCTTCCTTCCACTCCCAAACCGTCTCAACAAACTTCTCCCGACCAAGGTCGTGGCGGGTCTGTTGTCGTCGGCGCCAAAGCATGTTTTCCACCACGTTTTGCGTGGAAATACCAGCATGATCGCACCCAGGCAGCCACAGGGTTGTCTTACCATGCATACGGTTCCATCGAATCATGGAATCCTGTAACACTGTGCCGAGAGCGTGTCCCATGTGTAGAGCACCGGTCACGTTTGGCGGCGGTGTCACAATGACGAATGATCCTTCAGGCTTAGATCTGCCATCTTCGGTAAACTCGGGCTTGAAGAAGCCTTGCTGTTCCCACCAATCATACCATGCAGACTCAACGGCGGGAGGGTAATAAGCTTTGTAGTAGGGATCTTCCAGTGACCTGAGGACTAGAGCGCCGTCAGATATATGTAAGTCAGAGCCAGGTAGAGGGGCCACTTACTCTTTTTCTGTCCGGGTGGAGTGTCGTTGATGTACTCTTCCAACTGCACCTCGTCCTCTTTCTTCACGTTGGCCTTCTTTCCCTTGGTCCTGGATGATACAACAACATTTTTCACGGCGTTGCTTTGAATCTTCTGCTCAAAAAAGGCCTGCTTCTCGTTCTTCCGTCTCTCGCGGTCTACTAAGATAGGCGTCAATATGGGAATTGCAATGTATTGATGCAGAAGCTTGTGGAGTAAGATACCTTGTTTTTCTGTTTTACCTCTCTGTGCCGGGCCGGTCGTCCCGTTGTCTTCGTGTTCCTTGCCAGGGTTGCTAGTCACATGGTCCTGAATAGCTTCGGTCTTGGTGTTTGATGGTGGAAGAGGTTTATTCTCGGATGAGACAGGTGTTTGGACATGACCTATTCCATGAAATGAGTTAATGCGCCTACAGACCTTGCCAAACAGCCTATCCCTCACCTGTGTCAGTTCGGGGTTGAGCAACCATCCTTGCTTGCGTGCGGGCCAAAACCCTTTGAAAGGATGGCGCAAATGCACCGCACCGCAAGAATGGATGTTTTGAGAACGTGGTGATGAAGTTGAGTTGAAAGCTGCCTGTCGGGGCGGGGTGGTCTCGTGGAAAATGGTGACTCAGACTCGGATGTACTGTAGCAAGGAATGGATGGATCAAGGGGGTCGCAGGCAACGCCAAGGCATGTAGATACCTACCTGGTACCTGGTAGGTACTACTGCCTAAGTAAGGTGCCTTGAAGGACCAGGTAGTGACAGTAGCAGCTGCCTTACCAGTAACCAGGGACGTACCTGCGGTTGGCGGTGGGCTAAGTTCAACATTTACCTGGTACTGATATTGTCTGAAGCGGCTCCCAGCTTTCGAATGACAGTTACCTACGTACCTGTAGGTCCGCGAAATAATGACTCGGTTGGACTCCCGCCGCCTCCCATTGAAGAGCCAGGAAACACTGGTGAAGTAAGTTGGCCCATGCGACTCTCATATACGTGTAATGAGAAGGACCTTAAGGCTTTATCGAGCAGCTCTGTTGATCGATGGTAGATATGGCAGACTCCCTACCTTACGTTACGGGAAGACTCCCGTCCTACTGCGCATTGCCCGTTGTAGCAGCGCAGAACGGCCACTTGCGTACTCAGAGGGCGACGCAGATTCAACAGGCAGATGATGATTATTTGGTGGGAATAAGGCATCTATCGAGGTTGTGTTTCTTCGCGTTTGAGGACGGATAGAGGAGACTGGGGTCAGGTCTCTTGCTGTGCCGCGCAAGCTTCATGCGGCGGATTGGCATCTTGAAGCTACCTACCTATGAAAACAATCGCCATTCGGTGCGAGGCATGAACTTACCTTACTGAGCCTTGTACTGTATCAAGGCAAAATACTGGAAGAGCTCCAAAGACGAACCTCCACTGCATTTGCACCCAACACTCACGGAAGGTTTGCCGGGCGCGTCGCATCCTGCAGTGCGAAGTTGGCCATCGACTTGAACAATTTGTTTCGGCTTGATTTCAAAAGCATTGCATTGTGACGGATCAGGCGACTTGCGTTCATCACGTCTCGATCCAAGTCGAATACATGAGCACATACAACCACCGAGACGCCAAATACTCCACGTCGCTGCATATGCTTGATAATGCTGTTTAATCGTTGCTCATAAGGGGCACAGCCCCATGCCATCACGCCCATCCTCACTTCCCAATGCTGCATCCTCCATCATGCAAAAGGCGCTGCTTCTCACATCACGCTGCATTCCCTCTCGGGTTTCTCGCCCCTCTCGCCCCTCATCCTGCTTCTGGAAAGCCGACCACGACTCTTCTCCCTCCAATGGCCTTTAGATGGTTCTCCCAGCAGTGTGTTTTGCTCCAGTTTGCCCTGCGTATCCGTCATTATCCGGTCCGTGAGCTCTCTGACATGGACCTCGGCCTTCCGTTCGTCTGGTGGCAATACTTCACGGCTTTTCCGGCCGGTCAGTCTGGACAGCGTTCGGCTGATACTGTCGCTTGTTTTGGTCTGTGTTCGAGATAAGGACTGACTCGTTCGATTGGAGGTGCCGGAAGCCTCCCAATTCTGTGGGACGTTCAGTGCAATTGCCGAGGATGGGTCATGAGGTAGGTCAGGGAATGAGACCGCGCTGACTCTTCGCTCTTCGGTAGGTGAACGACCGCGTGGATCCTCCGGCACCGGGAGCTCGAGGCTTGGGCGAGCGGAACGGACTTGATTCTCTGTCGGTGCGGACAAGCTCGACAGCTCACTTAGTGAAGCACTTCTCTCAAACATCGATGCCAAGAACTCTTCTCCTGCCGTGATCTGTCCCGGATCACCATCAATCGGGACAATTTGATAGAAGAGCAGGTATGGAGTTTCTTCTTTGAGCGCCTGCTCGATATCCACCACCGTGATACGATCTTTGCCCAAGTCGTCAAATCTCATCCATGTTTTCGTGTTTTGCGGACCAATTGAATCGGCAGCCCCTGGTGGAGGCGTGCCTCGAACGAGGGCAATGTAGTGTCCAGAATCCACCGAGTTGCCCCTATGACAGACAACAGATTGCAAGGAGAGCTTGAAGTTGCCATAGAGCGCACCTGCCTCCTCCATCTGGTCATCCTGGATGAAATGAGGCACTCCGATCTCGACTGGTATGTCAACCTGCGTGTCTAAGCGAACCGCTCTGCCCTCCGGCGTCATGGAGTATCGCTTGAGGCATAGACCTAGGATCGGTCGCTTGGTTGAGAAGTGAGCAGCAACCTGTGCATCATTTTTTGGCGCGTTGTCCGTGTACCAAGCTGAGAGTTTGTCAGATAATTGCAGAACAGACGGAGACGGTCACTTACGTATCAGGCTGAAGAACTGCCACGCCGGCATCATAACCTCTTTTCGAACACTCCCTGCCCGGGGTCTCCCGGCATGCTCCTGTAAATCCAGCGAAACGAACGACGAATAGCCGCTTTCATCCCGCGGAGGGAAATACCGCTCTTGGATGATGCTAGGTGTCCGCAAGCGGTTGGCTGGTCGTAAGGGAGAGCCGACGCTGGGAGATGATGCTACTGGAGTGACTGAGGGAGATGACTCGGGGTCGACTTCGATGGCCTCGACGTGCACGGCGCTCGCTTTATGTCCAGAGTTTATCGTGGATCGCCGCTCCATGTACCTTCGTACCTCTATCCGGTTGTTGAAGTAATCTTCTAGGCATTCTTCGAGCGTAATCACCTTTCTTTGGCCCGTTGGATCAGGTGGAATGGCGACTTCGAGCAATCGTTCGTTGATGAATTTGTGATCATCGTTGGTGTCCTCTCGTCCGGTATGGTAAATATCCATCTTTAGAGTTAGGAGGGGGAGATCAAGCATTCCCGTGATGAAGGAGAATGCCTCTGAGGCGTCCTGCTGGTGGAGTTCGGCAGCTTCATGCCAGCCGCATTCGGCCAAGGTGTCTTGCAGGACTTTGGTGATATCGGTGGTGATGAGCTTCCCTGATCTCAACAGGTTCACCCACAGCCGCAGAAGAAATGCGAGCTTATTCCGAGGCACTTCGTCGAAGGTGTTGTACAGCATAGCCTCGAAACTGTCGAGACGGGAAAACATGGCAAAGAGGGTCGCATCTAAGAAGCAAGTGACCCCTTGTCTATTCTGGGCTCCAAGCAGCTTTGTGTGCGGATCATAGCCGGTGACAATGCCCTCGGACGCATCAGACATGGCAAGCAACAGGCCATAAGCAGCCTCGACGTCTCCATTCGAGGCCAGAGAACGAAGAGCCCAGAGGATCTGTGCATGTCTGAGAAGGACGCCTTTGGCATCCAATATGCGTTGTCTCAGGCTTTTGATCTATCGCAACTGGATGAGCATAAAGTAGGCGAAGTAGGACAGGCCAGAAGAGACTTACCTTTTGTTCCTCTGCTGCTGTGGCAGGGCTGCCTTGAGCATCAAACAGGCCATAGAAGTCCGCGGCAGATTTTGGATCCACATGTTGGGCGTTCACCTCTGGACTCGACTGCAGACGTAGAGACGTTAGCACAGAGGCAGGGGATATATGGGGTGTAGGCTGGTGTAGGGAGGCGTGGAGGGGGAAATACAGAGGATTCATCACGATATCTGGCCGGAGTACAAATAGTAAGGCAGAAACGCTGCATCGTGGAAAGGCCGTGCAGTGCTGCACAAACAGACCATCTGGGCAATAGGATGCATGTATCGCGGGTTTACTCACAGCTGCAAGAGCAAGTGCTTTCTTGCTCAAAGGACTTGGGTGATGGTGGTGATGAGATTCACTGTCCCGGGAGCGCTTTCCATCCCTTTTGGACAGGAATCTCTGGACTTTGCTCATGATCGCTTTCGCACCCTCCCTGCAGGGTTTCTTGACCCGGTCCAGTCACAGGCGAGATTTTGAAGCGGATCTTCACCGATCAGGGCATAGTGAATTGCATACAGGGCATACGGACAGAAGTGTTGCCAGATCTCCGCCGCGGACGATCGATACTAGGCAGTAGTTCTGACAGGCTGGCCGCAGGGGTTATGTATTCCTCCTTAAGACTCGGATCGAACGATCGCCACTCTTTTGATCGCGCGAAGCAACAAACTTCGGCTCTGACTAGGTAGGAGTCATCGATACGGAATCTATTATGGAAGATTGCTGTGTCGATCGCCAGCGCAACAAATATCACGGCGGTACATTTTGCCCCGCGGTGTTTGGGGAATGCCTGTCTTACTCGCGTCTGGGCATGCCGTGGCAGCATCTCGAACCCCTCGGCCCACTTACCTCACGCGAAGTCGCGCTAGCCTTTTCTACCAAGAGGTTCCTTCGCCAAAAAGGTTTAGCTAGTTACCGAGTATATACTTAGTAAGCTTTAGGACAACAAATGGCCAATCTCCACTGCCGGGGTTCGGACATGATTTTATGTCTCTCGCGCGCTCTTCTAGTCCCTCTTGTAAGATACTAATTATGTACTGTACATATTGAACACAGCAGAAGACATTCGCCGCGAGAGCCTTGGCGAGACGACAACACTAAGCACCGTACTAGTACTAAGTACTTGGTAAGCTGCATTGCGTACTAGACTGCTGGAAACTTAGAAACTTGAATCTAAGGAGCACCGGGTTGCCATGAATACCTAAGTAAAGTAGGCCGTGTTTTCAACCAGCAATAACTTAAGTACAAGTACATACTAGTACTTAGTAGTATACCTACTACTAAGTTGTCACGAATGCCGATACCAACTGCCGACAACTTGCATCCCTCGGCTATTCGGACAGAGCTGGGAGATATGAACTGTACACGCCCCGTATGAGAGAGCTTTCCTTCTCTCATGCTTCGAGTCGTGTACAACCATAGGGTTAAGGAGCACTTAATACCAATTGGAGACTTTATCGCTGTACTCTGCCTATTCCCATTAGGCGTTCATAACATAAGTAGTAATTGTTGCCGCCTAGGACAGAAAGAGGTAAGTATATATATCTTCTTAGTTACTAGTATCTATACTTAGTAGTACGCTATAAGTATACTTACTACTAGTAGTACTTTAACGTACTAAGCAGCTAAGTAAGTACTAAGTACTTAGTATAGACTACTAGTAAGTATAGTTAAGACTTAGAATTAATTCGAAACCGGGTTTAATACAGTTCGATTTAAGCACACCGACTCTAATCGAAACCGGTTTAGGACTAATTCAGTATCGATTCGAAACTATATCGAATAAGTAGTATATACTTAATATTTAAGTTACTATTTAATCATTTATACTACTTTAGGACTAGCTAAGTACTTTAGTATACTTAGTATTTATCTTATCTTGTCACGAATCGTTCCACAGGGTTACGAGTCCGGTCAGTATTTACTGACGTAAGGGAAGATAAGATCCGGCTAAGTATAGATAGAAAAGACGAGTTCTATAAATAATAGTTAGATCGGAAAATATATCGTCTAACTTATAACGAAGATTAACTACGAGAGACTATAAACTTAACTTATAAAAGATCGACGACTATATAGATATAGAAGACTCGTAGTACTCTATCGCTCTATTACTCTAATCTAGTATAATAGTATAGTATTATATTCTAGATTACTCGTTTCGAAAGTTACGTACTTCTCGTATATAGATCTTCGATAATTCTTCCTTATTAGTAGTACCTAACGAGGTTATTCGGATTCTATACGCCTAAGATTTATATATAAATCTTAATACTTTCTCTTCTCTTAGACCTAACGACGACCTCGTCGTACTTAAGGTATATTATCCCCGATTTCTACTATTTCTCTTCTTTCTCTACTATAGCTAACTATATAGACTTTTCGCGTTAATAAGTCCCGTACCCGTAAGTTCTCTAAATCTCTTAAATTCTAGTCTATACGTCGTTCCGAAATCGCGAACGCGATCTTTATCGAAGAAAACGTTATAATAGTAGCTTATTCCGAGTATATAAACTATAGAGTAATCTATTACTTCGATAGAGAATAGTCTATAAAGTATACTAAGTATTTACGGTATTAGCGGTTTTATAATAGAACTTTCTCTCTAGAAGAGTTTCGGAAAGTTAGTAAATAAAAGAAACATTTATAGGAAAAGTCTCGCGCGAAGCGCCGAGAAATTACTCGTCTTCGCCGTTTACTAGTAGAGGCCGAGAAAAAGGATTCTTTCTTATAGAATTCGATCGCCGAGTTAGATAAACGATCGAATCGAATACTTAAACGCGAGATATAAGCTCTAGGTATTTTCGAGTAAGTTAGCTATAATTAATCTATCGCCTTAGGCGACGAGAACTTCGTCTTTTTTAGTATTCTCGCGACTAATTCTATTAATTAGAATATTATATTTTAAAACGATCTAGAAGTAACTAGGTAAGGTATTCCTTTAGTTCCTAGATATTCTCTAATTCGTCGTATTCTAACTATTTTACTAGATAATATAGTTTTCTATCGATAGGTTAATAGTCGATAATATTCTCGACTTCGTACTTTAGTTCTTAAGTTTCTTTATCGATCTTTACGAGTTCTAGTTTAACGTTAATATATAATCGTTCTAGTAGCGATATATAGAATACTAGATATATTCTTATTTTCTTAGGTAGTTCTAGTTTAAACGTTACTAGACCTAGTTTTCTCTTAATCTTATATAGGCTAAGTCGGATATAATTCAGTTTATCGCTTAGTCGCTTTATTTTTATATTTTTTCTATATAGATAGACTATCTCTCTCTCCTTAAGATCTAGTCCCTTAGATCTTTTCCTATTTATATATTCGGTTATTCGTATTACGATAAAGTCTAATTCTTTCTTTAGTTTTTTATATAGTCCCTATAATTCTATAACTAATATTTATACTTTTTCTATAATTAGCTTAATTCTCTTAGGATCTCTATCGATTTTCAGATATTTCTCGTAATTTATAAAGAATAGTAATATTTCTATAACTATAGTATTATTATTAAACGCGAATTATACTATTAGTAGTAAGACGATCTAGTTATCTTATTCGTAATTTAGGTAGTATCGTAAGTATTATTCTACCGTTTAGTTTATTCTTTCTATTTATTCGTCCGTCTATAGATAATATATCGTAGATAGCTTATATTTTATTTCGAGTTAGTTAATAAGAGATTACTAAAATTATAATTTAAATAACTTATCTCTATTCGATATAATCTATTTCGGTATTTCGTATTATATAAATATTATTTTATTAATTATATATACTAGATTCTTTACGTTTAACGCTTCTAGGTACGGTACTAAGTATATATACTTTATTAATTTATCTTAAATTACTAGTATACTATCGTAGAATATATTCGTAAGGGGCTCTCTTAATTTCGGTAGTTTCGTAATCTAATCTATAGTAATTATCGACTATAACTCCTCTAGTATAGGTATTACTTATAGTTTTCTATATAGTTTATATCTAGTATGTTTAACCCTTATATAGGTATCGCACTTCTATATATAGCTAGTAATATCTTTTCTTAGTCCTAACTAAGTAAAGTCTCTTATAACTAGTTTAATTATTTTATTAATTTCGGGATAATCCGTAATTTTCGTATCGTAGCGGTCCTTAATTACTTATTACTTTTATTTCTTAGATAACTCGATATCTATTATTACGACTATAGGGTTTCTATAGATTAACTAATTTTCTTCTTATTTTAGTAGCGTAGCTAGTTCTAGCTTAAATTCTTATTCGTAATCGCTTCTTCTACTTAGGGCGTCGGCTCGTCTATTTTTATTTCCTCTTACGTGGTTAATCTTAAAGTTATATAACGCGAGGGTTTCTATCTATCTAACTTATCTACAATTTAGCTACTTAGTTATAGTCTAATAGAGTAGGTTTTTATAATCGGAGTATATCTAGACTAGATATTTACTTTCTTCTAAGTAGACTCTCTACTTCTTTAGTACTTTTATAATAGCGAGTAATTCTTTATCGTATATATCGTAATTTAGCTCTAGTCTAGTTATCTTTCTTAAGTAGAAAGCTATAACTCTAGTCTTTCTATTACTCTCTTTTTAGTTTAACGTTACTTCGATAGCGAAGTCTAAGGTATCGGTTTCTAGAATTTCTTCTTTCTCTAGATTCTAAATAGCTTATATCGATAGTACGACTATCTTCTTCTTTAATTTCCTAAAGGCTTTCTTATATTAGTTTATAAATATAAAGAATATATCTTTTTTCGTTAGGTTAGTTAGTAGCGTCGTAAGGTCTAAAAATCCTTCGATATATTTTCGGTAATAGTTAATAAGTCCTAGAAATACTTATACTTTCTTAACGATAGTTAGTTCCGACTATTTTAATATCGATTTAATCTTATCTAGATCGGGTTATATTCCTTCGGTTAAAATTATATACTTAAGAAATCGTATTAAATATTAATAGAATTTATACTTACTTAATTTAATTAATAAGTCTACTTTTTATAGTTTCTTTAATACTTTTCTAATATATTATACGTATTCTTCGTACGTCCGCGAGAAGATAAGTATATTATCTAAATAAGCGACGACGAAATTATCGAGATATTCCCGTAACGTATTATTAATAAGTTCTTAAAACGTTATAGATATATTTATTAATTCGAATAGTATAACGAGATATTCGTAGAGTCTCTATCTAGTTCTAAAGGTAATTTTCTACTCCTCTTCTTCTTTTATACGTACTCGGTAATAAACGTCTCTAATATCGATAGCGATAAACTAGACTACTTTTAATAATCTATTTTATAGTTTATCGATTCTAGGTAAGAGATATCGGTTCTTCTTTATAATTATATTAAGTTTTCGATAGTTAATATATAGTCGAAGACCTCCGTTCTTTTTTAGTATAAATAGTACACTATATACTATCGGTAACTTAAATAGTTTTATAAACTTCTTTTTAAGGTATTTCTCGATATATTTCTTAAGAAAATCCTCTTCTCGCTTAGATAGCGATATTAGCTCTTCGTAATAGATTAGCGTCTTATCTTCCTTAAATTTAATTTCGTAGTTCTATAGCTTATATTTTAGTAAGGTAGTTTAGCCTTCTCTTTCTTTAAATAGTTCCTTAAAATCCTAATATACCGAAGGGAGTTCTTTACTAGTAGTAGCTAGTATTCTTCGTTATAGTCGTACCTATATTACCCTTATAGTATATAGTATCTTTAGAGATAATCGGTCTCTCGCTATCTTTTCTCTATACTTTAGAAATTTAAGTATTCGTCTCGTCTAGTCTATCGCTAGATTATTCTTTTAAAGTTATTCTATTCTAAGTATTACGTCGTACTTATTAGATATTAAATTAAGCGTAATTCTTTCTATATAGTCTATAAGCTATAACTTTA